GAAACTTGGACGCTAGGAATCTATCATTTGATTTAAGCCGCAAGATATTTACGCATCGCCGTGAATGCAGATCGTCGTCCCTTCGAGAATTAATGCTTCCCAAGTTTGCCTCGCTCATATCGACTTCATGCATAGTATGAGAGTGAGAGTCAGTCTATGTTAGTTGTCTTCTGGCTTCGAAACCTAGATAGGAAGTCTTATATAATTTCGAATAAGCTATGAATCAGGAGTTCAACCCTTTATGCTTGTATTCGTTCTCGCAGTTAAGTAAGATTTTCTTCTAGGAGATCGATCATCTTTATGTGACAGTTTGATTTGAGTGTGTAATCAATATCGCTTATTTTTAATAGCCCTTGTTGACTTCTTCCAAGCCATCCAAAACGTAATGGGACCCAAGATCATGATATATTATAGTTGCTCTGCTTCAATCATATGTTTTCGCTCTTTTACAGCCCCATGTTTGCAATAGGAGTTGTTCAAAGACGTGATAGTTGAGGAGCAAATACCAAGGAGAAGGTACACTGTTCCTATCACCTAACTTTTGAAACTATGGAGACATGAAGTCAAAAATTGTCTCGTGAGCTTTAGCTCCATTGCTTTCACACCTGTTGACTTTTATGGCATAGCATGTCAAACCTCTAGACCGTCAGCATGGTCTGCGGAGACTCCTTTTCCCTGATGAGGCTTTCGTACAGCTTCCTGGATCTAGACATTCGCCACGGTTTAGCGGCCATGAGAGGACCAAGCGAGTGCGCTTATATTGTATATAAAAAAGCGCGGGCTATACTCACGAAACCAGCAGCATCCAGGTCAAAGCAGCTATTCTCCGTTTTGATGAAATGGTCATTGAGGCTATCTGAAGTTCAAGAGATGCTGAGTGGCACAATATTATAGGTACTACTGGTATGTCTAACTCGCTTATCGCCGCATTATGGCAACGAACTGTTCACACCATGTTGTTCGCCTGCCCGTTCAGAAGGAAGTCAAGGTACGTGGAGTTCCACGATAGAGGGACAGCTGAGAGTAGACTAAACGGCAGTCAATTGGTCATATATCCTAGGGAATATATTGTTCAAAAAATTACAAGCTTAAAACTAGGCTTAAAAATTCCTCGATTTCCTTCTTAGTTGGCCGGGAGTAATTGGAAAATTGGGAGGTGATGGGTACAAGCAAGTGCTGAACAGATTCGTGGTGAACTCTTCTCCTTGTTGACTGCAAATCTCTAAATGGATCAATGATGGTGATATTAACTATAAAACGTCAATGAACCCTTTTCATTACCAGCATATTGTGAAGGACCTCCAAGTATCGCTGTCATTTGTTTCTAAAGAGTCATATATTTAAGTGAATAAATAGAACTAGTATGCTATATATTGGTACCATGTAATAAAACTGTATAGTTTTCTCGGATAGTCACGTAAAACCAAACTAGTTAAACATTCAGCTCATCAATACCACTCTTATTGGCATCGGCCACCCGCAGCATGATCTATCACAGGCATTTATTCCCCTCTGCGAATGCAGGTCCCGTAGTGGCTTATTATTCCCCCGTCAATCTACTTCTTATTACGTTTATCCAGTCACAGTTCATAATACGCTAATCAACCGGCATGGAGTGAACAGTTGTTTTGCCTGTCTCTGCGAGATAAAACCACCGGAACATTAAACACATTACATCAAGCAACCAGCATACACACTACGTTAAGGACCCGAAGACTAGCTGCTCTAATAAGACGCAGACTTGCAGCAGAAAACTACAAAACATGCCTGCTGATTTGCCGTGCTCATACAGACTGGTAGATATTCCAGTCCGCCACATCAGGGGCATAAAAGGTTGAATATCAACGGGGCCGACACGGCACATCTAAGCTAACACTTCCTGATGCAATGCCTCCTTCGACGCGGGATGTCTCTATCCGCAGCCGTTCGCAACGGCGTCTAATCTTGCCACATGGCTCAAAGACCAAATAAAGCCCACCAACGGCCACTCGCTAAATCATCCCAACCCGAAGCTTCCAGCGGACCGTCTTACAACAGAAACGTTGGAAAAAGCAAGCATAAATAGGCCCAGGCGCCTCCAGGTCCCAAGCGAGAGACATTCGCTGCCGAACGACGCCCGCGGCGTGGCAAGACAGAGACATAGACTACCCCGCGGGAACCCGCATGCCACCCTTAATAGGCGCACTTCCGGGTCTCTCGTATCGGCGAGAGGGCTGCGGCTGGCCGCAGTGCAGAGGACAGCCCGGTTTTGACTCTTTCGCGTGGAGTATCTCCCGGTTGGAGGAGTAATTTACGGTTGCGACGGAGGATGGGTTCGGTGTCGTTGGCGTCGGGATGGCGAGTTTATCGTCGACACGGGGGATATGGGGAGTGAGAGGGTGTGATTTTAAGTAAGACATGCGGCATTCTAGACAGTCCGCAAGTGATGCCGTTTCGGGAGTAATCATGAACTCTGAAGGGAGGGCTAGTAGAGACAAGTTGGTCTCCGAGAAGCGAGGCTCTTGAAAGTTCGAGACATTACGCTGATATCCCGAGACATCAACGGAAGAGAGATGTAATAGACAGCACATTCATTACCAGTTTTTCCAGACGTGTGAAGGTCAAGATACTAACTGAGCTGCTTTGAAAAGAATATGGAAGCTCTCCAGCACATCAAGAAGTCTCAAGTTTGCTGATAAAGCGGCGGTGTCTACTATCCGCCTTAAAGAACCCATCTCATCAGGACTCTTTACACATACTTAGCACCTAGCTCATTAGAATTATATACATAGTTGTATTAGACAATTGATACGATACTGGGAGAGAGATAAAGAGAGCAGTCATACGCATAGTAGTCGTCGACAGCCACCAGAGTAGCTAGCATCAATGCAAAGACCTGTTGCTGAGGCAGACCATCACACATACTTCGTCCAGCCCGTCACGGGCATAATGGCGATGCCAACAAACCCATGTGCAAAATGCCAACCCAACCCGTCTGTAAAACCCGCGGCCACCGCGCTTGCAAAAAACCAGCCAAGACCCATGATGATGACGACGACGATGCCAGAGTAAACTCTCGCCGGAACGTCCGAACCAAGAGTCACGATGTGCAGCTTCACCTTGAACGGTCCAGCATACGAGACATGATCACCAACACGGTAGGTCACAAACCCACGAGTCACGCCATTTCACGACTCCGTCCACCTAAGCGCCAACCGGTGGTGTTCAGCAACGGAAACGACACACGGGGAAGGGGGAAACAACTGCATAAAGTGATCATCAACGGCGTTCAAACGTCATATTGCATATAGACACAAGTCAGTTCAAGTTACCATCAATCACCCGGCCGCTTTTTTCCGCTGATCATTTTCCCTCCCGGCCGAGTCAAGAAGACAACTGATCAACAGGACGGAGGAGTAAAGGAAACCCCCCCAGAAAAAACAGGGCCGTCCGTATTAAACAAACAACCCCGGTGAACGCCCAAGGGAAAAGAGGGACTAACTAACTGAGTAAGTTGCAAAGAAACAAAAATTCATGGAGACTTCATTGAGGCCAAGGAACATGTTGGGCCAACAACTCAGACCACCATCCACTACGCACCAAGGAGAAGGGAGGGATGAAAAAAAAAAAAAATCTCTACAACATAGATCCAAGATTCAGGGACCTATATCCAAGATTCCAAGATCCGATACTATTCATCACCACTACATACGTAGGAAGTACTTCACTTCCCGGTCGACGCGCGCCCTTTTCTTTTGCCCCCCTACTCCCAGCGCCCACTATCCGATCCGATTCCAAAGGAGGAAAAAAAAAAAACATCAGATCATCAAGGGCCCGAGTCAAACACAGAGACCGGTCTTCAGACCGACGAGCCCATACACTTACACCACACGCATACACGTACACACGCACATATACCCGCAAAGGCAAACGAACCCCAACTCCCAAATTCTCCGCCCACCCTTGATACAATAAAATTCAAAAAAATCAGGACATCGTCCGGACCTATGACGGCAAGACCAGCCATTAAGTTTCCGGTCAACTTTGGAGGCAAATCCCCCTCGTGGGCCACCATCCTGCACAGGACCATTGGAAATAACTCGGTCCATGGCCTTCGGAGTCCCCTAGCCGAAGGATGAATTGCCATTAAGGCGGTAAAGGGGCAAAAAATATAGGGAAAACGATTAGGAAAGGCAGAGTCAGGTCACTATTCTCTCGTCTCTCGCCGTCCACTTGCCGAGAACACCATTCTAGAAAGCAAGATTTGAACTTTAAGCGTAGATCACACAACGCCCAGCAATTACTATGTATTCCAACGCCGGTTATCCGTTCACGTAGGTCGACTTGCTGAGAAATCCCGCCAGTTCGGGTGACGTGACAAAGCAGGGTGGGGACGTCGAAGTTCAGGTCTGTCGGTTTGTTCGCCAGATTCGGATTCGTAGACAATGCTTATATCTCCCCATGTCCTGCTCACGACTCGCTCCGGGAGCAAATGTGATCCGATTTCCACGACTAAGGATATGGGGTTGTAGCTTCACGACAGGTAAACAACAACCAACCAATAATGACAGAGTAAAGCCACAAATCAGGGCTGCTTATGCGTTCCGGAGTCATGTGGTGGTTGTCTCCTGGAGCCTGGTCGACCAAGTGAGCCCGTGCTATGGGCAAGGCCAACAGGACAGGACGGGAAGCGATACAGCGAAGAACGATGGACGCGGTATAGGATTGACGACCATGGACCAGGGCGGCAACACCGTCGTCATGCCACCAGCTGAACAGCTTCAGACACCGACAGATGGCCGTTGCCTCTCCCCCTGGTTGCCGTCGAATGGGTTACCCCGACTCATCAGAAGTACAGCTTCTCTAGTCAACCTACTTTCCTCGCCCCCAAACTTCCAACTCTCTCTAATTGATCACCTTAGCCTTGCCAGGGCCAAGACAAAGGGCATGAAAGTCTCGGCAAACCTTCCCCCTCGAGAGTTCACGGCGCGCCACGTGCGGGGAGTAGGAGGCCTGTTGTAATGCGAAGTTTCTCCCACATCTCGCCATCCGCTGCCAACCAGTCAGAGGAGGCTCCCGGCAGGCCATTCCTTTTCCAGGGACCAGCGAGTCAACCAGAGCTGAGTGAGGTTCCTCCCTGCGCTGGCCGGTGTCCCAAGTCTGAGCGCGTACAGATCTTTATGCCTCAGGGCAGCATGCACCAATGGCGGCCGCAGGCGGACGAGGTATGCTGTTTCAGGAGTCGATCTCTCTCAGGGGTCTACCCGCGGGACGAAGGTCGAGGGGGGCCCTTCGATCCGGAAGGAACCTGGGCCTGGAAGATCGCGGTTGGGAAGATGGTGGGTAGGCCATTGGAAGATCAGAAAGGAACCTTGGAACTATCTGAATAGGTTTAGCTTGACCGACCTGACAACCCAGCACAACCTGCAGTGATTCATTTGGTGGCGGCGGCGTGCGTATGGAGCAGAACTTGGCTCGCAACGTCGCCGCTCGCCGCTCACTCTCCTAGGTCCCCACAACGGACAGACGGGCAGCTGGACAGAAGCTAGCGGTGATGGAAGCAGAGTTCGGTTGCGAGATGGAAAGATTCCATGCAGCTCGGAAGGCTATGTCGGCGCTTCTTCTCCGTCCACGGACTGGGACTAGAGCAGTCAAGGCAGATAGCATGACATGGCATGGCCACGAGGGCCACAGATTGCGATGGTAGCAGATGGGGGACGATAGCGAGCGACGAGAAAGACTGGACAAGTTGTCTGTCAATGTTTCAGATATCTGCCCGAGTGGTATCTGTGCGGTTGGGTCACAGCGTCAGAGCTGGCCAGCACAGCGGAGGAGAGCGCGTGCAACCAATGCTGTGCAGGAACCGACTAAACTTGTTGTTTACCGCTTCGGACGAGGACTGGATTGAGAAGGACGGTGCGTGGAGGATGGTGGGTTAGCCAGGCACAGATCTGCATGTCCATGGGAGTGCTGGGCGGCGAAACAAACGCGGCGATGTGAAACAAGAGCGGTGGGCGGCAGAGGAGATGGTGGTATGGGCGAGAAGATTTGATGGCAGACGCCGTCAAGTTTGAGATATAGCCAAAAAAAGAGTGTCTCGTACGGATACCTCCACCAGATTTGGAGTCGAGAACAAAGTTAGCGAGCAGAACTCTGACCAGCTACTGTCTCTTCCGCACTTAGTGGGCGGGCATTTGATATCGATCCGGTCGATTCCCCCGAGTACGGGGGTTGGCGTCGTCCGCGAGATACGGACAAGGCTGGCGGACTAACATGATTCAAGAAGTCTAGCGGGATGTCATAGCCGGGCCGTATGCTTAACTATGGCTTGAGTGACGCTTGCCTGACTCTGGCTGTATGACCCGGCCCGCGAGGGCATCAAAAGAGAGAAGCACCAGTCCGTGCTCCGCAAATCTCCTAGTCGACCGTCCGTTCCCGTCGTCCATCAGGATCCGTGACAGCGGAGCCCGTCGAGCATTCATGACTCTGGCAGGCAAGCCGTCGTCAACAATGGATTCCATCAATGGCGTCGGACCAGGCTTAAACCAACCGGAACGCTTCAGAGGATTTCCTTGTTAAGGGACTGTGGGCATGGGACGCAAGGTCGTCGCCTAGGCCCAGCCTTTCCGGGGGGGACCCTTCATTAAGCGACCAGCCACCCGCGAACGCTGGGGAGGGAGCGTTCAGTGCTGACATAAACGGCCGATCGCTGCCTCAAGTCGTTCTGGAAGGTGATGTGACATGGCCCTAGAAAGTCGTCGCTCGTGTTTCATGTACCTGAAAATCGCCCCTCTCACCGTGTTTCGGGTGCTGCACAACATTGGCTCAAGCACACCTTCAGGCTTCCAGACCACAGGGCAACGCGGCGGAGCCCAGTGAACAAAGCCGTCGGTTGCAGGAAAAACTGGGGAAGAGTCTGCAGGTTGACATCAACACGAGCTCTTCGTTTGTGCCTCTCGCGATAGAACCAGCCTCTGTGGTACTTTGGGTGGGGGAAGGAAACCACGGGTGGGATGGATGGCTGGGTGCATGCTGCTGTTGCATCCTTTACGGTCCTTCTCCGCCGTCACCGCAGAACCGCACCTGGGATTAGGGGGGGTTCATACACGAATCAGGCATGGCATGGCATTAGGAAGCGGCAGCCAGCACGGTTCTGGGGCATTGAGAAAATGCGAACGAGGTTGTCGTGGTGCCCACCACCATGTCCAGGTCCACGGCTAGAGAACAGAAGTCAACAAAAGTGTCATGTTTCGTCGACTCAGCGAGGCGAGGGAGATCGGCCACCTTCCCTGTCGTTTCAGGTTGGCTCTGAATTTGGTAGACTTTCACCTCTCCACTCAGCCGTATCCAGGAACTCGATATCCCATAGGTGAGGTGTGCTGCCACTAGCTGTGTCCGTATATGGGTGAGCATGGAGGCGGCCAGCCCTGCGTATGCCAGGATGAGGGAGATTTGTGTCCTGCCACCCTGTTGTGGGAAGTCTGAAGAAAGAAGTTTGCAGTAGCTTCGGTGGAACTTGCCCACCTCGGTCGGGCATTATTGTGCAGATTTGACAGGTATGGCAGCAGTGGCGGCGACGGCGGCGACAGCGGCGGCCATCTCTTGCTCGTCACCCGCCGGAGAAAATAAAATAAGGGTGACAGTAGCGCGAAGGAGCTGGTCGAGACTGCTAAGTCGACTGCCGACATGCTCAGATCCCCGTCCCCCTTTTGGGAGCTCAGGTTTCATCTCATCGTTCAAGTCGTTCCTCGTAGCGTGCCATTGCCGGACGATTTCCAGTCACGGCTAGGCGTGGTAGCCTGGTCTTGTTGTTTCTCCCTCCAGTCATGCGAGTAGGCAAGCGTCGACGGTGATGTTTCTATTCTTGTTTCCCTTGATAATAAACACCGCGTCGGCGTCAAGACCCCTCCGGCCCTGCTGGCGGCCGGAGCCCCGCGGCAGCGAGCGGGACGACGAAGTCGATGAGGTCAAGTGAAAGGCTGGTAGGCAATCTCAGCAGCCGCCAGGCACGCACCGGAGACAGGGCAAGGCGGCCGAAGGTTCTGCGACCCGATCTCACTCCCGCATGCGCCGTGCAACGATTCCCAGATGAATGGCTGCGAGGTCAAGGCAAGTAAAAGCTATTTCTGGCCCATGTCGAGTTCGGAGGGGTGGAGAGGGGTGTGAGTGTGCATGTGTGGCCTGGCCTAAGAGGTGGGACGGGAAGACGGGGCCAGACATTGGAAGAGGTAGAAACCACGTCGGTCGACGTCCATGTCGTGGTATGAGTACATCCATGGTAGAGTAGTGTAGGTAGGAGCGAGCAGTAGCGAGGAAAGGAGGTGTGGTGTGGTGTGTGGATGGTGGATGGTGGATGGTGAAGGGGCCACTTTGTGACGAGCAGAGCGAGCGCCCCACCAGAGGTCATGGAATGAATCTGAGGGAGCCAATCACCATCCTGAAGAGCTCTTAGCGCTTGCAGGGCCAGCTCTTCAGGACACTGATTGGCTGTTGCGGCTTAAGCTTAGGCGGAATCCACCCAGGGTCCTATTCTGAAACTGCACACTACGGCATCAGTCAGCGTGCCCGACTGGGCGGCATCTGGGCCTCCAGGGCCTCACTTGACGAGACCTGCTTCTTACGTCTTTCTTTTCCACACCTTGGCTGATTACGATCCATAGGGTGGTGACCACTCTATCTTACTGGTCAGATAGGACCATGATATGACGAATGACGGGCAATCAAAGTCCTAGCGTCGAGGGCAGGGGACACACTAGACTGGATCGTGACTTTTTTTTCTTCTTTTCTTCTTTTCCAACGGATGGCCTTGCTCCTCCACGCGAGAAATGCTCCGTCGGTGGTTTGTTTGGTGGGGATGAACCCATTTGGCCGCATTCCTCAGGCGTTACGCTTTGTCTCTGGTTGTGCCCACACAAATGCCATGTCGACAGGGACAGTGAGAAAAAAAAAGACAAAAATATGGACATCTACGTCGAGGTGCGTCGTTGAGGGTCCGAGTCGTCAGCGATCACAGGAGTCGTGAGAGCGCCGTGTTTTAGACCTCTTTGGGATGGACGGGTCAGTCAGTGACCAGCTTCCCGTCCTCCCAACATCTTATGACGGCCGAAAATAGCAGCAACATGTTGTTGAATGCCTCGCAGAGCTCGCCGATTAATTCGTAGACGCCCTCCCTTCTCTCCCAGGTCGTGTACATGAATAAGACAGCCCAGCTTGGGAAGCTGGCCCTTGCGTTGTCCACTTTGCGGTACGGGTTCCGGCCGAACTTCCTTACCTCATCCTCGTCAATGCATTCTCTTTCCATGGCGGAAGTCTCATGATGCCGTCCCCGCGGGACAGGATGCGCCTGTCAGGAGGAAAATGATCGTCGATAATTCTTCGAGAGTTTCCCGTAGCCCCTCTATTGTTTGCCGCTACCTGCACAACCGCACAAGACGGTAAACATTTAAGATTACGGAGGGGCTCTGCAGATGGTATCATGGTAGCAAGCAGACGGGTCGAATTCCTCTTTTGGAAATGTCTCCGTTCACATTGCCTGTTGAGTGCAAATCAGTCCTAGTCCGGGAGCGTGAACCGTGGATGCTATCGCCCTGATGGGCATTTAAAGCCGCAGTGATGATGGAGGGTATCTTCGAGTCGAGTCTACCGCAAAGAGTGATGGGCGACGGCATTTCCCATTCTTGCACATGATGTCCGGCCGTGCGGAGGATGGACAGCGGTCAACGTGAACCTTCACAACCTGCCCGGACGCACTGAACACGGGCAGGGAAGCGGGACGATCAAGCGTGGTGGAGGATATCTGCTCATCATCTTCTCTCTCGCTTCTTTTCTCTCTCTAGTGTATCTCTCTTCTCACGAGACGAATGTAGCCCCGGCCCTTGACATGGACAAAGCGTGTGTGGGCTTGCCTTGCCTGGACATGCCACCACCACAACCATCATCCTCGCTCATGCCGACCACGACGACGAACTGGACGGGGCATGGTGGGTGTTCGGGCTCGAGGCTGACGACTTGCAGTTGGCATCTGCTGGCTGGGAGTTTCAGAAAGCTTGGGGTAGCGTGCGTCGTATTCTGGCAGGGTGATCAAACAGCCACAACCATGGTCCATGGACAACGTCCAGTCCGCGAATGCCCCCACTGCTCAAAAACGCCGGTTTGCCGTCTTGTTGATGTCCTTGAAGGTTAATGCTTGAGGTCACGTACCTTGCATCGAGGCACAGCGCTGCCGTCCGAGGTTCGGCCGTCGCCCCCATTTCGAAGTCGTGATGCCGACCCATGAGCAGGCCCTCCATCCTTGACAACCATTTCCGCGATGTACATTTTTCTTGTCTTTCCCTTTCCTCCCCTCCGCAACAGGTCTGGGTGGACCGTTGGATCTGTTGAATAATTAAAGCGTTGCCTTTGTGGGATAAGGTGCATGATGAGTCGCAGTACCGTATTCTTGTTTTTTCTGGGTGCCGGGCAAATGTTGGTTTAATCCCCGAGAGGCCCACTCCGTCTAGGTCATATCCGTACTGCGTTGCAAGCGAGGACGGTGTTCCGTAAGACCACGGTTACCGTCATGTCAAAAGCCCTGACCGGATCGGATGGGAAGAGTTCGCAAACGGCATGGCTTTAGAGCCCGAATTCTCCACATCACCGAAATAGTCCTTAGTCAGTTTATTGACAGGGTATGATTCAAGCAGACCCGTTGCGTTGACAGAGACGAGGGGAGGCAAGTGGACATGTCGAAATGGTTCATGAAGGCAAAGGGATACGTGCGCGAGCAAATAGTTAGGCATTGAATTTGCTATGATTGGGAGCCTAACGGTTGTAAGCAAGCGCCACGATAGAGTGTATTGTAGAGAGCGCAGGAAGAAGCAAAAAAACAACAACAGCACAAAAACAAACCCAGGAACAGGCTCCAAAGTACGGAATGATCTGCATGAAAGTCGAGGAGGGGACGGGCGCCAGCGACCCTGCAAGACATGGCCTGTTGGCCTGTGGATTTTGACGAGATGTTGTCCAAAAGGTTTGTTGATGGCATCCGGTCCCGATTGGTGTAAGACCGTCCAATGGGTCCTGGGGGTCCAGATGCACAGCCTACCTTTACCGAATGCTTCTTTGGACAAAAATTCGTGGCTCCTGGCAGCTAATCATCTCGTGTCGAGTGTCGAGGACGATGCCCCTCGCTGTACGTGGTATAGTGTGTGGACGACCTGGGCGCAGTACATCAAAACTTGACAAAAGCAAGTCACTCACAGCTGGTAAACTTGGATACGGTGAGCAGGCGATTGGTGAAAGAAAGAGGGGTGTGCTCAGAGGATGTGGAGGGCAGTGGACGTAGCTTTGGGAAATAGGGCGTGCTGGAAGCGGATTAGCGCTGAGATTTAGCTGGCCAGGCTATTTTCTGAAGCAATGCACCAGCCTTGTTTCACATTTTACAGGGCACTTCCCGCGACTGTAGCAGAATATTAAGGTACGTACCGGAGCTCTTCTGCAGGACATCGACAGAAACGGAAGGCCTAAACTCTAAGGCAGCGAGACCGAATACTTACCTCATCGCAGCTGCCAGCCAGTAAGAGAGTTTCCAGGCAAGCTTTGACCAGGTATGTTTCGTTATGCCTTCTCTTTCCCAGGGCTGTCTCTGTCTTCAAGGGGCTTTTTGGGCTTTCTGTGTGAAAGTGATGCGGTTGTCATCATTACTTTCTCTTCTTTCTTATTCGGATTGCTCGCGCAGCGAGTACCGCGCCGGGCCGCGCAACACACCATCTCATCCCAAACAACGACACGCGCGATTCCTGACCGGTGGGGCCATTGGCCTATCTTCAGCTTACCTGAGCTCTTACTACTCCAGGCGCGAACCCGGCTTAAACGTAGCGGCCACGCGCGGTCTTGGGGGGAAATTTGCTGACATATCTACCCGGCTGGCCGTGTACTCCGGGAATCCGATGCCTCGCTGAGATATGGGTTAAGATGAGGAAAGGAAAAAAAGAGTGCGGCGTTTCTGAATGCAATCTGACGATGGCTCATTTTGCGGGAGTAGCGCCTGCTGCTTGTCTTAGCCTTATCAATCTCCTTTGTCTTTCTCACAGTCAGACAAGCACGGTTGCAGCCCACTATCCAAGTGCAGTTGCAAGGCTGGCAGGAACATTTAAGACAGCCCTGAGTAAGAAAGTAGCTAGCTATGTCTGAAGCTTTTGCGACATCACGCCAACGGCTGGGGCTCCTTTCAACGGTCCCTTTCCGCCAGAGTCAGAAACGATCTGTCGACCGCGGCCTGAGCGGTTTAGCTGATAGGCAGCTGACAACTGGCAAACACTGCAAGCGGCCGTCGCTCAATCCTTCCCTCCCAAGTGACACAATGGGGGGTACCACCTTCCACACTTCTACTTCGTAGATACGATACTACAGATACCACTAACCGGTTCTGGGTTCATTGACTGTTACCGTGACCATCTCCCACGTCGATCTTCAGGGACTCGGACCTGCATCGCAGCTCAGCTGATAAACAACAGTGTTGCATCGGAAGCTGCCCTTTTTGCTATCTTCCTCTGGTCTTTCAGGGGTTATTACACGAGCCTCTTGTTGAGATGACCGGCTGAACTTCTTCAGCACCCTTTGTTGAGCAATCGACGCTTGTCAGGAAAGGGAGCCTGTCCGACATGAGTTTTTTATTTTATTTTTTATTCCCCGGAGAGGGGAGCCACGTTGTTGCACAGGCCTTCAATGACACTGCCCACTGACACCGACAGCCACAAGATGTCCGTCGCGACTTGTTGCAGATTTTGTACCTTTTGCGTCTGCGTCTGCGTCTGCATACTCAACGGCCTGCTACTGCAAGTTGTGATGATGGACTGGGACATTTTAGCCGTGGCGTGGTGGTGGCCGTCAATGGGAGGGGGCTTGTCGACCCTCTCGTCCGAGCAGCACATGTCGACGACGATGCCCCTTCAGAAGACAGCTCGTTAGTGCCTCTTGTCTCATCAAACTATGAGTGTGCTCGGACTGAGCGAACCCTCATCGTCGGTGTCGTCGTTGACCGTTACGCCGCTGCATCTCGTCTCTGCAGGTGCTCAGGAGAAGGTAATCTTACCCAATGACATAATGGCAGCGATGTGTCAACTATTGCAGCACGCGGCAGCCATCACCGCATTCCGGGAGGGAAAAAGGGTCAAGTTACGCCGTGGAGTTGCCCCCAAAAACAAGCGACATTGCAATGTGGAGATTATTGCCAATTCTCCTCACTCGTGATGACCTGCACGATGAATACTGGGGGGGTGAGAGATGCGTTGCATTACCATTGCGTGTGTCCAACAGCCTGGTCAAACCTTCTTTTTCTTTCCCTGCCCACTTTATTACTTCTCCCTCGCTTCTCGTGGTTGTCATCAAATGGTACTCATTAAGAGAGTCCAATGCGGTCGTTGAGCAAAAAAGAGACACCGCTCCGGAACCTTGGGCTGTAGAACGGCTATCTACACGTAGGGAACCGGCCGGCCCCTTCTCTTCGCACCCCTGCAAGGACTTGGGCTGCCCCAGTTTGCGGAAGACGGCGGAGAGTTTGCGAGATGCGATGACTTGTCTCGCCGCCATGCTTTCAGCACACCCGGCAAAAAAAAAAAATCCTTGTGCATAAAATATGTCAATACCGGTAAACGTGGGCAGGCACCATTTTCAAAGTTTCGACAACGCCCTGGCCTCTGCCCCTTCTTTCCCAAAGGAGCCAACTGCCTGGTCTCTTCCATCAAACTCTCCGCTGTCTCCGGTGAAGCCTCACTTATCATCCTGTCGGCTTTGCAGAAAGGGTAAAAAAAAGTATCCACATGGCTTGCCCCTTCTGGTAGTTGCATCGCCATTGTTGCCAGCCAGCTGGGTTCGTTCATGACCAAACAACAAACAAAACGGGCTACAATGCAGACGGGGCCCGTTGCTGAGCCCGAGACCTTGAGTAGGTGTTGGGGGTGGCGCAGGCGAACACTGTTCTTGGACATGAACGGGCATGGGAGACGGGGGAGCTCGTCATCATGATCCAAAATAAAATCCATCCCGCAGTCAAGTGAAGCTGTTCGCCCTTGCCATATAGCACGAACAAGCCTGTCTATGTTGACTCTGTCGGCGGGGTGTGGTTGTTTGACCGAGGGCTATTGCATAGCTTACAGCGGGCGACGGTCCCATGTAAACTGTACGTACCGCCACGCCATCTTCTCTTCCCTAAACGTGTAAGTCGGTGTGAATACGACCAACGTCTGGTTTGTTCTTATCACGGAAGGGGCACACCACGGACCTTGTCAATAGCAGAACATGGGGAGATATTCTTGGTAAGGACATCACGGGCAGGTCTACTCAGCAGAGTACTATATTCCGTAGCTGGGCGTCACATTTCTGTCCTTCTTTAGGAAAACCGAGAGGGATGCTTGCCCTGACGGTACCTTCCCCCCCCAAAGAGGTGAGCCATGGGTACTTGTTGTAGTTGTTTTTGTTGTTCTCCTTGAGGTTCAGCATGAACCAGGCGATTCAGGCCACGTCGAGAACCAAGCACCCAATCAGCGGCCTGAGACTGGCGACCAAAGGCACGTCTGTCTCATCAACCGCCAGACGCCCCCAAAGAGCCCAAGCATCTTTAACGGGATCACAACAGCTAATCAAAGGGACACTTGCAACAACGGTCACTCTTAAACGGAAGAAAGAGGAAGGATGGTGGAAGACAAGTGGCAGAGACAAGTGGCAGAGACAAGCCTACGTAGGTAGAGCAGAAGAGACAGGACACATGCAATTCGGACGTTGTTGTATCCGCAACTCCAGCACCGCCAAGGACGCTGGGGAAGTCCAGAGGCGGGCAGCCGGGTGAGGAGGGAGGCAGACAGAAGGTGTGCGCAGGCAGAAAAAAAATTATGGGCATGATGACGGCGGAGGGTGGTCAGGGCAGATTCCTCCCACGCATAGAAGGGGGGGAAAAGAGATCTGCCCAAAACCCCCGTTAGCCGTCTTTTTCCAGAGCATATCAGTAGAACACACACACACCCCTGGCCTATCCCAAAATCCCCCAGTCTATTCGATTCCGTATGCCATGGCACACCCCGGCGCCGCTACTTTCGTTATCCATGCCTACGCACTTTCCACAATGTAATTTTTTTTTCTTCGACCCTTGGGCAACTCTCAGCAGGAAAGAGAGAGAAAGAGAGGGGGAGAAGGAGAAAAAGAGTGTAAGAGAGGGTTCATCCATACACACCCCTCCTTATTCGAGCACGGGTGGATAGGGAGCAAGGACCACCCCCTAAGGCCGATAGCACGAGATTCCTCAGATTTGTTGATTTCGATTTCCTTTGGGGCCAAATTTACGTTCAATGGGCTGGCTCTCTATTCCTCCCTCTGCCAAGCTAAAGAAGCTCCAAGGTTGCGTGGCTACGCCAAACCCCCACAAATTCTTCCTTCTGTTCGAATGATGAACAGATATTCCCCGGGAACGAAATGACATCTCCCCTGGAAACTATCGAGATTAGGTCTGGCGCCGTTTAACCTTTTGGTGTAAACCTGCGGGCGATGGGAATGGGCACCAGACGGGGTCCCGTTGGGAGGATCTACTGCTAGACATCTCGGGGGGTTAAAAAAGCGCATATTAATCCCGAGAAGCAGTGGAGATGGGCCTTTCTCGAAAGGGCCTGGCCATTCCCTCAAAACTGAGGAGCCGTGCCGTTCTGGAGGAAGGCTGGAGGAAGAAAAGAAAAAAAGAAAAGAAAAAAACCAGAGCATTGTCCTTCTTGTCTCTCTTCATCCCTGAGCGAAAGGAAGACCCCATTCTTTTTCTCCGTTCGATGGTTCAGGGACCAGCCATTATTACCGCAGAACGTCCAGAACGAAAAGAACTGGAGCTGTACGGATCCGCCTTCCTCGCCTCCTAGCGCTGTGTGTGCGAGATGTGTGGGCTGCTGTGGCACTGTGGATGCTGGACTGACCCACACCACCCAGTGGGAATGCCCTGACAGAACAGAGCGGGCAATGGCAAGGTTGTCAGTGACAATGACATGCAAAGTCCACTGCCGTGGCTGTCTGTAGGGAGAGGGGGGGTAGGGGGAGGAGGGAACGGCGACGCAGGGACTTTCACTGACTTGGAGAGGAGATTCAGCACCACAAGTGCGCCACCGTCACGTCAATGGCATTGGGTAAAATTTGGGGGGGTGCGGCGACAGTAGAGTAAGCAAGTAAAACGAACGGAGGCGCGCGCGAGAGACAGTCTGACTGATGATGCTGCTGCTGCTGCTGCTTCTGATGATGCTAACTGACTTGTGGGCTCTTGTGGGCTTTTCTCGGTCTTGCAAAACAATGACTGAGCGACGAACGAGAATGACTTTACCCTTTCTACCGAGGTGCAGACAGGCTCAGGCAAGGGGGGAAAGGAAAATGGACGAGCGGGAGCCAGTGTCAGTCAATGTCAGTCAGTGATTTAGAGGGTCTCGCCGCTGCTCAGTTCAGCCTTGCTGCTTTGCGGTGCTTCTGGCTCGGCTTCTTTGCAGTAGTGAGCAGCAGCATCTATCTCTGTGACGGGCATAATTGTTGTTGGGATCTGTTGTCGTCGGTCGTTGACCGGCTTCTGCTTTGCCATGCTTTGCCATGCTTTTGCTTGCTGCCTGCCGGAGATGCAGATACACCTTCCTTCTCATAATGCGATATCCTAGCCCAACTCAACTCAATTCCCAAGGGTAAATGAGGTACATGCGTCCAGCACCAAAGTCCGTAGGGAATTGGAAGTACCTTCCACACTGAACGTATGTCTTTGCCTTTTGTTATTTACCCATTACGCTTTTCTTGTCCAGATGCCCCGTGCGCTAAGACCATCACTCATGAGGGTTAGACAGGTACGGGGGAAGAGGGCAAAAATGCAGTGAACCCATCGGCCCCTGTTCCTGACTTGTTTTTTTTTTTATGTTTAAACTGGGGCAAGCAAGATCAGAAGTGAGAGAGGATGTGTGGCAGGGCATGAGCCAGAGCAAGAGCAAGAGCAGACTGAGAGTAAAGAAAGAAAGGAAAGAAAGGTGGTGGATGAGGCTAGTTCCATGTCCGGCCAATCGGCGATCCACACTTGCACACCCCTGGATCCCCAGTCGGTACTTCCGCGCCCTTTCCCCCTTCTCCGTGGGTGGTGCCTCCCCCCTTCTTCCCTTGGTCGTCAACTTCCTTCCCCCGTGCCCCCCATCGTGCCTGCGCAAGTAGAACAGGAACAGGAACAGGAACAGGAACAGGAACAGGAAGGAAAGAAAGGGAACAGGGCTGGCCCCAGGCACACAGCGCAGGCACAGGGCACGTCGTTCCCACATGCTCGTCTAGGCCCCACTGCTAGCGACAAAGTACCATCCCGCGGTGCCACAGGTGGCATTGGTACGCTTGATACCATCAGCGCCGTTCGGCATCAAGGTGACTAGTAGTAGCCTTGGTTGACCAGCATCAGCACCAAGCATCAAGCAAGCCTGCACCAGTGGTCCAGGGCCACAAGCACTGCTACGGTGCTCTCCACATCACTGCTCCTCCTCCTCCTCCTCCTCCTCCTCCAGAAGAACTCCACCCCGACTTGACCCTCTTGCCGCCACGCCCGGCAGAGAGACATAGAGGCCGACAGACAGCCACATACACACATACACACACAAACACACACACACTCTCAAGCTCTAGCGTTGTGGTCATCCACAATATTTCCACGCCATTAAAAAAAAAAAACCCACAACCATAACCACGCTTGTTCGCGTTTCTCATCTCGCACGCGAACTGAGAGCCCTAAAGCTGATCTCGTCTGTACGGGAACCTACTCTGCTTGTGGTAAGTCAAGGCTATATTGGCTGGTCGGATATTGCCTAGACGTTGGCCTAGACTGTCTATTGCCCTATACTGCGGCCGTCTTATACCGTAGATTGCCATATTGGATGGAGAGACAGACATTACAGCGTGTCTTGTAAATGAGTTTCCAACACTATCAAATCGGCTTGGTGGAAATGTACCCTTATTTTCAATGTTTTTTTTTTTATTTCCCTTCCTCCCATTCCGTCTTGGGTACGAGAAGTACGGATCTAAACGACATCATTGCCATTGTTCTTGCCGCAGACCCCTGTTCATCAACGCAAGACTTATAAGACACATGGGCAAGGCAGAAAAGGGCAATGCGCCAGCATAACTGACGCTGAGATGCCTTTGCCTACATCACCGGCTACCGCGTCTCCTTCCCCTTCCAGTTTCCAGTTGCCGCTATTTGAGCCCCGTTGTCTCTCATTCTTTCTGCGCAAAAAGGAGAATGAGAGAGAGAGAGCGTGTGTGTGTACCTCTGTGTGTGTGTGTGTGTGCCCCGTGTGTATGTGCGCTCGCGCTGTCCTGTCCTGTCTCTCGCTCTCATTCTCCTTGCCCACGTCCACCATGCCCTGGACCTGGACCTGGACCAGGACGACGTCGTACCTAGTCTCTCCCGTCTTTCTCTCATCCTCCACAAAATACCCATCCACCACTATCCACCGACACCCCTGTCCACCCAATCCCATTCCCACATCCGAACCAGGTCCCGACCCAGTTTTCCCACCACCCTCCAAGGTACCTCTGCCTTTGCTGCCAACCCACTTGTCTTCCTTTCCTTACGCGGTAGTAGTACCTAACCTCCTTACCCGACCCGACCCTGGGTGGAGGAACCAAGCCCAGGTACCTTGGGACTGGTCTGGCAGCGGGAGAGACTGAGTGCGTAGTGTGTGTGTGTCCATGTACCTCCTCAACCTACTACCTTACTATGCAGTACCCACGATGGCGTCTCCTCCTTCTCCTCCTTCTCCCTCCCCAAATCACACACCCCCCCTCCCCTTCCTTTTTCCTTAAACACCTCCCCCCCGGTGCGACTCTCTCGCGCTCTCATCCTTTACTACCTACCCCCTCGTCGCCAAAACCTGCGGTCCAGTCTCTGTGCCCTCGCTCGCCCATCCCGCTGCCACCACCCATTTGGTTCACTCCCACCAACGAGTGACCACGCCCACGCGCTGCGACCTTGCCATAGTACTGCTGCTGTCGTTGCCTTTCCTCTCGCGCTCGACCTATTCCTTCCCTTCCTCCCTTCCTCACCCCATCTAAAATCATTAAACCCCCAGACCGTCCTCCCATTCCCGAACTCTTCTGATATCTCTTCTTACAAGATTCTTCTTTTCTTCCATCTCTCTTTTTTATTCTCTCTCCACTTCCCTCTCCCTTCTTCCCTTTCTCCTCGTCGGAGCCGCACATACCTCCCACCCCTTCCCATCTCAACAGGACTGACCACCCCCCCCGGAGGCATATCATCCCTCCCATCGACACATCAGACACTGCTTGTCGCACGCTTGTCCATCATCGCGAATCGACGCGCGCCAGCAAAACCACCACTCTGTTTTAGTCACTTCCAGTTCCTGCGGGGTTCTTCGTCGAGCTTTTCCCTATTGTTTTGCCATTGACGCAACTGTTCGTTATCCTCGACGGCCCTTAATTGATTCGACCCCGTGTTTCCTCTACTGAGACCCGTGGCCGACATCCAACCAAAAACCGCCATCAACAACTCGCCACAGCAGCCTTGAAGGTCTACGCCTGTGTCGAATAACCCATCATTCGCTTGAAGTCGAGTTTGGGTCGTGCTGGTCAACAGTGTGCCAAAAAGTTATTTCCTCCGGGCTGGACTCGAATTTACATCTCACTAAAAAAGAAATCATCAAAATCCAATAACACAAATCCCACCAGGGCAGCGCCTGACAACTTTTGCGATTCCTCGCAAATAAAACCAACATTTTCTTTGATTATCATCGTCGACGGTAGTCTGCCGAACTGATTCACATCCCACGCGAACTCGCTCTCGATCCGGTCAGACGCGACCGACACTCGTCGTCACAAACTTCACACACATCCTAAACAGCCTTCAGGATGTACTCACAACACGCAGCCGCGGGCATGGCCCCCCAAAAACCAGAGACCTTTATGCTGAGCACCGAGGCCCAGCAAGCGCTTCCTCACGACGCTCAGGTTGCTCTGCAACAGGTTGATAACCGTAAGTTGACACCGACAAGGACACGCAGAGTCTTGTTGCCGACTGACACCGTCTCAGTGAAATACTTCCTCATCTCTGCTCCCGTCGACTGGCAGCCCGACCAGTACATCCGCAGATTCCTCCTCCCCACAGGCGAATATGTCTCCTGCGTGCTATGGAACAACCTCTTCCACATCTCCGGCACTGACATCGTCAGGTGTCTGTCCTTCAGATTCCAGGCCTTCGGCCGCCCAGTGAAGAACTCCAAGAAGTTCGAGGAGGGTATCTTCTCCGACCTGAGAAACCTGAAGTCCGGAACCGATGCCTCGCTCGAGGAGCCCAAGAGCCCCTTCCTTGACTTCCTCTACAAGAACAACTGCATCCGAACGCAAAAGAAGCAGAAGGTCTTTTACTGGTACAGCGTACCCCACGACAGACTGTTCCTCGACGCTCTGGAGCGTGACCTCAAGCGAGAAAAGATGGGCCAGGAAGCCACCACTGTCGCCGTCAGCGAGCCCGCTCTGTCCTTCCAGTACGACTCGTCGCAGTCGCTCTACGAGCAGCTCACCAAGGCCCAGCAGGCCAACTCGTCCTCTTTCAACGCCCAGCAGGTGACTTTCTCCCAGTCCCAGTCCACTTCTCCCGTCATGAGGGCCATGGACTCAATGCCTCCCCCGCAGATGATCCCCCAATCGGTGGCCCCCATGGCGGATGGCATGGACGCGATGGTGCCTTACGGAGCGATGGGCATGCCCCAGCCGATGCCTCAGCAGCAGATGGTCAAGAGAGAGCCTGATTTCGGCCGCGTCCAGTACAACCAGAACGGCGTTCCCCTTACTCAGGGTCACCAGAGACACGCTTCGATGCCCGCCTACGGCCTCGAGTATTCCCCCGCTCCTTCCTTCGTCTCCTCTCAGTACGAGGACTACAGCAACCGAGGAATCTCCTTTGAGCCCATCACCCCCCCTCAGCAGGCTCTCGGCATGGCCGCAGAGCCCGCATACATCGCCAACGAGGAGACCGGCCTGTACACGGCCATTCCCGACCACATGGGCGGCAACGTCAACGGTCTCAATGGCATGATGCAGCTCCCCCCCTCCAACCTGGCCGGACCTCAATTCTCCCGAGCCTACGGCGCTAACAATGTCTACTCGGTGATTGAGGGATCCCCGACCTACAAGCAGAGGAGACGCCGTTCCTCCATCCCGCCCTCGATGTCGGCTATCGCCGCTGCGACCGCCCAAGCTCAGGCTCAGGCCGCGGCGCAGCAGCAGCAACACCAGCAGCACCAGCATCAGCACCAGCACAGACCCTCGGATCTCCGGCGGTCGGTCTCTGCATCCGTCGGCCCCGTCGCTGAGGGCGACGAGTCTGCGAACAACTCCCCACCTGGCCTTGCCTACAGCAGCTCCGCCATGTCCATGGTAAGCCAGCAGCACAAGGAGATGCTGGAGATGTCCCGACATGGCACCCCGCTGTCCACTGTCGAGGGCAGCCCAGCACTCAACCCCATGTCCCTTCAGCAGCAAGACTTTTCCCACCTCACCAATGACGACTTGTCGGGTGAGGGTTCTATGAACGGCGCGCCGCGGCCCGGTATGCAGGGCCCCAACGGCGTCGTTCGCAGAGCCCGCTCCGCAACCGTCATGGAACTTGGACCCTACCCCCAAAAGTCCCACTCCTGCCCCATCCCCACGTGTGGCCGCCTCTTCAAGCGTCTCGAGCACCTCAAGCGGTAAGAACCAAATCTTATTTTTCATTTGTCGACTCACCAAAACGACCTGCCTGAAATCTAACCAAAACCTCCAGACACGTGAGAACACATACACAAGAAAGACCCTACATCTGCCCTTATTGTAGCAAGGCATTCTCCAGATCAGACAACCTAGCACAGTATGCCCCAACTTTCCTTGATATCATTTCCTTTGTCGTTTCCTTTGTCAGAAGAAGATGTAAAGAAGAGTGTGGAACAAAAACCCCAAGCGATCAAACCAACGTCCAAGCCACGACACAACACCATCATTATCGCAGCCACCAACGTGGGGAAGAGAGATTTGATGGCGGAACATGGACTGACTTGAATGCTTTTACAGACACAAGCGTACTCATGATCGTGGTGAGAACGGCGAGGCCGCCCTCAACTACTCGGGCGAGGAGGAGGAAGAGTACTCTGGCGAGGACCAGCTCGGTTCTCTCGAGGAGGCTTCCCCCACTTCTGAGAACGCCTACGTCACGGCCTCCCTCAACGGCGTCGCCAACAGCTCGTCGACGCCCACATCGGCCGGTATGGCGCCGTCGGCGTCTTACAACAGCTTGCAGACGCTCAGCATGCCGATGACTATTAGCCAGCCGGCAGTGAACGCGAGCGCCATTATGTGAGACGGCACGTTTTTGAGCTTTTTGGCTCTCATTACGACTGGAGTTACGTTTCCTTCGACACGGTGTTACTTAGAGAGGGCGGCATGGCTATGACTACGGTTCGGAAAGGGTCTGGGACTTTTCTTTTTATTATCATTTCTTCATTCCGTCCAGATATGGATTTTTTCGGCACGCGCTAGCGACTGGACATTTTGCTCCTTTGGCTCCGGGCGATTTTTTCATCTTACCGTATGTTTTTTTTCAACGTGTTCAGCATCGAAGTCTGGCCTTTGGTCCCAGACAAAACTAAAAAGGAAACTCGCACACATAGACACGTATCGAGAGACCGGGAAGATCTCGAGGTGCGTCATGTTGTTGTTGTTGTTGCTGTTTGTTGTTGTTGTACCCATGGAAAAAAGGGAATTTCATGCATGAGCTCAGGGTCGAGATGCGAAGAAGAGAAACGACTCGCACATGTATATATAGTTTGTTTCTTTTCTTTTGCGCTGGAGAGGCATGGTTGAGGAGAAGCAAACTTGGCCATATGGTCAAATGATACCAGGGTTGGGAGGAGAGACCTGTGTCGGGGCTCATGAGAGGACCGGCCAGGCATGTCACGAAGCAGAAGCAGTCTTGAATGCTGATATATGTTGACCACTTGACCTTATTGTGTACGCTTGTGACATGTTTAAGTGATAGGTAACTGCATTCTTGCCCCGGTGGTCAGTTTAATAAAGACACATGCAAAGTTAACGTGAGGGACCTTGAATGTCTGGCCGGCCCCTGCCGAAGCCATGCCCAATTTATTACCGGTCAAGTCAGAGACTACACGTCTTGACGTACCGCGTATAGCAAGCAGTCCTAAATAGCCATCATGACAATGCCGTGCAGTCAGTAGTAAAACTTTTCTCTTTTTTTTTTAAACGCCCCCAAAACCATGACATTAAGCCGCGGCAACCAGTTGTCAAATCACCTTCTCCCACGACCACGACCACCGCCACCGCGACCACCCCTCATCCCCCCGCGCCCGCCACTCCCGGGACCCTCGATACTACGGATATCCCTCTCGCTCAGCTTCAACTCGGCGCCCTTCATCCGCCCGACGGCAGGCCCGTCGACGCCCCTGTCGGCCCTGGCCCTCTTGGCCTTCTTGGGCGCCGCCTCGCGCTCGAGCACGATGCCGTTCTCCTTGGCCTGCCTCCTCCTCTTGGTCTCCCTGTCTGCGGCGGCGGCGTTGATGCCCTTGCGGAACGCCATTGGCATCTTCTCCTGCTTGAAGAGGCTCTTTACGCCCGGCGCGAGGTTCTGCGCGCGCAGGTCCAGTTGGCGCTGGCGCAGTCTGCCTTCCGAAAAGGTCTTTGAGGCGGCCGTCGGGTTCGAGAAGGGCGTTATCGTGTGTCGCGATAGCAGGTGCGATTCGGAGAGGAGGCGCTGCAGCGCGAGGTCGTTTGCGAGCATTGACTTGTCGTTTTCGTCGTCCGAGCCGGCGTCCCCTGGGAGTGTGATTGGTGTTGGTTTAGGGTCTGTTTGGGAGGGGGGTTTCGAGGACTGTTTGTTGAAATTTGTTAGAAATGTCATTGTCTTTTTGGTGTTTAGGGACGAGGGAGAGGAGAAGGGTGTGTACGTACCATGAAGGCTTTGAGCTCGCGTTTGCTCATGCTTGATACCGGGAGCGGCTTGTTGCTGCTGTGATCCACGACCTCGACGACTGGAGTATCGTCCTCGTCTTCTCCGGAGTCGTCCTCTGTGTTTTTCACCCTCGTCAGCATACCCTTTCCTTCGCCATTGAATGTTGAACAATTGACGTACCGTCCCCAGATAACCCATCCCATTCCTCACCGGCCTCCTCGCCGTCCGCACCGACGTCCTCATCCGGGTCCTCATCTTCATCTCCGTCCGTATCATCTTCATCTTCTTCCTCCTCTTCCTCATCCTCGTCGTCGTCACTCTCGACCACGACCTTGGCCTTCTTGGTCTTCCGTTTCGTCTCAGGAAGAGGCTTAAACGCGGCCTCGAAATGCCGTCTGAAAATATCCTGAGCGTCCGCAATCGCCGAATCGTCCTTCTTCTGCTCGTCCTCCTTCACAGCCTTCTTCTTGGCTGCGACTGATGTCGCGGCGGGTTTCCTGCTCGTGATCTTGCCACTCTTTTTCGTCGCCGACGTAGTTGCCTTTGCGCTGGACGGTGCCTTGCGTTTCCCTAATACCGAAGCCATTTCGAGATTATCTGTACCGGTATTCGACGTTTGTCAAAGTGCGAAATCGTGTCGTCGCGGAGATACCGTTCTCAAATCGAAGTGGTCAAAAACACTAAAGACGCTGTTTTACAATTGCGCAGGGTCGGATTACCTCCCGCCAGAAATTTTAGCGGGTGCCCCTCCCCGTTCAATACGTAGCCTCGCCGCTGTGGCTGGGTCCTTCGCTCTAACTGGTCGAAGCGGCTTGGGTGGGGGGTTAGGTACATAGTAGACCCCTTCAGCCTTGGTGGGGATCCCCAAACCAGCAGCTCTCTTATTACTTACTCTATGTCAGTCGCTCCATTTTCACCTAAACTTCGGCCGGTCGTGAAAATCGTGGATCCAGTATAAAAAAAAAAAAAACCCCCGGACCACTGTCAAGTTGACATGAAAATCACTAGACATGAGATGGAAGATCGCACGAGTGGACAGACGAAGGGAAAAAAAAAAAAATTCATAGCACAACAAAACACACCCAAAAAGACAGTCAGATAGACAACCTGCAGGCCATGGTCTTTCCAAAAATCTCATTCGCGCCAAGAATAACTTACGTCCAATTGTGACTTTTGGTTTGTATACTGGATGAAACGAACAACTACAGACGAGGGGGGTGGGACAAGAGAATGCCCGTGGTGTGCTACAATAAAATTAAGGAAATCACAAACACTCCCCCCCCCCCCTTTTAATACGCATTGCGCAGAAGCGCCGAGCTGCGCGCCAATAGAGAGCACCGAGGTCTCACCCGGGCGGGAGGGAAAAAAAAAGAAGAAACGAAAATAACACCAGACTATACAGCTTTGACAAACACTGCTTGCTATCCATCCCGGGAAACCCCCCCCGTTTTCATCGCGTCTTTTTTCCGCTCTTCTTACGCCCCTCCCCCTTAAATCACACGTCGGGCAGCAGCAGCAGCAGCAAGGGCGGGCGGGCTTAAGACCGCGCGGCTTCGAGCTCCAGCTCCAGTTGCCTGATCCTCTCGCTCTGGTCTTGAGATCCGCCCGCATTCACCTTGCGCTTCAGGCCCTCCACCTCGGCCGACAGTTGGCTAATCTTGTCGTTCTGCTTGCCGATGAGCTTGGTCTGCTGCTCCAGCATCTGTCTGATCTGGTCCAATGAGGACTCGATATGGCTAGACGAGCCGGGGGAGGTGGCGGACTGCTTAACCGGGGACGGTTGCGACGTGCTGGCGGGGGACTTGAGGGCGGGAGAGGAGGCCTTGATGGGGGAGGGGATCTTGGCCGGCTCGACACGGGCGGGGGCCGCCGCCGGGACGGCAGAGCGCTGAGCTGGTCTTTGCACCTCCTCGAAGCTGGAGTTGTCGTCCAAGTCTTCCTCCTCGGCCGGCTCGTCGTCCTTGAACTTGGATGCCATGTTGGACATGGAAACATGCTGGTCCTTCATCGAGGGAGGAGGCGAGCGCGAGACCGGTGCGGGCTCCGGCGCAGGCGCGGGTGCGGATGCGGGCTTGGGAGCGGGCTTGGCCGCCGGCGTAGGAGCGGAGGCGATCGTCGCGGGCTTGTACTCGGCGGCCACTTCTTTGGGGGCGGTACCTTCATACACGCTCTCAAGGTCGATCTTGTTGGGGATACCATCCTTGCCCTCGAGCCACTCCTTGGCGCTGACGGCAGGCTTAAGGCCGGTAGCAGGGGGGAAGATATCGGACTGGAAGGTTTCGGCTCTACGGGGGACGGTGAAGGAAATAGGCTCGATGTAGGAGTCGTTGACTGTCTTGTAGGCGCGCATGATCTCATTCTCGTGAACCTGGCTGCTGTTAGACCCTGTGCAATGACTACGAGGCCGCGACGACTCACGTTAATACCACGTCTGGGAACAAAGGCGATGCCTCTTTGGGGCTCCGCGGACTTGTACTCGCTCAGGAACTCGAACTTGTCATTCTCGTACTCGAAGTAACGAATGTTGCCGTCACTAAGAAGCGTGTGTCAGCATGGTACCGGCATCAGAGAACCGTGTAAACCTACCCCTTTCCAGCAAGGTACAGGCAGTTAGATCCGTCATCTGTCAACAGTCAGCATTCGTATCCCACCGGGACCTCCGACGACATTACTAACCCCAGAAGGGCATGCAAACACCCGAGATCGAGTCCAGCATGGTAAAGCCCCCAATGGGCTCGCTGCGGCCGGGCTCCCACAGAGCGATTTGGCGCTCGCTCATTCTCGAGAAACCGGTCGTGGCGAAGCGGTTGTGCTCGCCCATCCACACAGCTCTGCTGTTCTTGGCGCCGGGATGGCCGGGGGCCTCGTGGACGGGCTTCTCCTGGCGCACATCCCACACGCGGATCTTCTTGTCGCGAGAAGTGGTCACCAGCAGCGAGCCGCTGGCGTTCCAAGAAAGACTCTGCACGATATCATTGTGCTTCAGGGTATGGGTGGAAGAGCCGGTGCCAATGTCCCAGAGCTTGATCGTGAAGTCGCCGGACGCGGACGCGAGGATGTTCTCGGCGGCGGGGTTGAAGAGGACCTGTCCGACCTTTCTGTACGACGCTAAATGTCAGTAATTGTTGTTGAAGAAAAGAGGGTGGCGGCGCAACGGACCTCGAGTGGCCAGTGAGCCTGCCGACAGGGGAGACATCGGCGGGCTCTTCGGCATCCGTGTAGAGAGTGAAGTTCTCGGGAACCTCCCAGATGAAGACTTTACCGTCCTCAGAACCGGACGCAATGATGCGGTCGTTGAAGGGGTTCCTGGCACGTGAGCCGTCAGTATGTCGCGTGCGCTTGGCAGGAGGTATGGTATGGGGGGGAAAGCGGTCGCGGGATTGGCGTACCAGTCGGTATCCAAGACGGTGGCGGTATGGCCTCGAAACAGCGGGATCTGGTCGGGAAGCTTTCCCTTCTCGCCCAGGGGAATGACGGCGAAAGCGCCGCCGCCGCCAGCTTCCCAATTGACCGAAAGGTATTCGGGGTTGGCCTAGTAGTAGAGTGAATTGCGTCGTCAGCTTCCTCTCTCTCTCTCTCTCTCCCCTGGATCTCGGCCCATCGGCGTCTCCAGCAGAAGGGGGGCGGCAAAGGGGAGAAAAAAACCAAAAAAGAACACATACCTTTACCAAATTGGTATCCCAGGCATTTCTGCTAATGTGAAGGTTGTCGTAGCAGAATTCCTTACGGGTCGGCTTTCCAAAGACGTGTCCTGGACGAGGTTTTGGGCGTCAGCAGTCAGCTTTCCCCCCCAGCGCAAAGCGCCGGCATGCGACAAGGAGAACTCACGATACTTCGACGCTCGCACAAAGCGGCCCGCCATAAGGAATGATGTATGATGTCAAAGAGAAATAAAATTTATCTGGGACGGAGGAGGAGGGAAGCGGACATGCGGATGATATTCAATGCTGTGTACGAAAGGCAACAAAGCCCAGCGACTCGAATTTGGTGATCCAAAAGGGGAGGATTCAATATAATGGATAGCTAAGAGCTGTTGGCGGGCCCTCCTGCCCCCCCCAAGTGACGAACCCAGCGGCCAGATGAGTGTGGTGCTTCTGGTCCCATCGGTACCTCGTCTTAGGTACCCTTCCCGCCTGCTGCAATTCAGGTCGGGTAGCGAGCATCAATCTAACTGCTCTGATGGGTACGTACCCACTTCACCTTCTGAAGACGGTACTACTGGACATTACGTATGGATACCTTTGGTGAAACTCCCCCGGCCAGCTGCGCCCCCGTGGCTCCCCTCCTTCAGCAGGAATCGTGATGGAGCAAGGGTCCAGCCAAGTTTATGCACATCACAGCTGCACGTGATACTTTTCCTCACCGAGGTGAGCATGACAGATGCCAACTACACATCACAAACAAACATGTTGACAATCCAAGATGCTTGAATGAAAAAAAAAAAAAAAATGAAAATTGAAAAAAACCTCCCATTTTTGTACAATATCATACGTACACCTAACGGGATACCCGACTCTAGAATGATGCTTCTTCGAGACCGTGTACGAATCTAAACAACAGCTCTCAACAATCTCCGGAACTTCCTCCTTGCTTGCCATCAAACCAATGCCTAAACGCCATCCTAGCTGCCAAATTATTAAACATTGGGCGAGGGCGCGCGATGCAGACACAAGCCATTTTTTGTAAGAAAAAGAGCGGACAAGACACATGACCATCCGATCACGAACACCTGGTCCAAGAGAATCATAGATCATGCCGTGTCTCCCGTTTCTTCGTCCTCCCCATTTCGTGCCAGTCGTTGCCAAATCATAAGAAATAAGAAAAGGAAAAAAAAAAAAAAAAAAAGGAAAGGAAAGGGTATCGTTTTAGTTGAAAGTGCTCTTGGTCCGCGAGTGCACCCGCCGGCCCTCGGCGCGGCGTCGCAGCGCCTCCTCCCGCTTGAGGACAAGCTCGCACCATTTGCCCTTGTGGCGAGATCCGCTGCCGTCGTCATCTGCGCCGCCATCCCCGCGGCCAACGACATCGGTGAGTGCTTGCATCCAGCCTTCTTTGTCCTCAGCCGTGTCGGCGTAGAAGTCAATAAGTTCGCCGTTGTTGAAACGGATGCGGAAGCCTTCTTCGACGAACATGTAACCTTCTTCTTCTTCGGCGAAGGCGGATCTCCGGCGTCGGCCGTTCTTGCCGGTAGTCTCCCTCTCGGTCAACGCGCGACGGTCATCAATCAAGCGCTTGGCGTTGGTCAGGTTAATGGTGGCACGAGGTTGGCGGGTAGCCTCGTGGTAAGCGGTCAGCTTGGTGCCAACGAGCTTGAAGTAGCGGCGACGCCAGTACTGCAAGTGAAGTCAGTAAGAGTATTCAGGATAAAAAGACATGGATGTACGTACCGGGCAATCGCCACCCTGTTGGCTCAAGTGACCCTCCCAGTTCTTAGCAAGGCGCTCTTCAGCGGCCTTGATCTCCCGGATGCATGAGTTCATGCTCTTGGGCATGTCCTCGTCAGTTGCACCCTTGGGACGGGGGACGAAAAGGAGCTGAAGCTCCAGCTTTCCAATCTTGTACGGAGCGCGGCGAACAACAGCCGTGTTGCCACGCTTGCTCTTGACGCTGGAGGCGAAAGCAGCCTCTTCCGTTGCCCACTCATTGAAGCAGGCAACGTCAACAACGTAAGGACGACCGTAGCAGCGAGACTCGTGCTCCTTGAGGCAGACATAGGAGCGAGCGAAGCTGCCGTCTTCGGCCGCGAGAGGAGACAGCAGGTCCCAGGCGGTGGGAGCGACCTTCATCTGTCTCGCCTGGGCCTCACGTTGCTGTGCGGCCAGTCTCTCCTCTTCCTCACGGGCGCGCAACTCCATCTCCTTGCGCTTCTTGGGCGACGCAAACACCCTGCTAAAGGTGGACGTCTTGGGCTTGGGGGCCTTGGTGGGAGATTGCACAACAACCTTCTTCGGGATTGGCTTTTCCAGCTTGACGTTGAGAGTAAGCTGGAATTCCAGGTCATTAGGCACAACGAGCTCAAACTCTTGTCCGATGGGAGCGTTGCGCGCAAGCTCCAGCCAGGCAGTTGTCACACAGTGGACACCATTGTCAAGCGTCAAACTAAACCAGGTACGGTCATCTGAGAAGCATTAGCATCTTCTTGGGGTTGTTTCATTGCAGAAAAGCAACTTACTTCGGGGGATGGGGAGGTCCAGGTCCTTGACGCCCAGCACCTTGACGAAGAGTCTGCCGCGCTCGCCACTCTCCTCGGTCGCCAGCTCTGGGTTCAAGTCCTCTTCAGCTAATGGGTTCAATGTGTGCGCGTTGCTCTCTTGTCCAGGCAGGGGTGGCACTGGCCCGCTAGTGTTGGCACGACGACGAATGCTCTTCTGTCTGGGTCTGCCGTTCCAGGGCTCGACGATCCATGACTGGGGGCGATCCGTCTTAATGGGGGAGTTGCCGGCCGATCGTGTCTTCCACATGTCATCTGACTCCTTGTCGCTGGCGGTGACAAGCTTGGTATTCTGACGCATAAGGTATCCGCGCTGAGTTCGAGATTCAATGTTAGCGTTCTGTGATTCAGTTTCTGCTGTTATGATTTTGCGACTGAGTGTGGTCGGCCTGGACGCTTGTCCATCGGCGCTGCCACTCGCAATATGAGAGGCTTCACAAACTTGTTGGGAAAAAACAACCTTTTGTTGTTCGATGACACGGTCAAAGTCTTGGTCGAGGCTGAGACCAAAGTCAAGATCCAGAGTAAGACTGCGCTTCTTCAAGCTTGGGTGACGCTGCATAAGCTCCTCGTCACCAATGTCGGGCGCTCCGGAGAGATCTCTCGAGAGTCTGTTGCGGTGGCGCTCGGGAATAGGAGGGATGTCGGGCACCTCGCGACTAACTTGACGCCGAGCTTCCCTCATGGCAATGATGTCGGATGGGGTGTTGGACGGCCTGGTCTTGAGCTTAGAGCCAGAGGCCTTGATTGTTGCCTGGCGCTCAGGGATAGCTGGCGACTCGAGGGGCTCTTCAGGGATGGCAGGGATGGGCTCCTCGAACATCTCTGATTCTTCTTCTTCTTCTTCTTCTGAGTCCTCAATCGGACGGTGAATGACGGACTCGGGAGTACCGGGTTCATCGTCGTATTCATCCTCCGGTTCTCCCCAGCCAGAACCATCGTACAAAGTTGTGGAGGTCTGCTGGATAGGGGTGGTGGGACGCAGCTGAGATTGGAGGTCGGTCATCTTGGGTGGAGGCTGAAGGTCTTCAAGGTCCTGTGGGGTAGGCTCAGGAGGCGGCGGCAGCATAAACGACTGCAGGCCCTTGGAAAACTCATTATCCTTGCCTCCATCCTTCATCTCAGGCAAAGTAGACTTCAGGTCGGCAGGAGAATCTGTGAACTTCTCTTTGGGCTCAGGTTCGGGAGTCGCCTCCACCTGAGGCTCAGCAGCCTGTGCGGGCTCTGGCGTTGGTTCCTTGGCAGGAATTTCAGTTGGAGACCCAATGGGAGTCTCTGTGGGTGAACTGCTCCCTGTCTTGTCAGACTTGAGCTCCAGAGGCCTTATCTCGGAGCCCATGTCGAAAGACTGGAAGGCAGCTTGTTGGGGGCTGGCAGCGCGGGGCGTCAGGATATGCTCGTCGACCTGAGTGACCTCAGGCACACGAGCCGGTCCATCGGAATAATGGCTCGCGGAGTCGGACTCATTCTCGTCCAAATCGGACCGAGCATAGAAGTCCGTGATGGAGTCAGTCTCGGCATCTGTGTCTTCGTCGCGATGGATGATGACACTGCCTTCCTCTTCTTCTTCATCTTCTAAATCGGATATTTCATCATCATCCAAAATGGAGTCTTCCGTTGAAGGAATAGGGACATCAGGATCAAGAGGCAGAGGGAGGCGACGCTCAGGGATTCCTCTTTCAGGGCTGGAGCTGGGCACAGGAGAGGAGAAGTAATCACCCTGCTGTGTGTTTCCCTCGGTGTTGGCACGGCGGAGGATTGACTCGCGGGAGATGCGTTCCGGCAGCTCATAATCCTCAAGAGCGGAGATGTCACCAACGGCATCGTCTTCCTCATCAGCCTCGAGCATGCTCGACTCGGCGGTCTCGGTCTCAGATGAGGGACTCTGGAACCTGTCGCGCTGCGCACCACGTCGCATACGACGCTCTCTCTGCTGCTCGCTGGCAGACTTGTGGTCGTCTGACAGCATCATAAGCTTCAGGCGCTCCTCGAGAGTCATCTTGCCATTGCCAATGCTTTGGATCTCCGATTTGCTCGAAGCAGCCGGCGGTGGGGAAGGCAGGCTGCGATGGGCGCCCAGCATTCTCTCGGCAGTCGCCGATAGGCCGGGCGACGATCGAGAGTCACGGCGGGTGAGCGAGCCACCCATGCCGGGAAGAGGTGGCAGAGGGCGATGATCCGAAGTGGAGGAGTCGGATCGGACATGCTCCGGTCTACCGAGTGGGCCAGGCTGGGACTCGGGCATGGGGCTACTCTCAAAGGGATCATCCATGCGCTCCGCAGATTGTCTCCAGTCATCGGGGCCCACGACAGGCGTCTTGTCCGTATCTTCGAGGGAAGCATCAAAGCTGTCCTCTCCAATGTCGTGATCACCCAGGTGGTAGTGCTCGTCATCGTCGTCCTCGTCATCCATGGATTCGAAGCTGCCTTCGCGGGAGTTGGATCCGATGGAGGAGATGTCTGGTGTGGCCATTTCATACTCGTTGATTTGAGGGGGAGCAGCGTCGAAGGTGACGCTCTTTGCGTGGCGGTGCAGAGACTTGCCAGAAGGAAGCTCACGGTCGTCGAAAGACGTGTCAGCCGACCAGGTACCGGTTTCGGGGTCGAAGCTGTTCTTGAAGTTGCTTCTAGAGAGCGAAGACTTCATGGGAGAGGTCGGCTCCTTGCCTGGGCTCTTTGGGGGGCTGGAGGGGTTGGCCTGCATTGAGGCGGTAGAGGCCTTGGACGGACTTGTAGCGGGGCTGTAGATGGGGATGCTTGATTTGCTGCTGTTGTTGCGTTGGTGACCGAAGCCTCTGCTCAGAGAATCCGAGGACCGGAGCCCGTTGATGATGGCCGTCGGGGGCGTCCCAGCTCCGCCATAAGCATTCCCCTGGTGCTTAGCGAGAGGGCGCTCGATCTGGGGTATTTTTGTAGGGTCGTACTCCTGCTTCTGCTCGAGAGCGAGGATGTTGCTGTTCTTGACGCGGGAAGCCTTTTGGAGGCGTTCAATAGATGTGCGACGAATCTGAGATGGTGAACCGAGGCTGCCGCCGTATAGACTGTTGCTCTCGGTACTGATAGAATCCAGGTTGCGCTTCTGCCAGAACAACCTAGGAGAGGTGGTGGTCTCCATTGGAGACGACTGGAATGGGGAGGAGTCGGTGTTCAGAGTCATTTTCTGGAGGACTTTTGTTAGAAACTCTAGGCTGAAGACTGTCTTAGACAGGATCTTCTTACCTTGGACTGCTGATTAAAGCTGGGAGAGTTCCTTCTATGGTCTGAAGGAGACAGCTCTGAAAGGGCACGAGGGATAGGGTTCGATGCCTTGGGAGGAGGAGAGCCCGTGGAGCCCTTGGAGATGCGCAACGGGTGCACCTGAGGCGTTGGCGTGTTAGTCGATTGGGCGTTGGGGGAGGGGAGGGGGGCTTCGGGCAGCGATCGGAGACGACTTACAGGTTCCTCTGAAGATGCCATTTTAGATGATGTTTATGTGACGGCGCAAACGCATTTGGGTGCGGAAGCAGCCGCAACAGTAGTAGAGGGTATTGGCGGTTTAATGCTCGAAAAATGAAATTCGGTGGTTAAGCAGGCTCTGCTGCGGTGTGTTCCGGTCCTTGGGGGTTGTCGTGGGAATTCGGAGCGGTTCACACAAGAGACAAAGTGGAAAAACGTGATGCGTGTAGGTTTACTAGAATGAATGTTTGACGTATTGCCTCTTTCTCTCTCTGTCTTTTTCTCTCTCTTTTTGGGAGGGGGGATATATGAATTGCCGTTTAGATTCCGGTCTTGGTCATACTCGAATGTGGGCGAGGGCCTCGGCGGTGGGCTTGCGGAATGTGTAAATGGTCGGCGGGTGGGATGGAAATGTCGGGGGAGATGGAGGGGCGCAAAACAACAGGCAACGCGCACACAAAAAAAAAAGTCAAAAGGCGAAGCTGCCAAAGTGCAGCAACAATAATGGTAGCGTTCCTGACGACGGGAAAAGGTGGTGAGAATCAACAAGAGGGAGCGTAAATGTTGTTACTCGGTGTGGTCGAGTGTTGTTTAAGGGCAGGCGGCAAGAGCAGTTGAGGTTGAGGCGGGAAGGCGGTGATTGGTGCGCGGGACGGGAGAAGTAAACAAACAAGGAAGGCAGCTCTTTGTCGGTGGCGTTGCTCCTGACGACGTTGTGTTTAGTGTGGTTTTTTTTGCGCCTTCCGACTGGCCTTACAGGGAGGTTCGGACGAGGGGTTTGGGCTTTTGGTTGGCAGCCAGTGGATCACAACCACCCATAGCCCGGGGGGGTTCTGCTGCACGTGCCCACTATTCCTGTGACGCTCAACAGCGGTTCAGCATCGTTAGCGAGCGAGTAATGGGCCAATCTATTCCCCAAATGCCGGTGGGTGACCACTAGAAATGCTGGAATCGTACTCTTACAGTGACTGCAGGGAGGAAGAAGCAAGCAAGCAGCCAGAGCACTACCCGGCTGCCCGCCTTTAGCCAGGGGATACCAGGCACATGCAGCACCACCGCACACAGTAGCACCGTGGCCAAGGTGGCTAGTAAACAACATCAACAACAACCACTTGGGTTTTTTTTCTTCCCTGTGTTGTTGTTGAAAACACCTTGATTCGCCGGGCCAACAGCAGCTGAGAGCATGGGTATTGCGCTCGGTCAAGTCATCATGATGACCACCTTGTCGTGTTCCCCCCTGCCAGTTCGCTTCTGCTCGGCAAAGGATGTCGTGCTTTTTCCCTCTCTCCTCTCTATCTATTCTGTCCGTTCCCCATCGCATCGTATCGATTGTGCCGGGGCCTGTTTCTCTGGTGGGCTCTTTAGCTTCTGGGCTGGATGGATCTGTAGGAATCATTGTTGCTTTACATGCTATTTGCCTTGGTAACAATAAACTAGAAGCGCATTGAGTTGCCAGGGGGTACGGATTACGCGTTGCTGTATTCGTATCACCATCTCTCGTCTTTCCCCTCTTTCCCAAGAGACGGATTTCGTCTTGCCGTGTCTTATCTACTACGTAGTATGTGTGGTCTGTTGCCTATCTTATGCAAGCTAGCTGCAGCCATCTGCCTGTCTTTTGGGGGGGTGTAGTAGGAGGTAGTACATGGTGTGTTCCTTGGTTTTGCATTAGGAGGTGTCAGAAACTGTAGTCTTTTTCTTCTTTTTCTCTTTAGTTTGGAATCGACATGGCCGCCATCGAAACTATCTTGTTTGGGGAACTTGGTACTCTGCAGGCTTTGGCTTGTTTTTTTATATTTATTTTGGGGTTTTCACATGTATAGCGTATACAGCAAGCCAAAAGATCGACCGCACTTTTTTGTTTCTAGAAGCTGCACCATCATCGTCCCCGCCCCCGCCGGCGCAAAGCCATGGATTTTCCCAAAGGCCGATATGCGCCGCAGTTGACTCCCTTGTGGTCCTTGTGCTGCCTGTCAAGAGCCCAGGTCCCAACGACTCCAGTCTCTCCCGCGAGCCAGGTGCACCAACTGCCCCCATCTCATCCAATCCCTCTCTCCCTCTCCCATCCAACCCCTCTCCATCCTTCATCCCCCTCCCTCTCCCATCCTCCTCAGCCCCAGCAAGGAGAGAGGGGAGATCGGAGACGAGGAGAATAAACACACCCAGTCCGGAGCACACCATCGATCGTGCATTTACATGTACGTACATATGTACGTAAGTATATCTCGCAGAACGGGGCCCCATACTAATATATAGTGTTTCCTCCCATCTCCTCGTATCGTGCTGTACTGCATCGCCACGGCACTAAAGTAAAGAGGAGACCATTGTGCGTTTGTAACCCCCAAAACTAACACTTTTTTTTTTTATTGAATTTTCATTATTTTTCTTTATTCACACCTCTCACATTCACCTGTCCCTTTCTCTTCCCCTCTTTCAATCTTTTTAGCGCAGCGCCCCCGTTGCCGGTTACACCGGGCTGAAACAAACCACCACTGCCGCTTAATCGCACGGCCGCCCACTAGATGTAACGCCCTGTCATCTCAACAACGAGTTGAGGCGGGTTCCAAGGTTTTATATCATTGCTACCCTGCTGCTCATGTGCTTCTCTACAATGCGACAGCTTTACGCCTGTTGCTTCTTGTTCCACTCCACGCACTCCTCAAGCTTGACACCGTTGCCACCGAAACAGTCGAGCGCGCTACCGATCGTCAGGTCCACCTTGCCCTTGCTCAGCTTCTTCACCATCTCCAGGTCCTCGAGGTTCCTGCCACCACCTGCGTAGGTCACAGGCAGGCTGCACCACTCAGCCAGCCTCTCCACAAGCTTCTCATCGATGCCCTTTTGCAGACCCTCGTTGTCCGCTGCGTGAATTAGAAACTCGGAGCAATACGGCTCCAGCTTCTTGATGGACTCTAAAATTGGTTGAACAAGTTGTTTTTGTCAGCCACTTACTCTTACTCTTTTTTTCTTTCTCTCTCGCTCTCTCTCAAATACACCTCTATGATCGACATGACCAACCTTGATTAACTTCCATGTCCGTGATGGTCTGCCACTTGTTCATGGCCACAAACCAGCTGTCGTCCCCGCGCCTCCTACAGCTGAGGTCGATGACAAGCTTGTCCCTGTCACCTCCCAGAGCCTCGAGAACGGCATCCAGCCTCTCCTGGCTGAATTGACCGTCGGGGAAGAGGTAAGAAGTGATGATGACCTTCTCGGCGCCGGCCTCAATCCACTCCTTTGCGTTCTTGTCGTTGATGCCTCCGCCGACCTGCAGCCCACGGGGCCACGCCTTGAGCGACTCCCTAGCAGCCTCGGTGTTGCCGGGCCCCAACATAATCACATGGGCCCCGGTGAGGTCATTGTCCCGGTACAGCTTTGCGAAATAGGCAGGAGGGTGCGTCGACACGAAGTTGGTCTTAAGCTCCGACGTCGTGCTGTCCAGCGTGCCGCCGACGATTTGCTTGACCTGCCCGGCGTGCAGGTCTATACACGGTCTGAATCGAGTCATCTTTTTTTTTAATTTTTTGGGGGGAGGGGTTGGGTGGTGTATGTGGTTTGTTGAAGGAGATTCTCTCTTGCAGTGCGTCACGGCCCGCCGCCCACTGAACCCCTCCTAGTTCAAGTTTTGATGGTGGGGTCGCCCCGGTACCGGCCTAACCATGGGTCTGGGAAAGGTTGAGCGTTGCCATCTTTGAGTTGCGCCTCTTGTGTTGTTTTCAGTCGTATTAAATGAGAAAAGGGCCAATTGAGTTGCTTTGGATATACAGCATACATTAGAGTTGAAATATCTCATGATAGTCCATTGTGGACAAGTTTGGCGCAGTGTAATGTGCTACTGCTGGTGGCCTTGTGTTACAAAGTGACATTGCCTGAACCAACTTGCGACCTTACCAACCCACGACCTGACCACCAAGTTCTTTGTCGTCAATCAGGAAGGCAACACAGGCAGAGAGTTCTTTCCATTGTTATTGTTCAAAACACGCCAGGCCCAACCACACTGAATACATTCAACCCCACTACATCTCAATTGATACTAGTAGCCCAAATCTTCGGCTAAACTCAACGTCACCGGCTGTGTGTTCTAGTGGATTATGATTTCTCGTTCACAAGTATGTGCACTTGATCCCGAGAAGGTCGCAGGTTCGAGCCCTGCCACGGTCATAGCACTTTACCTTTTGCTGTTTCTCACCAATCAGGTTTTTGCCCACAGTCATTAGACGTAAGCTATCCGCAAAAGAAGAAGCAATAGCCATTACAATAACTCAAAGGTTATGTTCTCAGTCATTCTCTGATTAGTCAAGTGCGAGATGCTAGCATTCTGCCGTCGATTCAAAGGAGAGAGGTATTAAATATAATAGTTAATAGTTAATAGCCCACTATGAGCCGCCATCTACGCTTACAAAGTACATCTATCTAGACAATACCTCCACTGGATTTAACCCATCCACTTCATACCAACACATCTGGCTCATTTTCCCTCTGACATGATCCGTCGCTTATCCATACAATCCCACGCCCATCCAAGTCTATCCAAGCAGAACGTCCACGCGGTCTCTCGCAACAGCATCCCAGACCTTCTGCACAACATGTCCCAGACCTCTCCGGTAGCAAACACCGCCAACCCGCTCCACCCATAACACATTCACAAAGTCGACAATCTCGTCCTCGTCCATGTTGTCCCGGAACGCTTCGGGGTCGAAAACGTGGCTGCCGCCCCTCTCACTGGCCGTCGAGATGGCAATAAACTCCAGCTTCTCCTCCCCCGTGTGGTTCGCCCCCTGCAGGCCCAACCAGCTGTCGTGCGCCGTCACGTTGCCGCACCACTTGCCCGACCGCGACCAGATGTTGCCGATCGCCAACGGCACGCCGTATCCCCTCCCCGGTCCGACCGCCCCGGCCCCCGGACCAGCACCGCCGCCGCCGACTCCCATCCCGGCTGCCGCCGCAGCACCCTTGCCTTCGGGCGGAGCGCCGTTCCTCGCCGTCGCGAAATCAACCTCGAGATACGCAATGGTAGTACTAAACGACAACAGCGTCGCGGTCATCGAGTAATCCCCCAACGGCGCCGTCGCCGCATCAAGGCCCCCCATCTCCCCGACCGGCACAGGGTACCTAAACAAGACCTCCGGGTCTCCGGCATACCTGAACCCGCCGCCGCTCCGCGACCATCCCGCAGGCAGAGGTAACGTCCTCCTGTGCCTCCGGTCACGGAACGACAACCCATCATTCGGCAACCTCGTGTACGTCGCGCGGTCCGTAAGCTCGTAGTTCACCAACGGCCGCAACCTGAACGCATAAGGGCTCCTGAACCGTCTATCCCCGCCGCCGCCGCTACCGCCGCGTTTCGCCCCGCCAGACGGCGGCGCATCCTGGACATAATCCGTCGCCGCGCGCCACAGCGTCATATCCGCGGGAACCCCATCGTAATGCCAGCCTAACCAGCTCCACGACGGCAGCGGGTTCATCCCCGTGACGGGCTGCAACATGACGCGCCTCCTCACCATCGCCCTGGGCTGCCACAGCATCGCGATATCCAAAAAGCAGACCGGCATGCCGAACACGAAACCGCCGGCAAACGACGTCGACAACACGTTCGTGATGCCGCGCAGCGCCCTTGTGGTGTCCGACATGAGCGTGACCCGTCTCGCGCTGTAATCCATGGCGATACGCGCGTACTCGTCCATGTCCGGCCACACGGGGTGCAGGAACCCCGTCCTGGCCGGGAACGTCCGGTGCAGACACTGCTGGTTCTTGCCGCCACCGCCGCCGCCCTTGAGAATCTTGCTGAACCTGCCGCCGACACCGCCGCCTGCGGGCGATCCCTGCCACACCTCGCAGTGACACTCCCACGTCACCGTCTCGTCGAACACGAACAGCTTGCGCCGCGAGTACATGCCCTCCTGCACCGTCCACGCCCGCGTCGCCCACCGCGACGATAGGACCATGTCCTCGTGCCTGCCCCTCCCCGGCGGCGGCCTCGGCGGGGGCGTCTTCCGCATGAGACCCGACAACCCTGTCTCGGCGTCCCCGGACGCCGCGACGATAGTGAGGTAGGCGTTGGCGAACACGTACGCCATGTTCCTGACGTGCTCCTCCCTCTCCACGTCGTCGTCCTGCACGATACAGAAACGGTCGACCCAGAGGTACTTGATCCCCAGCTTCCTCGACAGCCACATGGCGTCCAGGATCGTCTGCGGCATGTCCGCGTCGTCCATGCTGGCCGTCAACATGTCCAGGTTCTCCCTCAACGTCTCGACGGGGCCCCGCGTGCTCGGCAGCGGCGGTTCGTACACGTAGCTGAGGGCGATGTACCGATCCGTCGCGCGCGCCCGCACGAGACACCGGTTCACGGAATCGATGAGCCACAGCGGCCGCCACGTATCCCCGGGAGGACCGGAACAGTGGTCGCCGTGCTCGGCATTGCAGGAGTCCAGCCACTCGCGGACGCGGGCGATGGGGTTGAACTTGCCACCGACGCTGCTGACGGCGCCGGCGCCAGCGGCACCGGTGGAGGCGGAGGAGGCGCGCCGGGAAGGAAGCGTAGACCCGACGGGTTCCTTCGCCGTGCGCGCCGCCCACGTGTTCATGAGCCGCTCCGTGATGCTTTGTCGTTTGTTGCCCCCGCCGTTGACGTGGCTCTCGTTGCCCGGCGCCGTCTGCCGCCGGACGTAGCTCGGGTCCGCGATGACGCTGTGCCGTTTTGTATCTCTGAACGGCGGGCTGTCTCTGTCGCGGTCACGCTCGCTGTCGCGGGACCTGTCTTTCTCCCGGTACGTGTCCCGATCTCTATCGCGATCCCGCGATCTGTCTCTGACTCTGTTCCTGTCTCTGTCCCTGTCTTTTTCCCTGTCCCTGTCCCTATCTCTGTCTCTGTCCCGGTCCCTGTCTCTTTCACGATCTCTGTCACGGTCTCTATCACGATCCCTGTCGCGATCCCTCGGGATATCCCTATCCCTATCTCTATCCCTATCCCTGTCCCTGTCTCTCTCCCGCTCACGATCACGTAGATCACGATCACGCAGATCACGTTCACGCTCACGCTCACGCTCCCGCTGCCTATCAACACGGACGTCTCTCTCTCTGCTCCCGCGATACCTAGGTTGCGGCTGTAAAGGCGTAGGAGCCGGCGGTGGTACAGGCGCCTGCTGTTGTTGCTGTGGATGTCGTTGAGAAGGGGGTGTCGGCGGTATATACCCTCCGACATCATCCTCATCCGACATTGACGACGCAGAAGATACGTCGTCTGGTAAAGTCGTCGGTCCCCCTCCACCACCACCACCACCTCCTGGACCCTTTGCCGCCGGACCGCTACCGCGGGCGGACGGGGACGTGTGGTCCATCTAACGCGAGATATGCGACGAGCGCAAAACGCAAAAACGCAAAAAGGGAAAGAATATACTAACTTTCAACCAGAAAGTGTCGAAATATGCAGGGCTGCAAAGCCAAAAACCCCCAAAAAACTATATCAAAAAAAAATTAAGCAACCAAAAAAAAAGTGACGGCGCAGCGGCCAAGCCGGACTTTTTTTTCCTTTGGAAACAGCTTTTTTGCGCGCGGGCGCGGGCGCGCCTCTGCGCCGTGACGTCCCCAAAAACTTCGTTTGGGGGGATTAAGAATCAACCGTGCGTGTCGTAGACGGACGGGCAGGACAGGTAAAAAAAGGGTCTCTCTTCTCCTTACTACGTATAGAAACGTCGAGCGTTGATCGCCAAGTCGACGTAGTTATTGTTTTCAATGTCGTCGTTTCCCGTGGCTGAGCAAGGCTGTGGCCCTTTTAAAACACTCCTCTCCCAAAAGGCAGAGCGGGATAACCCCCGGGGGGAGGGATCGGATCGACAGGCGCAATAGCATCAATGTGTAGCGCCGATGAATGCGACCTGTTTTCGATAAAGATGAGATGGGTTTTGATGAGAATTGGGCGAGGTATGTGTTTTGCGACACATGAAAAATAAGTGAGTGAGAGAGAAGAAGAATGTGGCAGATTGGTCTGCGACACGCGGCTACCCTACTTCATCCCACCCCTCACTTTCTCTGGTCTATATCCAGTGAGACGACGACCAACAAGCTGAGGTGTGAGGTGAGGTGAGAGAGAGAGAGACAAGAGGGCGGGATGAGAGATGAGAGGTCGGCGCTCCGCCACACACACACACACATACTCACACCCTCTCCCGCCCCCGGCCACACCCAGCTTGTCATCCAACCTCAAATCGTTCCCCAGCCCCCTCTATTAACCAAATTAAACCACCTCAGAGGGGGAGGGGAAAAACATGGCTGTACAAAATAAGGTAGCTAGCTCTCTTTTTTTTTTTTTTTTTTGCTCCCCTGCACTAATTACGATTGACACCCAACCCTACAGGGCCTTTCCCTACTCCATTCTCAGGGAGATTTAATAAGCCAATAGTAACACCACTACCGCCGAATCGGGAACACCTTGTCAATCGCAATACGGGGGGTTGTTGTTCACGACTGACAGACTATCTGACATACATACAGACAGACACATAGACACATACAGACACACATCACGACATCCGGGACGCTTCGGTCCGTGCCATCATCTCTGTCACGTCTTGGCATCGTTGGAAAATGCAGCTTTGGTCAACCAATACATCATGCTCACATCTATTAAAATACATTTGCTTGCTAGTCTAACAAACTTGCGACAAAAGGTCTTCTGCCACAACGAACCATGGCATAATCCCTCTTTTTTTCTTTTGTCGCCATCCACCCTCTCCCCCTTTCCGACTGCCTCTGCCTCTGCGGCCCAATTTTTGGCCCATGGTATTTGTTTGTATCGAGTGCCGTCCCGCCGTAACCTTTACACGTTCCAAAAGCCTCCCAACCCGTTACGCCTGTAAATGTGCAGCATTCTTTGAAAATGGCATTGTAGTCGTTGAGCCCAGCTGGTGTTTTGCACCCGATGAACCCTGGACATAACGCCATGATATTGCCTTGCATCAAAACCCCATTAAAAAAAGAGAGAGAGAAAGAAACAAACAACCACTCTCAGAGTTCATTAAACATGACCTGCCGGTGGCCGCTGAAACATTGAAACCAGTGACTCCGTCTCGACTACTCTTCATCGCTCTGAGCTTCGTTGCTTCCTCCGTTTGCTTCCTTGGCACCGTTGGAAGACGAAGAGATGAGCTTGATTCGAGTGCCAGACGTCGTTGGCTGGGGGGTTCCTGCGCTCACGCTAGCGCTCGCGCTTGGTGCTACAGAACCCTCCTTGCCTCCGTCACCTTCAAGCTCCCGCAACTCGGGATGCTTCTCGAGCTCCTTCTCGAGCTCTTCATGGAAGAATTTCTAAACTAGTGTTAGCGTGGCTGACTCGTTTGATCGAGATTTTTACAAATGTTACTAACCTGAAGGACCTGGGCATCCTGGTAAAGCAGCGATGCCTCCTCGTTGTAGGTCTGGCAGTTGTTGAACATCAAGTCGACATCCTTGCGCATGTCGCTGAGGCTGTGGTACTGGTTCTTCTTGATCTTGACCTCGATCTGCTTCATCGAGATGGGATTTTGAATGATCAAGTAGTAGTCGGCGTAATCGCGCTTGGGAGGCAGCACCAGGAAGGGTCCAATGATGATCCGCTTGCCTGACACCGACTCGTCGTCGTCCTCCTCTGGCGGCTCAGGTTCATCGACTTCGAGGTTCATCATGCCGTCGTACAAGGCACGCAGGCTGGTCTGCAGCACTTGCCGCTGCTGAGGCGATACGCGCGGCGCTTCAGCCCCCGCCGACACCGATACTGCCTTTGGCCTGCCTTGCGGACCGCGACGCTTCTTGGCAGGCGGCTCCTCATCGCCCTCCTCTGCCTTGCGCTTCTCCTGGTTCTTGCTACCGGGCTTGCGACCTCTCTTCTTGGGAGTCTCGACCTCTTCCGTGCTAGCACGGCTGGGTACTGGCGACGCCTCGGCAGCGTTCATGATGGCCACCTTCTTCAGCTTGTTGGTCTCTCGCTTGTCTTTGCGGGCTTGCTTTCGTGCAGCTGCGGCCTCCGGAGAGTCGTCATCGTCATCAACAGCCATGAGCCACTGCTCTTCAGTGAGGCCATCGTCGTAGCGAACCTTGGTACGCTCACGGGCTCCACGTCCCAAGCTGGTCTCCTGTTCCTCTTCCACTGGGATACCATCGCCGAGGTAGATGTCCGGAAGTTCGTCTTCAGCCATCAGTCTAGGCTTGCCCTTGGAGCCGGATCCGTCGCCGTAGATTGGGTCCTTCTTCCGCTCTTCATCAAGCTTCTGGAAAACGGTAACTTCATCGTCACTGCGAGCCAGGAGCAGGTTGAGCTCCTCATCATCCATCTCGTCCTGTTCGCCCGTTTCCGCCATGTCGGCGGTTTCTAGCAGCGTGCGCAGCATGGCGTCACGATCCGTTTCGGTAGACTTGTTGTCGAAACGACCGGCTTGGATGACCTTGCCGTCCATGTCAAGCTTGAACCTGGCTCTCTCCAGAATCTTCTCTTCGACCGAGTTGGAACTGATGAGACGCAAGATTCGCACTTCGTTCTTCTGACCGATACGATGCGCACGATCTTGAGCCTGCAGATCCTGATGGGGGTTCCAATCGGAATCGTAAATGATGACGGTATCGGCAGTCTGCAGGTTCAAACCCAAACCACCCGCACGAGTGGAGAGCAGGAACATAAAGTACTCAGAGTTGGGAGCGTTGAACTCGCGCAAAAGATCGGAACGCTCGTCTGACTTGGTCGTACCATCCAGACGAAGATACTTCATGTTGCGGTATCTGAGGTAGTCTTCCATGATGTCCATAATGGCCGTCATCTGGAAGAACATGAGCACACGGTGGCCGGTTGCCTTGTACTTGGGCAGAATCCGGTCCAAAAGCTCAAATTTACCAGCCGTTCTCCACAGCAAGTCGTTGCTGACGCTCATGGGGTTCAACAGGTTTTCGACCTCGTCAAACACAAACGGATGGTTGCAAAGCTTTCGGAGCTGCATAATCATGTTGCTCAAGCCACGAGCACCCGTCTTGCCGCCCTGTCCATCGCTGACAAGAATCTTGTTGTGGGTGACCATCTGCTTGTAGAGCTTGGTTTGGAGAGCCGAGAACTTGCACTTGATAACCTTTTCTGTCTTGTCTGGGAGGTCCTTTTCGACGTCCTTCTTCAAACGACGAAGCAAGAACGGACGCAACACCTTGTGAAGACGGCGAATGACGAGAATCTGCTCTTCTTCCGTAAGGTCCATCTTGTCTTGACCACCAGTGTTGGCGAAAGGCGTGTTGAACCATTCGTCAAAGGTCTTTGCAGACTTGAAAATGGTGGGGAGGGTGAAGTTGAGCATAGCCCAAAGTTCAGTAAGGTTGTTCTGCAGCGGGGTACCCGTAAGAATTAGACGGAAGCGGGTGTGGTAGTACTGCTGGATGGTGGAGGTCAACTTGGAGTTCTGGTTCTTCATACGATGACCTTCGTCAATGATCATGTGGAACCACTTGATCTTGCTAAGAATGGGGCGGTCCTTGATAATGTACTCGTATGTGGTCAGCAGAACCTGGAAGCGTCCTTGACGGATCTTGTCCTGTTGCTGCTTTCTGGCCAAGGGAGGGCCCTTGTAGACGATCTTGGTGACAGACGGTGCCCACTTCTCGAACTCCAGAGTCCAGTTGGTCAGCGTACTCAGCGGCACAATAACCAGGTAGGGTCCATCCTGCTTCTTGCGCTCAATGAGGTACGTCACCAAACTGATTGTCTGGATGGTCTTGCCGAGACCCATCTCGTCAGCAAGGATACCGTTGAGGTTGTTGTTGTAGAGTGACAACATCCATTGCAGACCCTTGATCTGGTACTCCTTGAGAGTACCACCAACAAGAATATTGGCCTGCTCAGTGACCTCTTCCTTGATGCGATGGGCAACAGCGTAGTAGTCGATTTTCCGTGCGCTCTCCTCATCGTCGCTATCCACCTCGCTCGGCTCCTCTTCCTCTTCTTGGAGGTCCTCATCACCGAATTGCTCTGCTTGTGCCTTCCTCTGCTGGGACTTAACTGAAGCAGCAAGTTGACGCAAGAAGCCATCGGTCTGTCTGAGAAGGTGAGTGATACGAGTATCCTTGGCTTCGTCGAGCAGCTTGAGATACGCCTCTTCATCGTTGGCCTTAAGAGCTTGCAGACGCTGCTTGGCAGTACGCTCAATCCTCTTCTGTTCTTCCTTCTCAATGTTGTAGTGTTGAGCAAACATGAGCTTGTTAAGCTTGGTGGATTTGTTGCGTTGGTTGAAAGCGGTCTGCTGGATCTCGTTTCTGTGTTGCGTGATGGCCTGCAGGAAGTCGGTATGTCTCTTCTTCTCACGGTTCTCCCGAATGTCGCGCTGTTGCTTCTCAAGCTTCTCAGTGATTCTGGCCTCGCGGACAGTCATCTTCTTCGTGCGCCTGTAGCCAGACCGGTTGGTTGTCATGGCAAGGTTGTCGTAGAACATCATAGAACGACCAATCTTATCGCGCAATGCGCGTTGCTTGGCGTAAAGGCCCAGACTCTTCATCTCGATAATGGACTTCACCTTGGCACTGTCGTCGACTTCGACGTTGTCTTTGGTGGTATCCCAGTGAGCAATGTTCGCCGGGGTGGCTTTCAGCTCAGCATAGCGATCCTTCATACGGTTGAAGATGATCAGTTCCCGTTCGTATCTGAGTTGCTCAAAGTCAACTCCGGTAGGGAACAATCCGGGAATGAGCTTGCGGTTCTTGCGTTGCGTATGTTCAAAGTGGCTGATAGACTTGCGAACCAGCGTAGGGTCACCGTAGGGAGATTTGACATTCTTGAACGTCGGTCCCTGGATCTCGGGAGGAACTTCAGGCTTGGCATCAGCACCATTGGGACCAGGCTGAACAGAGTCGCGAGAAGGCGCCGCTGGTGTTGATGAAGCGGCCTGGGCGGCAGCCTCAGCAGCGATGGCTTTCCGACGCTCACGCTGAGCAAAGATGGCCTGCTGCATGGGCAAGGGCACACCGGAATTCTTTGTTAGCAACTTGAAAGCATGAATCTGCTGACGAAGCAGGCTCAGCTGCTGAGGGTTGAATTGACCAGCGCTCGGGCCACTGGACGGAGCAGCTGTTGACGGTGAGGCAGCGGCGGCGGCATTATTTGAGCTCGAAGCGGGCAGCGCGGAGGCGCCGAGCGCAGATGACGGGGGTTGTGTCGACTGAGGCTGTTGCGGCTGTTGTTGCTGTTGCTGTTGTTGCTGCTGCTGTTGATGTTGCTGCTGCTGATGCTGTAGCTGTTGAGCGCCATTGACAGCGCCGTTCGGGCCAGCCTGCTGCATTTGACGTTGCTGGTGCATCTGTTGCTGCTGTTGCAGGAATTGCTGTTGTTTTTGTCGCATACGGGCTTGTTGTTGGAATGACAGGACAAACTGCTCTGCCTTGATGTATTCGGGATCCGTGTTCGGGACGCCACTCTCTCTCATCTGTTTGAATTTCTTGAAGATGTTAGCATGATCCATCGACAACAGCAAGATAAGTCATCAAGGGGATGCAGATCCATCAAAGGACAATGGCTAGAAGGGGTCTTACATTGAATATCTCTTGAGCCTGTTGAGGAGTGGTGGCCGCCATGCCGGCGCCAGGAAGCTGGACGGCAGGCGCTGCCTGGACTGAAGCCATGGTGGGCAGTGTGTTCGCTGCAAATCTATCGACTGCTGGAATCTCTAGAAATACAACGGCTATCTCGCGCGCATTATCATGCAAAGGCACTCGTGTAGTTGCACAAGTGGAGCCGTATTGAAGGTTGGTCGCGCTGGGCTCGTCGCGAAATGAGAGACTAGAATGCTAACAGTGGTAGTGACGGGAAATGCGTCGCGTCGTCGTGGTGATCGAAGCTTGGGGGGCGGCGACGTCGGGTCGGGGGAGAAAGCGCGATGCAGTTGGCGGACGGATGACACGTCGGTCGCGTGGAAGTAGTTCACCGAGATGGAGGATGGAGTCCAGCCGCGAAATGTAATGGGGATGCGGTGCCGCGAAAGCGTGGGGGGGAAAAAAACAGGTCGAAGGGGGAATCGCGGGTGAGGCGAAAAATGCCACTTAGGGGGTAAAAGGCGCGGCGTCGGGGCGTTGCCTCGAGCGGGATGCGCGAGGAAATCGCGTTGAAAAGGTTGCTGAACACTTTTCGAGATGGGTGTCGATGCCTGTAGAGGGGGTTTGGCGATTTTTCGATGCGCGCGGTGCCGGTTGAGATGGAGAGGTGAGGACAACGACAAGATTCATTGATGGTTGGTGCGGTCTGTGAAACGCGGTCCCCGTAATTTTCAGCACAGCAAGATATGGATGCCTGAGGCATGAGACGCTAAGCTGATTATGTACAAGCGAGGGTGCTCGGACCATCTTTTCTTACTTCCGCTGCAGGCAAAAACAGGCAGGCACTGGATGGCGACTGGCTGGCTTCGGGAACTACCTGGGCCACAACACGCTTGTGCCGTCCACCCAATAATGTCAGAGTGCCAGATCCTCGCCGCTTGGCAGCAGCTGCCGTTTTGCTCCCAGTCCCTTCCTACTTACTAAGTATGGTACGGGTACGTAGTAATCAAGTAAGGTACGCATACCTTCCGGCAAGGGACGGTAAGAAGGAGGAAGGAATGGGGGAAAAAAAGAAGGTCAGGTCCCATCTGACTAGAGCGAAGCGCGTCATTCCATCTGTTCCTTTCTCTCCAGTCGCGTCCCCCCTTCTTCCTTTTTTTTTCCCCTTATGCAGAAAGGGACCCTGGGGCCCTTCCCGGATGAGTTGGCCGTGGCGGGGATGTCCACACAGCTGCAAGTCACTGTGCTTGCCTGTCGCCCTGCTGCGTATTACCATTCGAGGGCTATTGCCAGCGAAGCTAATATGAGAGACGAACAAGTGGAGAGACTCTTGTAAAAGCAGGCCGCATAACTCGGTCGCCATTTACATCTCTCCAATGTCCCCAGGTTTTAGCCCCCTCCCGCCCCTCCCCTCAAATTGTTGACGAGCTACTAGTCACCCTGGTCCGAGCCATCACCAATTGACCCTTCCTTTCTTTTCAGGGAGGGCAAAAAATGAAAATAGTAATAAACAATAATCCATACACCTGCTGTGGATTCCCCGCGGGGTATCGACACACATCTTTAGCGCCGGGTTTCTCACCTCTTCGCCTTCTTTTTGTCTGGTCCTTCTTCCTCATCGCTCAAATTGGCGTACTGGGTAACAGGCTGCGTTTCCTTCCAAGCAGCAGTAAACATCGGGTCCTTTTGCGCAGCGTCGGCGTATTTCAGCAGCGCCTCTCGAGGATCTTCGTGAAGCATCTTGGCGAGGGGAATATTTTCCGCAATGTGCTTCTCATCCGGTTGGTTCCTCATAAACGGTGTTTGCTGAAGCACTGCTGGTCGTCTCGGGTCCTTGGACTTGCCAGATGCCGTCACTCCTCCCGTTCTCCTGCCCGCCATCGCACTGCCGGGGGTGACGATAGAGTCGCCCGAAATTCCTACCGACATGTCCGTTGTGCGGGATGGGTCGTCGTCGATATGCCGCTTCTTCGGCGCTCGTGACATAACTTCGACGGCGCCTCGTGTGGACATTGTTGGATTGTACAAGATATGGGTCTCGCCATTCGCCGATCCCGTGACGATTTGGTTGATCTTGGGGTGCCAGTTCACCGTGATGAGGGGAGCTCCTGGCGTAATAGGCGTGACATGTTCGGGGCGTAAGTTTCCGGGGTTCAGGATGTGCAGTTCGCCCGTCGCAGATCCAGTCAAAATGCTCGTCGAGTTTGGCGAGTACCGGATGTTGCTCATCGGGAAGTGGTCCGACGTCGAAGGGTGATCCACCGTAACCAGAGGTGTTTTGAATTTGCGCGTATCCCACAGCTTGATCGTGTTGTCTCCTCCTCGAGTAACCACCATCCGGCCGTCCGAGGAAATGTCAAGGCCTCCAGTCCAGGTATCCGGCTTATGGGCGTCGCGAATCTCGGCGGTGGGTCGCGAAAAGGGGCTGTTGCCGCTGTACATAACCAACGAGCCATCCAGAGCTGCGGCGACGAGCACGTTGTTGCCTCCTTGCACTGGTGAGCCCCACGCAACCGCTGTCATTCGTGTACGGCCCGCGGATCCCGCCGCCTTGGATTTGAAAACAATCACGTCCTTCTGGCTGCGCTTGTTGTTAATATCCCAGATTCTCAGCGTGCTATCAGTGCCGGCAGTGATGCAAATGTTCTTGTCGGCAGGATGCCAGGTTCCCGTCGTGACCTCGGAAATATGACCCTTGGTGTTGTTCATATCCCGAAGATACATGTCGCCCTTGACAAATTCGGTCAAGATATCGCCGTCCCTCGACATAATCTTCGCTTGCGGATGCGCCGATACGCAGAGAAAGACGCTGCCGGAAAGGGGGTTGAACTCGACGTGGTGAATTGGGTGCGACTCAGCGCTTGCGGCAGAGGCCTTCGTTTCCCATGGGTCGACACTTCGGAAAGCTCGAAGCGTACTCGGTGTCATGGACGCAAAATCGTGTAGGTTAATCTTGCAGTCGAGCGAGGCTGACACGAGTCGTCCGCCGGCCGGGTCCAGCGTAACCGTCGTCACCGCTCTTTCGTGGGTCTTCAGGACCAGTTCGTGGGAGACGGGGTATTCGTCGCCATCATCCGAATCGTCCGAGTCGGAGTCGGAGTCGCTGTCACTGTCATTGTCTGAGTCGGATTTCTTCTCGTTCTGATCAGTTGTTGGCGGACCTGCATATCCTTCCTTTGAGCCTCCCGCCGACGGCTTCTCCGCAACTCTTCGGCTTCGGTCAATCTGGGCGGCAATGTTGGCTTCTTTGGATTTTTTGCCAAATGCAGCTGGGAGGAATGCCCGCATGGGGTCGTCTTCGGCAAGCTCAGGCCCTTCGACCACGAAATCTTCGTCGTCGCTCATTGTGACGGCTGTGTCGGTAACGAGGAGGTGTGTCAGAGGAGAGAAGTTTGAGAGGGGAAAGAACAATGGGAATCCACGATCTAAACAGAGCGACTGGAGCACCAGATGATGGGGTGATGTCAGGCAGGAGCCGTTGGGCAAGGGTCCTCGCTTAAGCGAAAGTTAGCGTTGCGCTAGGTATGGATCGGGCCATAGCGCTACGTGATCTTTACATCTTTTTGACTTCCTCTCTTTGCATCGCTCTGAACTTTGTCAATTGCCTTTTTACCGCTTGAAAGAGCAATAAACAGGGAGCGTGTCGCATTTAATTACACTTGGGTAGCTTCGTCAGTAGATTGGGTTTTTTTTTTTTTTAATGTTCCTCGCACCTTGTCAAAGGGGGAGATGGTTGCTGTGGACTTCAATGAAGGACACCCTGATCCACATGTTTCTGCAGCACCTGAGCACAGATCCCTGAACTGTCGAGACACTTCATCTCGATACCGCAAATCCGCGCTCATCCTCCGACATCATACCTCTCGCGAACCATAAGTACAAAGTGCAAAGATGATCCGAATCTCACAGTTCTTTTGTGTCCCGCGTACCATAATTGTGTCCTCTTCGAAGAACAACCGCCCGGGTGACTAATTGGCATTGACAGGACTTCAGGTCCAAGTGCTTGTTGCTGCTCATACACTTTCCATGAACATCAAACACACCCTTTTCAGTTGGACAGTTGAAGGCAGAAAATTAACACCAGTTTCCTAATTATTTATACCTAAGGACTATGACTATACACAACGAGCAAGAAACAATCTGGGGTATGCCACTCAACTCATCTGTCTGCAAGTTTTTGGTGCAGCTCTGAAAGAGAACGCCAAGATGATAATCGCATTCAAAAGTGCGACCGCGCCAATATACGCCTGGTTCCCAAGCACGAATACATCGACCACAACTTCTGCCGTGGTAGGTTGAGAAAAGTTGCCCACCACTAGCTGCGCCGCCCCGTAGGCCACCAATATGGAGTCCATCATAGCAGTAATAGAGTTTTGTAAGCCATGAAGGGTTGCATCGGCTTCCGAAGCTAGTCCTTGTTCATTGAAAGACGTATTCCACGCCGCTATACTCGAGAGAAACGCATTCCCAAGTACAGAGTCGTAATAATTGGTTAAGCTGTTTGAAATCAGGTCAAACTGTCTGACCGCCGTTCGTGTCAAAGTTCGTTGCGGGTCGAGGTCCTTAGCCTCAATGCCTTTCAACGGGACAACCGCGATGCTCCTGTCCTTGACGTCGACCGAGAGTTGGAAAAGTGTAGGCAGAAAGTCTACCGTGCACTGCGTGGTGTTGAGGGCTTTGTAATTATCTCCCGCAGCAATGGAAATGTATCGACGACGGGATTCTGGGCTCTTCGCGACACCGATTGCTAGGATCGAGCTCGACGTTATGCCAATGTACTCGGACCACTGAATACTTCCGACACTGTCGGGCAGGGAGCCAGTGGCAGCAAAGGTTCTGTAAGGGTTTTCTTTCGCAATGTGAAAATCCATACTTTCATTGTAACGGCAATCAACCTGAGAAAAGTACCCGACTTCTTGGAAGTGATACACCCGAGCCGACGACTCGTGCTTGAAGCCATTTTGGATGCCGACGGAGGATCCAACACCATATGATCTCCCTTCATAGGAAAACCGAGTGTTGTCAGGTTTTGGTTGTCTCTGCAGGGTTCCGTCTATTGTTGTTGCAGATGACGCAGATGCTATCAACTGGCTCAAATACTTCGTGCCGACAGAGTAGGAAAAGGTACCATCCTTGGTCGTGACCGAGGGACCAGATTTCGATTCGATTGGATATTCCTTTATGTATGTCGTATTTGAGAATGAAGGTACATTTATGATGTTCTGCGTAGCAATAGTGCCACTCGTGGGCGTCATCGCGCCAGCCCAAAGCGCTGTTGAAAAGATCCCAAGGCAGGAGAGAGTGAGAATCGATGGGACCGAACGCGACCGCATGAGTTGCCGAGGTTTTGAGACACTAGAACTGAAAGATTCTTTGGAACGACATGACACCGCCACTGCGTTGTCAAGCAAGTCTGAGATGGTGTCATTTTGGGTGAGAACTACAATTACTGAGACGTGGAGAAAGCCTAGGATAAGTGCGATAAGACGTATGACGAACTCAACGATGGCACGCTTCGAGGCACCAGCAGTGACGAAGCCCAGGGTAAGCTCAAAAAACCGAGTACTTGACGAGATCCCAGAGCTTGTGGACGAAGAACCCGCTAGAGAGGATTCATACCAAGTACTGTCAACAGTCCATCCGAGGAAAATAACAAGGATGAGACTTAGAGTGCTGGTGATGCCCAAGCCTAGCGGTACGCTCCGCTCTCCCCAGAAGGAAAAATCCATAGAGCTCCAAGGGAACGAAGCCATACTTGTGATGGTGTGCCACTAGTCCAAGTGAACAGCGATGCGGGCGTGCCGGGTATCGCACAAGCTCGATGCTAGCTGGGAAATTCTTCTCCGATGGCTCGCGGAATTTTCCTGTTGGACGCCACCGACATTTGCAGAAGGGAAATAAAGTCCAACTGACCAACTTTCAGGACTAGAGAGGGGTTGTTTGTAGTTATCTTGTTGGTTCTCGGTGCGAACCTAGTTGTTGGTGCTTGGAGCCAATCACAGTGCGTTGGTTGCCGCTCAGTACTACAACCCCTGACTGTGATCCAGCTCATTATTTGTGTTATGCCATTGGATAAAAACTGTATATTTTATTCATTCTGCCTTTGATCTAAGGTGAACGGGACGTAGATGATCATTTTGGAACTGCTGGGCCAATGTTGTGTTGTGTTATTTCATGTCTCGATATATAGTTTCATGTGTATCTGGGAATAACCACACACATGCAAACGGGTTCAAATATCGTTTTTTTTTTCTGTAACCAAATTCAAAACTTGTAGTCATATCCCATGTTAATACCCTAGGTAGAGGTGGTGAAAAGCGTCGCATGGCTCAGGATCTGGCCAAGACATGTGAGCGACTAACATCAATCTCTGAGTTCAGAGTCTGGGCTTATTTTAAGTTGTATTTTACAGAGTCTAACAGGACAGACTTTTCCCAGCGGAACGTGATATTCGGTCTTCGCAAGATGTTTGGGTTAACTCATCTCAAGTAGTTGGCGTCACCTTATCCCAGACACCATATAATCAGGGAAAACATAGATCGTTCGGCATGCGCATTGGCTTGGTAGCTTCTGCGATGCCAGGTCCGCTTTCGTTTGTTGAACAAGACCAGAGCCGACTTGTCGGCGATCTTATAGTGACCGAAAGCGACTTTGTCGGAAACCCGATTATTCTCAAAAGCATTAGCATTGGTACTGTACGAGGAGCATCGCCGCTCAAACTCACATCGCATGATGGCCTTCTGGCCTCTGGGAATCGGTCCATCAGCAGACGCTCGCGCGCTGCCATTGACAGATGCGTCTCCGAAGGCCAAAATAACACGCGTGCCTTTCCATTGTCTCAGCCTAACGCTTTCAGGGCCCTTGGTCGATCCCTGGTAGAGATTTATGGCTCATCTCCAGTTCACGTCAGGGAGTTACCCAACCAAAGAGAGTGGCCTGACTCTAAGGAGTCTTCTAATAGGCCTGTTGAGCTAGAGTAAAGAGTATGTCTTCAGGAAGGTTTCACGAGTATAATGTTTAGCGAACGATAGTTTGTTTATGTAGTTTCAGAAAGTAAATTTATTGTTGTATATCTTGTACTTCGTTGAATGATTCAGCAAACACACCAGGTGTAATCCTGTCAGACGATGCATTACGACGCATGGCAAATGATCTTTAGCAATAAGGCCGATGAGAAAGAACATGATGGCCTTCTAATTAGTGGAACTGCCTCCTCATTCAACAAGATAATATCACCACCCATGTGACCGTAATCTATATTCCATTTATGCAGTAGCCGCAAGTCGCTTCAGCTCCTCCTGTTTCATTCTTTCCTGGATCTTAAGTCTCTCCGGAATGACCTGCTCCCTAGGGGCCGTGATCCCCCATTCAGGCAGGGACTCCGCCCCTAGGGCCCTCAGCGTTGTCTGTTCCACCAAGCTGTACTCTGACTTATCCGGCCTGTGAAAGCGGTGAGGCTCTCTGAGAAAGACGGGTGGGTTCGTAATGATACGGAGCTTCCGGAGCTGGTTGCGCGAGGCGCTGTGCAGCATCAGTGGATGAAGCAGATACACATCGCCAACCTCTCCATGTGCTTCGACGAACTCGTTGCAGCTTCCCGCGAGCGAGTTGAACCAGTCGAGGTTGCGCTCTGCAGAGAAATCAGGGTCTCCTCTGGGAACCATCCGGGGAGAGACGCCGTCCGGGTGGTCGTGGAGATGCTTAGCCACTTTCGGAATCGCCTCGGGACAGATGACCGTTCCGCCGCCGCCAGGGACGATATCCGTGAACAAGGGTATCACGAGCAGTCCCTGCTCCCCTGAGTCGAGGTAATGAACAAAGAAGTCACCGTCAACATGCCAGTTATCGAGATCTTTGGGCGAGTAGTCTTGGCCTTCGAACTCTGGGCTGCCGAGATTTACAATCAAAGAGTCTCGCCATTCCTTCGACTCGGGCGCGATCCGGTCCTCTCCGCCGCAGACCTCACAGATGGCGGCCCAGGCCTTGGGTGCGAATTCCGAACAGTCAAAGGTACGGTGGTGGGGCATGTTTGTCCGATGCTTCCAGGTTGATTTGTCGTTTGGGTCCATACCCAACCGCGTCCAGACGTCTTTTGTCACCCATTCCGCCTGGTCTTTCGTGAAACAGTTGCTCAGCTTCAGCCAGCCTTTGGCTTTGAAATGCTCTTTCTGAGCTTCGGTGAGGGGTTCAGCGACGGACGACATTATTAATATGACAACGGAAGATGGATATTAGCTTTTCTCAGGCATCGTCAACCTGGAAGTAGTTGGGGTTAATATATACTCAGATCCCCACTGAGGAGTTTGACAGCTGGGTCGACCTCTCGGAATGGTCACCTGCGAGTGAATGCGGGGAATGCATGGGCAAATCATTCAGGCTACGTTTCATTGGGTATTTTTGCAGACCCAGAGAATTCATGACGGTATGTCGGAATGCCGGGTTGACTAATTGCAAGTGCTGGCACTTGAAAGGGCGTGAAAGCGGCCCTGTTAAAGAGAGATGTCGTCGGAAAGGCTTATATCTGTTACCCACCATCAAGCTTGGAGAGTGTATGCAGCTAGATTAGTGGCGCCGGCTAAATAGAAACTCGATGGGTATTTTGCCAAGCCCCACACAACAACATGAAATCATGGCTTTCTGATTTGCGGAACCAAGTCATTTGTACAGGTTCCGCGGATGATGGTGTAAGTGCTGGTGGGACGAGGAGTGATCTTTAGGAGCGGAGCTTTAGGAACGGAATTCCGGCTTTGATTGGCTATAGACCGACACTGACCGAATCTCGGTCAATCATACGCCGATAGCAGCCGACCAAATATTTTGGCCTTGCCTTCAATTCTACCAATTCCACAATTCACCTATCTCACACCAATTAGACGGTCAAAATGCCACCTGATCCAACACTAGATGACGAGGAGTACGAATCCTCCCAGGATTCAGACTTTGCCCCAGAGGACGCTGTCGCAGAGGGCGGTGATTCCGATGGAGACGACTCCGAAGGCGACGACGAAAACGCTGCGACAGCACCAAAGCGCAAACGCGATGCGGGCGGCGAAGAAGCAGACGATGCCGGCTTTGAGAATTCGGGCGACGAGGCGTTGATCAAAAAGGCAAAGAAGAAGCGGAAGAAGGCAAAAGACGCTGATGGCGCTGCAGGCGATGAGGACGATGGAGGTGAAGGAGGGTTGGTTAAGACGCGAAGCATGCGCGCAGCAGAGTCAGTAGACGCGCGGTTCAAACGAGTTTGCAAGGTCTAAAATACTGATACACAGTCACAGAAAAGTAGAGCGAAAGATTGCAGCTGCGTCTGGGCCGGTAACAGTCGACGTCGACGCGATCTGGGCCCAGATGCTCACAGGCCAGACGACCACACCACAGCCCAGCGAAGACAAGGGGCCCGAAGAACCCGACTCTACGAAGCCGAATGACGCGACCGGCTCAGAAAAGCCGACCGACACCCAGGGCGCAGACTCCTCTGGTATGATCCGCATTAAACGAACCTACAACTTCGCCGGCAAAGTCCAAACGGAAGAAAAGCTTGTGGCGCGCGACTCGGCTGAGGCCAAGCTCTACCTCGCCTCCCTCGGGAATGATGCAGATAAGGAAGCCGCCGAGAAAGAGCCAGAGGAACCAAAACGGTTATTGAAGAAGGCGTTCCGATCGGCATTCGAACCTGTTATCGAGATCGTTGGCCAGCGGTCCGATTTGAACCTAGGTATGACGGTACGGATCAAGGCACGGGAGAAGGAGGCACAGGCCAAGAAGCTCAACACGGTGGAAAAGAGCAAGATGGACTGGGCGGGTTACGTCGACAAGGAGGGCCTAAAAGACGAGCTCGAGCTGGCTGGCAGGTCCAAGGAGTCGTACGCCGAGAGGCAGGACTTCCTGGCACGAAGCGAGGCGAAGAGGGAGGAGGAAGCCCGGCGTGCGAGGATCGCAGGCCGTGTATGAGTTATTTGGTTTTGCCTCGGTCACGTATTTGGAGGATGGTTAGGCATAGGTCTGGTTCGGCGTTATATATGGACAAAACAATAGATACCCCTCGTTCACATGATACAGTCATAAGTAACCCAACCCAGCGCTACAGTTTCGCGTCCTTCTTCGAGGTCCCAGGTGCAAGAATAGCAATGTCCTGGTATGGGACGCCCAAGAAATCGTACAGGAAATGAAACCTGTCACTCCCGAAGAAGGGCTCTGCCGCCCCCTGGTCATTCACAGCCCACAACCACGGCGCTCCAAACGCGCCTCTATCAATCGCTTCCTGAGTCTTCGACTTCAAAGCATCCTTGATATCCTGCGATGTGGCTCCCTCCATTATCTTCTTCACGTCGGCCTCGCTGAACAGCTTTGCCACGGCTCCTTGGGGCGCCGGGTATTGCTGAGGCGCATCAGCCAGCACCTTGACTAGGACATCGGGCTTGGTGATGTTGCGGTGTGGCGGTTCCCAGAAGCAGTGAAGGACCCAGTGCCAGGTGGTTTGATAAGTAGAGAAGGGATAGTTCTTCTTGATATAGTGTAGGGCACGAAGGGGCAACACCGTCATGCTGCGTTCCATGAAGTTGGCAGGCGGAGTGATATTAGGCTTGCCAACGCGGGCACAGGAGCGTTGGGCGTCATATGTACCATAATTTGCCTTTGCTGGGAGTGTCCATGGCGGCTTATTTCCTGTAGAAAGTGTGAATGGAAGCGGGCTCAGGTGGTCCGGGTTACTTACCAGAAGCTGCATTAATGGCGCCAAGAAGAACGGGATGGATGCTGCATAGACGACGGTTTGTAAGTTGGGGTTCTTGGGGAAGGGAAAGGATACGGACTCTATCTGCACGCCATGCGCTGCGAGTACGTCCTCATTCTGGAGCAAATAATAAAACGTGACATAGCTGTAAAGAGATGCTTTCACGATACGTCAGCATACCAGTTTAATGGACAGGTTCTTGTGGACCGTTACTGACCAACATCTATGTAAACATCTACTTTGCCGCCCATCTTAACGGTAAGTATTGCTGTCAGGTGCTTCAAAACCTTGATCCAAATAAATATTTCTGCTGTGAGTTCGATTGAATGATGTTACTGCCTATCTCGATGTCGAAATCGGTCTGAATGTTATTCCCAAAATGGCAGAATGATGTGTAGGAGATGAAGTTGAGCTGGGGATGTGGGGTACCTCGGCAACTCTTGTGAAGTACGGAGTATCTGGGGTAGCTTTGCTTTGGGGGAGCTTCCACCTACAAAGACCCCTGATCACTAATACGCACCACTGCCGGATTCCGACGACATAATCAACAATTCTGGCGTCAACTTCACGTGAAACTTGATCCTCGAGTATATTATCTTCGTTAGCATAAGATCAATTCGCCATTTCCGCTTACATTACTCTTTCACTCAAGTTCAGTTGGATAGATCATCTACCTCAGTACACCTAATCTCTGAATCAACAACAATGGGCGCAACCAAGCAAGTCGCTCTGGTGGTGGGCGCATCAAGAGGCATTGGCCGTCAAATCGCCATAGACTTTGCAAAGAACGGTTATGCCGGTACGGCTCGCCCGACACTCCATGATTCGGCGGCAGCTAACATTTGCTAGTCGTTGTGGCCGCAAAGTCAACAAGTGACGCTTCCAAAACCACACCTTTCCCGCCAGACCCCAACTCGCAACAATCAACCATCAGCACAGTAGCCCGCGAGATCCAGGATGCCGGAGGCGACGCAACCCCGATCGCCGTAGACGTTCGGGATCCGGATAGCGTCGCCCGGCTAGTGGAACAAACAATCAAGGTATGATGCCCTCCCTTAACGAACCACGCTTCACCTTGACGTATCCTGATTAACACCGGCACAGAAATATTCTCGCCTTGATGTTCTCGTCTATAACTCGGGCGCAATCTGGTGGGCTTCAATCGAGGACACGCCCCCCAAACGATTTCAGCTCATGCAGCGCGTCAACCCGGAAGGTCTGTATTTAACCCTCCACGCCTCGCTCCCGCACCTCAAGCGGGGAGGTAAGGGCCGCATTGTGGTCGTCAGTCCGCCAATCTACAGCCGCTTCTTCCGCGGCAAGACGGCGTACGCGATGGGGAAAGTCGGCATGAGCGTCCTCACCAAAGGTCTAGCCATGGATTTTGACCGGCAGGGCTTATCTGAGATGGCCATTACCAGTATCTGGCCAGCAGTGGTAAGCGTTACTCTTGAAAGATGTTTTTTTTAAAAAAAAAAAAAATCGAGTATCAAGCTAAACATGATGTCGATCCCCAGGCCATTGAATCCGCCGCAACACAGAAATTCCAAGCCGCAAACCCAGATGAGGCAAAGGACTTACGAAAGCCCACAATCTTCTCTGACGCTGTGCTTGCAATCGTGCGCGCCCCGGCCAGCGCAGTAAACGGCGAGCTCGTGTTGGATGAAGACTTCCTACGGGAACACGCCGGCGTGACGGACTTTTCAAAGTACGCTCTCGTGCCGGGCTCGAATCCGCGAAGGATCATGCCCGCCGAGCTGCCGAACTTAACCGTCAAGGAACAGGACGACGAGGGGAAACGTTATAACAGTGCAAAGGCCAAGATATGATGCGATATGTAGGGGTCAAATTTAAATCAATGTAGCTTTACGATGAAATTCTCGGGGAATCCAACAATGTTGAAATTAGGTCATGTTCCATCACTTCTTACCAACTAAACTTGGTGTTCAAGACAAAACACGACAGTGCTTCGCCGTAAAAGGACGCAGCATGCCTCAAATATCTAGCCATAAAACTCTCGCACATCAGAAAAAACAGACCAGTCTCAGATCCAAACAATCTTGTGCAATTCTTGTCTATTGCCTGCCGCGCTACGCAAGCAGGATGCGGTGCTTCTCGATATAAATGTATCTTATCAAAGAAAAAGAAGAACAGTAAGAAAAGAAAAAAAAAAAAAAACCGAGGTCGTCCTATCGCTCGCAAACTAAGTAAGACCGGTACCCATATTCATCCCTACCCACCCGTCCCTCGCCCGAGGCCTTCTTCCCCGCCAATGTCGAACAAAACGATTTTGTTTTTGTTTTTGAAAATCCTAGGGAAAAAAAAAGTACTATTTTTACAAGTCATTGTAACACCACCACCTCTTGCTCTCATGACTCCTGGCTCAGCTGGAAGAGGCCCTGAATGTCCTCGATGTCGCTGATGGTTTCGTTAAACACCTTCGTGAGATCACCGACAACCTTCATGCGGTTCCACTCGTGCCTCGTCCTCCAGATCTCGTCCATTAGCTCGCGGTTGATTTGCTCGAGCTGCTCAATAGTGCAGCCCGAAGTCCGCTCCGTCAGTTCGTCGAGGAAGTTCTCGACTTGCCCCTCGTGAATGACGGGCTGCTGCTGCGACGACGATGAGCCCGAGTTTCTGATGTCTTCGCTGACCGAGTCGTTCAGAATGTTAGTCAGCGTCGGAGCATGTGACTTGGAATCTCCCGAGCTTCTCGACTTGTTGGGCGATGAGTTCTGGCTGCCGGGACCACCCATCGAGGGCCCGATAATGCCTCGTGCCATGCCCTGAGCCTGAGAGTGCGGCCAGGCTTCGTCGCTCGAGGTAGCTTGGCTAACAGGACCCATTCCGGCAGGAATCTGGGTGTCTTGCAGCTGGGAGGTGTCTCCGTCGCTGTATTGTTCCGTGTGGAACCCGTTTGTGGCCTGCGTGCTCCATTTCTCCGTCGACCGCTGCGATGGGTCTGAAGTCTTGGTGGTCGAGGCATCATTTGCCAACTCAGAAGGCGACATGCCAGGAGGTACCGTGGTAATTAAAGACCTCTGAGACATCTGAGTTGCTCCAGTTGTCCCAGCGGTTGTATGGTTGGCCTGACCCGGCCACTGAGGAGGCTGCATAGAGCTATCCTGAGTGGTATCGTCGTCGACGCCACTCATGTGTACGTCGCTCTGGCGAGACGGGTTGGACGTCCCGTTGCTTTGCTGAGGCGCGGGACTGCCGTTGGGTCCCGGGCTCATGACCTGGAAGCGGGCCATGGCGTGGGCAGATCCAGGAATACGTTCGCCAAGAGTGACGGGTCCCTGCGAGTCGCTGTCATTGCCTCCGGCAATGTCGGTGTGCACACGGTCGACAATAGACTGCATAGCCCTCCTCTTTCTCTCCTTCTCAGCTGCAGCCCTGGCTCGCTGTACCTGCCTCTGATGCAGGGCTTCCCAGTCGACCGTGCTTGTGTTGCCTTCGATGGTGGCGACATCGACCTCAACATTGCTAACGAGCTCGTTCGCCTTGAGTGTTCGCTCCTTATCACCGATGTTCTTGGAATCCTTGGCGAGAGACTTGATGTCTCGAAGGAAGTCCTTGGGCCGGCAGTAGAAGCCGTTCGAAAGACGCTCTTCAATGGTTGTAGTCTCCAAGTTGTAGAATGTCTTGCCGGTAGCCGTCTCGCGAAGAACGTCGTCTCCGTACTTGTCCTTGACAATCTCGAAGGGACGAGGCTCAATGCCCTCGAGATCGGGGCGCACGTAATTGGGTTGATTTTCAGCAAAGAGGTAGTCGAGCTGGCTGGGAGGAATGACGGGCTGTCTGAACTTCTTGTACTTTCTGTTGATCTGGTCCATGATTGGCTGCAGCTGTACTTTCAAGATGTTGAGGAGTTGGTGATCGCGCTTCTGCATGGCCTTGACCTCCTCCTTGGAGGGTACTTTTGGCGGTGGGGGCGGAGCAACCGGGAGCTGCTCCAAAACCCTCTTCTTCCTGTTGGCGGGATCAGGGAATTCGGCAGGGCTCTTGCGAATGTGTTCCACAATTGATGAGAAGTATTCTCGCCGGTTTGACTTTTTTCTTTGTTAGCAATGCAACCTTTGAACAAAATGACTGATTTACTTACATGCTTAGGCCGCTGGATCTGTAACCGGTTCTTGCGAGAGTATGCAAATATTTCTCGCACAAGATCCGGAGAGAGGTCTTCACCAGCCTCATACTCTGAAGTGGCGAGCACAAGGATAGGATCCGTAGGCGGGATTGATTTCAACATGGCCTTGAAAGTGATGAATGGCAAGGTATCCTTCATAGACGCGTACCATGACTCAATGCCGGGGATGTAGATGACGCTGGGTTTGTGTCTCTTTACCTCTGTGAAAAGTCCTACAATGACCTGTTCCATTGGCTACGAAGAAGGAGTTAGTATCAATGAGGGGGGGAGGTGTTGAAATAATGACTTACGCGTCCGTCGGCAAGCAAATTCGGAAGACCAAAATTTTGCACTTGAACACCCTCGAAGTAATGCAGAAGAGCGGATGAAAGGTAGCTTTGACCCATACCAGTGAAACCATGAATCAGGAAACGCGGGCGGAAAATTCGAGACCGCTCAAACTCTTGGTGTAGAGCCTCCCGTCCGAAACCATGGTCCTCGTCGTCGAATTGTTCATACATGGCCTCCTCGAGTGCAGTAAGCTTCTTCTTGCGTGGAAGCACCTCATCAAGCGCTCGCTTGATCGAGTCAAACTGATCACGCAGGAGTGGCTCGATACCCTTGGGCAGAGGGGCAGCACCAGTGCCAGCAGATCTCTCTGACGAGGGAATCATCTTCTTGATGGAAATCATGAAGTCGGTGGCGTGAATGCTAATGTTATCCGCGTTCACGATGAGTTTGTCCTTGGAAGAGTAGATTTGCGGATAGGTTCTCTGAATGGCGTTAAGGGCTGCCTCTGTGCAAAGTGCTCGGAGGTCAGCACCGCCATAACCCTTGGTGTTCTCTGCAAGTTGTTGCTTGAAAGGCTCCGAGAGACCCCAGTCCTTGGTATGGATCTCGAGGATGGAACGACGGCCTTGCACGTCGGGAAGGGGGAAGTAGAACTCTCGATCGAAACGACCAGGTCTTCTTAGAGCAGGGTCAATGTTGTCGGGACGATTGGTGGCACCAATAACAATAACCTGACCACGACCATCCATACCATCCATTAACGCCAACAATGTCGATACGATGGACGCATGGATCTGCTCCTGCTTACTAGAGCGCACCGGAGCCAGACCGTCGATTTCATCAAAGAAGATAATACTAGGTTGTGTCCTCCTGGCTTCCTCGAAGAGGAGCCGCAGCTGCTTCTCTGCTTCACCAACCCACTTGCTCAAAGCGTCGGCACCCTTCCGCATGTAAAAGGTGATTTTGCGGCCTCCAATACCGACAGAGTTGGCGAGGGCTCGGGCAAGAAGAGTTTTACCAGTACCGGGCGGACCATGGAATAGAACACCGCGTGGCGGAGTGACATGAAACTTTTGGAACAGCTCGGGGTAGAGAAGTGGGAGCTGGACCATTTCTTTCAACTGGTCAATGTGGCCTTGAAGACCACCAACTTGAGTGAAGTCCACATTGAGGTCGACACCGAGCGGGTCGGCATCCGCGAGGGCCTTGGTGTTTTTGACCTTGCCGACATTTGGTGTTGCGCCCACGCCGGCTACGTCGCCGCCTAGGGGCTGCGCAAGGCCTGGGAGCAGCCCGGCAGGGGCAGCGGCAGACGTGGGTGTCATACCCACATTACCAGCCGCGGCGGATCTTCCGCCCATTTCATCGTCACTGCTGTCGGAGTCGACGCCCCCAGCCGCACCGGTGCCCCAGGGTCCAGCAAGCAGCGACCCGGCGCCGCCGCCGCCTCCGAAAGGACCGAAAGTAGTGTTGAGAGCACGGTCCCATGCCTGGCTGGCGCCTCCACGGCCACCGCGGCGCCGTGCAGGGGTTGGAGCCGGATCTTCTGCGTCGTCTTCCTCGATGTTGACGGCGGAAAGAGGCGGCATGAAGTAGTTCATTGGCTTGGCTGCAGCTCTGCGTCGCTTCGACACAGTTTCCTGGTACATGATTGCAGGTGACGGTCGCCGCGTGCGACGTGAACGTGAATCCTGTCGAAGCTCGTGGAGCTCTTCGGCCAGCTCGTCATGGTCTAGCTCGACTTCGTCGCCGGATTCGGCCCCACGCCGCGAGCTCCTGGTGGATCTGCCCTTGGCTTTGGCGGCCCTACCGCGCGGTGCCGGGCTGTCAAAATCTCCGTCATCAGGGTCACCCGCATCCTTTTTAGACGCGTCTGACATTTGTCCTTCTTCTGCGGACTCTTCGCCAGGTTCAAAATCGCTGCTCGGCTCCTGGACGGATTTCGACTTTCGAAGCCCTCTGCGAGTCAGGCGCCGTGTCGGCATGTCGCCTTCGCCCTCTTCTTTGGGCTCCTCTTCAGGTTCTGCAGCGCCAGGTTCAGAAGCACTTCCTCTTTTAGCGCGAGTCCGTCGTGTAATTGGGCCCTCGTCCTCTTCGTCATCATCCTCGGCCGCGGCATCTGCGTCTACCTCGGTTGATTCTTTGATGGCGTCCTCCATTACTGTGTCCTTTGTCTCCACAGGAGCTTCTACAGGAGCTTCCGCTGCGTCGCCGGCCAACTCATCGGCGTCAGCATCCTCATCGCGACGGAAGCTGCTCTCCTGGGTAGCTTCCTCAATCGTCTCGGGCGCCGCCGCCTTCAGTCCCTTAACTGAGCGAGAAGAACGAGTGCGGGCGAACGCCTCCGGGCTTCGACTCTTGGAAGATCGAGATGCCGGCCGTGCATGCTTGCCCGAGTTGGACAACTCGACATGCTCTTCCTCTACCTCAGCTGTCCGAGCACGAGTCGATCTCCTGGTGATCGGCGCGGCGGCGGCAGTGGCAGACGCGGCATTCTTTGGTACCTTTAGCTTAATCAACAGAGACTCTTTCTTCTTCTTGGGCTTCTCGAGACCCTCGGAAAGTTCGTCTTCAGATAGTTCAGCCTCTTCAGACTCTTCGTCACTTTCGCTTTCCTTGTAGTTTTGATGCTTCACCGCGGCCTTCCTGGCGCGTCGGCCAGCGGCGTTGACGGGGGCGTCCTCGTCTTCTTCCTCTTCATCTGAGACGAAAGAACCCTCTTCCATGCTATCGGAGACGTCTTCATCGTCATCATCGATGTCGGATCCTCGATACCGGTTGGTGCGTTTTCGACCGCCGGAGCTTCTTTGAGACTTGGAGCCACGCGATCGCTTCTTGATTCGAGGGGCAGGTTGGTCGGCGCCAGGCTCGAAGTTTTCGTCATCCGAGTCCGACTTGTTAGGATCGAAATCCTCGATTTCGCGCTTGCGTTTGGACGGCATTGTGATGTTGGTGGGTGATCAAAGTCGGGTGCGGGTAGTCTGGGCTATCGCGTTTTTGATTGTTGTACACGCTGGGGGGCGAGGAGCTATTGCTGCCTTGTAACGCGGACAAGTCTAATAGCGCGCCGTCAGCATCCATATGCACTCAAGATAGCATCAAAAATAAAGCTGAAGATCCAAAAAAGAAGTAATAAGAGTAGCTTGCATTAAGGATTTTTGGGGGAGTGGTGTATGAATGCAAAGAAGTCGTACCTGTCTTAGCGCTTAGGGAGAAAGCAGTGAACAATGGGAAGCGGACGTCAGGTGGTAGTGCAGGCGGCCGCCATTGGGGTTGCGAGGATGCAAACGCGAAAAGTCAAGCTGGCCTTGACGTCTGCGATTTGTGTCGCTGGCGATCTTTACGCGGCGTGGAGATGACTAGACGGCGGACTGGTGATATGTTCGGATTCGCTGAAAAATCACCATCGCGCGTTCCACGACTTGCGCGCCAGGCGTTCACTTGGGCGAGGGAAGACGGGAGTCAGTAAGGTGGGTCTCACGTGCAGAGCCCACCAGCCACAAATGGCCCGAGCGCTAGTCGAACCAGGCAATGAGGTTTCCACTTCCGGCTGTTGCTATTGGCTGGACCCCATCCATTTTGCAATTCAACGAAGAGTTGGGCGACCTCAAATTCAACGATGCTGCACCTTCGGACCTGGAGGTTTTTACTGTTCAATAATCATGGCTGAAATACCACGTGCAAAATCTGATGCATCGCCAAAGTCCTGTCAGCCGAATTTTCGTCTCGAACTATTCAAAAAGCCCGAAGCATGTCAATCACCTTGCAAGGATTGACGGTGCTCATCGGCGCACGAGGTTAAAAAAGTCGGGCCCGGGTAAGTGGGCGACGAGTGTCCACCACCAAGTGTGGCATCGCATCCACGGTACAGCTCGAAAAGAAGAAGCAACTGGGATTGCGCAGACGAAGTGCAACTGTAGCGGATTGAATCTTATCTGCCCATGGAGGCCCAAGGCTGGCCGACGCCGCTTCATACCAACTTTGCAAGGCCGAGAACTGCGGCGCAAATATGCGTGAAACATTGCATGATCAACGGCAATGATGTCATTTCTCGATTTCCGATGTTGTAGGGGCCTCAGTTTGGTTGTATTTAGAGGTTGTGCGGTTGTCAGCTCCCCAAGGACTAGAATCATTTTGGAGACTCAATGGTGCGTCTGGTCGAAGACTCTCAACCAGACAGCCAAGTTTTTTGGGTGCATTCAGACAGAAAATTCCTCAATCTCGTCAGCGCATCGTCGCCATAATAGCTCAAGAGCAAATACCCCCAACCTCGACCCCTTCGTTCAGCCCTACAGACCCAAGTCTGGGGTAACCCGCGAGCTTAAGGTTCCTGGTGCGCCAAGGTTAGGAACGTGGCCAGGGAACGTGGCTGGTGACCTGTGGCCCCCCCTGGCTAAGGCACGCACTCCTTGCAGCAGTGGGTTAAATGCCTTAGGGCCTGACCATCTTCGGTGCGCCCGAAGTAGCAGGCAGCAATTTAACCGAACCGTCACGTGCAACGGCGCCGAGAGCCTCAAACCACGCTAAGCCTTCGGCGTCGTCCGAACATGCGGGACGGATGTGACTAAACCAACACAGCTGACGACGCTGCCGTGCCGATGAACCGTGTCATTCGTCAATACGAACAGTCCTGCAGTAGTCACGGGATGAAACCAGATAAGCCTTGCACACTATTGGTATCTCACTTCGGGGCTCGCGTTTCGACCAACGAGACTCGCGGGCTCGTTTACGATTTAGGAGACTGATACTGAGTGCCCTGGAATTTCCTCATCAGGCTGTCATCGACGGGCCTCAAAACAGCAGCATCGCTTAGGCTCAATCCCTTGTCCTCTTCCAGAACGCCCTCAGCAAAGGGCTGGCACTAATTTTGAGGCCGTCACGGAACGATCAGCCCAGTCATGCCACCCTCTGCAGATCCTCACGTATTTGCAGCCATTAACTGAGTACGGTTGCGGAACATTTATGCGAGAGAAGGTTATTCTAGTCTGCCTCTAGCAGTTGCCTTACGAGGCCATCCCCACTCGCGGTTCGCGCTCGGTCGCATCGATGGAGCAATTGTGTCCAGCAGACCGGCCTCAGTGGGTCCACCATCGACCGGCAACCCGGCCAAGTCGGCAAACGGCCACTCGGGGCACAGCATTTTTAGACCCCCGAACCCAATGGCGTCGTCAATCCATGCCGACCAAGCGAACGTCAGCAAAAGCCAAGAACACGCAGCCGTGCAGCCGTGCAGTTGCACCCACCATCTCCGGATTTCTCGAAGCATTTAAGAGACGCGGCTCCCCCGCGGTCTGGACGAGTCTATAGTATTTTCGATTCATCGTGTATTCTCATACAGAATCTTGTCTTGACTTCACGCAAACGCACACACACACACACACACACACACACACACACACACACACACACCAGAAGCCACACAATTGTCTAACACAGTTCCTAAACTAGCATTGAACAAAATGTCTTCCCTCACTGCCCCCATCGACATCCCTCGGCCCAAGAGCAGCCGCGCCGGCTCCGACGCGAGCTCCATCTCGGCCGACTCCTTCACTACCAGAAGAGCAGTCTCTCAAGACTCTCCGCGCCCCGCGAAGAGGAAGCACTCCCACTCCCACTCCCAGACGGTGAACGTCTACACCCACTGCGGACGTCACAGCTCACAGTTCCTCTTTGGCGGTCGCTCCTTCACGGACATGGCGCGCTCCATCTTTAAGCGCGATTAAATCGTTTGCATCGGTGTTTCCCTCAAGAAGAGACATAAAACAGGGGAACACCATTGTAAAAACGTCATAAATGCACGGCAGCCAACCCGCCGCCGTGACCATGGCCGCCGCCGAGTCGGACCGGCAAACAGCCCCGCCAAGAAAGCGGCGAAACCTCAGGGCTCCACAACGGCACAAACGGCTTCCAAAGGAAGCGCCAAGCGGGAGCCCGCAAAAACCGTCTTCCGGTTGACCTCTCTTCAAGAGTGTCGACTGCACAATCTATACAGCACCGGGGGCCCGGAGCAAACAGCGCAAGCGAGCCCTCGGCGCCAAGGCGGGAACCGTTGGGGGATATCAAGGAGCAAATTCTAGGCCCTTTCCCCCCCAGCAACGAGCGCCCGTTATCGTCAGGCAAAAAGAAGACCAGACATTGGACAGACAGCAGAGGGAATAAAACCACATTCCCCGCCCGGTACCAACGCTGCTCCACTTAAATCATCCCATTCAACCCTCTCAGCATTCGTAATATTACGGGGTCCAGGACTTACTCGAGCCTTGGCGAGGGCGAAGCAAACGAGTCAAAAGATTGCGCCAAGCAACAAGAAAAAACCGTTGAAGACCGGTTCGCGCCAATGAGAAGCGGCGCATGTCAAAACTTGGCTTCGTTCAACCTTCAACCCTCTTGCGGAGAAGGAGAGGACGAAAAATGACGAGACGCGGGTCATGGACGGTGACATCGCCCCGGTCAGAATCCCGTTAAATTCTCTCAGGATATGTTTTTTTTTTTTTTTTTCTTCCAAACAGATTGCGGACAATGGAATAGCCGGGGATCGGATTGAGTTTCGTTAGTGGATTCCGCGGTGAATGAACAAAGTCTTTTTTTTTTTCTTTTTCTTTCTTCTCCTTCCCATTCTGTACTCTAGAGTATTTGGGAGGATTCCATTTGTGGAATTACCATTATAGTAATTGGGAATTAAGAAAACATGTTATAACACAAAGAAAAACTATGTGTATATTCGAAATCTTGATATGTCGATTTATGCCAAGTAATCCTCACACCGCAACACACACATTTTCCCATTCTTGTCTCGTCATATATCCGAATGCCAGTAAGATTTACATTATTACAAAGTCGTTCCATCATATCTCAACGCCCCTTGTATACCCGCCGAGACCCCTTCAACCCCTGCTACTAACTATCATGTCGATAACCATGGTTTCTCGTCGTCCGCTCATCTCCTTTTTCTCTCTTTCTCTTGACCTCCTCCTCTCCCCGGGTGAATGACCGCATGCAAATGCCTGTTATGCACACACTTCCTTGGCCTCAATATGTACCCAGTCCAACACACAAAATTGTACCCCATATCGGGCCCCCTCCACAAACGCCGGTGTACTATATAGTAAACAACCCTCTTTTCTCTCTATTTTCTTGTCCCCGTAAGATCCACCACGGCAGTAAGCCGAATTACACAACAACAACCACACCCACACGCCTCTGATGCCCATGCGTACTCCGTAGCGTAAACATCATCGTGCTTCTTCTCCACTAACCCCTCTCTCAAGGGGGAAAAAAAAAATCACTGAAAGAAGCAGTTTGCCCCGCTCCCCGCCGCCCCCCCTTTAGTTCGAGATAGAGTTGAGCACGACCCGCGAGTGATCAAGCAGGTTCTTCTGGCCTGGGACGTTCTGGGTGTACCGGGCGTTGAACTTCATAATCTTCTTGGCGGCGCGGAAGGTGGCGTCGTCGACGGTCAGGGGCTCCGCGACGACGTTCCACGCGATGCCCTGCGTGCAAGGAGGCGTCGTGAGGCTGCCGTCGTACTGGTAGACGTCGGACCTCGCGAGGATCTCCTTGAGCTCGCAGAGGGAGAACCCCTCCGTCTCGGCGTGGGAGCCGGGCTCCGCGACCTCGTCGAGGTGGGAAAAGACGTTGGCGAGGAAGACGGACGGCTTGGTGTTGTCCACCTCGATCAGGAACCCGACGACGGAGGCGCTGGGGCCCGTGGAGTCTGTTGGAAAGTCAGTTATACTGCGTGCTTTTCTTCCTCCCCTCTCTCTCTCTCTATCTCTCTCTCTAGTTCAATAAAATGATAGGAACCGGGTTGAGGAGTCTGCGGAGTGGGTCGGGGGGAGAAAGGTGGGCGTGGGTTCTTACTCTTGTTGAGCTCCGCATCGGCCTCAAAGACAAAGTGCACCTCCATGGGAAAGTACTCGCTCTCGACGCGGTGCTCGCTGGGCGTGTGGAAGTGGAACTGCTTCAGCTTGTAATGGCGTCCGTGACGGGTCAGAGTGCCGTTCTGGGCCACTACCTCCAGCGTGCTGCCAAGGTTCTCGAAGACGGCGCCGTGGGGGTAGGACGGCACGTCGAAGCCCAGACTCGAGCCGGGAACCACGGTGGCGGAGGTGTCGTTGAGGTTGATGGGGCTCTGCTGGGTGCCGGTTGCGCACAGCGAGCTGGCGTTGTTGTGACTGTGCCAGTTGAGGGGACCCTTGAGGTCGTTGTAGCCAAAGGTCGCGACCTCGACCTCGCCCTCGCCGCCGCCCATGGCACGAGTGTAGAGGGAGGTGCGGTGGTCGCAGATGGCCGAGGCCAGGGACACGAAGGGGAGGATGACAGAGGACTTCATGGTGTAAGTGTGGTAGTATTAAGAAGGGGAATTAGAGCAAGTGACTAGTAGAAATTGTAAGAGGCGGATGCTCAGAGAGATTGGTAGGAGGACGGTAGCCTCTTTATCTTTCTCCCAGATCGCGGAGAAGTCACCGTCAGATCCATACCCACAGCCTTTCCCCCCCCAAGTAAGACGGACCATCTACCGGGGGGCAAAGCTGGTCTGGCCAAGAGAAGCAGGGTACATTATCCAGCGGGTGTCATGTCAAAGAGGTTGGGTGTCACAGAGAAAGGAGAGGCAACATATCGTGCAGCATCTGGTGGGCTCCTGCGAAAAAAGATCGGTCCCCATGCCGGGGGTGGACCAGGGTTGCGAGTAGTGTATAGTGTAGTATGCGAGTGAGCAGAGCCGTTATGGGGGTGGACACCAGATGAAGATCTCCAAAATCCACCCAGAGTGCCAAGACGCAAACAAAAGGCGCAATGAGAGGAGAAGGGGGGAGGGGAGCTTCCAGAATCCCGTCTCTTTCTCGGCTGCGTCTGAAGGGAGAATGAAAGAGAGGGAGTTGACAAAGGGAAGAAGGATTGGATCGCGAAACAGAATACCGGAAACTTTTTCCTGCATGACAAACCGCTCACATGCCGCGGGCGGAGCAACGGCGAGTGTAGTTATCTACAACACCACACCACCTATGGAAGCCCGCGTTAAAAGGTGGTGGTAAGCCGCCATGCTTGATGACAGGTTAAGCCTCGGCTCTGATAATAGTCTTTACAGCCCAGCTTTCCGCAATAGTTTGCGTGGCTGTTCAGCGTGGCGCCGTTTCGGCTACTCGAAATCATACCCATCCAAGTTCTTCGAACGGAAGCCTCAAACACACAAAGCCTGTAAACTCTAGTTAAAGAAGCCCTAGAATAGAGTGGGACCTGGACGACATGGTGCAGCAGAGCATTGGAGTACACGCTGCTTTGGAATTCCCAAGTGCTCAACCGCGGAAGTTACTTTGCCCGATATTAAAAGTAGATGATGAACGATTACAACACGCCCGCAAATGCAACTTCACCCGCAAAAAGAAAACAAAGCGAATGTCAACATCTCCCTGGTCCCGAATCCTCGGGAACCAAAAACCACCCCACCATGTAATGTCGGTCCCTCGAGCCCCTTCGACCGGGCGATGCCCTCCATGCCGGGCACCGCGGCTCGGATACCTAGTATTCAGCTGCAGTGCATCTTAGTCAGGCCGGCTTTTCAAAGCGTTGACCACCTCCGGGTTCCTCCACGAATTACACAGAGCAAACGCGGCAAACGGCCAACCACAGTTGGATTTTCCATTAGCCTACAGCCGAATGCGAGCCGGTATTTCCCTCCTTCTCTTGCTTATGTGTCTCCCCTTAGCCACAAGCCACGCTGAGAATATCGGCGGAAACGCCTACTGGAAGTTTGCTTCGTGTGTAATCTCGTCGGTTCACAGGTGCGACACCACAAGACGGGTTCTTCATAGCTCACAGGAGGACACGGGGAGAGAGAGAGAGAGAGAGAGTAAAGGCATGTAATTTCAGGAACCACGTCGTCCAAACTACCCGTTACCCGTCTTGGGACGAACGCCCTTGGCACAGTCCAGACCGTTCGCTGTCAAAATCGCTGACGAGCCCACTAAGCACACACATAACAGGGGGGGGGGGCAGCGAAACCCCCCGGCCGCACGCCCCCCCGGTTCCCCGTTCAACGCCATCCGGCTGGGCGCAACCCTTTTTTTTTTTTTTTCTCTCTTGAAAACCCTCTTCTCCAACAACCGATGCCGGGAAATTCTCGAGCCACCGCATCACAGAGTCTGGAGTAGTCTGGGGAGGGGAGCAGAGACAGAGGGGCAAAGAGGGGAAAGACGTACGATGATCGTCACTTCGATTCGCCGAGACAATTCCTCCCCCCCTCCCCCTCCCCCTTCCCCTTCCCCTTGGTCCCTTTTCTGTTGTATGAATAATTACTACACTACCGAGGTATTGGCTTTTGACGAAGCTCTGGTCTGTTTCTTTCCAAGTTTAATCCAACGTCGATCGGAATGTGCCCGAATCGGCGGGGTCAACGGACGAAGATCACTTCCTCGGGCGTGTCTGTCTGTCGTGAAGAAGAGGTTGGAAGTGGATGTGCGTGTGTTTAAACTGGGGTTTGACAACCAGACTTTGCGCACAATTGCGTAGACAAGGACCTTTGGTCATCTTATCGCGCCCGCGTATTGGCCAGTTACCATATCTCGTTGACGCGATCGTGGAGTCGACGACTACGTTTCCTGTAGTCTCAGTCCCCGCAAACTGCCATGTTCATTGAACCTTTGGCTCCGTCGAGTGAAGAGCCCGGCGACCTTGATGTATTATTTTTAGAACTCCGGATGGAGAAACGTCTTTTCGCTGACTCAATGTCGTGATACTCCCAGGCATGCACATATTGGATGGACATCATGACGGAACCGTCCACCAGCCCCTTCTCTATGTGCTCTTTCAGACAACCATACATCCAGTTCAAGAGTCTACAACCTCAATTGATGACCAACAACACTGCCATGACTCGATCGTGTAAGCCAAGCCACTCAGCTACGTCTTTCTCGGTCCCGGTTATCACCAGCTGGTGTAGTGAAACGACTCAGCCCTGCCCGTCTGACTACATAGGACATGGCTCTGGCGGAGATATCCAGTGACAACCACCTGCCAGTATACACGGGAAGTTGTCCTCAAGTAACCCGAGCCCCCACCCTCATCATAGTCATCGGATAAAGGCACGTTGTTTACTCAAAGTTTTGTGTGTTTTTATCAAATTCATCACTTTGATATTTCATCCTGTCGTCCGGCAGCAGGGCCGTCAAAACGCAGTCGAGAAATGGAAAAAAAAAAAAAAAAAAAAAAAAAAAAGGTAGGCGTTGCCCCAGCATCTCCGCAAGCTCAGCCCACGAGCCAGAGCAAGGCAACTAGATGTTATACGGTACAAGTACGATGCGCATCAGTGAATTGAACGAATGCTCGACGTTGCAACTCACTCACAATCTTCCGACCTGGCAAAACTCACTGTCGGTCGTTCGAGGGAGCCGCATGTCATCCAGCAGCCTCATGCAAGTTCCCGAACGACATTTCTCATCCGCCGTCCGACGCTACAGACCGGTGACACAAGATAATGAGCCGCAACGCTTTCCCCGAACATGACCATACTTATTCAATACTTCTAGTGAACCGGGGAATATGATATGTGGTCTACTATCCTCCATATCACGGGTGAAGGCGACAGCCTCCATCGTCTTACAAGCGAGTCACGGGATCACACTTTTTAAACCTCATTATAAAATCGCACTCTAATCCGCCATTATACGTCCAGCAACGTTATACGAATGCTATCATCTACCGGCCCCAAAGCCGTATTAACTCGCTATAGGCCATGGGCTAGAATTTCATCTGCTGATGCTCCCGACCAACTCCAAGTCTTCGCAAGGACAACTGGTGTTGACATTATGAGCTTCCAATACACCTGGGGAACGGCACAGTAATCAGCCATTGAACAATACCCTTTACGGCGTATCTGTTTCCTCGGGCAACTCGGCACCAGATGCGGAGATGCTCGTTTCGATGTAAGCAGCGACATCATGCCACACAGCCCTACGAACAGATCCCGGAAGACAACTTGGCGTGAAGTGGTTCAAACCAAAGTCAGTTTCGGTTGTGCATCCAAGGTTGTTAGTCCAATAGAGATTTCATGTCCATGGAGGTGCTCTTATGACTTCGAAAGGGGCGCTAACCTCTAATTATATTCCTCTACGTAAGCTCATACCTATCTGACCCACCTCCAGGTTTACTTACAATGGATAACTAGGAAACACCGACTCGAAGAGGTGTGCAAGTCGCAGAGATGGGGCATAGAAGTGTCTTTCATATGCAGAGGAGCATGGTCTTCACATTTATTCACCTATGAAGCTTACATAGTTGGTCAACCTGGGACAGCCGACAACACGCTCATCATGCCTACCAGCAGTTATGGCCAACAGGCACATGCAGGCAACACCCCAAAATACAATGTGCAATGATGTGCTACCAAGGCAGAGTTCCCACATGAGACGACGGCAGCAAGATCGACCAAACACGACGATCTCCGGTCCGCTACCGTCCTTCGGTGCCGAAGTGGGGTCGGCCGGAGCTGAACACCATGCGTCCCTGACCGATACATCTCCGGCACAATCACATCTCACTCCGAAAGCATCATCCGACACCCGAGGTTGTTGTAATACTAGACGCAAGGTCGCGTCATACATTTCACATATTCAACTGTCGGAACGAGGCTCTTCGCCCGTCATACTTGGCCCCGCACATCTCCCGCAGCTGGCGTGATACGGCAACCTAGCTCCTGGGCCGGATAGTGATACTTGTCACAGGTATGAGTCTGTATGCCCGTGGACGAGGCGGGACTTGCCGGAAGGCTCGGTGAAACCCTGCGGAAGCTGAGGCTGCCCCCCGAGGCGCCAGAGCACATTGGGCCCGAACCTGCACGACGGAGCGTTCGGTTGGTATGCGAGGAGTCTTGACACAGTCATACGGCGTAGGACGAAGCTGCAGGTTGCCGCGAACAGGCACGGGCTGCTATGCCGCCTGGCGGTCCTGTCTGGATATCAATGATGTCCACCCGGCTTGGCTCGGAAATGCTGACGCTGGCGGACTGGGTGGAGCACTCCGGAGTCATGAGCGAAAGCACGCAAGTTGACTGCGATGATGGTGCACCAGCGAAGCAACGCTGTGAATGCTTCAATGCACGCCTCGTCAATGGATAATCCTTGGCAGGTCGTGTCGGCAGTAGAGGCGTGGGTTATTATTACCATGGTGTCGTTTGGCTCACTTGTGGCCAGTTAATGGCCATAAGCGGGGAATAATGGACGCCATAATGCCCCAAGTGTCCAGGACTGGGTGCAATCCGCCTGGGGGGGGGAAGCATGAGTACTTCCAAGTTGGAACCGAGCATGTGCCGTATTGAGTGGGTTCGGTGAAGTTGGATTGCCCAGCACGACGGGCTATTGGACCGGGATGTTTGTCTGTATGGACCCTTTGGGGAAACGAGCCGCCTTAAGGTGTCATGCTACTGGGGGCCGGATAGTAGCATTCAATGGGTGCGCGGCCGCTCGCTCGGCTTTTGCTTGCTCTATCGAATTGGCGACGCTTAATCCGGACTGCCTCTTCAAAAATCCGCAATGGCCATGCTACCGCACTACAGCACTAATACTATGTCGTTCCTATCCGGATATCTCGCTAATCTTTCGCGGAAGAATAATTTTACTCCCGGCCTCGGCAGGCCAAGTGGGAAACCTCCACGGCCTGGGCATGAAAGTCGATAGTGCGGGGAACCAAGTTTGGTTCTTCTCATCTCACCGCAACTGATCTGTCACTTTGGATGGGATGTCCTCAAGCATTGTTCGAACTCCGGGCATGGGCTGTCTTGGCCGTGCGAGTTGCAAGCCCCCTCTCCCTTAGGATCATACCCACGAGTGGAGGATGATGGGTCCTGCAAGATATCACTAACTGACCGGCCAGTATGGCCTCATTGGGGGGCACGGGGGGTTGCCTTGCGCTCCACCGGCTGGCCTGCATCGCTTGCAGCGCTCAAAGCGCATCCGTACACGCTGTGCCTCTGCATCAAGAACTTCCTTTACAGAATACATGGCATTCCTACTTCCCCCTGGGACATTTGTATCATGTAATTCGTCACTATTGTCGCACAGGACCCGCCGAAACGGACGACGAAGGCTGACGGACTGACTCTAGTAAACTGATCGTCGCCCGTCAATTGTTCACTAAGCTGCTCGGGCGATGGGGTTGTGGGTTGTCTCGATGGTGCCGGCGACTAAGACAAGACATCAGGAACCAGTCTTTTGATCGTGGGGCCATGTGAGATGCAGTACGACCGATCCCTTCGGAGTCAGTTGTGCACTTTTTATCCGTACCCAGACCATGGGACACGGCCGAGGGGCGGGCCTCACAGTCTTAGCAGTGTTGGTGGCTTGCCGAGCCATTCTGTGGAGGGGAAGGGGGGCCGCGCAGATGGTGAGGCAATCCCGCAAATGACGGCTATGACAATTTCCACATTGCCCCTGAGGTTGTTGAAAAAAAAAAAATCCAATTCACGACAGGTAAAACCGCGTGAGATCAAAGGCTATCGGCTGGCCCTGTGGAGAGCGCTGCGCTGCGTATTGACGATCGCCTGTTGATTGACTGCAACAGCTGGACATTGGGATCAGTGATTGATAAACTTGAAAGGACGTCAGAGATCGAGTGTAACTTCAAGGACCCTTCAATCAGTGCGCGGATTGACATTGCAGGGTCATCGGTGGCAGGGCGTATCCAAGCAGCCCTAGGACACTGTGGGAGTGGCCACTCCTCAATCTCGAAGCGATCACTACCTAGTTGGTAAAAGTCAAGGTGATCATGATAGGATAGTCTCCATAGGGTCCGTCTGATCTTCGACTCTGGTGGCAGGTTACGAGCAAAGTTTGCTAGAGAATACTTGGAGGAGGCGACAACTGCTAATCGTCGGCATGTACGTGTAGTGTATTCCACCATCTGGAGCCTGCAGAGGTGGGCCCAAAGTGGTCGCACAAAAATGCATTGCTTGGGGGAGAGAAACAAAGTCTAGGAACCACGCGTCTTGTCAAGCCTGTGAGTGTCGGGCTGTATGAATCTGGGGGTGAAGCCGGCATCCGAAAAAAAAAAAAAAAAAGAGATCTGAATCGCGTTGGTGCTTTCATGAAGACGCGAGTTTGGCGTGGGCGATTCCCCGCTACGCCTGAGAGCGACATGTGAGATTACAGCGGTGGAATCTGAGCCACGGGCCAATTACATTGGCCGATGTATCCCCCGCACGGCGAAAGAAGAAATGATGGATCGAATCCCATCTCGGCGAGCGAAATGAAAAAGAAGAAGGAGGAAAAAGCAAGTCTATTGTCTGCTTGTTGTTTTGTTGCTTGTTATGGTTGTCGGATGGCGGCGCGGGCGGACACGACAGGCGCACGCTCCCGGGACATGAGACCACGGCGCGCATAATGGTATCCCTGTGAACTCTATAAGGTGTAGTAGAAGCTTTGGAGACGGTGCCAGATGAAACAAGGCGACAAGCCAAAGAAAAACATCAGTGACCGCGATGCCAACACTGGTTAGTCAGGGACATTTTCCCAGCAGAAAGGGTGCGGTTGGCGATGCAGGGCAGGGAAACCAGTAGAAGGCGTTCTGAGTCTGTAACGGTCGATTTGGGTGGATCTCTTTCTTTGGGAGCTGCCTCGGGTCGAGGTTTTAGCGCCATACTAGATCGATGGTTCCTTCCAGACCACTCTTTGGCTTAACGTTGAGTGTAGAAGGCGCCTGTGAACCCCTAAACTAGTGTTGTATCTTGCACGACTGCTCTTTGTGGGTAGGTGTATGTGTCCTTCCTTGATACCAAACCTTGAAAGTATTCGGTCATTCTTTCGTTTACAATATGCATTTGCTGCATACATAGTACGGATCCTTCCTCAGGTCAATCAGGTTTGATTGTTCCAAGAACAACATATATATTACCCGCGTCATCGATATCAACTACTCGGCCAGCTATCTCGGTGACATTTCACCTGATCGGGTCATGTTTGCGGGGAGTGCGGCAAATTGGGACATCCGAGATAAAGGATTCGCCTTTGATCTCTGCAGTCGGCGAGAACAGCCGGGCTTAGTCACCAGGCTTGCATTATAGATGGGGCCTGTCTGATGAGCTTGTTCATTTCTGCAGCCGTCGTCAAGGTAGTATCGTGACAGATGCAAAAAGAAGCAGGAGGATTCTAGGTTATTCTTTACTAGTAGTATTGAGCGATGTCTTTCTCTGGAAAGAAGTCCAAAACCCCGTCTTCCGACGAGGGCTGGCGACAGGGGGGGCCCGAATGGTCTCCGTAAGGAGCGGAAGGTTTGCTCCAGAGACGTGTGATGGAGCCATCAAACGGTGAATGGGAAGCTCCCGAAACTCTGTTGATGAGGGTTCACGATGACTTGCGTCCGCTTGAGCTTGAGCTTGCATCTTGTGCCTCTCGAAGACCAGATGACGGAAAGTTACAAAGTGATTCAGCTTAGAAATTGTTCAGCTGCAGAACCCAGCTTAGTTTTGCCTCTCCTTTGAAAAAAAAAAAACAACACCAAAAAACCCACCCCTAAAAAACTCCAGCTAATTATGTATTCCTCCCTGCCCATTAAACAAAGACGTTATGCGAGTAAATTTCCGTACTGGTCAGCCGGAGCGAGGTACACCCCCGTGATCCAACCTCAGCTTTCCCTCATAGCGCAGCATTTGCGTCTGGGACAGCTGTTTCAAGCAGACAACGGCACGTTTCCAACGAGATTGAGACTTTGTCACCTGGTCTGGGCTTTGCCTTGTACCCACGATCCGTTGGCTCCGACGACTTCCCTCCACCCCCTTTGGACGAGGGCAGCGCCATGGATCCGTTTGGGAGATGATTACCTGGGGAAGGCTTGTCACCAAAAATTTATTCACATCAAGTAACGAAAGGACCTGGTGCTGGGTCGCAAAGCACTGATGAAATGCTCCGGCAGTTTAATACTCCATCAGCCCTCTTGCCCGTCTCCTTCAATCTTAATTCAATGCCCTTTCATCATCATAGAGTATCATGCTTGACATCAGCTGATCAACTATAACCTGAGTGCCGCACATCACGCACAGTAAAACTTGGGTCTAGGAATGCAGGATTCTGATGCTTGGACGCCGATTGCATTTGCTGCCCTTTCAGATCATGACCGTTCTCTGAATTCAAAATAGTAGCTCTGTACCGAGGACATGGGCGTGCATCATCCAAAGAGCACTAGCCAGCACCACAAATCTCCGGATCAATGCACGGATGGACGGGAACCATCTGCAATAGCAGTTAAGAACAAGTCTTGTGTCTGTAATTATCCCATCCTCACGCGACCTAGCCCTCCGATTGTTCACTAAGGCGTCCTCCCCCCCTTAAGGAAAGCACCGCAGGGCTGAACTGAGGAACAGAGGATATCAATTGTGCGCTGCATAGCAAACAGCGTACGAGGCAAATTGCCCGAGACCAGGCCTCTCCTTGTTAAATCGTGCTAGTGGACTCTAGTTGCTGACGGGGAAAACTTCATTTCCAAAGCATGAGCTTCTAGACTGTGGTGCGGAGTAATGAGCTGGACTTGCCCCCCCGTGCGTATTGGCCAACATCAGATGCCTGTAACATTACACCGCAATTCATCGTTCGCCCACCTCTGTCGATGGATGTTTCCTGCTACGGAGTCCTGGTTAGCGCTGCTGGCATAATGGACCAAGGTATCCATCTGTAGCTTGCAGTCCTCCGTTGGGAGATAACATGGGATTGTTTACTCTTGCCCTCATGTCTCCCCTCCCAGTACCCTGAAGGCAAATTACAGACTGACCAGAGTACGAAAGAATCATATCTCATCAGCAGGGGGGGCACCGGAAAGTTGTAGGGGTCCGCCAAAAGAGATCAAGGCTCTTAGACCAGCGTGCTAGTCTCCTAGCTTGCTAGCGTCATTCCCGCCCGTTGTTGACCTCGTTTCAGCCTGTGGGAATCTCGTGTATGCTTGTCATGGTTGTCGTCGCGGACAATGGTGTAGCCCGCCACATGCGGTACGGATACGTACAACTCATTGTACATATACATGGTGGGCCGGGGAAGGGCCCCAATTTGCAGCAAAGTGTTTGTGCATCTCACGTTTGAATACCTCAAGTGCCTCCCACAGGCTTGCCTCGCGTGTGTACAGGCACCCCGTTGGCTTTAGTTTCTAACCCGCCTGGTGGATCCTTCATTCGTCTCTCAACCATTAACTAAATATAGCGTATAAGATTCAGCTAAGGCGCAAGGTCGAGAAAAGAATCAAGGGGTGAAAGACCCGAGGAAGAAAGAATGGACGAAAAATCAGTTAAAAAAAAAAAAAGCGCCATAAGATGAGGCGACATACGCCTGCAGACTTTTTGAGATCGGATCGGAATTCAAGCCTCAGACAACGTCATTGGAGGGTTGGACGCTGGCTGGCGTACATTGACCTGAGTAGAGAGTAACTCCGATGGCATCTGGTCAGTCTGTTGCCTGCCTCATCGGCACGCAGCTCGAGATGCATTCGTAAGCCAGAGCAGTACATTTTGATCACCCCCTGGATTCAAAGTGTGCCGTCTGATAGGCCTTGTTGGTTTGCTGTTCGTTGATGGCGCCCATGATCCTGCCACCTGCTGATGCTGCCAAGCTGCGGAGCCTATCATGAACGGCTTCATTATCCTCTCCTCACATCTCCCCGTCGGCGAGCACCCGGGCGCCCAGCCAAGTCCGGCAGCACCTCCAGACGGCGCTCCATCCAGTGGTTCCGCACGCAAGCCCTCGTGGAGTGGGAGTTGAGAGTGGACAGGTCAGGTTGGTGGAGTAGTCTGCAATTTTTCCCTGTCGGAGCAGGGGGCGCCATCCATTCCGATATGCACGTCGCATTACCTCACCACCTTAGCAAGGCGAAGCCACTGCAGTGGGGTAAACTCGAACTCAGATACGGGGAAAGCATTCCCTTTTTCTTCGTATCCGCCGACTCATCACACAGAACAGGTGACTGGCCACGGCACTGCAGAAGGGGGGAGGGGAGACAGAGGCAGAGACAGGCCGGACCGGACAGCTTAGCCAGCCCGGCGGCCCTGGCAAAGAGAGACACACTGGGCGATCTAGACATGATTGGTCAGCTGAATTCGTGAAGCATGTAGCTGTACCGTGGTGGCGGCCTGGCTGTCTTGCTTTTCCGCCGAAAGGTGCGTTAACAAGCCTTGTGTTGCTGAGCTTAGCAGCTATGATCGGCCTACACTGGAGGCGGTCAAGTCAAGAATCTGCAGGGTCGGTCCATTGTGCAGATGATATCCGTAGTTGGCTGGTTTATTGTTCAGAGTAGCAGCGTCCATTGAGAAGCCTGTACCTTGCGCAGAGTTCCTGGAGCGAGCTTGCCCAGAGGGCAGTTCTGTACCTCTAGTGTAGGCGCATTGGTATGGACGGTAGATGTTCGGCTGGCAGCCCCTCGTCCCTCGTTTTTGGCGTAAAGCATTTAGACGAGGGATTGGCATTACGTGGTTTCGTCGTTCCAGAGGCGTTACGTCTCTTGGATGCAGCATCTCATCTTTCGTCTCACTGTGCCCAGGCCTGTGCTCTACATCCTGTGTGCGTGCATGTGTGTGGTGCCGCCGCGTGGTTGTGTGGTGGTTAGTGGTCTTGGGCGTGGTGACCGTGTTCAGTTGGTCTACTCAGTCCTGAAGTTGCGACCAGTGGCGGCCGTGCTCTTGTTTGCTGCGCGTCCTCTGCAGGAGATCTTGTTGATGATGTGCTTTTGCTTTTTGGCCTTGCCTCTTGCGCCTACGTATATATGTAGGATGCATGTATGTATATGTGCTTTACTTCGGTTTGGCTTTGTCCGGACAGACTGCCGATCGTCTTATGATGCGCCGTCCTCTCAACTCAGCGACCCAATCGCCTCTCTCAGACTCGTAATCCCTTGGCGTGTTCAATGTTATGTGTTTTGTTGTTTCCCGTCCGAATATTACCTCATTCAGGAGGCTTTGGAGCGCGGGCATTTCAGTCGTTCAGGAGCAAGGGGTAGCGTGATTCTGATTCGCCGCCTCTCGGCCGTTTGCCCAATGGTAGGATGCCAAAATTCTCCAAGCCGAGAGACAATTCCCCATGAGAAGAAGGGACGCGTTCTGGCCATTCTTGATTGGGGGTTCCGGGATATCCACCCTGTGTGGCTGATGTGAGGTAGTGTGTCTCACACAGGTCTGGCTTGGTTAATTTGATCGATTAGTTTGGGGGGGCGGGCAGGCATAAGATGCTGCAGCAACATAAGTTAGTGTAGTTACCTTAGGTACTTCATCTAGGTGCATATAAGGGCGTGACAGTGCAAGTGCCGCTGGCGTCTTGGAGAGAACCTTCTCTTGCTTAACAGTAGAGCAGAATTAATGGCAGCAGCATAAGCAACAGCAGCAGCAGTAACTGTAGGCCTACTTAGTAGCGCATGAATGAGATGGGTACGACAATAGGCAGAAAGAAGGAGAAATGAGAGGGAAGACAGAGGGAGAGAGAGGGAACGTGTGCTTCGTACTCGGCCGGGGCTACGGCGATGAGCAATGGGGGAAAGAGGTCCCCTCTGGATCCAGTCACCGCACTTACAGGACTAATTTGGACCACTCAGACACCACGGCGTTGGACAGGGCACCCAGGCTACCGTGGGAGGCACAGGGTACCGGGGTAAAGGGGACTTTTCCCTCCTCACTGCGACTTACCTAGTCGAGGTAGTGGTACACTTTCACTGCACCAGTGCTGCACCTGCCTGTGGGAACAAGCCCAGGGTTCCCTACCAAGGTCCTTTGGGCTAAGTGGAACTCCATCGTTGTCTGACTCCAGCAGACCAATGCAGCATCGGTACGATACCAAAACCTTCCCATCTGGCAATCTCGACCCTTCCACCAGAAACTCCTCTTGGGACTCTCTCTCACCACACCCGAGTTCTTCTCTCTGTATCCCCTCAAAAATTCCTGTCTCGTCTTCCGTCTCTTTTTTTCCCTTCCCTTGTTCCTTCTCTTCCCCCCTTCTCTCGCCTCCTCTACCTATTCCCCGACATCACCCCAAAGCACACATTCCAATTCATCCCATCAGCGACCCCTTTTTTCCGTCCCAAAAAAAAAAAAGTCACGAAATCCCCCAAGAGTTGCCTGACTCTCAGGGTCCTTATTCCCAGGTTGTCCCCATATTCAATTCCCCGGTTCAACGTTCCCCCCCGATCATATCTCCAGTCGCCCTTCGCTCTTCTGTCGTTGCCGTTTACTTTCCTTTTTGCGTGTCTTTGATCCGCCTTTCCAACAACCCTCGAAAAAAAAAAGTCCAAACTCAACATACATTCGACGCCTTACGACTTGTTCTCTCCTTTTTGTCATCCACAAGACCTCGAATATCCTCCTTTCCCAAACCTGACGACAACGATAACGCGATCTCGCTTGACTGGCTCGTTCAACACCTTCTCCGTTCCCGACGATAACTTCGATACGATACTGAATCGGATACGACCGCCTCATATTCTCCCATGTTCTCGGTCGATCGCTAGCTGTGCCTCGAGTTGTCTTAGTGACACTTGATCCCCCTTCATCTCCTCGGTCGATCACTTGTCCCAGTTCGACCATTGCTTTACGGTAGCAGTGAAGCATATTCTCTCCTCAGCACGACGAATATCTCGTTATTGCCCCTGGCCGCAGGCGACCTTCCATTTCACAATCGCTTCTTGACCTACTAGGTCATCTTCGCCCTTTTCCTACGACGACGCTTCGTTGCTTGTGACAAACTAGAATTGTTTCCTTCTCTTGCATCTAAGAAACAAAAAAGGTTCGTAAGTCGCTTGCTTTCACATACCGTTCCGGACCTGGCACTGTCATCTATGGCAAACCATGTGTATTGGTCGTCTTGCCAGCAGAATGCCATAAACAACCTGCGGCCAAATCGGTCCAACCTTTGCTAACATGCCTGTCTCTCCCTAGCATCCAGCATATCGAGCTCCAAATCGCGAGCTAACCCATATTTATCCCCTCTTTGTAGTTGTACCTGAGTTTTGCTTGGTCTTAAACCTCGAAAGAACCCAACAAGACGACTGGTGAAGGGCATTCGTTTGTGACACTTCACAGGTAGTCGGTTGCTTGGAACATGGCTGCGTTGGTTCAGGCGTATCCCCAGCAGACCAGCACTGTCACTACTCTCCAACCCAGATCTTCCGCGAACATCATGCCCGCACAAGCTCAGGCAAACCAGCAGTATATGGCCGCCCAACAGGCGCAGCGAAACTTCTCAGGAAGCATGGCAGGCTCGGGCGTGTACCGCGGGAGCAACGCTCCAATCCAGCCTTACGCCTTCACCAGCACGCCTAGTTTGAACACTACGGGTCAGTGGCAGCAGTATAACAATGGCTACCGCACCGCATCATCACCTGCTGTTCCGACACAAAGCGTCACCCAAGGACATGATGCAAACCGTTATCGTCACAATGGCAACCCCTCATTTTCGAACCCTGCGTACAGCTATAAGATGGGAACAAGCAAGGGCGGATCGAGAGACGACTCTGCAATTCCTGCCGCTCGCACAAATACGCAGGCCCCGAGACCACAGTCTGCGTATCTGGCGGGCAGCACAACACCGCAAATGACGTTCGCTCAGGCCGCCGGTGCTAAGACAACACCTGATAGGTACAGGCGCCCGGCTCTTCAGCAACAACAGCCTCGCCAGGCTAGCACCCCATCAGGCTCAGGGATGGCCACCGTTAGTCATTTGTACAATGCACCTGGCACCAACGACCCAAAGGGCGCGTCAGTGCGAACCCGGAATGCATCTTTCCAGAGCAGGCCAAACAGTTACTATGGCGTTGTTGATGATGCGCAATTGAATAGTCAGCAAACTGCGGATGATGGGATGCGACTAAGGCGGCGCAGCATGCATTCGCTGGATTCTGCCGATTATCCCAAGCCGCTAACCCCACAAGAATTCTCTCACACGGAAGAATCCTCCCGCCCCGACCGCGTTCCGACTCCCAAAAACAACGAAAAGTCGCTTCGCATGGTTTCCAATCTTGCACCTCCCGCCGGCATCAACATGCATGCCCGTAATGGCAGCGCCGAAAGCCTCGCTTCGAGTCGAAGCAGCCATTCGAGACCATCTTCGCGACCGTCTTCTGTAAGTACCAATTCTGCGTCGTATTATTTTTGTTGGATGGTTCTTTTCTCCTCATCCCTCCAATCGATTGCCCAATCATGCACCGGCCCGACCATCCTGAAGTGATCCGTCGCTAACAAGGTTATTTCCACCAGTCTGCCAACCGCAGCGTACCCACCCCCACGGGCAACCCCTCTTCCACCTCGTCTTCCTCAAACCCAGATGATGTCTCGTCGAAGCAAGATAATGCTAAACTTGTGAACATCCCGCCACGAAGCTCATCGTCAGATGCGTCTAAGCGACAGCCGACGCCTTCTCCTCTCTCCAAGCCGGTGACCATGTCGACCGACTCGAGTCCCCAAAAACCACCTTCCTCTCTAGGAAATGTTCAGCAACAGGCTGCTCCTGCGAGCACGGCTGCACAAGGCAATGCCAACGCCAGCAGTCCTGCCGCACAACAACTCGCCGCGATCAATCAGAAGGGCACGAAATCAAAGAGCAAGACGTCTCGACTTCGGAGAGCCTTTTCATTCGGCAGTGCGGCTGACTTCAAGAAGGCCGCCGGGCCCGAACCCCTCGTCGAAGCCAGCAGTGCCAGCGGCGATGCATCTAAATTGCACAAGGAGCCGACACCGGCGGACTTGTACGAAGCTGAACAGGCCGCTATCGCCAAAAAGCAGGAGGAAGGAGGAATCGGTAGCAACATTTACGGCGGAAGGTTGTTTTCAGGGTCAACGGACAATCTATCAATTTCCTCCACAGCGTCGTCTGCTTCTATCATGATTCGTAAGATGGGTCGTGGTATGAAGAAGAGCACGCGGTCACTGGTGGGTCTTTTCCGACCGAAATCAGTCATCGGCGTTCCGGCAGCGGATGCCTTGGCCCCAGAAGCCAGTCAGGCGGCTGTATCGATGATTACCGTTGAGGCCGAAAGGGTCAACGTCAATCCCGATCCGCGCGCGCAAAACGGTGGCGGTACCGGATTCCCTCACTTGGAGCGCAATTCCCTCGATGTATCCAACACTCCCAGCATGGTGTCTGAGCGTGCCGGTAGTTCAGGAACTGATAGCGCTGGGCGAAAGAGCATTGTAGGCGGTGACAGGGAGCGCGCTGAAGTCCTCGCAGCTGTCAGGAAGGGAATCCTGAAGCACAACCGGTCGGGCAGCCCCGCTCGTGACGGCTCTAAGCCATTCGAACTTCCTGCCATTCCCAACATCGCCGACTCTCCCATTTCCACGGCCCCTAGTACGCCGAACGATGAGGCGCAAGGCCACAAGCGTTCTGGTTCAGTCGCTATTGGCAGCGAGGATTACTTCATGGCTGCCCTCAGACTGCGCCAGGACAGCAAAAGCGCACCTGGAACGCCATCCGGAGCCAAGAGAAACGCTACCTTCTCACCGAGAATCGTCTTCCACGACACCTGGCCAAGCGGTGAATATGACCGCAGGGGTGAAATTGCCACGTGCAACCGCCTGACGCCTATGTTGGCCCAGCAGATCAAGGAAGAGCTCAACACTTTCAAGATGGTGAGTTTTGCAATCATACCCACCAGATCCAGGTCATTTGCTTACTTTGCACAGGAAATGGAAGTTCACGAAAACTCCAAGATTTACACGCACTTCTTCTAACGACGGCTACGCCTGCAACATGGAATCAACCTACTTTTTGCTTCTTGATGATGGGCACAATTACCCACTCATGTATTTGAACTACATTTACCATTCGACGGCGTTCAGGAACAGCATCGTACGGTGTCAGGGCGTTTTCAATCGTCACTGGACAGCATTTTCCATTGCGTGACGGGAGGACTTGCCGGCCGCTCTTCGTTGATTAATTTTCTACGGATGGGCAGGGCGCCACTCGAAGATGGCGGCCGGTCAGAACGGCCTACAGAGGCCATTCAGTGCATACATGGGTCGAAAGCCTGTTTGCATTTGGGCAGCGATCACACGGACCTTGGGACACTGGCGATCATGGTGGTGGTCTCCATTTATCTTACACTTTTATCAGATGGGCCCAAGCCCTCTGGCGAACAGGATGTGGACTCTGAGGAGAAACACATCGCATTCGCTCGGTATTCGATCAAGCTTTATTGTGTCGGTATTTGCTTTGTCGGCGGTCAAGGGATTTTCTTTTTTATGTCTGTTCCATTCGCGTTCATGTCGCCTTCCACTTTTAGTTCAAGAGGAGGCAGATAGAGAGGGTGTGGCTTTTTCACCTCTAAAAAACAGCTTTAGTCTTAGCGAGGTCTTGATGCTGGTATCGACCATTCCAGCGAATTGAATAGTTTAGAGCGGGTTGAGTCTCCCTGTAAAAGTTTTAAGCCACGCGTTGCGTTACATGTGATGATGGCTTTCCATGCAATCCACTCAAGCATTCTTTGTTGCATTTAGGGCGCCCTGACAGGCTTGACACACCCTCAGTGCTCGATTCAGATGAGTGCTACGGATGAGACCCGGCCGCCCCGTTCGTACTAGGTACATGCTGTGCTTGATCGGCAGAACGACGTCATTCGTCGTGCGTCGGGCGTTGTTCCCTTGCGTGGGGTGGAGGCTTTTTAGGCCCGCAGCCCCACCAATCAAATATGTTCGGGGTTCTCAGCCTCGCTTGTCTTTGATCGCAAGGCTCGAAAATTTTCTGCGCATTTTCATGATCTCCATTACCACTAACACTTGACGAATTGACTACAGCCGGTTCACACTCGGCCGCATGCCCGCTGAACAGAGATAGCCGACACTCTGGAGGTGCTCTTCAGGCTGCAGAGGCTCCGGACGCCTCAGATCATCCGGCTCACACGTTATTTTTCTTCGACGACCACCAGAATGACGACCGAGACGACCGCTGCACCCGCCGCCGGGGGGCTCGAGGCCGCTGCAGCACCTGCAGCCAAACCGATTCTTCGCGGCCGTGCCTTTTATGAGAGCATCGGGAGCCCGAAGTACATCCTGGCTCCCATGGTTGACCAGTCCGAGTTTGTAAGTACACTGTACCTCTTTGTCTCGAATATTTCTGACAGTCGCCCGGCGCAGGCTTGGCGAATGCTGAGTAGATCCTTCATCCCCGCCTCGGAGCAATCCAACCTGCTCGCCTACACGCCCATGTTCCACGCGCGGCTTTACAACGATACCGAACACTACCGCCAGGGCCACTTCCAGGCCGTGCAGCCAACGACGGACTCGGATGGTTCCGCCCCGAAGCCATGGCTCGACGGCAACCCCTCCCTCGACCGACCCCTCTTCGTGCAGTTTTGCGCCAACGATCCGGATGCCCTGCTAGGTGCCGCGCTCAAGGTTGCGCCGTACTGCGACGCCGTCGACCTCAATTTGGGATGCCCGCAGGGAATCGCCAAGAAGGGAAAGTACGGCGCATTCCTGCAGGAAGACCAGGAGCTCATTTTTAAGTTGATCAACACCCTGCACAAGAACCTGCCAATCCCCGTGACGGCCAAGATCAGAGTTCTCGATACGAAAGAGGCGACGCTCGCGTACGCCAAGAATGTGCTTGCTGCTGGTGCCTCGATCCTGACGGTCCACGGCCGTAGGCGCGAGCAAAAGGGACATCTGACGGGTTTGGCAGACTGGAGCATCATCAAGTGGCTGCGCGAGCAGCTGCCGCCTGAGACTGTTCTTTTCGCCAACGGAAACATTCTGCAGCATGCGGATTTGCAGCGCGCGTTGGAGGCGACGGGCGCGGATGGAATCATGAGTGCCGAGGGAAACCTGAGCGACCCAGCCATCTTCGGCAGGGCGCCAGAACCGGGATCCGAAGTGGAAAAGAGAGAGTACTGGCGCGGCAGGGATGGCAAGGGTGGCTACAGGGTTGATGCCGTGATGAGGCGGTATATGGATATCCTGCACAAGTACGCCGCGGGCGTCGACCCGCCTGCCAGGCGGCCGTTGTTCATCCCCGGAGACGACACGGCATGGATGGAGGAGGCGGACGCGGAGGAGGACGAGCCGGCGAGGAAGAAGCGCAAGAAGGATGGCCCGCGCCCGACCAAGAAGGAGAGGTCGACCAACAACCCAAACTACTCGGCGATGCAGCCGCACATGTTCCACATGCTGAGGCACTTCGTGTCTAAGCACACCGACGTGCGAGACTTGCTGGCGCGCAGCCGTGCGGGAGACCTGGAGGCGTACGAGAACATCCTCAGCAAGGTCGAGAGGAAGGTCGCGGAGGGCCTGCTCGAGTACGAAAGGACGGACGGCAAGATGTTTGACGACCCGGCGGCGCCGGCGGACGACGAGGAGATTGTGGAAGACGGCGAGAGCTCCAAGGGTGCGGTGAGGAGGTGTCAGAGGCCGTGGTGGGTTGTGCAGCCGATCATCCGGCCTCTGCCCAAGGAGGCCATGGCCAAGGGAGCCGTATCGCTCAGCAAGAAGGATAAAGCGAAGCTGGCGCAGGCGAATGGAGAGTCGAATGGCCAGGTTGCTGCTGCTGCTGCTACTACTGCTGCTGCTGTCAAGGAGGCCGAAAAGGAGCAGAGCGTGCAGGACAAGGTCCTTGAGACGGACGACAAGTTGCTTGCTGGTTGAAGCGTAATAAAAGAAGCAAAAGGAGAAAAAAAAAGAAGAAAGAAAAACAGAATACTATAATTGATATACCCCCTGTCATGAACACGAATTAGCATTAGATATGGCGCTCAATGGACTTGATTGGTGCGGTAGCTGTGGTATTTTTTTTGTTGTGAAGTAAGCCTGTATGGTATATACACCGCGAGGAGGGCATCCCATGGGCGTTTTCGGGGCGTGTTGAGGTTTTGAAGCCGAGAAGTTAAAAAAAAAAAAAAAAAAAAAAAAAAAAAAAACTGACGACTTGGTGAAATTAGATGGCCTCATAATCGCCAGACAAGACTGGCGAGATCGGGCACGTACTGTCATCTACCTCTTGTATGCGGTTCTGCCTTTTCTCGTCGACACCTCCCAACAGTGGAGGAGACGATATTTCGCACATGTCAATGGTTGAAACTGGCAAAATATAAGTGGACTTGTGAACAAGATGAACAAGAAGATCTCCCGCATTCCAAGTGAACGATGGTAGGAATTGATCGAATCAGCAATGTCAGATGAGAGCAGGGCTTGCCTTTCTCCCGCGGCGCAGATAGCTCGTGAGTGTGGTCAACCTCATGCGTCAATGCAAGAAGAATAGCTGAAAGCAATAGTTTGAAAAAAGTTTTGGTATTGTTGCTTAGCTACGATGTTCAACTTCATTCATGAAGTCTAGCAATCACAGATATAACCCGCCATAAAGGTGGGTCAGAAGAGAACCCCCCATACGCCTCAAAACACTTATGCCACCCACGCTTTCGCACACAACACAATTCATTATGCAGCGGATCTTCAGACAAATGATACATGATGCTGGTTATAACAACCATCAGAATTGGTCATCATTCTTCTTTGTCGGCCTTCAGCGGCTTTCGCCCGTGGATGATGTAGCCTTTGTAATAGGCGTGGATACTCAGATCTTTAATATCCTTCCTCACTTGTGCACAGTGCACCAACGTCTCCTCCCTAGTCCAGCCCAAAAGACGCGTGAAAGCTGCCAGAGTCATGCCCTCAATGCCAGGGAGGAGGGAAGCTTGCGTCCAAAGGCCCAGTTCCCTAAGCTTCTTGTCTTTGGGCCACGGCGAAACGGGAAAGCGAATGGGAACCTTCTGGACTTCTTCGAAACCCACTGCCTCCATTATGCTGTCGAAGGTCTCTGTGAGGTGGATGGGCTGACCGTTATTTTTAGCGCAGTCGGTCAGCGTATGCATCCACTTGTACAAGGCTGAGTCTTCCTTGAGCGAGCCGTCGTCAGAGACAGCAGGCCATTGGCTGTCTTGGATTTCGAAGTATCCTCCTGGCTCGAGATTATCGTATGCCTTCTTGATGAGTTTGTCCCAGTCGGTGAAGGAGCCGATCATGTTGCGGCAAAAGATGAAATCAAATGGCCTCGTCCACGTCCATTCCTTCTCAAGGTCATCGAGTTCAAAACTGCAGTTTGGAGGCACATAGCCCGGTTGAATGGCACTGAGGTCGACGCCAATGACCTCAGCGTCCGGGTGCGCGTCGGCGTAGTCAAGAGACCAGATGCCTGTGCCAGTGCCCAAATCCAGCACACGCTTGGCCCCGTCATTCTTAGGACATTTGCAGAAAGCACCATCGAGAAGCACCATCCAGAGATGATTGACGATGTCTAGACGATCCTGTTCCTGCTCATCGTTGGGGAAATAGTACTTGCCTTCGCTAAGACGGTGGTAGGTGCGGCCGTTCTCGCGACGGTAGTCCAAGAGGGAAGAAGTTATCGAAGCCTGCGAATCATCGATTGAGAAGCCACCGATTGAGGAGCTTTCGTCGATGGAGGCAGTGTCTGCTTCAATAGGGGGCAACTCAGTTGTGGATGGCTGAGGAGCAGCGGCTGGCTGCTCAGTAGCCGTGACAGGTTCGTTCTGCTCTCGTTGATCGGCCATTGTTTCTCAAGTCAAACAAACTGCAAATAAATCTTGTTTGTATCGTTCAAACCGTCTGAGATCGCACCCTGCGCTAGGAGACGTCGTCCTTATTTAGATGAGGATTCTGAGAGGGGGGGAGGGGAGGCAGGCCTGACATGCCCTGATTCCCTTCCCCCTCTTCGCCGGGGGATCCTCGTAAACTTCTGTTGGAACGCCTCCACCTTTAATATTGCACCCGCGGTTGGGCAAGTTCTGGACTCCGCTTCGCCAACAGCATTTGGCAGGTTGGCAACCTCGCGCTCCAATCAAAACGACCAAAACTAAAGTACCCTAGTCAGAGATCTTGGACCCTTGAAAGTCGGATCACTGTTCTCCATCTTCTCGCGGAGGGTTGGACCGCCTCCGATTCGACAGTTTGTTGTTTGCGTTCTGCAAAACAGTGGCTTCTTTGGAGTCTTCTTCGGAGTGTTGCAAGCTAGCGTTGGCATATCGCTCCACCATGGGCTTCGACGGCCACATGAAACGACGGGAAGACCTTTCGCATCTCCCCCCCACCACTGGCTGTTCGGCCGACCAAGACAATCTCGATTTTCCCAAACTCTTTTGTAGTTGATTGTCGATTTTTTCGGAGAGAGAAGAGGAGCTTGCGGATGGTTGATCCAAATCTGCCATGGAGGAAGGAAGGAGGCCGAACAAGCGGTGTGCCGTTTGGAAGCTGCACGATCTGCCAACTCTTTCTCCGCGGTTCAGAATGTTTGCGAACACGGGACAGGCACCCAAAAACGACAAGAGCCTTGCGAAGGAGCGCGGAAAGAGCCGCCCGGGGGATTCGATATGCAGGCGAATAGAACCAAGGCACCAGCCACTTTGGATCCAGGTTTAGAAGCCCGTCGGCTGGACGCGGAGGTGACGCCTTCACCGAGAAAATCTGCATGATATGCTAGGGGTGGGACATTTGTCGCTTGTCGAATATAGGCAAAGAAGCCGTCCAAGATCTGCTCAAAGTGTCCTCGGATCCGAGTACATTCTGCCCGTAATCAGCCAACCAACCATCCAACACCAAACCGCATATGACAGACACCCTGGTCGCCAACACCGCCAAGCGCAGACCCGATTCGCCGCTCGTGTGAGTCTCTTCCCTTGAACGAGATACATTGCAGAAAGGGCCTCCTTGAATGGAAGGTGGCATTTCTGAACAAGAATAAGAATAAGAGCAGAATCAAACATTACCGTGGAAACCAATCTTTAGGGAAAAATAAGAAGAAGAAGGGCACCAAAAAAAAAAAAAAAAAAAAAAAAAAAAAAAAGAAGAAGAAAAGAAAAGAAGGCCGTACCTCGCCAAGACGGTTCATTCGGTAAAGCCCGACTGATTCTTCAAGTAAAGGAAATATTTACCAGACCCCGTCCAGCTGCATAGACCTGCGCATGTCGCGGGTTTTCTGCACGTTCGTAATAGGTCGACTTACACACGAGCGAGATCCCTTGTCCCATCCGACCACGCACAACAACCCTCCCCATCGTGCTGCAACACACACAAGACGCGCATCCATAACCACACACTTCTCACGTGAAACCGCCCCCAAGATGGATCCGTAGGTAATTACTTCGCAGACAAGCATTTCGCCGTTGAATATTGATGGCACCCACCCAATAACCTGAGGTCCTGCTAGCTATACACAATACAATCTGCCCCTTCCATAGGCTCTATATCACTCCCCCCCCCTCTCATTCCATCATATACTTGCTTTAACACTATCCTAATCGCCCCTGCGTCCCCTCTTCACGGGCGGCGGGCTCCGTGACCTTGATACCGAGTCACTGTGTCTCCTTCGCTTCGTACCAACTGGACTAGAGCGCATGTCCTCTCTGCCTCTATCGTTTGGCAAACCTCCATTGGGCGGAGCCTGTCTCCTGGGAGGTGGGCTCGGCGACCTAGAGTACGAATCCTGACGGCCGTTCCTGGCTCTTGGCGGCGGGGAAGCGCTGCCAGCGTCCCGGGCGCGGGGCGGAGGGGAACGGCTATCTCTAGGCCCGCGGCGACCAACGGGCGAACGAGAACGAGAGTCGTACGAGGAGCCACGGCTGGGCGATCGACTAGGTGAACGACTGGGGGTCCGGCTATCCTGGCGGGCACGTTTCCGTGGCGCGCTACTCACTGAAGAGGTGTTCCGCTTAGCACCGCGGCGCACATCTTGCTTCGGACTGCGGCCGCGGGGCGCACCTCTGGCCGGCGGGGGGCTGGCAGAATAGGATCCCGACCGTCCTCTTCTCGGAGGAGGCGACCTGCTGGCCGAGTAGCTGCTTCTTCTGGCAGCCCGACGGGGTGGTGTCGCGCTCAGACTGCGATCTCTCGGGCCATTTCGGGCTGGAGACGGTGATCGAGAGTAGCTGGCGGAACGGCCGCGTCGTCGGGGCGGGCTTGCCGAGAACGAGGCGTCGCGCCTGCCCCTCCGAGGAGGAGTAACTGAACGACTATAAGAGCGGGATCGGGATGAGCTGCGGCTGTAGGATCGACCCCGTCCTCGAGGTGAGCGGGATCTGGATTCCGAGTGTCGGCGGTCGATGGCACGTCGTGGAGTCCTCGATCTTGACCTCGATCTCGAAGAGTACGAGGAGCCAGTGTACGAGGAGTAGCTGGACACCGACTCCGAGTCTGAATCGTCGGCCGCCGCCGGCGCAGGAAGGGCTGGCTTGGGCATGTTCTGGAGGTACTCGCGTGATGCCTCGGTGAGCGCTCCCATGCCAATACTGGTGAAGTAGTTGATGGAGAAACGAATGTTTCTCGCGTTGTCCCGCGGGAACAGGCCCATGAAGCTAGGCTGAAGGATGTCGTCCTTCATGCGTGCCTGAAGTTTCGTCATGCCAATCTCCTCGGCAATGTCCTGGAAAAGAATCTTGATAAAGATTCTGGAACTACTCGTCGTCTCCTCTTCGTTCAGGTGAATGGCGGACAGAACGTGCCAGCCAATGGCATCAGTCGCTAGCAGATGCGCAAAGAATCGCGCAATGTTACGAAGCCTGTTTGTCTCGTAGCGGTGGATCTTATTGTAATAGTCGATGAAGGAGTCCTCGAAAAGCCCGGTCCATAACCGGTTCAGCTTGGCGAACCGCTCACCGATTAAGCCGTGGAACTTGGAGTACGTCTTCTCCTGGGAGCAGATTTCCACGACCATGGACGGCAGCTCTGGTTCTTGGCCTGGCGGTAGGTTGACGCGCAGCAGCTTGTGTACTGCTTCCTCGGGGTCGATTGACGACATAACCGTCAGGTAGATCGTACGTCGCAGGTTGACCAAGTCGGTGTTGGACTGGTCCTTGATCTCCATAGCCTTCTCCTCCTCGTCCTCGTCCTCTTCCGAGCTCTCGTCGTCGTCGTCGTCATCCTCGTAGTCGCTCCCTTCTCCCAAAATCTCAGCCTTCAACTTCTTGTAAGCCTCCTCGTGTTCCTCCCACTGCGGGTCGTATTTGAAAATGTTGAGACCATCCTGGACATCGATTTCTCCATCGAGGTCGACCATGTGCGTGATCTGATCCTCCTCTTCCACCAGATCAAGCTCCTCCTTGATGGGCGGGTTGTCCTTGAAGTTGTCTTTCCGAACTTGGAACAGAACTTCTATCATGTACTGCACGCGCTTGTCGATATCGGCCTCATGCAAGACGTTCCTCAGCTGGTCCCATACTGCCATGGCAATCGCAGGCTGCATATCCTGCAGGTGTTGTCCCACCTCGCGCATGAAGTTGACAGCAATCTCGACGCTGTCATCGGTCGGCTTGTGGAGGAGAAGCAGCAGCATCTGACCGGCAAGTCTCTCGTGAGCGACCTGATGGTTGATGAGATGCGCCAAGAATGTTGTCGATGAGACGCAGACAGCCTTGTCGCTGCGCTTGAAGCCCTTGCGGAAGGACATGATGAGACGCTTGACCAGGAGCTCACCTACAGCCGGGAGCTTCGTGTTGACGATGGCGACCATGGCCGCGAACACAGGTGTGAATGGCAAACTTGCTGCCTGCGCCTTCATGATGGATCGGCAGAATAGGCCGCGACCCTTGATGAGGTTTTCGCCGAACAACTCAGGGACAATGTGTTTAATGTTGGAGTAGTTGACCTTGTTGATTAGACCGTTGATACTCTTCTTCAGCGCCTCCCACATCAATCTTTGATACTCCTTCGAGCTCTTATCGGTGATTTGGGCCTGCAGCGCCCTCAGTCGCGCAGGTGGGATGTAGGTGCCTCCCGAACGCATCGACAGCAGCTTCTCGTACTCAGCCTTCGCGATGGCCTGCTTCTCCTCCTCCGTCTTGGGCGGCGGACTAGGGCGGCGCTCCTTGGGTGCCGGTCGGTAGCTGTCGGTGCGGTTGCGATCGCGCTCGCGCTCGCGTTCGCGCGGGCGCTCGCCATCTCGATGCTGTCGACGATCGCCAGCGTCGCGTTCGTCTGCAGATTCGCCATCGCGTTCGTGGCGCTCGGGGCGCGGGGACTCACCGTCTGCCGATGCCATCGTGCCCTTGTTGCCAATAAATCCCTGGGTATCAATAAAGAATCGATGGGATCTTTCGGCGCTCAAGGCAAGGGCGGCAGACCGATCGAAAATGCGTTTGGTTGACGATGCCGTAATTTTTCTTTGGAGAAAAGGTTGCTTTGACGCAGCTGGGCAGTGGATGGAAAGAAACGTACCTAAAAATCCAAAGTGTGGCTGGGGACCTCCAGAGCCCCATAACTACATACTACGTACGCAGTAGATGACGCCGCACAGACCAGTTGCGGCTGGAGCTTGCCTTCCATGACATGGGGACCCGCCTGGGCAGGTCTGTCCAGTGTCAACCGTGGCAGCTCCTCTGGCGCAGGTCCAGTCCAGTCCAGTCCAGTCCACTGGGCGCGCCCTCATCCCCTGAAATCGCGACGACAATTTTCCCGATCGGCCACGACAGCTGTCGCCCTCTACCTCCTTCCCTTCACCAACACACTCCTCCCCACTAGGTTCCGTCAACTTCCTTACCGGTAACCGCCTGTGTCACTGCCAGTTTCTTCCTTACGCTCCTTACTCCCACTTGACAATAAACGACAATGGTACGTTCACCCCCTTCCCAGCCGGCCAATGCGTCCCACCTAGGGCAATAAGGGAGGCGGCGCATTATCACGACAAAAACGTAAAGATAGCTAATATCCGCTCTTTCTGTACAGCTTGGAACACTCGTCGGTCTCGCCATGCTCGTGGCTGCGTCTGTGATCTTCACATACTACTCCATCTGGACCCTGCTTATGGTAGGCAATCACCCCTCTCTTTGCTACATGTGAAGCCTACCAGGTTCACTAACACCCCCCGCCACAGCCCTTTGTCGATGACGACCACCCGCTCCAGAACTTCTTTCCCCCTCGTGTTTGGGCTATTCGCATCCCGGTCATTCTTATTCTCGTCGGTTGCGCCGTTGTCGGTTCTTTCCTGGGCACCGTCATGATCCGAAGCAACAGGAAGAAGGCTGCTAAGGCTAAGGCTGCCGCGAAGAAGAAGGCGTAAACAGGTTACGAGGATTCGGCAGTTTTTACTGTGGCTGTCTAGCCAAAGCTCGCACCAAATCACCTCGCGATTTGGATTCCTAGTGATTAGGACACCCAGCACAATTTCTGGAAGGTCTAGGCCATCGCACATATAGATGCACAGAAATGGGTATCTAAGCTGCTTGTATTGGAGAAATGAGTGCAAACTCATTTCAGGACCAGTGCTACCTATTCTCAATATGTCCAAGGACTACTACCCCGTGCCAGAGATAATTTCAATAAAAAAATACCAATAAAGGAGTGAGCGGAACGACCGGCCAAATATCCAGCCCCATGATCCCAAGGCATCGGCCAGCAAACGCGCTGACACACCGATCCTCCCATCCGTGACAAAATCATGGCGCAAATGAATAATGGTCTAACCTAGCTCCAAACGCCTATTGGATCGTTTCTCAAACTCTCTGATCGGCAAAGTCAAGGACCTCGCAGTCATCCTCAAAAAAGCCGTCCTCCTCCTCCGTATGGCGAGCTCCACGTCGTCTTCGAGTCGTGACGACAATTTCGTCCCCATTCTCTCCACGGTGCATGACTCTTTCCATTGAAGACAGTGGAAGCGCGCGGTGGTCATCCGAAATGTTGAATTCATCTTCTGTGACCGAATGGTGCCCAACATCTAGCCTGACCATATTGAGTGGTTGGCCAAATGCCCAGGCTCCCGAGGCGGTCTGTCCTCCAGAGGCATCTTGCGTTTGCGAGCGCTGCTGCCGCTTCTTCTGCTTTGGCGTGAGCCGGTCCTCTAAGTTGGTTTCGGACATGAGCGCAGCCAGCGACGGCGTTTGAGTTGACGTAGGCCCGCCATATTCGAAAAGTGATACCCGCCTATCCGTGTGAAACGGCTGGTACGGTGCACTGGATTCTATCTCGGCCTGAGGGATCGATGCCTCTGCACTCAGGTCAACCTGGAGAGGCTTAGCACGAGGGTCGAGTGTCAAGGTGTTGCCAGTGTCCATCTCTCGGTCAGACAAATCCAGGTACTCATCCGAGTCAATGAACTGCCGAACTGCTGGAGCAAACCCGTCGTCCGGCAGTGGGTGAACCTTGAAGTCCTTGTAACGAAGACCGCGTGACGTTCGCTGCTTGTTGGGAGTAGCTGCTGGGCGACGTGTCTTGGATGGGAACGAGCGGACAATACCGTCACCCACGACATATAGGGTATGATACTTTCTACCGGTAATCCATACGACGCATGACGCTGTCGGCAGCGATTGGCTTTGAGGCAAAGAAACACGGTTTTCCCCAGTGTGACGCAACTGGTTAATTGCAACACCAGTTTTGCCTAAGGAGTGACTGATACTAGCAGCAAGAGCCCTTCCACCGACGCTCGCCGAGTCAACAAAATTGCCACCGGCAAGACCCTGTGCATTCACGCTACTCCTACGTGGTCGAGTAATCAAGGGCCTGGCGGCCTGGTAGGCAGCACCAAAAGCGCTGGAAGCGATGGAAACGGCAGAGCTGGGCGCATCTGATGCGGGTGCCCCGTTCTCTTCCGTTGCCTTGCGACGACGAGGCGGTGGCCAGGTGAAGGCGCTCGACGGCATGTCTAGGAGATGGACTGTACCTCTTTCAGTCACCATAGCGATCCGCTCTCCGTTGGGTTTTGACCAAGCGACTTCGACGATTCGAGCTACAGTCATTCGGGAGAACTGAGCAATCTGTCGCACTCTCGGGCCCATTGCATGGTTTGTAGCTGACACTTGGAGAGGTGACGATTTTGTGTATTGAATACACATCAGGTCCCAAACAGTCTGCACGTCACCCTTGCCACTCGCAGTAAACAGCGACAATCCAGTTGGGGAAAATGACAAGAAGCTGCAACCGAGCGGTGACGTGAATGTAATGAGAGGGTGCAGTGTGGCCGATGCTGGCAAGCTGTCCATGTCTAAAACAGAGACCAGGCCGGGATCTTTAGTTACAGCCTGGCCTGGTGTTCCATGGGTGGGCGGAAACTGCGATGCATCGTGGCGAGGAGGATAAGAGCCAGCCCACTGCTGAGCTGCCAATGGGGGCGATCTAGACTGTTGAGGAGGCGTTTGATTTGCGTTCTTGTTCCAATACGAATTCCAGGCCTGCAGCCCTTGCTGACCAACCCATTTGGCACCAGAAATCAACTCCTGAGTAGTCTCGCGCATGATCTTGTTCATCATACTCTCCGACATGGGCGAGTCAACCGCCCCGGTGACGCCGGGCAGGACGGGCGAGGTTACTGAGGTGATGCCAGGAGCTTTGCCAAGGATAGGGACTGGTACGTGTGCACGAAGAGCAATCTGCGAAGATGCCGCCGGAGGGCAGTAGGCGATCCACTTTCCGCTGAGCGAAAGTATCGGAGTCTGGGGGTTAGGACGCGGTGGTGCAGGTGAATTGCGTCGTTCCGTATCCTCTGCAACCTCACCTCTCGGAGGTTGTTGTAGGCTAGTCCAGAGCTTTCCCACGCAGCCAAAACGAACAGGGCCGTCGTTGGAGTCCAGAATCTGACGATAGACCCAGCACTCTCCGCTACTACCCGAAGCGACGACTATGTTGCCAGCATCAGCTTTGATTACGAACGCCCCAGTAGGAGGAGGTGCCTTGAAGATTGGCCTGGTGACCGGAGTCGAGAGAGGCACTTTCGGGGCCTGAAGCAGTACATCTACAAGCTTTCCGGTTTTTAACGAGTACAACTCGACAGATGTCTGGTAAAATTCGATAGCCGGCGTGAAACGTCCGGATGGACCTCCCTTTTGGCTTCCGTCAGCCCGAGGGCTGCCAGGAACATCGGCTCGTTCTTCGGCGGTGGTCTCATTCGCTGCTTGTATGGCGATTTCCGGCGATGCTTGGGGCAATACTGGGCCATGAACAACGACAGCGACAAGGGGGCCAAGATCGGCCTTGTCATTAGGAGTGGACCAAGGCAAGATCTTGGCGTTGTATACGCCGCCTCGGAGTCCCTTGAGCCCGGCAACACGGTCAAGGCCGCGCTTGTTGACCGAGTAAACCTCCAGGCCACCTTCGTACCCCGCCAAAGCCACGTTGTCTGATCCCGGTAAGAGTTCGCTGTGAGGCGACGGCAACGTATCAAAGCCAAAGTGGTAGCCCTTGTCGCCGGCCTTCATGCCATTTTTAGATGCCATGTCAAAATCAATGTCCGGCGCACCGTAAAAGTGCGGCTGAGGTTGGTGAGGAAGCGGAGGTTGCGAGCCAACTCTTGCGTGGGACAGCTGAGATTGCATGGAGCTGCGGCGATACGCTGCCGCAGCTGCCGGTTGATGGTATGCTTCAAGTGGATACTGAGCATCCATCTGGAAGCTGAGGGGACGCTTCATGTGGTTGGGCATGCTATTCGGAGGGGAAGGCGACGCCGTTTGGGGGGTGAGAGCCTGGCGCTGAACAGCCCACCCGTGATGGAGGCGACCAGAATCCTCGTAGGAGGACGGCTGGGTAGGCGGAGACTCGCCCATGAGGCTGATCAAATTGCCTGGAGAACCAACAAGGCCTCCTCTTGCCCATTCGTGGTTTGTACTTGCAGCAGTGCTCGCCGAGACGGAGGTTGTGGAAAGAGCATCCAGGTTCGGCGAGATAGTGGGGTGCCCATCGTATGGCGACGGGTCTTGAGCGATGGGTCTAATATCGGGGGAATTTACAGGAGGTGACGATGCATCGGACGCCGGGCTCTTGGAAGGACTGCCGTTTCTTAGGGTTCGTCAGTGAAAGTTGTCGCAACAAAAGTGCAAGGAAAACAGGGGGGGTGTGCATGGGAACTGTGACTCAAAGGTGTTGATGATCGCGGGGTTCAGGAGAGGGGGATAGAGAACATACGCGAACTTGCCTGCGGCGAGTTTCGTCACCGCGGCACTAACCGCACCATCTTTCGCGTTTTTTCTTTCCTTCTTTGCTTTAAGGGAAGATGTGGTCAGCGTTACTGCCGATATCGAGAGTCCAGCGCTTCTGGATGGTGGCGGAGGGGGTCCGAACTTACTCGGCATTCAAGTGGTGTTGCGCCGCAGTTGGAGCAGTTTCCTGCTCCAAGGACCTGCGTTTCCGCAAGGCAGCTCTACCTTTTTAAAGGAAGTCTCGGCGCGTCGAATGCAAGGAGAAGCGTAAAACGGGCGAAGAAGTTGACAGGATCGTATGAGGGGTATCGGGACAAGAAGGAGAGTTGTCGGGTCTATTAGAGGATCGCGCGTCGAGAGTCGACAAAGGCGACAGAGGACCTCGAAAGGTAAGTGTGCCGCAAAGGTTTCGAAATGCTTTGTATGGAACGGGCAGTTATGTATGGCAAATGCTGGAAAAGAAAAGAGGCAGAATATGCCGAGCGCCGTTGGGCAAGATGGTGTTGGTCAAGGTTGTACGGTAGAAACAGAAGGGAGGTTAAAGAGCGGCGTTGTACGGAGGCACAGCCAAAGTGGACAGGAAAGTAATTACGATGACGGGGTCAAGAAACAGTCTATGGAAAGAAACACAAGAGGAAAGTCGTGACGGACGTGACAGGACGTGACGTGACGAGTATGTTCACGGGAATGCTGCTTATGGTGGTTGGGTCTGCTTGTTGTTGATGAGTCGAAGAGTGAAGCGCGGGAGAAGTGAGGTCAGTCACCCCGGGGAGGTAGTAGGTAGGACCAGGGCCATTAGGATCCCCAGTTAGAGGTACACTTCCAGATACGAATAGCAGGTGGGCTTAATTTGGTACGTGCTTCAGCAGCAGGTCCAGGTCAGGCCGGGTGTTGTCAGGTACACCACCATCACGGGGGTCATCTATGAACGGGGTCAGAGTAGCGCGCAGTCAGATAGGCAGAGATAAGATACGGAAGCCGGACCTTCCTTGCCTGGGCGACCGGCTCAACGACGTCCTTCAACCTTTCATCCTTCAGCAGGTGCAGCTACTGCCCGCGGGGGGTGTGAAGCGGGGCTGTTGCGTGCTTGCGCTTGTTGTACTCTTACTTTGCTCCCTCGCTCCGAAGACGGTACGGTAAGCCTCCCCTCCTCCCCCCCTTCTCCAAGCCACCCCTCCACGCCCTCAATCTCAATCAGTCAGTTGGAGGAACCAGAGACAGGGAGCAGGGGAGGGTGCCAGCCCAGGCAGCTGGCTATAATGGTGGTAGTGAGGGAGGGAGGGGTGTTTCCGGTGGGGACTTCCCAGGCACTGGCAATAGCGCTGGTTTGGCGCTGGCACTGGGCATTGTCCCGCGATGCAGCCCGGGAGGTTCCAGGTTAGAGGTATTCCTGCCCCTCGAGCATGGCGTCCGGTACATCACGGCGGGATGTAGCGCAGGGCAGAACGCAGGACGCAGTGCGGATACAGATACAGATACAGCGCACCAATCTGGGACCAGCTTGCATCGAACAAGGGGGTGGTTGGGACTCGACTGGTGCGAGAGGTCGTTTGAGGTACTGCCCTCGAGATGATTGGTACATCTATACTTGAGTGTACAATGAGATACACCTCCCCTCCCCATAACTGTACACCTTGAAAGCACCGTAGTACGTACCAACAGACGCCGACACTGACTTGACACTTCGGCGCGCCCTGGCCTTGGTCTGTTCTGGTCACCCGGAGTTCAGTCCAGCCCAGCCAGCAACTATCGCATTCTACAATGCGCCTTCTTCTCTTTGCTTATTCACTAATGAAAGATGACCAGATACTATACCACTGTGTAGTGTAGTTTGTTTGTCCTTTTCCTCCCGGATTTATCCAAGTCCCATTTGACTTGTCAGAGGGACACCATCCATCTACCAATCCAGGACTGTCTGAGACCCCTCGTTTCGCTCGACATTACCGCTCTCTTCCATTCACTTCCATCGATTCACCATGTGCCTGGCGGGCCTCCCACACCACACACACACTCACGCACACAATTCACTCACACCTTATCCTAAGCTAGGCGTTGCATACGCATACAGAGTATCTTCTTGCCGAGGCCGGGGATGTGGGCGGGAAATGGGAAACTCGGGCGGCAACGGCGCCAGGTCTGGCCAAAGCTACATCTATCTGCTGTGTAGCAGCAAGACCAAAACTGTCAACCCAATTTATGCCAACAGACCAGCAATAAACAGCACTGTGGCTTCCCCCCTCATTCACCCAATCTCGCTCATCAATCTCCGTCAGATCAATCCATCTCTTCCCCGTCGGCGGGACCGGTTGTTGGCGTCCGGGCTGTGCGTACTTGCGCCCGCGCGAGGACAAGAGAGTGATGGACGATGAATGAGACCGACGATCTGGAAATGACTGATACCGCTATGGCCTGGTGACGACGGCGTAGATTCGATATTCTAGACTCGCTGAACCAAGCTTCCCCCGGACCAACAGCATGACGGTTCGCGGACTAAAATAACGGTTGCCCGTTTCCCACTACCGCCAACTTGGAAATTGCCTCGCAACCCCCGTTCCCCCCAGCTGGTCTATACTGTATGCCGTGGTTATCCTGTATTCCACCGTCATCGGTCACCCGTCCATCCTATCGCGCGCATTCTCTTAAACTGCCACACTCGACACCTTTTGGCCAGGCCGTCCGACTGACGACGGCACCTGACCTCTCGGTGGAGGACAGGGGACCACCACGTCAGGTGAACGGGCCACTCACAGCTTTCCCGTGGCCCACGAGAACAACACACCACCACTGACGTATGTAGGGCTCTCCCAGCAACCCCTCCTTATGCTTGCAAGCTCGCCTCCCAGGCCGGTCCTTTGCCTCCTGGGAAGACCTCTCAACCCTCGCTGTTTCAAGATAGGATGCTGGTATTAATGAAGTCATCTGTTGGGAAAGCTGACTTCTGGCTATCTTCGGGTTATTACCTAAGACGGGCCCCAATTCGATGAGGCGAAGCGAGGCGAGACGGCGCAGGGCGAAGCGACGTCCGCGGGCGACGCATGGCCCTGGGACGCCCGTGGTCGCGATATCGTCGGTGCGCAACTGCATGGGGGCGGTCTGAGGTTGAAGCTATAACCGGACGAATCCATCGTCATCGATGAGATCAAGACCGATGAGTGCCCGTCCCTAGGGCTGGGGAAAGGGAGACCGGAATGCCATCGCCGAAGCAGAGTGGCTGCGACCAAGCACAACGTCCACCAATTAGCCAGCACCGTGTAACACCAGTTCCTCGGGGGCTAATGCCATGGATCACTTCCTACTCTATATTTTTCTTTTCTCTCTCAAGTTCCCTCCCTGGCATTCAGGATTGCAGTGTGGCAGTCGTCACCTCTTACGCTTCAAATGTTCGATTCTGGAGGCAACGGCCCCTCAATCGGAGCCCACTGGTCAAGCCAGACCCGATAAGTTCCCATACGCCATTCACCGTTGTACTTTGCCCATGCCGCACTTCCAGCCCAGCTGAATGTGCTTTCATTTCCATCCAACCCCTTTCGCTTTACTCCGCCCTTCAACATGACGTGCACTCCATGTTCGGTTACCGATCCGATTGCGCTCGTGATCCAGTGCTTCCTCGCCGAGACAGGGCTCCACATCTCCGTCCGCAGCTGCCGTAGGCCTAACCCAACTGTCAGCTTACGACTGAGATAATATGTGGCTGCATTATTACGTACAATCGTGTTTCTCAGCCTCCTGCGGTCCAATTTTGACTTTGGCGTCAGGCGTGAAGAATTCAAGCCAGCGATCGTTTAGGTCCTTGTTGTCGCTGGTCCGGTAGAAGTCTCTAATGCGGAGCCGGAGGTCCCGGTCAATCGCCGTCTCGTTCGGCGAGAACGGCTCCATCCGCGAGTAGCTGTCGAACGGCTCGATGCCTTCCGTAGCTGCAAACTTATCCATGTTGATTATCCGATGTTGCAAATTGTTCTGTCCAGCGTGTGTTGTTTTCTGGAGAGTATACTGCACGTACCTCAAAGCGGTGGAGGTGTGACGTTTATATCCGCTAAAGTCCCGTTGTTAGTTCTTCGGGTCGGAAGCGACCTAATTGACTGGTACCCGAACATCGGGACTCGTATCCGGAAATGCATCACGACCGTCCAGTCACTGTCGCTGTGCTTCTCTTTACCTTCACGATTGCGACATTTCATCACCAAATGCCACATTTAACAAGGAGGCAGAGCTTGTAGCAAATTTCGTTAAGTGCTCACGCAACCCAAGTCACTCCAATACATACATTAAGACTTCCCCGATTTGGTCAAGAATATCATTTCTCTAGCTTATTCGTCCAAGACGACTGGATTGTCGGCACTCTGGCCTTTACCACCCGCCCACAATCGTTCAATTGGATGCCGCTTATGACTTACGAGACTTGGGTCTACATGTTCCAACTGGCCCTTTCTGCGAGTACTCTCAGTACCGGCCTTTCGCAGAGTCCCCAGGTCATCACTCTCATCAACTGTTTCCTGAGATGAGATGTCTAGCTCCCAGAACTTGTCATCTCTTCTTCTCCACGGTTGCTCAAACGATGGTTTTCCTTGATCGGCCGACGCTTTTGCCTTCCTCTTATTGGAAGACCAACCTATATCACCACTGTTCCTGGAGGTAACTAGAGACCCACCTGTGAGAGCTTCATTGCTGTCGAAAGGAATCACCCTCTTTTTACTAGCGTTTGATGAAGACACTTCCCTGGGCCGTTTCTTGCGAACCCGTGGCGTCATGGTGCTCTCACGCCATTGTTGGAAATCCTCGTGGGAGATGCCGTGGACGCAAATCGCATCCAACAGTTCGCAATCAACCTTTGTGATCGCGGTCGCCCCAAACAGGGACACCTGGATAATTGCGTCGTCTATCCCTAGAAATACCCGGGCCGGGTCGATCTGAATGGGACTCGTCAACCTCGGCTTGCTCTTATGCTTGAACGCCTCCACGAGGTCTCGCGCCCCGCCCTTGTTATGCAGGAGCCTATGAGCCACTTCTATAGGCGCGAGATGGTGAAGCGGCCATGTGGGCTTTTCATTGCGGTTGAAATGCGACTGCAGGAACGGGATGCTCGTTATCAAACCCTGCACCGTGTATCCCCGGAAGTGTCCATGCCGCAGCTGTTCCAGTCTATCCCGTCTGGAAACAATCGGGTTGCGGCAACTCCTCAGAACTTCGAGGGGAGCGAACTTCCGATCGTGGACGTTTTCTCTGCTGCGTTCACTCGGCAGAACGGACTTGAGACGGTTCCCCCAGACGAAGCGCTCAGAAGGTGTCTCCATATCCCAAAACTGCTCCACAAAGTCCCCCTCCTGCACCGCCTCGCTCTGCACCACTTTCAGAGCCACAGCAGCTCCGCAACCTACCAAGCCGTCCGTGTAGTCGCACCCGGACAGCACGGCAAACAAGGCAATGCGCTCTTTCGAGAACCCCAGGCCCTCGACGTCCTCCATGTGGAAGATCTCCACGACGTCTGGGTCCTTGGTCTTCTTGACGAGGACGCGGCAGCCGAACATGAAGGCGTCGTTGCCCTCACTCCACACCGCGTCGACGACCCCGAGCTGCTGCAGCCGGCCGCACTCCGCCTCCGCCTCGCCCGGCGCCTGGTGCCAGGGCACGCGGAGGTTGTCGAGGAGCTCCTTCAGCAGGGCTATGTTGCCGCCCGCGGTCCCGAGTTTGGACTTTCGCCCCTTTTTCTTGGAGGGCCGCTCGTCGCCGTCGAATATGAAGAGAAGCTGGATGCCGAGGCGCATGAGGCGGAATATGCGGTGCATTATGTTCCGCTCGATTGGATTTGAGCCTTCGGCGCCTTTATGTCGTGTTAGTGGGTGGCATTATCTTGCCGGTTTTACTTGTATGAGATTTATAAGGTGACTACAGGATTTCTACGCCCGACATGTAAAAGAAAAGAGAAAAAAAAGTGAGAATGAATGTCAAAGGGAAAGTCTCGTAAATAAGACAGACCTTTTCGAATCTCGGCTATCCTAGATACGCCAGGAGCCTTATATCTCCAATGCGCTTCGTCCACGGCGATGCGAAGCGGTCGGCCGTGCTTCGTGATGTGTTCCGCCGACCATTCCGCCAGGGTTTTCTTCTTTCCTACGTTGGCGATGATGGGCCAGAGTCTGGAAGGGAGGAAGACGACGTTTGGAAGTTAGCATGAACTGAGCCCCGTCTCCCAGATAAAATCCAAAGGGAATGTCAACGTTACCCGTCAATGCCCATGTTTGTAAATACGTAACACAACTCCAAATTGCTAGATTGTAAGAAACCAAAACTTGATCTCTGTGAGTGAGAGAAATTCTAGACGCGCAGTTCCTAGAGTATGTTTATGCGGGCAACGCGCATGCAAGGATGAGGGGTAAGACTCAAAAGGGGGGAAGGAGCACTAATATCAGCACTATATGTTCAAAACCTTATACGTCAAGGGAGGAAAAACGGTGAATTTTACTGCAGAAAATCGACCTCATATATATATATATATATATATCCCTGCCATCCCTAATCAAGTTTGCTAGAACATGGCAAGTGTTGATGGCTGTGTCACTGATCAGCTTATTTAACAGGTACTGTTGTCGACTGTGCCCGAGTACAAGTGCAATCCTTGTTACCTGTAAACCCCATGATGCCGAATGTGGGGGATTTCTTTTCCTGGTACGAGACGTTAGAGCGTAGAGAACCGTTGTCGATGAGCCAAGAATATTCGATAGACACAGAAGCAAAACAGAATATAGCAAACAGAGAACCTTAACATACACGCCGCAACTAATACTCGTTCGAATTATATCCATAACACCAATCATGGTGCATGAGGGTATACACTAAAAATACAATATAGCCACGACTCATATCCGTGATGAGTCCTTTAATCCGCGGGCCGTAGGCCCATCCGCCTTCACTTCCCACCCTTCTCAACGCCATATCAAGCAGTACCGGTATAATTATATCGTATCCCATGTCTTCCGCCTCATCTTACATTTTGATTCCCCTCGCGTTTACCTCCCCCTTCTCCCCAATGTTCAGGCGCACACGACAGTCGGGGCAATACCACTTTGTCGTGCGCGCGGGAATCGTCGCCATACCTACGCACTCCAGATGGAACCATTCCTTATCGCAGTTCTGTCTTGCCGTTAGCGCCTAATGAACAGAACGAACAGGGCCAAGGGTACTCACATCATTGTCGCACGCAATCATGTCCCCGAAGCTGACTCTATTGCAATCGCAATAGCGCGGCTCGTTTGGGTCAATCACATTGCCATCGTCGTCTTCCTCCAATTCAATCTCAATAGGCTGGCCCTTCTCCTTCTTCTGCGCCCTCTTCTTCTTAGGCGCAGCTTTGCGCTTAGAAGCGGCACTGCTTCCTCCAGCGTTCGTCTTGCTGACGATACCGGGCGCGGGCTTTCTAGTCCTCTTACTCGGCTGTCGAATCTCCGGTGCTGGTGTGTTCCTCGCGGTACTAGCGCGACGGGGTCGGTCGACCGCCAGCGAGGGCTGAGGTTCCTGACTGCCAGCTTTTCCTCGCGAGCTAGGACGACGACCTCCTTCCGGGACCGGCGTAGTGCCTGGTGTGGCGGCTCTGGATGACGATTGCTTAATGGACGGTGCAGCAGACGAAGAGCGCTGGCCTAGTGGTGGCTGGGGGGGTAGCACGGCTGTGGGGTTGTCTGCTTGTTGCTGGGTCTTCTTCGACTCGCCCCTGGTCTCTCTTCGCGTCGCAGAGTCGCGAACTGGAGGAAGAATCGGGGTGGTGGATTTCTTAGGAGACAGGATGGGTGGGGGGATGGGGGTCTCGGCAGGTGCTTTGGTAACTATGTTCGCCGGAGTGGGGTTGGGAGCCGAAGCAGCTGGGCCAACTGAACCCGTTGGCGATGAGGCTGGTGCGCTCGTGTTTGCTTGCTTTGATGCAACAGGTGTCGCAGCGGCGTTGTGGTCCTGCCCCGGAACAGGAACGGGCACCGGTGTAGTCGTCTTGGGAGTTACGGTGGAGCCTCCAGGGGTAAGAACGGGGGGCGGAATGGGAGTCTCAGACAACGGCTGCGAGGTAAGGTTGGCTCTGAGATGAGGCAGCGGGATAGGAGTCTCCGTCTTCGTGCGCTTTGGCGCGGGGCGGGGAGCCGGGGTCTCGACTACCTCGGGTTTTTCGGGCTTCTCAGCTTCGGCTTCCGGAACAGAGTCTCTTTTCCGCTTTCCATTTGTCTTTGGCCTCGATCTAGTAGAGTTGGACTTGGGCGTAGACTTTGTTTGGTCACCATTGGCAGCTGCAGACTGTGCTTCGCGGGACATTAAAAGCCTTGCGGCCTCCCTAAATTGCCGGGCGGACTCTTCGGCTTCTTCGGCCGCCTGCTTGGCTAGCGATTCCCGCTTGAGCTTTTTCGCCTCGTTGAGCTTCATACCCCGGTTACTAAGCTGAATGTCGTCGGATGCAAGCGCGGCAGCGCTAATAGCACCCTCTGGAAGTGGCTTGTTATCTGATCCGGCGTCCGGAGCGAGAGCTGGCGGGACTTGATCAAAGGTTCTACCCTCGTCCTCGGCCTTCTTCTTCGCTTCCTTGTAAGCATCAATGCCTCGACCAAGTGTCTTCAGTTCTCGCAAAATCATAGTATCACTTGGGTTCCAAGTTGCGTTCTTCTTCATGCGCTTCCGTAGTCTCGCCAGTTCCCAAGGTGTCAGCTGGAGCCAAGGAGCGTCCGAACTTCCTATAACGGCATTCTCCGGTGGGGGTTGTAGCGCAGCAGCAGGAGTGGCTGTGGTCGCGGGCGTAGCGGCCGCCTTGGGAGGTCTCGCGGAAGCTGGCTGTTTGGGCGTCTTTGGAGGGCGAGATTTTGGTGTCTTCACGACCTTGATCCGTGGCCCAGGCGTAGCCCGAGCCGGAGTTCGTCCAGGAAGTGACTCGTCATCTTCCTCGGAGGAGCTCTCGGAGCTGTCATCCGAGTACGCCACAAACTGATCATAAGGCGGAAGAACCTCGCCAGGAACTGTAATCCTGGGTATCCGGGGGCGCCGTAGCCTCTCTCCGTCGCCATTTCGCAAAACTTTTGGTGCTCTGACCATCTGCGGTGACTTGGATGTCGCCACGGGACTCTTCTGTTCCTCCGAGGGGTAATTTTCCATCATAGTCTTCAGTTTCGCCAGTATCGTCTTTGCGCGATTATAATGCCGATTCACATTCTCTGACATGCGCGTCGCCTCGGCGTGCGCAAAAACCCTCGAACTGACAGCATGGTTGAGATTGTCCGATATGTCAGCGCGCAGTTGCACAGGAGACGGGCGTTCTTCGGCGGGGAGGCTGGGAAGTTTGCCCCAGGTAGAGGTGAGGTTGTGCACGTTGAGGGACGCATGGTTGTAGGTTTGGTCGAGTTTACCGATCAGGGTCAGCGATCGCATCATATCGGAAGGAAGGTATTCGGTAAAGTCGAGGAAGTCAGTGACGGTAGCTTGCGCGTCCGGGTCGGCGCGCATCTCAAGGGATTCGACGGAGTTGCTGATGGATCCCAATGACTGATGAATATCGTGCTCAACTGTTGTCTTGTTTTTGGGCGACACATCGACGTCCATAGCGTCCGCGCGCTCGTCGGTGGTGGCCATCTTTGCTCGAGATAAAACGATGTGCGGCCAAAGAAAGCAGCGCGCTTATTGCTATGAGCACATTTGGTGCGCTGAGGTTGGTTGTCGCCGTCGGATGAGGTGCAAATTGATGTTTGCGCATGCCTTGAGATGTGGTCGGCTGGCGCGTTTACGAGGGGGTCGCGACCAGAACCGTGGTCTGGTTTAGCTTGAGAAGCTCCCTGGCGCTAGCAGGAGGTAGCGGGGCCCCTGACATCCACTGACAGATCCTTGCGCGATGAGAACTGGTCTGTGCGCGATCTCTTTCGGAGTATTAAAATTCCGCATGGCAGGTCCCCCCACGGCAACTGACACCCATGGTGGTAGCTGAACACCTGCGCCATGGGCTTGCGTTCCACCCCCTATTTCATTGACTTGATGATAGCAACTGCTCGGCTGAGCCTTCTTGTTGCGGGTTGCCGTAACACCAAGTGACTACCATTCAGTTGTACGTCACTTTCCCTTTGATTGAAAGATGAATTGGCAAGCTACCGGTGTACTTGCAAGCCTCTCGGGAACACAGCTTGAGGTCAGAAGGTGATTGTTTGACATCTATTATTAATCAGAGCTACAAAAAAACGCCATGCTTCCACCAACGCCCCGAAACCCACCCATACAAGCGTCTAAAGGCACCAACGGCCTCTATCTTACAATGTCTCCTACTGGCTGTTTTCCTCAGCCCATCTTTGAACCAGCCCTGACAACTTCCCCGTCTGCAGCCAGCGCAGCCGAGAAACCCGATTGGACAGGTCTCATTCGTGACACCAAAACCGGGAACTAGACTAAATGAATGCATGTCTCAGTCATACACTCACCAGCTCACATCTTCTTCGCGACTGATGATGGCACCCCAAATCTTCTCGTCCTCTTCGACCTGGTAACCAGAGTTCTGGCCGATGATCGTAAGAGAGCCATACAGTGTCATCTTTTTGCACGTCCTACAATCGGTTAGCATCAACAGAGGTCGCCTCCATGTGATATGAAGTCACTTACAAAAAGCCATTGATAGTCGTATTACCATAAATCTCCAGTTCCTTGGCCTCGCATGTTCCCGAGACCGTTAACTTTCCAAATCCCTTCACCTTGTCACTGTTCAACCGACAGTCAGTGGCGTTGCTTTCCAAGTTGGGCAATATTAGTGTGCTAGTTTGCTTACCGGACAGACATGTATCCGGCCACATTAATGTTTCCGTACGCCTTCATTTTTCCACTGCAAAGCAATTGTCAGTCCATAGTCTTGCTTGGGCTCCACTATATGGAGATAAATCTGTTCGAGACTTACTCGCAGGCCAAATTGCCATTGACTTCGATGGCACCATATGCTTCAACCTTGTCTCTTACGTCAAAGTCGCCGTTGAAGATGACATTACCCCCAGATCGCACGGATCCCCCAACCTCAATGGGTCCTTGCAGCGTGATTTCACCATCACTCTTGATAGATTTGGACTTCAGAACAGTTTGTTCCGGCGTCCCTGCCTCCACAGAAGAGTTACTGGGCCCCGTAGTTGCCGTCGTTGTGGAAGAGGCATAGTAACTGCTCGTTCCTGCCAAGGACCCATAGTATTGCTGGTCATAGTACTGTTCTTGCGTGGCCGTCTCCTTGCCCTTCCTCGGCGAGTTCTTGGATCTGGAAGACATCTTCAAGTAATAAAGGTACAATGAGAAAAGGGAGAACACAAAAGAGGAAGCGAGACTGATGCTAGTGTTGATAACGATGATTCAAACTATACAGAGATCGGATATTCGAAACTTCAGCGGCTACCCTGAAGCAATATATGGACCTCTATAATGAGGCTCTCCTCTCTCCGAACCACAAACCACGCCAAACCCGCCGACAAATACCGGTAATCGCCCACCGAGAAAAGGGCAGAATGCCTCAGCCGCTTCACCACCACCAGACGGTGATCTGGGCCGAAGCGAAGCTGAACCTCGTCAAGGTTACATTGAGCGACACTCGCAGCACACAGACTGCCTTGAACCACCCTCCCTCCACGCCTAATACATACCACAGAAGCAAGGAATCCACAAAAACCCAAGATACGGATAGTATCCGATCGTCGGTCACAGACATTGGCCGGTGAGTACTAGTAACGAAAAAGCAGGTTGGGTAAGAAAACCCCCCCTTCCCCCCGGCGTAGGAATGTCAGGCATGCATGTAGGGGCATCATCATCACCCTCTTTGAAGAAAAAAACACCCTGCCTCATGCAAGCCTAATACGATAACGCCCTGCGCCGGGCAACCGCCAGGCGCGGCAAATGCCGTCGTATCGGTTTACCTCCGACTGCAGATAGTCTCAGGTCATGACCCAATGCCCGGGAAACTACCTTGCAAAAATCGCACCAAAAAGAAACTATTACTCGACGCAGTCCTTGACGACCCCCCCGGCACGAAACCATTTGCTTTCGGTATAGGTGGGAGGCTGACCGGTCGACCTACCTACCTACATGCCCTGCCGCAAATCATCCCGATTGGGAGCTTTTTTGTCGGTTGACAGGGGTGGCGCAGCCTTACTTACAAACCTGACCTTACCCGATCACCTGGGGTGTAAACTAGTTGAACTGGTCCGCCTCACGAACCACGGCATGAACTGAAAATCTGCCGCGCGAACCGTCAGCCGCGCATGATGAGTGCGTCGGTAACATAACACAGGTCACAAAAGTCAACCACCAAAAAGGTTTTGTTGGACGATCAATCAAGCGGGAAACGGTCACCGCTGCAGCTGCTTTCTCTTCTTGTTTTCGTCACTTTTTTTTCGTCCCTTGTTAACCCCCCCCCTCCCCACCTTTTCAGCCCTACCTATGTACGTCGGCTCCCCGACCATTCACTGTCCCAAGAGACATGTTTCCGCTAGCGCGCCGCACCGAGCTCATCGATTCGGCCTAGCTCCTACAGTCTATTGTCCAGGCGAGGCTGACTCGGGATATATCATGATTATCACGTCACCCCCCGATACGGCAAGATCGTTGCGACAAGCCTCTCGGTATGACCTTCCCGCGCCAAGTTTCTTTGCCGCAAAAGGTAAACATGTTTCCGGGGAACATATACACACATGCAAGCATACTCTTAAGGATTCTTTTGAACAGATGTTGAGCTGTACATTACTCAAGACGCATACGAACTAAAGAGAAAGAATAAAGGGAACAAAAAAAAGTGGTATACAAAAACTTTGGTGACCGATGGGACGGGTAGCAATAATCAATGAACTTGCACCCTTTTACACTCCCCCGAGTCCCCGAACAGACAGCTAGCCTTCACCCCTCCTTCGGTCACAAAAGCTGCAGAATAGTCACCAGCTGGCCTGCAACCAACCCACTCATTGCTGTCGAGTTACCCAACGAACTCCTTTGAATCTCATAAGCGATTCCCAGTCTGCCCCGCCAAGGTAGCAGCCCTCCTTGGTTTATAACACAAATGAGGCAAGCTCTCCCCACCTAGTCTCATGCCTCCCCACCGCCAACAAATCCAAGACCGACGCCGGCGAGGAATGCAGCGGCAACCCACACTCCAGCGTACACAGCCGCGCCGTACGATTCAACGCCGTTGATCGTCATGAAAGTCTGTAGGTAGGTGTTGACACCCGTGAGGATCATAGCCACCGTCGTGCGCAGAATGACGACCTTTGCTCGTGTGGTGTAACCCCAGAAATTCCAAGCAAGAGTCTCGCCAAGTGTCGCTGTAGCGGGATCAAACTCCTCCAGCTTGCCGTCCTCGGCAGTCTTGCCAGTCGCAACAAAAGGGGTGAAGATGTACGTCTTCGCGGCGATGCCGAAGGCAAGCGTCACAGGCAAAGTGGTGAGGAAGTTGGCCGTGTACGCGGGCGCAAGGTTGGGCAGGCCCTCAAAGTAGAGCACGAGGTTCGTGGGCAAGAATGTCTTGTATGCGGTGAAAAGGGTGAAGCTGTAAGTGCCCGCAGCCAGAATAGTGGTGAAGAGGGTGATGGGGATGTCGGACAGGAGCTCGCGGTTTGCGACGTTCTTAGCGCCGGCGTGAGCGCCTGACAGAGGTCTCAGGAGCTGGAACGGCACAAAGGTGGACAGCATCTCGATGCCCAGCGCCGAGATCGCGGTCGCAGGGCTGATGTTGTAGAATGTGGCGATGAGGTACATCTAGACGTGAGCTGTTGTATTAGCAAACTGGTAGCAACTAGGCTCGTGGCTCCCCCCGATATGTCATCGTTCATCTCCGAGCGCAGAACGTACCGTTGGGCCATGCGCAAGCAGGTTGAGCGCAGCGAGATCGTAGCTGTCAAAGTTCCCAAACCAACCTAGCGCGAGCTCGAATCTGTTCGAGGCAAACAATCAATGTCAGCAAACTGCAAATTCTACCCGACGGGCATCGCCGTTGCTGACGGTGTTATCGCAAAGGGAAAAAAGGCAACATACATCCGCCAACCAGCCAACGCGGTAACCTCTCCCCAAGTATCCAGACTCTTTGAGATGCCCGCTAGCTCACCCCGGCTCCACTCGCTGAGGAAGCTATAGCACAGACTCGAAATGCTGAAGCTAAGCACTGTGACGAGCGGGAACTGCAGTGCGGTCGGCAGATGCGAGCGTTGCAGTCTCGGATGCAAGTGATCGCGGTCCCGCTCGCTGATCTGTTCGCTGACCTCCTCCTTCGTCATCGTCGCGGGCAGCTCCGTCGCGTCATTGACGACTCCAAGAGCCTCCACCGTGCCATCCGGTGCTGTGGCAAGAGTTTCGAGGTTGCTGGCGACGGGCTCGATCGCGCGAGTCTTGGTCTCGTCGACATCAATATCTGCCTCGGTACTGCGCGATGGCTCAGCTCTTCTTCGTAGAGTCGGCATCTTGGTTCCGTGTGTGGTATAGAGGTATAACAAGAGAGTGTTTTGCTTTTCAATAAGCTGATTAAAAGGAGTATACTTGGCAATGTGCGCCTAGTAAGAGGGTTAGAGGAAAGGAACAATTGGGCGATAGTGAGATATGGCAGACCCAAGGTCGCAGTTACCGTTTGCGACTTGCGACACAATGATAGCTCAAGGAGGTAAAGAGGGTAAAAAAAGTGAGACCTTCCCTTCCCACCAGAGGTATGGGCTATTGTGGCCTATGATGCTGCAGAGTGGAGAACAAAGCTGTGTCGGCGGGTAAAGTGACGTCGCTGGGGAAACAGCAGCTAGAGGAAGGTGGTGAGGGCGAAAACGCTGGAAGGGTCCCGCAATGGATGCCGACTTGCCCAACTAAAGCTGGAGAAGAAGGCACGCAAGCAGATGTAGCCCCCTCCCAAGGGTTCTGTATCCCCCACACCGCCGACCACCGAACAACCGCCGTGCTTATTCTGCCCACAGAACAACTTAAACTCCACTGTGAGCGGGTGCTCGCAAGGGTCGAATTTTACTGCTCCGTTTATTCGATCCGTATTTTGCAGATTTTTTTTTTCTTCCTTCGGCTTTTGTTTTTCTTTCCCTTCTTACTTTCTTCCTCTGCAAAGTCCTATCCATCCGTCAACCTAGAAACATAAAATACCCAACCCCCCCTCCTCGAATATTGGGGGCGAGGTTACCTTTCCATAAAGCTCTGTTCTACCAGCCTCCCGTGTGCTTGCTTGGGTGCCTGTGTGATCTTCAAAGCTTGATGAGCTCACATGCAAATCTTCGCCCTCGGGAGCAAAGCTCCGGGTATGCCTGGTTAAGGTTGCTGTTGGCTTGAGCCTGCCAATCCTGCTACTACTCCAGCCAACCGTCATGGTGGTATACAAGAGCCATGGTCCAAGCATCTGTCATCATTGCCATTCATCTCCCCATCACCAAAAAGCCACAAAGGTCACGAATTGAACATGTCAATTTTGATCATTTTTTTCTCTCTTTATTTCTTATGCTGGTTCCAAGCCGAACAAAGAGCTTGCGGCCATTCTTATGGGCATCGCACTCGTTTGTCTCGTGAGATCCATCAGTGTGATAGCTTTGGGCGTTCGCTCGACGCCCTCTCCGTCTCTCACTTTAACCTCGTGGAGATGCAATCTCGATCTCCCTTCCCCCATCAGCTTGCATTGATTCGCATGGCCTGGCCATGGTGATGATGCAAGATCGGGCCCTCCACTCCTTGGTGCTGAGAGATCGGCGGCGGAGACAGAACCACCTCATTTACAGGGTTTAGTATATGGTGGTACAAAAGAAACGATTCCTCCCCTTTCCAACCCTTCGCGGTCATGAACTCATATCCTTAGATATTGGCGGCATCATCGGCCGAAGGCAGAATCGCTATTCTTCCATGCGTCCGAAGACACCATCGTCATCCTCGTCGCTCCGAGATCGAGATCGACGGTCAAAGTCGTCGTCATCCATAACGCTATCATTGTCATCCATCTTGGTATCGGCGTGTCGAACCTCGCCTCGCGTGAAACTCTCTGGCTGTCTGCTAGGGAAGCTGTTGAGGAAACCAGTGCTGAACCCTCCGCTGAATCCTCCACTGAATCCTCCGCTGAAGCCAGCGCTAGAGAACGAGGCGGCTTGGTCGAGATACTGTGCCGGTAGCGGAGGCACAGGAGGGGCGTCAGCGGGTAGCGTTACCGTGCGCCCGCTGTTACTGTTGAAGCTGCAGCTGAGAAGCTCAACGGCAGCGGCCAAGTCACGGTCTTCTTGGCCTGTCGCATTTCTGCCTGATGATGGTGGTCGTTGATCTTGGCTGTTCTGACGGAAATGGGAGGAGAATGTCGAGCCCTGAGGCATACTGCCAGTTACAAGAGGGTTGGTGGACGGCGCCGACTGATATGACCGACCGAATGCGCCGCCAGAACCGTATCTCTTCGCGAACGAACGATCCGACGAATCGAATCCTTCCAACTGAGGTGGAGGAGTGGTATCGGCGGAGCTGTGTCTCTCGTCCGAGTATCCAGAGGCTGCCGGGGAAGCAGATTCTTGGTCACTGGGGAAGTCCTTGGCAGAATCCGGGGGCGTGGCCGCGTCAGCCTCGTCCTTTCCATGGTTCATTGTTAATAGGACAGAAGCAGCTTCAAGGAGCTGGACTTGTTGGTGCTTAGAAATAAGCAGCTTGGATGTCAGAGACCACTCGGGAGTGTGCTCCCACCTGCCCAGAAATGAGTCAACAACCGCCCAACAAAACCATGTTGATCAAACTGGGTCCAGCATTCGGATATCGAAATCCAGGCCAGAGAATACAGTATGAGTATACGGGGAATGGGGGAAGGGAACGAACAAATGCTTGGTCAGGCAACTACTGTGCTTGTATCCCTTTCCACACGTCTCGCATTTGAGCTCAACGCGATTGAATTTCCTGCCGCCCTCTTTCACGAGAGGCTGCCCGTCACTAGCGCGACGGATGCGGGCCTTTTGAGTATCTTCGCCCTCATCACCCGATGCATTGTTAGGTTCGTCCTCGATGGCGTTCTCGTGGACGTCCATCTTCCCGTCTAAGTGGAACTTCTGCGTCGGCAAACTCGGAGGAGGAGAAGGCAAGCTTCCAACGATTGCGGCGCGGGCGGCAGCGCTCTTTGATGCCGTGTTACGGCGAGAACTCAAGGCAATGGGCATTACCTTGTCTCCCCCGATTTCTTTAATTGCAGCCGCCATGGCCGCTGCGTTTGCAGCGGTGTTTGTCATGGACTTTCGGCGAGTGACGCGGTGGTTGGCATTGAGAGCGCCGCTGAGAATGGAATGGGAGTTTGTACGCGAGTGGGATTGTCGTGTGGTAAGTCCAGAAGATGAGGCAGACGAGAGCGAAGGACGGTGCTGGGTCAATGGCCTCGTAGACTGCTGCATTTCCTGAAAAAGGACGACAAGAGATCAGCACGACTGACTGGGTTGCGGGATGCGTGATGGGAGCGAGCTAGGCAGGACAGGGCATGGGTTTGAATCCCGAGGTCGGGCATACTTTTGAGGAGGCCATTGCCAACTACCGATGTTGATCAGGTTCGACACGAAAGGTCGAACACTTTGTCCCTCGCAAAAGTGTCGTAGAAGTGTAGTTGTCAGTAGACGCGGTGGTGCTTTTTGTGGTGTGTCGGGCGGTGGTAGACGAGTAGGCAGGTGATGAGTGAGTCGCAAAGGCAAGCCTCCGGACAAGAAATAATATTATTTTGGGGAGGAGCAGCAATTCAGCAGGGGGGTGTCTGTGGGCGGGTGTGCGTAGTAACTCCGAGTTGGGCCAGCCGACAGCATGTGGTGGAAGGTGGTGGTGGTATTGAACGGTTATGGGTGTCTTGGGGTTAGTCGACTGATGATCAACAGGGCTGTCGAGGTCCAGGCCGGCTTCAACTTTTTTTTTTTTTTTTTTTTTTTTTTGCTCTCTCCCTTTTTCCCTCTGTTTTCTGTGTCGCTTTGTCTTGTATGGGTAGCAGCTGAGTGAGAGTGAAAAGTTGTGGGCTCGAGACAGAGGACGTTTGGAAGAGGGACCCAAAAAGTCCAGCGATGGGCGAAACAGATCAGACAGCCCTTTCCACGTCGCCAGAATGAAAGAGAAGCGCTGGTCGGGGACGAGGTCCCGCCTTGATTGGTTGTTTAACAACCCAGGCCGCTAGGATGAAGGTACCATAAGGAGGAGGGATGGAGGGGAGGGGCTCTCCTCCTGTCCTCTGTCTCTCCTTTTGCTCACGACACTACTGCGTCTTGGTTACTATCCGCCATACTGTGCTCCTCTGTACGCAGAAACGCCGTCCAGCACTGCCAGACAGCAAAAGAGGAGAGTGTGGATGGATGTAGTGGTGGGCCGTGGCTGGGGGTGGACTGTCGAGATGGGGGCGTACACTTTAGGCTGGAAATGGAAGTGTCACTGGGAGGCGACCCGGTCATACTGGAGGTACCTCCCTCGCTGCGTAGCACCGTATGAGGAGCAAGAAAGTTGCGCTTCTCCCTCCGTGTCCCACAGTGTACAAGAAGTACGGCCTCCTTGGGCAGGCTAGCACCATCGCCCGAGTGAGTGCGTGGTGGGAAGTGGGCAACGACGCTGCGGACAGCATGGACGGGCGCCAGGAACAAGGAGCATGGAGCATGGACTGTGGCCCGTCCTTGTCCTGTTGCTTTGCCTTGGGCGAGCGATGGTCGGCCTCCCGAGCGATAGATGTGTCCGTAAGGCGCCGGTGCGGCGGGGAAAGGTCACTGGGGGAGGGGTGGATCGATGAATCCTGGTGAAGCCAGGTCCCATTCAGGACCAGGCCTGGTCCTCGTTCCCAGTCCAGCCCATACTGATCCATCCATCAACCAATCCTTGGTGATACAGACGATAGTGTGCCTGGGTTGCATGTCGTAAAATAGCAATTTTTGTGCCCGGCACTTTTATCCTCTTCTGCTCATAACTTTTGCCTGTTTCTTGCGAAGATTCCAAAATTTGGGAATGCGAATTTGCCAAAGCATGTGTGCTATATGCGGAACAGGCAGGTGGAAGCCGGATGCCGTTAAAGGCACAAAGCTCAGCAGTGCGCAAAGCAAAGAGTAATGAAATACCCTAGCAAAGGACCGTCGTTCTTTGTTGGTACGGTGCCTGGTCTGTCTCACACCCAGTGGTGGACTCGTGCTTGGGTGTCGCCGGACATGGATGGCTCAATCTGGCTCAAGTCCTCTTTTTTTTTTTTTTTCTTGAATCCAATGCGTTGTCGCGTTATTGAAAAGAGAAATGAATGCCATGAAGGCTAATATGTTTTGTTCCCTCCCCTCTCCTCTCTCAAATGCTGTTCGCGAGGAAACGAGGTGGAATGATTGAGACAATGGGCCCAGGAAATGCCATGTCTCGTTCCAAGCGAAAGACTCATCGACAGTAAAGTGGCATGTTTCGGCGACAGCTAGGTTCTTAGTTGTGTTTGCACCCCACGACAGCTTCGCTCCCCTGGCCTCACAGCTCCATCAGGTACCCGTAGGTGTACCTCAGCCGGAAGTCCATCCATTGCTCCCGGGCCTGGGCACTGGAGCATTGGAGCACTGGTCGCCTCCGTTTCTCAATTAACTGGAGAAGTGGCTCCTTGTCGGCTCAGGAGAGAGAGTTAGGGGGGCGCGGGGAGGAACGCAGTAGTTTGATGTGTTTTTGGTTTCGATGCTTTCTATACCATGCCATGCCATGCTATGCTGTTGCGTTGTGCGGTGCGAGCTTCAAGGTTGTGAGCTGTGCGCAATGCGCTGTGTTGTGCTGTGCCGTGGCCAAATGAGGGGGTTGCAGGACGCCATGCTAGGAGCTTGGGGAAGGTGGAAAAAGCAAGCTCTGCGTGTCTGCCAAAAAAAAAAAAATGAAACTTGGATGGATGGTGTCGGATGTTCTCTTCAGTTGCCGACTGCGTGTCTTGACAATGACTACTAGTATAGAGAGAGATAAAGGAGAGAAGAGGAACATTATTTCTTGCTTCTCTCAGCTGCCTGCACCTGCCCCTCTTGAGATTGCTACCGAACCTCGAACCTCTCTCGGCCTGGCATTGGCCATGTTACTATGTTCCTTGCTGTCTACCTTTCCCATATACTAATCAAAAGTCAATGTTCATAGCTACAGGCTTGGGGATAAAAGGAATACGCATTAAACAAAAAAGGAAAAGAAAAGATAAAGAAAATAAAATTCCCCGACGGTTCTGTTGATCGTTGATCACACGGGAGCCAAGCTCCAGACAGTTCTTCGACGGCGCTGTTGGGGCAGCCATGGGGAAGATACGCTCTCGCACTAAATTTATGCTGACGGTTCAGCAAACCAATTTCAGGTGTACACAGTGCAGGGCCAGAGGCCATGGGGGCCTAAAAGCCAAAAAGATACCTGCCTGCCTCACCTGCTTCACTTTACCTCCTTCAGACAAACCACATGCCCTTTCCCCGCTAACGCCACACCAGCCAAGCAACTCTTCCATCAATATGATGGGACACTGTGTGGCGATGGGGGCGGGCAGTGCTCTTCTCTGGCGATTACACAGTGGGGATAGTGTACGGATACCTGGGGAAAGTCCGTCCGTATTCAGAGGCAGTGACGTAGTTGCTTTCGACTGGGCAAACACGGACCAAGTCTCATTGACTCCATTCTTGTCAGATCAGGAACAGGAGTTGCGGTTCCATCTGGGACGGAAAGTACGGCGATTCCAATGGGGAGCGAATGCCTCCATTGAAAAAAGTTCAAACAGAAAAAAAAAAAAATTGGTACACAGTTCAATTGGCGAGTGCGACAGCACCTAACAATGGAGAACCACCAGCCAATTGGTAGGGTAATACCTACTACTACGATTACGGCTACCACCACACACATACGTACTACTACACACAATCATACGCGCACACACACACACACACACACCCCCTCCTCTACTATGCACCTAGCTAGTTCCCCCCTTGTCTTTCATTCCTTGTCTTCCTTGCCCTCCTTGTTCCTCTTTCTATTGCCTTAGGTAAGGTCACCTAAGCTAAATCCCCAGCGGAACGACATGCCAATCGTGCCAGCAAGAAGGGCGGACCTAGCAACATTCCGCCTGGACGGGCTCCCACACATAGTTCACCACCACCACACTTGGTTCAATGTAGACCCATCCTGGTGACCGCAAATCACAGGACTCGTTCGCTTGCTGCAGCGGTCTACCTGAAAGTTATCAAGCCTGTTGGTTGGGGCGGCCAAGGAGCGAATCCGACGAAAGTGTAGTCCGAGCATGACGCTGCTGTGCTGAATGGCTCGTCAGTCAGCGCCGCCGCCGCCGCCGCCGCCGTCGCCGATGTATTATGGTACGCACTTTTTTGATGTATACAATGCAATAACCAATTGCCATTTACTACTACTTCTCCTGCCCGCCCTTACTGGAATATGGTTAGGGTCCCCCCCCCCCCCCCAAACTTGGCCTTTCTCTCCTCATCCTCGCCGCCAGGACGGATCCCATAGTCCCGGTCAATCATTCTGCCCCAGGACCGTCTCGCTCCCGTCTCGCCATTTCCGTGCTAGATGGCCACCAGTGCTATTGCTATTCGGGACGGTCAGCTGCTCCCCCTCCCCTCCATCGGGCGCCATGCGGCCTTCTCCTCTGGGAAAGTTGGGTGGATTCTCGTGGCTCTGGCGGGACGCCGCTCTTCCCGTCACGTCTCACGCCCTCTCCGGTGCAGGGCCGTCACCCCAACTTTTCTCTACCGCCTCCTCACCGGTCAGAATGGATGACCATTTGCCACTTGACGCTAGTTTCCTTGTATTCGCATTTCTCAGGTGTGGTGGAATTCCTGGGCAGCGTTCATTGCCCTGAGAAAGCAAGCCAAAGATCGCCAGTGAGGAACTTCCTCCAACGCCCACCGGTGCCCCGGATGTCTAGCCTTCCTCATCTTCGTAATGCATTCAGCATGCAACCGGTGCGTCATCGGACCGCAGCCATCCAAGTTCAGGAAGAAAAAGAAAAAAATATCTTTTGAATGCATACAAGACCACATTGATTCTGTGCAGTTGCTCCGTGTCTGGTCAATAATCCACACCTGCAAAACTTCTTTCAGTGTCTCGGCGAAAGCATGGTGACGAACCTGGTTTGCATTGTTGCGTTATGGCAAGGCGGTACCAGGGCATCTTCTGCAGCACCAACGATGCTAGCCGATTACAACCTTCCCTCTATCCCGGCGGTTCGGTTGTCATTGCCATTAATCTCACCTTTACCCCGTTTTAAGCATACAAAACGACGCCGGCGAAACAACTAACAAGTGTAAAGGAATGGTAAGAGCTAGTGTTCGTAATGAACTAAGACGATCCTCGGGCACCGATCTTGGTCTCCCGACTTGAGCATTTTAAGCCTAACCATATTATCTTTCATATGAGTTTCAATTAGGCAAATTGGGCCATGGGGACATAACACAGTGCCACTCCACAAAAGGCGCCCCAGACACGACAGTCAAACTGAATTAAATCAACCAAACGGCAACTCGTTAATGCACCACTAATAAAAATCATCCACCCGATCGGAGCTTATCAGAGACGCCTGATTTACCAGGCCTGGGGGTCCGCTCAAGCAGAGACGATTGTTAACTATACGCAAGGGCTTGTTTTATGCTGACAACGAAGAGGACAGCTGTTTATTAGTAGAGCCGCATGCTGGTAACAACATCACCTATGTCTGATCCACGCAAGATGTACATTGGCAATTGGACCCAGCCTACCAAGTCGCCATCCATGCTCGAGATCGACAAGAATTTTGACGAGTTGGACAAACATATCTCCAACTCCAGTCGTTCAACAAATCATGACACGCAGCGCATCGGTTTACACTCCGAAATCCTGTCCAATTTTTGGACAGAAAATGTTTTGGGCAGAACAAAAACCACGCTAAGGGCAACGCCCCAAGTCCCCCAACAATCGCATACTCCACAGCTCGATGACCAACTCGATGTCGATCGACAACTCTATCCTCCTCAGTCCGTCTAGCAGGACAGGGTAGTTCCTGGTCCGCCGTGCGGAAGTAGAGGCAGCCATCGACCGAATCGACGGCTGCTGGCAAGACTCAACAGTGTGGTTCTGTAGGGCAAATGAGACACCAAGACAGGGTCATGCCCTGTTGGCCTTGCAGCTGCACCCCTCGCTCTCTGAACAGTGCCATGCCATCCCGAAGCTGGATTCATCATGCATAGAGCTATCCCACCAAAGCAAGAAACCCCGTTGATCGCAAGCCGCAGCATAAATGCACAAAAAGGGCTGTGCCGGTGCGGTTTTCAGAGGCCACAACCATGCTCGCCAGTAGATAAGGTTTTCCGGCTGAAGTGACAGCTTCACTGCACACCTTGCATCCTACCAGAAACGACGCGTGGGTCAGGAAAGTGCCTGTTTATTCATAGTCATGGGATCGAGCACAAAGTAGAGAGGGGTTGGCTGCGCCCCGTATTACGTGAGTATGGGATTTCTTTTTTCCCTCCCTCCTCTTCCACCGGCATCGGGATTGACTATTGCAATAGCACTGTCTCCCTTCTTCACCTTGGTCCAACCGTGCGGTCGTTGCGCTGTTGTCCCCGCGTCAATGTGACGGGCACAGAAGACAGCGGAGATATCAGCGGACAACACTTCAAAAATCGCCTAGGGCGATCAGCACGTCTGGCCAGCCCCTCTCGCGGCAGCTGCACATCACCCCTCCGGTCCCCATAGGATGCGTGTCGCTATCAAGAGCCCTGTCATCTGGGTGGATACATGTCAGGTACCCAGTCGTACCTCTAGGTACTCACTCTCTGGGCTGCACTCGTTATCATTGCGAAGCCCGTCGTCAACCTCCCTCCCTTCCCTTGTGGCTCAAACTATTGCTTCTGCCAACTTTTCCTCAGTGTACCTGCGTCAGCAACCTATTCCACGTGTAATCATGATGGTTTCCCCCTTCATTTCAGGGGACCATTACCCTTTGTACAGGAACAGGCGCGAATTATGAGAAAAAGCCCATTGGTGATCGAGAAAAGGTTTCTGCTGCTGCCGCTCCCGTGCGTTCCGCTCCCCCCTTACAGCGAGTTTGGAAGAGGGGGGTTGGACCCTTGGACTATTTTCAAGTACCTGTAGGTTGTGGGAGCTGCAATGGGAAAGTTTCCGCAGTAGCCACGGGCTGGGCAGAAGCTGAGAGCACCTTGGTTTTCGTGGTCATTCATGTCTCCAATCCGATCTACCAGGCGTATTTGCACAGCGACACTTGGACGTTGTCGGTCTTTATCGGAGAACCAAGTGGCCTTGTCGGCGTACCTGTCGATCCCATTGAACATGCCCGAAACCAAAGCAGAGTAGAGGCTCCTAATAGAACATAGGGGGTCTAGGATGAAGGTTTGGTGATTGAACGCGGCGATCGACACAGCTGCGTCACTTTGAACTCCCTGTCCAATGAACCGCATGCGTCCTCTTCGAGAAGAGTAGAGACGTCTCAAAAGGGCACAGGTAGTCTCAGAGGTCTCGGGCAGCCGGCGCGCGGCAACCAGAGAGAGTGGAATGTCTGTATCGACAAAGGAATGTTTCCGAGAAAAAAAAAAAAAAAAGAACCGACTGCAGACACTGATAACGTGGTCTGGGCTATCCATCCCACTCAGCTTTTGATTAACCCCGCGGCGCCACCTGCCAAGTGCTTTACCCGCTAATGACTTTCATTTACAACACTTTTTCTCATCGGGCCCTTATCAGAGATATCGCTCGACGGTTCGTTGACTATCATTTCGGCAGGTCTCTGCCAACCCAGTCCATCTCTTTTTTTGATTTATTTATTGTTTCTGGTCTCTTTCCTTCGTTCACCAGACCAAGTTGGTAGAGAATTAGATCCGTGTTCGATTAAAACAAAGGTACCCACTACCGTCACCATGTCTGACGTATTTCGTAAAGTTGGCCGAGGCGGGGCAGGCAACTTCTACTCGAAGAAGGACGTCGAGGACGCCGAGAAGGCCAAGTCAGAGGTACGCAAGTTCTTGAATCTATGATGTTCTTTATGTCTTTTTCGGATTCTGGGAAGAAAAAGATTTCCTACTTTTTTCCCCACAATGAGAATGATGTGGACTCACGCAAGACATTGACAGGACGTCGAGGCGCAAAAGGACGCTGCCTCTGCCACTGCCGCCAGTCCAACATCGCCCACCACCACATCATCGGCGTACGCCCGCGCCGGTCGCGGTGGGGCGGGTAACTTCCACGATAGCTCCTCGCTCCCCGACGCCAAGCAGCAGCAGGAGGTCGCTGGCAAGACTCGGGCTGCAGTTAACGCAAGCCTGGCGCGATCGACGAGGGGCGCTTCGGGGCGTGGCGGCGCGGGCAACTACGGCGACTCGACTGTGCCCGGGAGCGATACGACCGACGAAGAGGTCAGGCGCAAGGAGGCGTTGGAGAAGAAGATTATCGAAGACGTCGAGGCCGAGCTTCCCATGCCGCCAAAAACCTACTACCATCCTTCTACAAAGGAGAGCAAGCAGGTCGCTTGATTGTACACTTGTGATTGTATTTGGGGCATACTTGAGTGTTCCGGCAGCAGCGGTAGCCCCCGGTTGTAAGAGATTCTCGAGTTTGGCTTGGTAGGAGTTCTTGTTGAAAAGCTTGTATAACATCTAGAGTATTGATACCCGCGACGCTCTATTCTGGGCAGTTCACTTGCATATCGGCCTGCTGTGCTATTTATTTTGACGGTATTTTTGGACTTTGCATTTTGTTGGATATCTATCTTTTCCTAACCTCCAGGAAAGGGGCCTGCATGTCCTCAGGCAGGCTTAGGCGTATCGTGCCATGCCACGCCATTCCCATCCCTTGGCACAAAAACCCGAAACTTCATGGTGTTTTTTTTTCTTTCTTTTGTGACAATCGCCCGCTAAAGCGGTTGTTGCCACGAGGGCTCGGTATCAGAGAAGCGGAAAGCAAAGGCGGCGGACTGAGAATGATGGACCGTTCTGACCCGGATAACGTTTCTTTTCTTTTTCGAATTCCTCAGAGCCACCAAACGCCGTCGATGCTATACCGCCTTGTAATCCCTGAACGCCAGAAAACCCAAAAAAAGTTGGTCTCCCTTCTCTCCCCGTCGAGATCAAAGAGGAAAGGGAGTTTCCTCGATTAGCGTTTTGTCTTCTCTTTCTCGTTCTCCCTTTTCTTTTCCCTCGTCTCCTGGTTTTCAGCACGTCACACTCAGTCCTCCATCTCGACATCGTCGTCGTTGTCATCACCGTCCTCCTCATCGTCATCCCACTCCCCGTCGTCCTCCTGAACAACACCCTCCCTCTCCTCGATGATCTCTCCGTCGACAGTAACGCGTTGCCGCACCTTCTCCTTGCCGAACACCTTTCCGGCCTTGGACTTGGACAGAAGACCCTGGGCCTCGATGGCGGCGATCTCGTCCTCGGTGGCGCCCTCGGCGGCCAGGCGCTTCTTTTCGGAACCGCGGAGACGGGGGAGCAGGTGCTCGTTCTCGGCGACGAGCTTGCGGGCAGTGGCGAGCTCGCGCTCGCGCTTTCCGGCCATGCGCTTCTTGTAGAAGACGCGCTCGCGGCGAGAACGGATCTCCGACACGCGCTCCATGGCCTTGAGGGTCTTGGCGACGAGGTCGCGGTCGTAACGGATGGGGACGTTGCGGCGCGCGCCGAACTGGAGGGTGGAATCGACCGTCATCTCCTTGTGCGCCGAGGCACGGTACGCCTTTGTCCACTTGAGCTTGCGAGGGTTACGCTTCATCTTGAACTGTTTGAGAGCTGTGTCAGTCTACTGTTCGGTGGTTTGCCGTCCCAATTTGCTTGTCTTCGAGGAGGGGCCCCTCGAGGGGCAAGATCCGGGTGAGAGCAATCAGAGACGTACGTTCTTGTGGCACTTGCTTCGGCAGAAGCGGAAGACCTTGGCATCGTTGCGGACGAAGGTGATGCCCTTGCTGGGGTAAGCAGGGCGACTGCAGAAGTAGCAAGTCTCGATTCTGAGGCAATGTTAGGAAAACGTGAACTTGCACAGAAACCTCCTCCATCAACGAAGGGGGGATATGCTTAAACAGAAAAGCAGAGGAACATAAACATACCTCATTGCGACGGTGATGATACCTTTACGGGTATCACGTACTCAGTCACAGGATTTGGAAAAAGTGTGGTCGGGGGAGAATTGGGGGGGATTTGACGCTTCCTCTCGTTCAGCGGAAGGCGGTGATCGAAGCCTTGTCTCCAGCGACCTAGGAAGTTTTTTAGAAATTTTTGCTCTCCGAGGCTTATCGATTGGCAAATTGGTGGGGCGAACTGGTCCGATAAGATTAGCACGGGATTGGTGGGACCAAAGGGACCAACCCAAAGTTCTGCTTTTTTTTTTTTTCCCGCTGTTGTTGCTACCATTGCTTTGAACGGAACAACCGACATTCCGATTGATCGCCGGGTGCGAGTGACAACGCACGGGCCAACACCGGCGCATCACGGCTTTGGGAGACGGCGAACTTCGCAGAAAAAAAAGCTCGACTCCATCCAGCACCTTCTTTCGCGATACCTCTCACCCGCTTTTTATCCGCAGGCAAACTCAGCACCCTGTACCATCACCACTCCAAACCTCAACAATCATGACTTCCGTTCTTGCTGTTGGAGCCGGCGCTGCCGTTGCAGCTTTCCTCGTAAGTCTGATGAATTACATTTTCCTAGGAGAACCGATAAAACTGACGACTCTCCGCAGGGCCGAGCCGGACTTGTTGCGTGGCGCCGATCTCGCGGCGGCGTGGGCGCGATGGGCAAGGCCTTTTACAAGGGCGGTTTCGAGCCCCGCATGAACAAGCGCGAGGCCTGTCTCATCCTCTCTCTCCAGTGAGTCCTTTCCTATCGGCTTTTCCCCCTTCGATACGTAAGCTAATCACGTCGTCTCTATAGGGAGAGCGGCGTCACTCGCGACAAGATCCGCAAGGCACACCGTAACATGATGCTCCTTAACCACCCCGATCGCGGTGGAAGCCCGTACCTGGCCACCAAGGTCAACGAAGCCAAGGAGCTCCTCGAGAAAACTACATCCTGAGGTGTCCCGTCGATGGACATTCTTCTTTATAGATGGTATAGATGTGGGATAATGTGTACAACAATACGGACGAAAGTTACGTGTCTAGGGAAGGCTCCAAGGCAGATGGTTGCTGGTGTCTTGTATAACAGACTAGTCGTTCTTCATAGCGGCGGCGTTTATGGGTGGACCTGAGGGTTATTGAGAAAAAAAAAAGGGTCGACTTTCGGCTGGTCTTTGCGGTTTAAGAGGGGTTGCAATATGTCGGAACAGATATTAATGGCACGAGGCCCCATCGTCTCTCTTCTCACCTACTTGATTTGATCCTCCATGGTCTGATGGAATGTGTGAATGTTGATGTTCGACTATTGAACGTCTCCGAGGTGGAAACTGGGATGCGGCGTCTTTCAGTCAGCTTCTCAGTACGACGCGGATAACCAGGCCAACGCGCGAGGAAGCGCTCCACGGCGGCATCCCGTCTGGGCATCTGCTGTAATGGGACGGATATTAAACGTGGTTGAGATTTGTATATTGGCCGTTGGCCGACACAAGCCGGAGAGGGGTTCTAATGTACCTGCTTATTGCAGAAACGTCATCGAGAGGTTGCTGAGAGCGTAGAGGCTCATTGTTTCTCATGCCTCCAAATGTATTCTTCCTTGAACCAAAGCTTGTCTGACAAGCTAGTCGTGCTGGTCTGTAACTTGTATGACGTATTCTTATCATCGTCATTAGTTGTTAGTTGTCATTGTGAGTAAGTTAATAAATGAGATAATTTGGCAATAGACTAAGAGAATTGATTTTGATTTGTCTATGCGTCCAGTGGGTTGTGAACAACAAAAACGATCTTGATCATCACGCTGTCCATTTTCGGTCCCAATTTGTTAGTATGAAGCCTATGCATCTTCAACTTCTCAAGCTTTAGATTCTGTTCAGTGAACCAGATATTGACGGTCTCTTTCAATGATCGAGAGGCCAAATGGGATAGTGATACAAGCTCCACACAAGTATTGTCGCATAACTAGACAGAAAGCTCTTCTCATGCAATTCTGGTTGGGTTTAAGCAGCTTCAGGCAGACTACCTGCTGGACTGCGGAAGGCAGGTTAACCATTATTTTCAGTCCAGTTTTGTTAGTTGCAAGGCATTATTAGTCTACCGCTTTCTTATGAAGCTATTAGGAAGGCAAAGCCCCGCGACTACTGCCTTCCGTAACTTGACCTCAAGACTGCTACACCATCACTTTAACAGACCTTCTCCGCTTCGTAAACTAGTCGCCTGTTTCTTTTTTAATAACGGGAGGTTCAACAACAATACCCAATCTCAATTCTCGCGCCTTTTCCTTCTTCGGGCACAATCACATACCTTTAGACTTAAAGCTGTCGCCGATCCCTTCTACCTCTCTCACAACTCTTTTGCTCTTTTACTCTTTGCAACCACTCGTTGACCCCAAAATGACGGACTCGTTTCTCAACAGTGAGCCGTGCAAGGAATTCTCTCATGGCAAGGAGAACAAAGAATTCGTCGATCGTCTCACTAAAATCCTAGGCGCAGGTTTCCGATTCAACGATCAAGTTTGTCACAAGTCAGACGAGGTGATCGAGGATTTTACTCTTGACCCTCTCGCACTCGACCGACACATTGCTGCAATCAAAGCCGCTAAAGGAGGAAAAGAAACCAAGTCAGTCAGCGGCTCAACTGGCAAAGCAATACCGCATGTCTCTAGTCTCAACTATGTGCCATCTACATCCGCGAAGCTGTCTGCCGCCGAATATAACGCACTTGTGACGAAGACTTTCCCAGAGTATGAGACCCTAAAGCCAGGAGATTGGTCAGAAAAAGACGCGATGTTCGTTGCTTGGGATTTGGTCAGACGCTATCCTACATCCTACATCGGTAAGACCAACCGACCCAAGGTGAGCAGCTTCTTTACATAGAGTGCCAGTGAAGACGATGGACTAATTAGAGAAGGCCGCTCCTTTCTTTGAGAGCATGACCGAAGAGCAGACCTGGGACTTGTAAGTCTTCACGATTTATTGCTGAAAGACCCTTACGACATTTGAACTAACACAGATAGCTTCTACGTATACCATCCCAAAATGCTCCATGAGTCGCCTTACATATTCGTCCCCACCAAGCAGTTCAATCACTTCCTTGATATCATTAACGCCTCCATTCAGACCAAACTCACTATCCCTGATGGGCAACCTGGCGAGAAGTTCTACATTACATTTGGATCTAGCTGCACCATTCGCCCCAAATACGTTGGACGTTCATCCTCCCACAACGAATATCTGGCTCTGCAGGGCGCAATTCCTCCCCCGGTCGACGAAGATGCCTGCCAAGGTGCACTCATTCATGGCATGGACTTTTTGCTAGCCAACCTTAACGCCCACCTCGATACAACCACGACGAAGAGCAAAAGCAGAAAGAAGAAGCAAGCGAAAGCCCAGAATCGCGCTGAATCTATTTATGACGCCCAGACGTACCTTGGCCTCCGACCCCAGGCGGGCGTTATCGAGGGGAAAGAGAAGTTGAAGACCGATGAGCTGGTCCCTAACGCCCTGATCAAGGAGGTCATCTTCATATGCATCGATATTGAGGTTGCCGAAGAGCACCATGGTACTATTTTGGAGGTCGGAATGTCTGTGTTGGACACCAAGGACATCGTCGATATTCCGCCTGGTGAAACCGGACAAAATTGGTTTTCTTACATCAAGAGTCGCCATCTGGTCACGGCTGACTATAAACATATCGTGAACAGGAAGTACGTCAAGGGCTGTCCTGAGCTTTTCAACTTTGGGTAGGCAGCATTTTATACCAAAATTTGATAGGCCAGCTAACATAAAGCAGTGAAAGCGAGTATCCTAATGTCAATGAACTCAGAGACAAGATTCTCTCCACCTTCAACGAGCTATCAACCTCTGGCGTTCCCAAGAAAGAAATGCCCTTTCGCAACATCGTTCTCGTCGGCCACGACCTCGACTCCGACCTCAGCTACATGGCCAGCATGAATGTTCACCCCTGGAGCGTCGACGGCTTGTTGCGCTGCCTTGATACGAAGGACATGCACCAGGCCTGGAGAGAGGAAGGTCAAGGTCGCAGCTTGGGATTTGTGTTGCAAGACCTGGAAATTCCGTCCAAGAACCTTCACAACGCTGGAAATGATGCTGCTTATACCCTTCGTGCGATGCTTGGCGTGGCTGTTCGTGCCAGAATGGATGAACAAGTCGGAAGGAAGAAGTGAGACGCTACAGAAACGGCGTAGCTATGTGCAAGGTGAAAACCTGGGACCGATAATTGAAACTAGAAATATCTCTTGACTACGATCATTCGGGAATTCAGGGGTTGGTACTACTGGTAGTGATCCATAGAATAAATAGTACAGGCTCGATATATCTTATGAACTTGCTCAACCCCTCAAACAAAGAAACGCTCGCTATAACACATTATTTTGACTTTAAAAACTCATCAGCCTCTTCACTCGTGACGTTTGAAACCTCGGACGCGGCCTGGTCGATAAGCCCAAGCCGGGATGTTCGAATCTTCCACCACATCTCTCTACGGTCGCCGCCCAATTCTCCAGAGAGAATCTTCTTCTTGAGATCCCTCGCAAATTCGTTATAGATGCCCGGTTCTTCAAAGTCGATGAGGCTCTCTCGCAATACACCCAAGTTCTCTACGGCGCGCGCATAGTTTGCATCGCCAAAGCTGTCCGTGATGAGCGAGCACACGATCGCGCCCATCTGCGTCGCAGCGTCCTTGATCTCTGAGACTTCCTCCGCGACGGTGAGTGCACGCTTGAATTCCGGGATTGCGTTCTCAAAGGAGATCTTAGCGCGTTTGGGTTTCGCTCCCAGTAGGGCGTCGACGTCGAGGCCTGATAGCGGCTTGACTGTCTCGCGATTGCGTTTGCCCTTCGCTTTTGGAGGCACTTTCTTGACGTCTGCCGTGGAGATGAGGGCCTCGATTTCGGAGCTGTTCTTCGTGGTAAGCGGCTCTGGGGGCGCGGCGTAGCGGACCAAGATGGGCGGGACGGGGTCAATCGGTCCTTCCGGGTTTACTGCCCTTTGGCGGATTGCTTGGTTTAGTCTATGGATTACGGGGTTGTAGGTGTCATCGATCGCTGCGTATTCCGAGGGGTTTCTGCACTTTGTTAGCAATCAACTCTATTATTTCTTTCAGGAAGTGAGACATGCCCTTCATCGTCGGCGTCAAAGGTACCGAGGTCCATCGAGTCAACGTAGTCACTCATCGCTTCTGTGAGCTCATCGCTAGGGAGAAGACGGTGGTTTGTAGTGATCTTTTGTCCACTGACAGTGATGACACGGTCGAGGGGCGGGAACTGATACCCGCGGACATCCTCGGCGAAGGGAAGAGGTACATCATATAAGCACTCCATATCGGGCTCGATGCGCGGGGCTAGGAGGACGAGAACAGGATCCTTCTTCTCCTTGAGAACAATACGGGCGACGGCGTACGACTCCAGCTCATAGAGGGCGTGGATGAGGGACGAGAGAGCCAGTTGGGACTTCTCATCGAATTTGCGACCTACTGTTATGCAAGTTTCGCCCATATTAAGAAAAGGTTCGTACTGGAGCGTGTAAGCAGCCATTGATGTGAGCGGAAAGATACGAGATTACCTTGTCACAGGGGATAAAACCGATGATTGTGAACGACTTCTCCGTCTCGAGCTTGGTGACGTTCCACTCAGACTCACTAATAGCCACCGCCGTGCGACCGTACTCATATCCTTTAGCCAAGGAGTCAAACTCGACGTCCCGCTTTCCGCCAGGGGCATCGGGATCGTTAATCTTGTATGTCCTGGCAGATTTCACTGCAGCAAAGCCGCTGGTCGTCTCTACGCCTTCCATGGGCTCTCCGTCGAGGGTGTGCGTCGACTGCGACGAGGGGTCAGACGACACGACAACAGTGGTGGCAGCAGGGGCGCGGGCGAGCTTGGTTTTGAAATAGCGCTCGACGTTGATGACGACGGGCGTGGGTGGAATCTTGAGCTCCGGTGGTGGGTCGGCGTGGCCGAGGGTGAGCGGCCCCTCGTACGTCTTGTAAGGGCGAACGGGCTTTAGACGTGGGGTGTCTAGCTCGTCAATTGCCTCTGCTATGGTTGCGAACTGGCCATGGTCACACTTTGAGACAAGGTCTTTTAGGATCTCCTCATTCTTTCTCTGAGATACGTGTCAGGGAGAGATTAAATTGATGTGGCGGGAAGTTGGCTAACCTTGATTGAGGGCTTGTCTTCTTCCTTGAAGCCGTATTCTGCGTCGTCGAAATCCACACCCCTGAATGAGTTAGTTGATGTATCACGAAGTGGAATATGGGACTTACAGAACGATCAACTCGATTCCGTCAGAATTGATTTTCTTTGCAATTGCATCAACATCGTCTCCATCAATGGGTGCCAGACCATCTGTGACGAGGTACACCCGACGCTTATACTTGAGCTTCTTGGTAAATGTCTGAATCATGTCTACGGCAATCACCACTGCAGAAACGGCGTCCCCAACGTCAGTATCACTTGGCTTGACCTTTTCTTTGAGCTCTCGGAGTGATGACATGGTCATGGGCCCTAGCTCCTGCAGCACGGAAATGTTCTCGTAGCCATCGTCATCCTGCATGGCGTTGAGCGTCTCGTCTGTTTTCAGACCAACAACGCCGACAGTCCATGTCTTGCGCGAGGCCGCAACCGTAGTAGAGATCTTGTCCCAGACATAGCGCATGCTCCAGTTCAAATCTGGCTCGGAACGGCCGTTATGACAATCGGCCATGGAGGAACCGAGATCCACGATATAAACTGACGCCTCCTTGTCTGCCATTGTGGGTGGTGGGTAACGAGTGGCTTTTTCAAGAATCAAACATTGATGGCGGGACAGAAATATGTAATGAGAACGAGAGGACAAGAGCAAGGTGAACAGGGTATAAATGAATGGTATTCCGACGCATGAGACTCGAGTCCAGACCCCGGTTTACTTTAGGCAGATGAGATCCTCCACAAGCTCCAGGCTGCTACGCGCGACCTTCTTAGCGCGTCGAACCACCTGTGCGGCACGAAATCACGTGATGATAACCGATAAGACATCACTCTATCTGACGGGCATTTCCAGTGTTGACATCCAGTGCTGCAATCTAGTGCTGCAGGCCAAGCGATTTCATTTTGCGCCAGTCCAGGGCGATAGCATCACTATAGATTCACTCAATTGCGCTGTCCGTGAACGCAGGCAATATGCATGAAGCGAAGGTCAGAGCTCGCGAGTAAGGTCCCATAGCTCTGAAGCAGCGTGCCGGGATGGAGCTCAGCCGTCCATTTACCGAAGTGACCTCATACATTCAACCCCTGTCTCCTCCACTGGGCGGCTCCTCCCAGATGGCACCTCGCCCTTCTACCATTCGCCGCAGCCACTTCAACCTTCAACCTCAATCCACGGTTCACCATCGCATCGCGTTTGCTGTGCCAGAGACATTAGACTGCCCAACATGCCCGATTCCATCATCTTCTCCGTGGCACCGTACCACATTATTTCGTAAGAAAACCCCCCAATGGGAGCAATCCGCCGGCTCCCTCTTCTCATTCAGCGGTCGGTAGCTGACTTTCTCGGCCAGATACGGCACCCTTCTGGGGACGACATTCTTCCATGTACGTCGCTGATGAAGCATTTTAAATAATTGAATAAGTGACTGATCTGCATCAAGTCCTTCGTGAATGGCATTACAATGTTCCGCGTCCTCGAGCGCCCCTCTTTCTCAGCCGCCCAGAACGCTCTCTTCCCCGTCTACTTCACCATCCAGACGGCTCTCCCCGCCGTCATGGCCCTGACCTTCCCAGGAAGCAGCAGCCCCTTTGGTGTTCAAGAGAGCAGTATCAGCGGTCTTTTGGACGAGTCGAACAGGTACAGCGCTCTGCTGCCTATCGCTACCATGTTCGTCACTGGCCTGCTTAACTTGGTTGTGATTCTGCCAAAGACCCAGAAGGTTATGGCTGCTAGATACGCCCAAGGTGTGTAGTCTGATGTGGTGAAAGCTCGTCAATCTCATAGACGCTGACATGTGAAACAGAGAAAAATGATGGAAAGAAGAGCTATGACAAGCCGCCTCACTCGCAGGAGATGCTCGCCCTTAACAAGTCATTCGGCAAGCTGCATGGGGTTTCTACGCTCGTCAATCTTGCTGGATTTGTTGCAACCGTTGCCTACAGTTTCTCACTTGCAAAGCGCCTCGATTAGTTTCACTCAGGTTGAAATAGCAAAAGTGTATGTCAGTGTTCTTATTAGTCTGATCAAAAACCATGTATATTGGTTTCCCAGAATGCACTATGTACAGGTGCGGCAAGCTGCGAAAAAAAAAAAGGTCGCAGCGTATCAAAATCCCCATCCCTTTGTGCCAATGGACAATGAGGAAAAAAAATCAATCTTTCCCAAATGGAACGCCAATGTGCAATGACAGTTCGTTCCCGTGCGCTGCTGGTGCGCTGCTAGTCGCCAAGAAGCTTACTGTCTGACACCTCGCGTTTTGTCACTCCCGTCCTTTCTTTCCTTCCATTCACTCCAATCTAAACCGTGGGTATCATACCTCAACAACTGATAAAGCCTATTCTCATGCCGAACAAGCCAGTATTGTTGAGGTGTAAAGAAAAACCGAAAACTGCAAGAAATCGTTGAGTTCTTTTTTGGTGTTTTTACTTTGTTGTTGTTGTGGCAGGATGAACTTTTTAAAAGTTGTTTGTGCGTGGCGGCAGAGGGGTTGACTTGAGCGACTCGCTAGCGGCGAAGAGGCTCTTCTTGGCATCCTCGAGGGCTTGCTTGCGCTTAGCCTTCTCCTTCTCCTCGTCAATGACAGGAGCAACACGCGCATTGCCAGCAGCAAGGGAGCCCTTGATGGACCAGCGGCCAGGCTTGCGGGCGAGTGCCTCCTCAACATCGATCTTATCGGTGGGCTTGGGGAACTCGCGAGAAAGAGGCGGAAGAGGGTTTTTGGCCTTGCTCTTCTGGGGAGCGCTGGTAACAGACGGAAGCTGAAGTTCGACCGAAGTGCGCGACGAGGTGGTGGTGGAGCTTTGGGAAGACTGGCCAAAGTAGTCAACCTGGGAAGAGGCGTCGGTGGAGGTCGTGACAGGAGTAGTCTCCTGGGTGCTGTTGGCCGTAGCGGCGGCTTCTTGGGATGCCATCATGTAGTCGTAGGTTGGAATAGAATGCAAGCTGCGTAGCTGCTCCTCTGTGAAATTGATGGGGGCCATGGTTGCTTAATTAATGGGCAAAATTGAGTGGAGTCCGTCGCAACTGGCTTTTTTTTTTCGGTCCTAATCTTGTTGAAGCGGTCCGTCCGGTGTCGTGTTTGGGATAGTGGGGAGGTGTGGGCAAGGAAGGAGTCAGGGCCCTCCGGGACGGTTATTCAGGTTTGTTGTGAGGATGAGGAATAGGGGAGTTGCAGGGACCAAGGAAGAACAGATGGGAGCCGGGATCCGGTGGGCCAGCGGAAAGTTCTGTTAGTGTGTCAAGTGCCGTGTGTCGGGAGCAAGTGACGCGAGTGGTGGTGGGAATCAAAGACTAAATAATTGAGCCCGAAGAGTTTTTGGTCCAGTCAAACCAAAGGAAGCAGTCAAGATTTTTTCCCCTTTGATGGTATCGTGGAAGACCGAGGTGTGGCGAAAGAATGGAGACGGGAGAGAAGAGAATTTATAATACGTGTGGGATGGAAATGATTCTGGCCAGGTCTCTTTCGTGGAAGGAACAACCGACCCAAGAAAGAAAGGAAAAATAAAAATAAAAATAAAACAGGTAAGGTGAAATAAATCATTCACCGGACAAACTCCGTTAGTACGGATTGAAGACCTTGGTCAAGGTGAACTGTCTTGTTTGCCCCCAATGGTGTTGTGTATTAGTGGTACCTACCCTTTGTGTCGTAGCTCCTGCCAAACGTTCCAATCTCGGTGATCCGTGCTTTTTCGATGGTGTCTTTTCCCCGGAACGGTCCCTGAGATCTCCTTTCCAGTGGCCGGGTTGTCTTTTCCCCCCACGCTCCATTCCACCAGGGTGCCTACCAGTCGGTGAAACAAGAGCGCAAGCGGTGAGGCGGCCATTCACTGTGTAATCTCCCTTCACCGCCGAGGTTGCCGATGGGTGGCCGCGGTCGGCCTTACGCAGTAGGTAAAAGTAAGTTGTCTGGACCAACTTACTCAGCAGCACACACCATCCTTTTACTACCAATGTTGAAATTTTCAGGCTGCATGACTACAGACGGGACATGACGCCGCCGGTTGGAGCTAAAAGTACGTTGTCACGTTGCGAACGGAGGGGCTGCGGATGATTAAACATGGCCCATGGCGGATCTTGGCCGCGCTATCTACTTAGATCCGTGGAACTGGGAAAAAAAAAATAAGGGATCCATTTCGCCATTCAGGGACCATTCTTTCAGGGTCGCGGGGCCGCGTTTACTTTCAGATTGCTGCTGATCGACACGCTTTTACGGCGCCGCCCGCCCTTTCTATGGGGTCTTCGGGGCTTCGGTGGCATGGCACCCTTTCGCTGAAGGAGATCTACGTCAGCTGGCGCCGACCGTAGATACAGATGCCATAAAAATAAGAAAAGGCACGGTAATAAAAATAGTGCACATGTGAAATCCGGACATATAGTGTACTTTGCGCCACCCCGACCACCGATTCAACGACTCATGCAGCGGCCCCTGCTGACGTCATTTGCCTTGATTAGTCCTACAACATCGCATCCACAGAAGACAGAAACGCTTGGATTTCTAATGCAATTTATAGCAGTTGTCCACTGTGAGGGGCAGTGCCATGGAAAGAACCAGCGAGATTTTGAGGCTGACTTACATATGTGCATGATGCATGATAATCATTTAAGGAAACTCCGTTGACGGAGTGCACTTGCTTGTTTTCCTCGGCGTGGGGCCGTGACCCCCGCGAGTGGGATTTGGCTGCATGGTGTTGCATTCCAGTTGATTCCTTTGAGCCTGGCCTTGGCTCACTCATAAACCTCTGGGGGAAAGAGTGTTGGATTGCGGCACAGTTGTCCATGTGACCTCTGAAATGCCGCTTATGGAGAAACATTGAGGGGAAACAATGTGTCAAACTGCATTCCTCATCCATTCTGAATCATTCAGCTTGCTTTTTTGGTTGAATGGTCCGGACCCCCGCGTGCTTCTGGGCTGGGATTCTTTGATGGTAACCTCTCATAACACTCAAGAGGAATTTAAATGAGCCGCATATGAAGCTCAAATTGTCCGGTTTCGCTCCTATGAGATGCATTCTGGGACTAAGAACTGTCAAAGTTGACAAGCGATCCTAATGAATGCATGCAAAGAGCGACGTTTGTCTTGGCTTCTTCCGACTGGATCTGGGGAAAGAGACACGAGGGTTGAAGGCCCACCTTGCTCATCCTCTCCAGGAAACCCGATTCAACCGCCATTCTGTTCATCTATCCTCGGAAGCTGCCGATCCCTCAACCAGTATTCCCCAGGTTCTGTCCAACTGTCGAGAAAAGAACAAAAGGCCTAGCCCGTCGCATCTAAAACATGTCCTTGGTCCTGCATGCTCCGAGACCGCATCGTCTCGCTCTACCTATAGAGGTTTCAATCCTCTCATCCCGCCCCGTAATTTGGCAGCCACGACCTGCGGGCGGACCAATCGGACGATGGCCGTCCAACCTCATTCTCACTCATGCTGCCGTCCACTTATCGTCATCCGGCAGCCGCCTGCGCGCCATACCTGAACCACCCTTGCTCCAAACTCACTTCACATCTGCTTCTGCCAGCTCACCCGAAATTGTCAAAAACACCAAGCTCCAAAAAGTCACGATGTCTCAACCCCCCAAATACCTGTCCGGCGATCCTGCCGCCATTCAGGAATTCCTTGACAAGTTTGACGTGCGCGATTTCCCTCCCCACCCGCTGAGTCATTTGACACCCCCTCAAGACGTAACCACCGTGAGGGGATGAGAGGCTGATCGTGAGATTTGGATGACAGGTCTTTTTGATTGACTGCGATGGTAAACAGACCTTTATGAACCTGGACTAGCAAGTGCTTGGCCCGAATGTAGGCTGACTCGTCTCATCTTTCAAGGCGTTCTCTGGTCTGGTGACCACCTGTTCGATGGCATTCGCGAGACTCTCGCCTTCCTGCGCTCCAAAGGTTGCTCACCACCTTTCTCACCCCCAGTAACCTCAGTTCATCCCAATTATTGAAACCAAGTCTCGGCCCCTAACCACATGATCTTCTTTTCATATCAACAGGCAAGCGAACTGTCTTTGTGACAAACAACTCAACAAAATCCCGCCCCGACTACCACAAGAAGTTTGCCGCCCTCAACATCCCCAGCGAGGTCGAGGATATCTTCGGCTCCGCCTACTCCTCCGCCGTCTACATCTCCCGTATTCTTGAGCTGCCCGCCGACAAGCGCAAAGTCTTCGTTATCGGCGAGGCCGGCATCGAGGCCGAGCTTCGCGCCGAGGGCGTCGACTTCATCGGCGGCACCGACCCGGCCCTTCGCCGCGACATCACGCAAGAAGACTTTGCAAAGATCGCCGACGGTTCCATGTTGGACCCTGAAGTCGGCGTCGTGCTTGCCGGCTTGGATTTCCACATCAACTACCTGAAGCTGTCGTTGGGCTACCAGTACCTCCGCCGCGGAGCCGTATTCCTGGCAACCAACACTGACAGCACGCTGCCCATGTCGCATACCTTCTTCCCCGGCGCCGGCTCAATTTCGATCCCTCTCATCAACATGTCGCAGCAGCAGCCAATCGCGCTGGGTAAGCCGTCGCAGGCGATGATGGATGCCGTCGAGGGCAAGTTCCAACTGAACCGCGAGCGGACGTGCATGATTGGCGACCGTCTCGACACCGACATCAAGTTCGGTAGAGAGGGTAAGCTGGGCGGTACGTTGGCCGTGCTGACTGGCGTGCATAAGAAGGAGGACTGGGAGAAGGAGGGCGCTGCCGCTGTGCCGGCCTACTACGTCGACAGCCTTGCCAGCTTGAACCTCGATGCATGAGCCGCGTTTTGCAAAGTGTTCAACCAAGATTTACGAATGAATTCTTTCTATGGAAAGAGGAATAAACGCTAGAAACTCCGTCACGACTCCTAGAACTAGAACTATTCTTAGAAGTGTACACAGATGCATTCGCTCTACTTTCATGCCACACAATGCATCTCCCACGTTGTTGTGGCTTTATCGATAGAATGCAGATACCATGCTCACGTAGTCTCAGATTCGACGCGAATCTTATCTACATGTCCTTCTTGCCCTGTCGCTTGGCTAGCTCGCTTGTCCTGATGACCTTTGGCTGGGGCTTCCGGTAACCCCAGAACGACGAGGGCATAAACATGCCGACCTGCTTCTGGTACTCACTGTACTCGGAATATTTGCCCGAGGTAATCAACTCGGTGAGCCAGGTTGAGCCCTGAAACAACATAATGAGGAACGCGGAGCCGGCGAAGGTGTAGCTGTACAGCACCTTTGTGGCGTAGCAGCTCCACTGGTAGAGTACAAACCAGATCATCTGCTCGGCGAAGAAATTGGGGTGGCGGCTGTACGCCCACATGCCGCTCGTGACGAAGCCACGATCGAGATCTTCTTGCGCCCAGCCGCGGGGCACTTTCCTATCTTTCAGGTACGAGTGTTTGGCTGTCTGGTAGTCCCATTGTTGGCCGTCGGAGATGAACTCGCTCAGAACGAGACCAACCAAGATGGAGAAAAAAGACCAATCCGCGGCGGAGACCTCCGGTTCGAGGCGGCTGGCAAGAAGGATGGAGTAGGCCGGCGCTGCAGAGAAGGCGCATAGGAGAATGGACTGAATGAAGGAAATGAAGGTTACGTTGAAGATAAAGAAGACCCAGCCTGGGACATATTTACGGACAATTTCCCTGCGTACGTAGGTCAGATATGTCAGTTCCATAAGCTATCCGGATAAAGTATACCTACCATCTGTAGTCTTCACTCCCTCGCTCATATCCGCCCTTGCGCCAGTAGTTGAATGTCAATCGGGCCTGAATAAACACACTTTGTCAGCTGCCAAGCTTTCCGAACCGTGAGACAACGAGGACACCTTACACTCCAGAGAGTAGTCGCGGCAGCGGCCAATGCCAGCCTCTGTGCAGGAACACCATTGAAGTGAGCCCAGGCAGTCATGTGAAGAATATACCAGTTGGGTAGAAGACTCCAGAGCCTGTCAATCTGGGAATAGTTCTTGTGATACTCAGACACACCAAGCGCGACGAAGCCGATGATGAGGGAGAAGAAGAACGCGAAGATGAGGGGGTTCGTCTCGAGGTAAATCTGAGGAAGAGACTGAGGGCTCGCGGCGATTCGGCGCGGAAGATCGAGGAGCTGTGGGATGAAAGGCTCAGCAGCCTTGGACCAGTCTGAGCAGTCCTCGAGGGATTTGATTGCTGGTAGCGCCATTGTTTTCGGTTGGATCAAGATCAATGTATGGGTTATTTACAGTATTGCGTTCGTATACCTGCAACAAGGCAATGCAACTATAGACTGAACACGCAGCACAGCGTTGGCTTAGTGAGTGGTGATGCTTTTTGATGAAGAGCTGTGGTGGGTTGACCCGTGGTAGCCGTGGGGTGCTGCAAACAAAGCGTCATAGACCCATAATATGGGTTACTCTAAAGAGAGAGCTCCCACGTTGGGGAAGGCGCAGGGATCGTCGGGCTTTTCAACCACCGAAGGCCCGTTCGCTAAAGAGGTTAGGACTCAAGTTGCCCAAGTTTCTTCATGTAACCGCAGTTTGGAAACGTAGTCCGACATCTTCGTCCAACCTTTCACAATTTTTTCAGGTGTATCGATTGAACTACAGTATTTTCTAGCGTTGATTCACGTGCTGGTGTTGTAGTGTACTATTTGGCGATACGGTGGACCTGAATCGATCGAATGCTTACGTCAGTTTTGTCCCTGCAGATGCTGGACGAGATCGCCAGTCAGCGGCTAGGCCACCTCTCCGAGCTGAAAATACGGCGCGGCTCACTGCTAGGGAGCTCCAATGAAATCGGCAGCCCCGCTGTGGGGTTTTGCTCTAGGCGAGCAAAGCTCAACCTCCAAACAAAACTTCACTGCAGCCTGAACACGTCAAATTTTGACACAAGCAGTGCCACGCGAGTTTATCAAAAAGAAAAAGGATACGGAAGCTTTCTATCTTGTTAAAGGAATTTGGACTTTCTGTTCGAGGACCTATACTCAGGCTCGAGGATTCTAAAAACTAGGCCTGCATCCGCTGCAGTCGTGATAGAAGGAAAGCTTGACGCGCATGCCTCTGCGTACCTTTCCCTAAAGCAAAGTCGCGGCAACATGTTCCTTCTTACGCAACAATAACACCTGCCGTACTTGCGTAAATCAGGAGTCTTACGAATTCTGTCACACACTCCATCCCATTCTTGTAAACACTGTTCTCCCTGTGAGAAGAAAAGATGAAGGTGCTCTGCGTTGCGGAGAAGCCGTCCATCTCCAAGGCCGTTGCTGGCCATTTGGCAGGACGAAACCCTGATGTTGTGAGTGTTTAGAAAAGAAATAGAGGCTCAAATCAGAGCTAATGACATACAGCACAATACGCGCTCGCAATACATAAAGAACTACGGCTTCGAGTTTGATTTTGGCCCGCCATGGAATGCTTGCAGCGTCACCATGACAGCAGTCCTCGGCCATCTGACCGGGCTGGACTTCACCGCAGAAAACAAGAACTGGTCACATCCTCCACCAGAGAGCCTTTTCACTGCGCCTGTAGTGACAGTGGTACCTCAGGTCCGTCTGAATCCCCTGTTGCCAAGACTCGACTTCTCGCGGCTGCTGACCTGTGCAGGACAAGAAAACTGTGGCAGAGAATATTGAGCGCCAGGCTCGGTACTGTCAGTTGCTCATCATCTGGACGGATTGTGATCGTGAGGGAGAACATATCGGAAAGGAGATAGTCAACGCCGCTAGGAAAGGCAACGCAGGGATCCAGGTTAAGCGCGCGAATTTCAGCAACATTGAGCGAGCGTACGCTGCCCTCATATCTTCCTTTTTAAAGACTCTACTAATGTCAAACAGACACATCCTTTCGGCTGCGCGTCGCCTCACAGACCTGGACCAGAAGCAAGTCGATGCCGTGGATGCAAGAATCGAGCTTGACTTGAGAATCGGATATGCTTTCACTCGATTCTTGACCATCAGTCTCCGACCCCTTGGAGGCGCGTTGCAAGAAAGGACGATCAGCTATGGTAGGGTCAATCGCTCTCACATACTGCGTTTTTAAACTAACAAAACAGGCTCCTGTCAGTTTCCGACGCTAGGGTTTGTTGTTGACCGTTACTTTCGAGTCCAAAACTTCGTGTCCGAACCGTTCTGGAGCATCAAGGTCATGCATTCTCGCGAAGGGAAGAAAGCCAATTTCAGTTGGTCTCGGAACCGGCTCTTCGATCGGATGTCTGTTGTTATTCTCTACGAGCGTTCCATCAAAGCGAAGAAGGCCAAGGTTACCAAAGTCCAGGAGAAACCGACAAGGAAGTGGAAGCCCTTACCGTTGACCACCGTTGAACTGCAAAAGGCAGCAACTCGCCTGCTGCGCATGAGCGGTCAACAGGCAATGACTGTGGCGGAAAATCTCTACAACAAGGGTTTCATTAGCTATCCTAGAACCGAGACAGATCGCTTTGACAAGGGGATGGACTTGAAGGCTTTGATCAGGAAACAAACACCGCATGAAAGATGGGGTCAGTATGCCCAAGGTCTTTTGGACGGAAATTTCAGCCAACCGCGCGAGGGGCGACACGACGACAAGGCACATCCTCCTATCCACCCAGTCACTTTCGCTGCTCCAACTGTACTCGACCCGAACGAGAAGCAACTTTACGAGTACGTGGTACGACGATTCTTAGCTTGCTGCTCCGAAGATGCCAAGGGCATGGCAACGGATATTGAAATCCTCTATGGAGAGGAGACATTTCACACCCGTGGCTTACATGTACTGGAGCGCAACTATTTGGATGTCTTTGTCTACGAGAAATGGAACGACTCGGCCGAGTTGCCCAAGTATACGGAGGGTGAGACGTTCCAGCCTACAGAGGCCATGATGACAGACGGGAAGACAAGTCCTCCTGGATATCTTACAGAAGCAGATCTTATTGCGCTTATGGACGCCAACGGAATCGGAACGGACGCAACAATGGCAGAGCATATCCAGAAGATTCAAGATAGAGAGTATGTTCAGTTGGCCGACGGCGGTCAACGTGGCCAGGATAACGACGGCAATAGTGACCAGGATGAACCTCCATCACCACCAGCAAGAGGTGGCCGAGGCGGACGCGGCAATCGCGGAGGACGCGGGAGAGGAGGTCGCGGCGCGTCCTCGGCGGGACGGAGAACTCTCAAGGTCTTTATCCCGACACAACTGGGCGTGGCACTTATCACGGGGTTTGATCGCATGGAGTTCGAAACAAGTCTGGGTAAGCCCTTCCTCCGCAAAGAAATGGAGAATAAGATGAAGGCAATATGTGACGGGCGTATGACCAAGGAAGCCGTCCTACGCGAAAGTCTGGGCCAGTACCGGCAAGTATTTCGTGACTCTCAAGAGCGGCTCAACGTACTCAAAGCAGTAAGCAAAGGCCCCCATCCCTGATGCGTCCACGAGGGCTAACTTTACTAGGCGTGTCGCGAATACATGTCCCTCCGCGATTGAGTGCGGCATGAGCTTTCACGATGATGATAAGGGCTCAGCCCTGGTGGTATGCGAGACGTCAAGGCGCCTAGGCGAAGTGGGATAATCCCGAATGATGTCGTTGCTGAAGCAAGGCCCCATACGTACAAGGACCACGGTGCGAGGATACTGCTATCAATCGTGTCCACAGAAGTCCAAACGTGGGTGTGACGACTGGCACAATGGGAGCCTCAAGTTCCGAAAACCGGCGCCGTCACTAGTTCAACCATCTGCGCGACATAACTGAAGGTTCAGACGTTTGGCGGCTATGGACAACAGACTGGTGGTCTTGGTCAACCGGCTAGTCGGGACCAGGCGAATAACGGAAGAGGTCGGAGAGGCGCAGGTCAGAGGGTGTGATGAACCCCGCCACGATATCTTGGACAAGAAGCGGGGTGAGTACTGGAGATGCAGCTACTGCAGCGACTGCAGTGGTGCCGCCAAAAGTAGGAGGGGATCACCCGGAAAGAATTCGGGCCAAAGGCGGAGGATTTTCCTGGGATCTGAAGCCGAAAGATGCAGAAGAGGAGAGCGGCGGGCGGGTGAGTACCCACAGACTCCCGAGGTGAATAACAGAGGGCAGCAACGGGAGAGGGGCGGCTGGAGGAGCTTGGGAGCCCAAAGTCTCCAAGATGCAGCATGTCACAACGTGGGGTTTCGTAAGTGGATGAGTGACGAACACGGCTCGCTATCAAGGCCGGTGATTCGATGACAGCATCGACCGAGCTACCTCATCAACAGCAGTGAAGGAAAGGTAAACAAGTGCCCACAAAGATAACTGACGAGCACACGAGGGTACCACTGGGGACGGGGACGGGGACGGTAACGGTACGTGAAGGAAATGGAAACGGCCTCGTTCTTCTTTGTCACTTCTGGTCGATCGCGTTTCTTCAGGAACGAAGTAAGGTTGTGGGCGGCTGGCGCCTCGGGTTATTTGGGGCGTGATACCTTTCTTTCACGGTTTGGGTGGTAGACCAATCAGAAGCGAGGCTGAGCGCAACGTGATGGTTGCGCTCGACAGCGTGCGACGTGGAGGGTTGCGCGAATTCTGGGGAGACCTGAGTCGGATACTCTTTGTAATTCCAGGCTCAAGCATGCTGCAGCCAACGATTTCGAGAAGAACGAGACATACAGGAACACGGACACACGGGGTGGCTGGTTTGACCCGCGATCTCCATTGGGATTCCACTACATGATTTCCTGTCAGTCATTTCAAGGCAAGGTGCCAATGGCAGCGGATACGATACGATGCGATGCACATCAGCATCAACATCAGCATCAGCACGCATCCATCAGCATGAAAACGAGGGAGGGGGTAGGCTCTTGTTCTCTTAAACTACAGTAGCTAGGAGGAAGGGGTGTGTGGAATGCGCGCTGGAATCGGATCAGATGAGATGCGATGTAGGATCCGAGGCGTGGCCTATGGATGGACGGATTTGATGGAGGGGGCGGCGATTGCTGAAGAAGGTCGTCAGCTAGCAACCATGGCCTAAAAGAAGGGCAGGCTGGTTACTGTAGGACAGTGGATCGGGCAACTTGGTGAGAGGGCGCCTCAGCCGATTCTGGGCAATCTACTGATAACAATAGGTGTTGAGAGAGATACGGGCGTACATAGTAGCTTATCTACCCCATTCAAGGCAAGTGTACCTGCCGCCAAAAAAAAAAGTTGCTGACATTACTGGCCATGTGTGCGCGCGTGTGTGTGTGTTGTGTGGGCGTAGAGATATTGTGCGCTTCCAGTTTTGTGTATCTTTACAGTGGAGTGCGAGGGTAGGGCGAGACGTACAGCCAGGTACTTTGACGATACGTATCTGTCAACGGCGCAAACTTAATAAGTGCGATGGGTTAGTTCCGGCCCCATACTTGGATTCCCAGACCACGCCCGCGCCTGGGGTGAGTCTAGATCCCCTTGCCTTGCCTTACCTCACGTTGCTCACCCCACAGGCATGTACACAGTGTGTCGCAAACGAGACCCCCCCCCTTCCCCCAAAACTCTAGGCTCGCCGTGCTTTGAGCCTTTGATTCCATTTCCGGACGGAGATTCATTTGTGTGCTTGAAGGCTGGCTGAGTGAGTCCCTTTTTGTCTCTATGTGTCTCTATGTGGGTATCAGTCAAACAAACCTGAGCCAGCATCTCTTTTGATCTAATGTATGCATGTATGTATATGTGTGTAAGCTGTTACTCCAAAGATATTCGTCCATCTTTTGGGGTATATTTCCAGCTGGTTGATCACTGATGAGTAAGGGGAAAAGGTGACACGATAACTAACAACCCCCCTTGGTTTTTTCTTCTTCTTTCTTTTTCAACATCTTGACATGTTATCAAACCCTTGTTTGTTGCTGCTCCTTGACGCCTGAAAATGTCCGTCATTGAATGCGTTTTTGATTAGGGTAGGTCACGATACACACACACACACACACACACACACACACACACACACACACACAAACCACTTTTCGTGTCAAACAATTCCACATCGTAACACTTTCGCAACTGCTTCCCAGCAACAACCCACGTCCTCCAAACAATCCACATGGCGGAGCTCATAGGTCGTCGCGGATTGTCCCCAACTTGCCGGCCACCGGTCGTCGTGGTCTCCATTTTACGGGTCCTCTCTCTCTGTGTCTCCTCAGCTTAATACTGACCGCCGCAGGTAGTCTTAAAGTACCTTACCCATGGCCCATGGCGGCATGGCTCATGGGTATTGAAGCCCGCGCGACGTGTGCCCATGTGCCCACATCGCGGTGTAAGGTAGTGTGCCCCCCCCCCCCCCCCCCCCCCCCCCCCGTGGCCAGCTGGGTCGCTGAAACGAAGTTCCCACTCGTTGCTTTCCCCGGACTGCCGATAGGGTCAATAGAAGGAACAACAGTTTTCTGGGACGGGGGGAACACCACCCGTGGGCTTCCGTAATTGCGGTTACCCACTCATGATTTTCGGCTAAGAAGGGAACTTCTAGGCCCTTTGCTCTTTCGGTCTGTCGGGGTCCCCCCTCTTTATCCAAGGATGAGGTAAGGTGAACCTCTACTATGTAGTAAGTTAAGAAAATAAAACGGCCGGACTCCAGAGTAGCACGCATCGAAAAAGGACGGGTTGCGGGTGACAGACTTGCAGTAGCATGATGACTCTTCCCTGTAAAGCATGGTTTCGACGAAACTCCAAAATAAAATCGTTCATCTCTTTAGGAAAACTTCTTAGGGCAAAGAGTCATCATGGGACCTAGCGAAACTTAGGTGTTCCAGCGATGCCCCCGACATGGAACCGTCCATGGCATTAACTCTTTCAACCACCGCATGTAGGCACGCGGCTGCCGAGAGTTGTAAAGCTTACCAATCTGTCGGAGATGGCAGAGAAGCCAAGGCACAGGAAAGAAGGCTGTGAAACTTTCATCCTTGGGTTGACACGACTCCTGCCCTTCCAACCCCCTTTACTACGTAGTATGCCAGAGTTCCCTAAAATGTCCTGTTTCCATTTTCAGTTTCCTCCCCCCTTCCCGTGACTCCACCGTCGATAACACAAACTCGATTCATGAACAAACTTCATTTCTACTACGTCGATCAAAACACCCCTTGAATGGTGTTTTGCTTTTTTTTTTTTTTTTTTTTTTTTTTTGGTCGTCTTATGATATAGTAGGGTTGGAAACCCCCAAGCTTATTATACAAATCGCACACACACACCCACCCACAACGACGCCAATATCATATGTCCAAGGAAACCATCGTCGTTGTCAGTCATTTCCAATGTTCGTACCCGCTCCCTTTGTCGGTCAACCCATGTCCCGTGACCCGTCCATCAGGGCGCCCTGGTCCGCTAGCCAGCAACACCCCCACCCCTTGTCCAAGCATGCTAAAGTAGAGACGTAACCGCGGTCCTGGTCCAGAGGTCAGGTCAAGCAAGCAAGCAAGCATCTGCTGCTTTCCAGCGGGGAGTAACAAAGTGTTTCCGCGCGCGCAGGACCGCCGGTGTCTGAAGCTACTGCCGCAGCTGATGCTACTGGGTATTCACTCTCTATTTCTCACTCACGCACACTCCTACAGCTCTCCACTTGGCTTGGGGGCAAGGGGGCCGCTCAAGCTGGAGAATGCGACAGTGTCGTCATCAATCGCCGACACACTTCTTTTCATCGTGGTTCATTTTCCCAGACCGCGCGCCGGCCGGCCGGTTGACCAGGGACCTTGTAAACAACCAGGGCAACGAAGACCTCTCAAATCACACTCTCTCCTTGTAAATTTTTTGTTATTTTTATTTTGGTACGTGTTGCAAATTTGGTCCAAAATTTTGAAATTTGCGAATTTACTGTTGCAAAAGGGGCAGACAGAAGAAAATGAAAAAGCTTTGATCAACTAGAAGATCGAGATTTCTCGTCAATGAAATTTTTCTTTCTTGTCTCCTTCTTTGGCGAGATGAGAAATTTCTCAGAACAAGAAAATAAACCACACCCCCCTTTCACTCTGTGCCCAGAGGAATGAAGGAACCCCGAAAGAAGAAAAAGCAATGATGGGCCTCACCCCAAAATGAAAGACCTGGCTGCGTCTATAGGACGGTCAGCAGCAGCAAAGATGAAAATCAATAGTAAAAAGAACAAAAAAAACAAAAAGGGCAGGGGTGGCTCAATGAACCGGCCGTCCGGCACTGCAATTTCGTGCAGAAACCATCTGTGTGTCCGTGTCAATCAAGGCAGGCGCAGTTTCTCTTTCTTCATGTCCGTCCCCGTCCACCCCTTTCCATGAGCATTTCCAGGCGGATATGTCTTAGACAACATTGAGCGGGATGAAGGGGACTCGCTCGTCATAATCCATTCCCGGCCTCTTTTCTCCTTTGCATGAGGCATTTCGCACACATTACACAGACCAAAAAAAACCCCAAAAAAAAAAAAAAAAAGCCCCCCCAACCAACTACGTAGATACACAAGAACCAAGGAATCGAATAGACCAAAGTTTTAGAGTCTAGATCACCTGCAAACTTGGTCCTAAGACTTTCCAACACTTTCTAGACAAATGCGAAAAGAATGCGCGACATGTCCTCGCAAAGGCCAACTGCATACACCCATTTCAACGCGCCGTCTCTATTTCAAGGCGTGGCTAGACAGACACACGCACACACACTGTGAGATGATGCCTGGACCTTGTCACCATCAGCTTAGCTATTCCCGTCCACTTTGGACTCATCATTCTCACACTACTACTATGTAGGGGGCCAAGGCCACCACTGTCCAAGCACACAGGCTTACTCCCCTTAAAGAGAGGGGAGGGGTGGCCCTAAAAGTCAGCTGCACCTACTCCTTGCTGGGGACTCCTTTTTTACTATGTATGGTGGTCGGGACAGGGATAGCCACTTCTCGGTCTCTCTCTCTCTTCCTCAGTCGCAGCCACAGATTGTCACCACCTGGCCACCAATGCCTCGATACCCGTGGTCAACTCACACGCCCTGGGTGCCTGCTTTTTGTCTACCTTTTGCTTTGCTTGCCCAGCGACGCGCTCTTTGTTCGGCCTTTTCGCTGATGCCCGTCTTGCCTGGCCCTGTTGGTTTGGGTGATTTCGGTGCTTGCTGCAGCCTGGGGCTTGCGCCTTAGAGTCACCTCATTGCCAGGAAAGTACGAGCCAAGCTGCACTGCAGCACTTGTGTACAGCGTCCTCGGTTGACGTATCGCACCTCCTCTTCTCTTCCTGAGTAGGTAGGTCTTCCCAGACCTCTCTGCCTTGTCACTATAGTAGACTACCCAGTACTCAAGCGGAGTCAGTAGGTACGCCTTAGATACCTCCATCCCGGCTCTGCCCTGGGTTGCATCCGTCCGGTGCCGTGGGTACCTCTCCCCCCCGCCGCCGTCTCTTCTGGTGCCCCAGGTCTCGTCATGTACCCCAAGTACCTCATCTCTCCAGATGTACCTCGTCTGTCCTGTCGCAAATGGTGTGTGTGTGGTAAGTGTGTGTGTGTGTCGCTCTCTTGCAGTCATCCATTGTCAGTCTGTCACTCGTTGCTCTCCCATCCGTATCCGTTGCCGTTCCTTTACTTTAGCCCTGCCATCGCCTCTTCTCACCCTCCCACTCCTTTCCTTTCCCTTCTTCTTTCTTTAACGCAAAAACAACACCACAAGGAATCATACAATCATACTGACGAGATTCTCTTGTCACAGTCAAGATAATCGCAACAGCTCTGCCAGCCTTGATCTGCCATAGTCATTAGCCGACCAGTCGACCCTTTGCCTACCCGCAAAGTTCCACACTTGCACGCATCCCTTCCGCTTCTAGCAGTACGTCAACATTAACCCTACCACCCGTCATCCTATCCCCCCCCTGGTGACTCAACACCACCACCGAAATATCACCACATTTTGCCCCTCGTGTGGTCTCCCTCCCCAAACATTTGTCGCATCGCCTTCGTTGCCTGCTGGTCCGCCTCAGAAACTATTACTTTCATTTACTGACTGTCGCAGACACGTCTAGAAGCATCAGACACGTCTAAACGACATCATGGCGACCATGGCAGCTGCTGCTCGCGATATCCACCAGGCCTCCGACATGAGCCGAGACAACTTAACTGTTGTAGCGGCTCGGAGTGTCCCTGCGACGACTGTGACACGATCTCAAGCCCTCCCCACCCCTCCAAACTCCATCTCTCCCGCCCTGCCACCTCACGGCCTCAAGGCCCAACTCCAGAAGGCCAAGCTCGAGCCTATAGATTCAGACTTGGACCTGCATGACAGCGAGGCCCGGCGAGAGGCGTCGCGATCGCCCTCGTTTGACACCACAGGTTCTATCAGTACCACCCTGCTGGCTAAGCATCACCTCCCAGAGATCCTCCTCAACCACGGCCCTCTGGCCATCCGCCACATCATGGGCTACCTGACAACGTCGGTGCCGGGTTTCGCAGGAATCCCCCCGACAAAGGCGCGCCGGTTGGTGGTTGGAGCCCTGGAGGGTCGCGGAGGTGAGGGTGGCGGAGTAGACGGTGATGTAGAGTTTGAAAAGGTGGGCTGGGGACGATGGGATGCCCGGCGGCGCGGCCAGCCAGCGCGGACTTCACCTCCCGCAGACTACCGCTCCGGCATTCCTATTACCAAGAACGGCGGGCGCTCTCGCCTGAACGTAGCCTCCTCCAGTAACGGCGACGACTCCATCGTCTTCTCCCATGACGATCGGGACGCCATGATGATGGAGAACGAAGCGGACAAGATGTCCCTGGATGGCTCGGCATCCGCCTCCTGCTCCGAGGCTCCGGATGATGACGACATCGACATGAACGATGATCCCGAGGACGCCACCGATGACGAGGACTGGGCCGCCATGGGAGCTGCTGCTCTCCGCGCCGAGTCCTATTCCAACGCCGCTGCGCAGTCGGTCGGACGCAGCTTCCTCTCCAACGGTGTATATACTTCTGGAGGTCTGCGATCCGTCTCGACCGGCATGGCCCGTTCGCATCAACCTTTGCCCTTCGACTTCTCGGCGCTGGGGGCCACGTCTGACGCTCAAGAGCGTGAGGCGGTTGAGGCTCTCCTGCGACTGGGTTCTGTATAATACCACTTTTGCATAGCACGGCGTTGGGGATGGGAATTACGCTGTGCTGTCGGTCTATTTTGACTGATGAAGAAAGAAAAGCATCATCCCCCTTTTTTGATTGGGTTCGGATTGGTTGGGCCGGGTTGGCTGGGCCAAGGATCCCGTGTCATGACTTTTGTGATGGAGCCGGCGCGCTCTGCTTCACAACTCACCTCTCTCCTTTTGACACGGTGGTTCTACATTTTTCTGGGTTCGGCGTCCTGGCATTGAAACGACAAACCACGCCCTCGCGCGAAGGGCAATCATTGTGGCATTGGGCACCACTTTGCATTATGATCACGGCTCTATTGGAGGATACCCCTACACATACTTCTGTCGACATGTGACAGATTACGACATTTGGCCAGCTGGCCATTTGGGACATTCATCGTCTTTACTTCCGGAACCTGGTGTCTCGTCCTGGTAATCACATGAGCAGACGCCGACGCAGCAAGACCAACACCTGCGGCTTTTGGCGTCCTCGATCGGTTGCCATCCGACACGGATGCTGGGCGGAGTGAGGCCCGATGACAGGTTGGACAAGGCTGGCCTGACACCACTGCTCCCACTTCGTTTCTCTCCCATTCATGCGTATACCTCATTTTGCACATACCCTTTGTTTTGTTTTTTTTATTACATCTGCATTTCCCCACTTCAACAACTGTGGAGGAACACAACACATCTAGGCTGGACGAGCTTCACCTCGCCAGCCGCTGCATTACGCCCTTCTCGTTCACCTATTTAATACCACGGGGGTTGAAGAAGACATTATGGATAACCATGTCACCATGGCACGAAATAAAAGACGCACATTTTGCGTATCGACGGACTGGAAGAGTTAGGAGGCCCACAGGGACCTTTGGCAAACTCTCTCACAACACAGGACGCGAAAGGAATGGAGGACGCAAAACAGGGGATGCTTGGCTCGCTGATATCGTCATCTTTTTTAAATCGGCTATGGAGCACTATGTCTTTGGGGCATGAGGAAGAGCAGAGGAGAAATTCGAAAATGGATTTGACCAACAACAAAAAAAAAGACCTCCCCATTTTTGGCGAACGGCGGCTTCTGGGTATTCTAGGCTTGGGCGGCTAGTTCTAGCTCAAAGAATGGAACTCTTGACTGTTTCGTCCCACTGATTGTGTCTTTATGATTACTGTGACTTGACTTGCCCGTGGGTGTTTGACGTGTTGTGAGTAAATCAACGCGACTACTACGTAGGTAGGATCGAAGTCTAAATGTCGGGTTGGTCCGGGAACGGTTGATGAGCGCGTCATTCGGGGTTGGCCCTCCTTAAGCGCTCGACGCCACTCTCTCGCTTAACCTTGTTTCTACAACATGCTCTCGGGGTATCCGAGAATGCGACAGGGGAGTGTCGATGACAACAAGCACGGGTTAGGCACGGGTTAGTTCTTTTTTTTCGAAGCATCCCCGTCACAGAGTGAAAAGCCATTCCTAATAGTCTTGCAGGACAAGGAAGAAAGTTTTGCAAGTGTATGTATCTACAATATGTATTAAGAGTCATTTTTTTTAAACGACTGATTCTACCTACCACCACCCTTGCTTTCACCATCATCATCATCATCATCATCATCATCATCCTCCTTACACCAAAAACTCGTTCGGCACGTACAAAGGCATCGAGTCCTCCCACAAACTATCCGTCAACATGCGCTTGTTGGACCCGTCGGCATCCATGACCATGATCTGCCCGTACGGCTGGAATGTCTGGTCGTAGACGGCCGCCTCGTCGCGGAAGCCGTACATGCCGCTCGAGTACATGATGCGCCCGTCTGCGGTCCAGACGGCGTGGGCGTCGTTGGCGCCGCTGGACGTGAGGACGCGCAGGTCGGTGCCGTCGGGGCGGATGGTGCAGACGTCAAAGTTGGTCGAGCTCGTCTTGCGCGTGAAGACGATGCGCTCGCCGTCGGGCGACCAGAACGGCAGGTTATCCGTCGCGTTGGTCAGCGAGCGCACCCGTCGCGTCGAGAGGTCGACGACGCGCAGGCCGTAGCGGACGCCCCACTCGCGGAAGACGACGCTGTTCCCGTCGGGCGAGTAGCTGGGGAACCCGGAGTGGACCGTGCCGTCCGTCAGGGCCTCGTAAAAGGTGCCGTCGGAGGCGGCGCGGTAGACGCGGGCTTTGCCGGTCGCGCGGGACTGGAACCACGAGCCCAGGCCGAAGACGACCCACCCCCCGTCGGACGACCAGGACGGCTGGAAGGCGCCGGCCAGGCCCTTTGCGACGAGGGCGGCGTCGAGCTCGCCGGTGGAGTAGGAGTCGAAGACGAGTTTGAGGTCGGTGCCGTCCGGGTTCATCGACACGATGGAGGAGTTGCCGAGCTGCTTCTGCGTCATCACCAGGCGGCCTTGGAGCGACAGCTGGGGGAAGACGTCGGTGTGGCGGTATTCCCAGTCGTCGTCCCAGCTGTAGAGCGGTTTCTCCATCGGCCGCGCCGTGAAGCCTACTTTCTCGTAGACGACGAGCTTGCCGTCGGGAGACCACGCCGGCGACCGGATGGCTGCCTTGACGGCCGGCGTGGCGCCGGACGTGTAGTTGTACCCTTCGTCGTCGTTGCCCTTGATCAGGTAGGCGATGTTGTTGTTACCTGCGCCATCGTCGTCGTCGGCGGCGGTTGTGGTCTCCAGCCACTGCGGGAACATCTTGAGGCCCGCGCCGGAAGCGTGCTCGACGCGGTCCGCTCCGGTCTCCAAGTCCACCGAGACGATGGCCGATGCGACGCTCGCGACCGACTCGGGACGATGGGCGTTCCATGTGTCCTCCGTCGTTATCTCGTAGTACACCACGCGCGTGCCGTCGGGCGACCACTTGGGCGAGCCGAGGCAGTATCCGGGTTTCGTGGCCAGCTGGCGGAAACCGGTGCCGTCGGGGCGGATGACGTAGACGGAGAGCTCTTGCGTGTGTTCCCAGCCTGTGCCGTTGCCGTGGCCGCGCCATTCCGTGTTCCGGTCCGAGGCGAATGCGATCCATCGGCCATCGGGAGACCAGCTTGGGCGGAAGTAGCCGTCTGGCTTCAGGGTGTCGCCGGCGACCTCGGCCGTGTTGGTGAGGTTCCGTCTCTCGCCGGTTGCTAGGTCCAGAACCCAGACGTTGGTCTTGTAGCCGTTCTCTGTCGAGACGTAGGCGAGCTTGGTGCCGTCGGGGGACAGCGCGCCGGCGTCCTCGACAGAGGGCGTGGCGACGAGTTTCTCCAGGTCTGCGCAGGTGCCGTTTGCTACGGCGGAGAAGCGGCAGCGGTAGAGGTCGGAGTTACCGTCGCCATTGCGCTCCGTTGTGAATGTGACCCATTGACCATCCGGCGAGAAGGAGGCGTGGTACTCAAAGGAGGAGGAGTTGCCTAAAAGCTTGCGCTCGTTTGTGCCGTCCTCGTTGGCAATGTACAGTTCCGACGACGAGGGCCCGATGCGGTTCATCAGGAGAACACCCTTCTTGCCGTCTGCGGCAGGGAGGCCTCGGGCAGAGTGGGCTTGTGGGAGGTCCGCGATGTTGAAGTCTGCTCGCATCTGGTGGGCATGGCGCGCGACGGTCAAGCCCGTGGTGAGGGCGAGGAAGGGGAGGATTGACGACCGCATGCTGGGCAGCCTCGGAGAGGGAACGAGATGGATAGGAAGAGGCTGGAGTGGCGAGGAGAGCTGGGCTGGTAGTTACGCCCTACCATCTTGTATTTGTATCTGTGCTTCTCGAGCACTGTTGCTTCGCCGAGGCGCAATTCCGACGATGGCATACCGTTCCTGCGCAGCAAGGGTTCTGGAGATCGACAGCCGAGCCCAGATCTCCAAAGAGCCCTATTGGTGCCCATCACATTACTACGCTTCCTTCCCGCTCAATTGCCGTTTTCCGCTATCTGATGCCGTTTAGTGTCTTGGCAACGTGGGAAAACAGGGGCGTTCAAGAGCTTGTTTAGACAGTTAGCTCCGATGGAAGTTATACCCATGAACCTTGAGCTATGCTGTCATTCGATCGCATCAGCCCCACTGCAACTCGGATAGGTCCCATTAGTGTCCGTGGCAGAGCCGTTTCCTAATGTTGCTTGATTAAAAAGACCGCATGGGGAAGGTTGTTTTCGGGACCCAATGGCGAATTAGTGATTTTCCATCCCTTCTTTCGTCGTCGTTCCGAAGTCCGATGAAGAAATTTTTCGGTTTGGGAGGCTGTGGTGAGAGATGGCGGACGTAACTGCGGGGGTGATGCGAAGATAATCAAAAGTCATTTCTGTGCGTTACCCGTGTAACTGCGCTCTGTGACGTTGAATCTGGCTCTTCTTTTCAATCAGTACCCATCGTACAAGATCGAATGATCCCTGCTTGGTCGGGAGGTGAAAGGAGGTGCTCGTTTCAGTAGTAGATGTGGCGAAGAACCCGGCCCCTTTCAACGTACGACCTCGGTCGGAATAAGGACACCGGCCCCGGAGATGCCACTTCACATAATGTGGTAATTGTATATTGGACTTGACAGGTTGAATCACAGTTACCAGCCGTAAATTTCAACTCACGTAACGTTACGGGTTTGTCTGTAGAAAATGCCATACTCTAGCCAAAATCTGAAAGTCATGATGGAAAGACAACGAAATTCACAGTGACAACACAGATGCGGCTACGATCCAGTTTAAGAGTTGGCTGAGGTATATAGGTTTAATCACGGCTAAACAACCAATATTGTATCTCTGACTGGAAACAGCCTGCATTTGATCACTTTCTTCATTCTTTTGGATCTATGTCGTCAAGATCGTCGTAGAGCAGATCGCAGAAACTGTAACATCGAAGCTACTACGTGAGAAGAGACTGGAATCAATAATTATCTCCAATTTTCACATTGGGTTGCGAGGCAGTTGAGAATCTTGGAAGCCTGCTAACCTGTCCCGTGACAGCAGCCTTGTTAGAGAAGGCAAGACTCTGCCTTTAAAATAAAACTTCGAATGCAGTCACGTGGGATGCAGCCGGACGTTTATCGAAGGCTACCAATGAATGCAAGAAAATCTTTACGTTTTACACGATTAAGGTGGACACAGCTTCATCCAAGTCCGACGCTGAAATGCCCCTGACGCGCATATTAACATATTCGCTGTTCTGTGCTCTTTGGTCACTTTATGTAACATTGCTATTTCGTTGGCCTAGAGGACTCGCTCAACACCAACAAAGGTCAAACTTGTTTAGGTTATTACCTTGGTTCAACCCTGATGCTGAATACATCAGTTCTCACAATCTTTTCCTTGAAATTGTGCTGCTCGAGGATGCTTTCTTGGCTCCCCTTGGCCACCGCCGTTGTAGCCATAGTGTCAGCATCGTCGATACTTATCTCATCCACTTGTCTTTGCGTTCGCCTTCGGGGTTTGTGAGAACGGGAAAGCTCAATGGGTTCGGATTTCAACTGGCCACCCGGACCAGAACCGTAGTTCTCATACGTTCGTCTACCATTTCCTGAGCCGAAAATGCGCTTGCCAAAGACAAGGTCACTCAGAGGCTGGAGAACAGGAATGCACGCAGCTATAATCATTGTGCCTCCTTCGACACTGTACAGAAGTTTGTAAGTGCGGAAAACTTTTTGGAATCGTGTTACGTCACTTACATTGTCCATATGACTAGGTCTGCAGTATCATCTAGTTCAGCATGCGTTAGCTATTGATGCCCCAATAAAGCTTTGTGACATACACGTGAAGTCTTGACTCGCAAGACTTGGGACTCGAGTGCATTTGTATATTGCTACAATAGTTGAGCTATCCATAGGTTAGCGTAGTCCACATTTCTAAAAAGGCAAAACGGTCGGCCCCTCACATTGATCCAATGCCAAGCGCAACGCTCAAAGCAATTTTCTTCTTCAGGCTCATCTGCAGCTTTGAAAGTACCACAGAAGGATACACGGCGAGGTATGCATCGACAAAAGCACCGAAAGATATTGTGTTCAAGTAAGCGTGCTGTTGTCCTGCCTGATGATGTAGGATGTTGGCTAAGATACCTCCTGAGTAAATGGCAAATGAAACCAGAGTCCACTTGCTTAAACACCTTCCTGTGACTGAAAAGTCCCATAGCGAACGTGTGGGCAAACAATGAGTAAAGAGGAGAACCATGTTGGCGGTTAGGTTGAGCAGGCAGAAAAGAGACAGGCCCCAAAGCAGCCTTCTATGCCATGGGCTCGGGTTCAGAATTTTCGTGAGAAGAGCTACAACGGCGACTTTGGGTAGACCAAACGACATTACACCGGCAGGAAAACCCACCATGGTCCAGAATATTGCTCCTTGCTTCTGTTCCAGAGAAAGCAAATCAAAATGAAGGCCCATACCGTAGTTTACAGCGACAATGGCAGTTGCAACGCTCACCCAACTGCAGAGCTGTGACGAACAATTAAATCAAAATCCCGTCTCATATTTGCCAGCGGAGTAAGAACTTTGTCCTTTGAATGAATGACTTACTACAGATGCGACCATTAAGTAGTCATCCAAGTACACTTTTCGAAGAATCTTGCCTCTAACAAATAGCCTCGCTGCGGTGAATATAGTGCTGAGAACCGTAACGGAAATGATGATGAAGAGAGAAGCAGGCCCCTTATTTTCAGTCTCCCATGATGTTGTAGCTGACATGATGACAATTTACTCATAGATGGCGCCGTTAAGCCCTGCTCAAAGATGAAAAATGAACAAAAGGGTAGATGAAAGATGAAGGCGAATGATAGGATGTGATAACAGTATTGAGAAAAGATTTACACCTTGAGTAACAGGGGGCTGTGAAATCTAGATCCATATTCAAGTCCCAGGATGGAGCGAAAAGAATGAACAAACCCCAAGATCAAAGCCCTGCATGTTACATTCATCAAATCCTAACCGAAACATCCATCTTTGGATTATTGTTTTTTCTTTTTCTAGCCGCGATATCCAACTAGTAATTACAGAGATCCAGAGATCAGACCATTTGTTTTGGTGCAAAGGTCAAATGCAGAAGTTGGTGCCTTTTCTGTCCGGGATAGCAAACATGTGGTGACCGACGTCAGGCACGGGCGGCATCAACTAGGAACAAAACGGCTTGTATTCTCTAAGTGAGCGAGCGGAGCGAAGGACGCTTAAGAATACGGTCGCTGGAGCGAGGTCACGTGACCTCGCGGCCGAGACGCGGCAGAGTGGGTCCGGAGGCCCGGAGCCAGCACGACACACCCCCCCAGACGGCGCGTAGTCGTCTGGAAAACCGCGCCTCGAGGCCATATCGCTACTATCGCCTAGATACAAGATTATGAGGCTATTCAGAGCCTCTTGTGAATATATATATATAACAAAAGAGAGGTGTTGTTGTATTCGCCTCGGTCTTTGTGCTCGAAGTGATGTGAATATGGCGAAATTCGCCCTTGCGCGCCGCCTGGCGCAATAATCGCACTTTCCTTTATTCAACCGTCGTACTTGCCTCTTATTATTGCCAGTTGAATTTTCTGAAAATCCTGCCTTCTGATTGGCCCACAACGTGGGTTGCCCATCAGTTATTATTTCCTCTGCCCGTTGACTCTTCTGCAGCGGTTCCGGCCGTGGCCGAAGCGGCTGGTCTCCGTGCTGCCATTGACAGCCTTGTTGGAGGACACTTGCCGGCGGCTGTTCTCCCCGCGTACAACGTCCTGATGGACACGTACGCGGCCTCCCTCCGAGGTCGTTAAAAGAGCCCGCCCTACGGGGCGTAAGTACGCTTGCTTTTGCTCCTTTGGGAGCGTATCATGCTTCCTGGCCAGGGGCCAAGTCAAAATTTAACTTTCGGCCTCCGGGCCAGCATTGCTCGCGCGCACCTGTTTCTCTTCGCTTCTTGTGACTTGTGCCCGAATGTCTTGTAGGTTTAGAAGTGCCCTGAAGTGTTCGAACTTCGCTCGGGAGAGTGCTTTTGTGAGACCGTCTGCTGGCATCTCGTCGGTAGGCATATATACCACGTCGAACGTCTTCTTGGCATACTCTTGGCGTAGCCACATGTTCTGTATATCAACGTGGCGAAGGCGCGTTGAGATGCGTTCCTTGTCGCCTACTACCAGGCGAATCGTTTGGCGATTGTCACAATGGATCTTCCATACGTCTCCGAGGTCTAGTTCAATATCCCGAAATAAGCGTTTGAGAGCGATGGTCTCCTTAGCAGTGTTTTCGAGGCTAAGGAGTTCCGCTTCTGTAGTAGAAGTGGTAACGGTATTCTGTCTCGCGGCTTTCCACTGAATGGGACCGCCGAACAGTGAGATGATGTACCCTTGAGATGAACGCCGCGTCTCTTCGTCGTCTGCGAACGAGGCGTCGCCCGCAATTAGGAGAACTTGGGCACCTGCACCCCCCGAGCTACCGAAGCAGAGCGAAAGGTAGCGAGTGTGATAAAGATATCTAATGACTTGGTTCGCGGCCTTCTGATGTTCGAGAGACGGGTTCGTTAGGAACCTCGAGAGTGTAGCGCAAGCGAAGGCGACGTCGGGGCGAATCATGATCGCAGTGTACAGAATTGAGCCGACCTTCTCTTGGTATTGCTTTACCTGGTCAGGGGTCGCTTCAGCGGTGTTCTTCTGGAGCGGGACGAATGGCAATGGTGTATGCGGCACGATCGAGTCGATAAGGTTGAATTTCTTCGCTACGCGTTCGATATATTGGTCGTGTGCGAGGTTAATTGTTCGCTTCTCACGGTCACGTATCACGCGAATGCCTAGATACCACTCGACAGGGCCTTGGTCCTTGAGTTCATACTCGGCTTTCACCCCGTTTATAACGTTTTGAGCAGCTTCGCGGTGGTCCCTATGGTATAAGACGAGGATATCGTCTACGTAGAAGAGTACCATCACTTTCTTGTCGTTTGAAGTGAAGAGACAGGGGTCTTCGCTTGCAGGCTTGAGTCCCAGGCGCCGCAGCGTTGATGAGAACTCCTTATACCAAAGGAGGGGAGCGTCTCGTAGCCCGTATAAGGCACGGCGGAGCTCGACGTACTTCCCGTTCTGTTTGAAGCCGTCTGGTAGGTAGCAGACGACAGGCGGGTCGTTCGGTCCTCTTGTTGCGTTTAGAAACGCATTGACTACGTCGAATTGGTCTACTTCAAGGTCGAATTCCGCCGCGAGCGCCATCGCTACTCTAAACGTCCTTGCTGCGAGGGTCGCTGCGTAGGTCTGTTCGAGAGGATGCTTCGCCTGGAGGTCGCCGCGGACGCAAATTCGTGCCTTGCAGCGGTCGAGGTAGCCGTCTTGATCAAGCTTGTAAGTGAACACCCACTTTAGAGGAATAGGTTTCGTAGACGCTTCGTGTTCGTCAATGATTTTCCAAGCGTCCATCTCCTCTAATTTACTTATCTCGGCTTGGGCCGCTTCGTAAAACAGGTTTCGGAGGTGGGTCGGCATTTTTTCAACACTTTTCCACGTTCGTGGGGGCTTTATAAGCTCATCTGTGTGTATTTTCACTCGCTGTGGAGTGACCGCTCTGGAGTGCTTCGCTTGGTGTATTGACGCGAAGACGAAGCAATGGAGCGTATAGTGGGCTTGGTTCGCTTCCTCCACAGCCTTCTGCTGATCAGGCATATAGGTATAGAAGAAAGTTTCCCAATTACGTTCCGTTTGTAGGAATGCGAAGTGTTGGGCGAAGCGAGGTGATCGTCTCGGTTTGCCCTGTTGTTGGCCGTAGTCCTTGCGGTTGTACACCCGCTTGGTCTTTATCTCGGGTTCGCGCCCGTTCCCATTATCCGAGTGTGGCCGCACCGGGTGAGTTGGGGAGTCACCCCCGAGATCATTACTCGAGTCGGCCTCCACGGCCGGTTCTCGTGGAGGTTCGTTGTTGGTCTTGACGTATATCACGTCTTCGACCGCCTCAGAGAGGGCTTCGTGCCCCGGGTCGGGAACGCCGGCGTCCATCGCTTCGGAGCTTTGTTGGCCGGTCGTTTGCCCGTCCGTCCCCTCCGGCGCTGCGGCCGGCTCAGGGGTCGGTTCCGGGGTGAGCAGGCCCTCTTCGCGTCGGCTGTTAACCGCGGAGCGTTTTACCGTTGTCTCTTCTGAGATTACGGTCGACGGCGCGAAGGCAGGTGGCAGGGGCTGCTCTTCAAGTGAAAATACGAGTTCGCTTGGTTTTGCGAGTCTGAGGAATTGGAGTCCTGGGTTCGCCGTAGCCGGAGGTTCCGAGATCTCCGTGGAGACTGTCTCGGCCACCTCCGCTTGTAAACTAGCTTTTGCATCGTCCTTCGAGTAGAACTTCGTCTCGTCAAAGGTAACGTTTCGCGTGATAATCACTTGATCAAGCGAGGGTATCCAGACTCTGTATAGGTTGTGAGCGTCCATAACGTAGCCCACCAGATATCCAATATGTCCTCGCGGTTCCACCTTGAAGTTACGTCTGTTCCTATCCGCTTCGCGGTCCTTTTTCAGGGGATAAGCCCTACACCCATACGCGTACGTCCAGCCCCAGTGGGGGCGAAGGTCGCGGGCGAGGCTCGCGCTGTATTGTGGTTGCCACCAGCGAAAATACTGTCGGAACCAGCTCTCTTCGACTTGAATTGGTGAGAGCCAAGCTCTTCGCTTCCGTGGTGACATATTGTACAGGTAGGCGGCTGCCATGACTGCTTCCACCCAGAGAGTAGTTGGCAGGCCCGCTGCGCTGAGCATCTTTATCGCTCGGGTTATTAATTCCTGGCCCGCTCGTTCGCCTCCGCCATTGGGTTCCTTGGTGTAGGGGGGTGTCTCTTCGATTTCAATCCCGTTATGCTGGGCCCAAAGTTGATACTTAGTTATTCCGTTTATCGCAATTACCGCGCGTTCTACGTCTTGTCTCAGCTTGCACAGGGTGACGCCTCGTTGGCGAGCGACCCATCGTTCGAAGTGCCTGAGAGCGTCGAAGACGAAGGTGTGCGATTTACTTACGCGCGGAAACGCGAAAAGACGACCGGTATATTCGTCTTTGATCACTAAGAGCCAGCGGTTCTTGTCAAAGCTTGTCGGGTAGTCGAAGAGATCCCATGAGACCCTATAGTACGGTCGAATTGCTTTCCGTTCAGAGGTTCGCCTCGAAATTAACTATTTCGCGTGCGCTGTCGCGCAGTATTCGCATTCCAGACGCGTGGGTCCTTTTATCTTTACTCCTCTCACGTTTGACACCATTCGTTCTAGTGCGTCTGGTGCGAGGTGACCCGAACGAAGGTGCCATAACCAGGCGTCATCATACCTATCAGGTGGTTTACGAAGCGAGAGTCGAGCGGGATCCTGTAGTGCAAGCACCAAATGGTTCACGATTCCTGCGTTACTCGAGGTAATTCGCTTCTGAGCAATATACTGGGAACCGGTCTTATATTCGAAGAAAGTAATGTTCATCTTCCTAACAAGATGCTTGACTACCACGCTGTTTTTGTACGTTCCCTGGCGAAGTGTGTTATCCAATCCGGAGTACCAGATGCCTGTCTTTCGGAGGAGTACTTCCGAAACGATATTAACGTGAAAGTTCTCTACGTATCCAACGTTATGGAGCGTAAGGTCTGCTGTGAGGTCTCCATCAGGGCCATTTAGTGCTTTTGGCAAGATCCACGTTCCCTTTGCTAGGATTGGGTACGAAGCAGTTCCTGAGTCGACTCTCTCGTCGCCGATGCACGTTTTAATAGAAGACGATTCAAGCAAGTCAAGGTTGTTAACAAGGTGCGTAGCTCCGCAGTTGTCGAGAACCGTGCTTCGTGACAGAACATGGGGTCCCGTCAGTGGGGTTGCAAATACGCTTGGTTGGTCGTAGTCCGAGTCGAAGTCGTCCGAAATTTCCCGGAGAAGTTCACGGCTGATCGTTACTGCGTGGATATTTCTCTTCAGTGTCACCTCTGACTCATTCTCCTCTTGCTGCGATTTCGCTTTAGAGCCGGTATTTCCTGACGACCTATTGCGAGGCGGCGCTGGGTTTCGGAAGCTGGGAGGTTCCGTCGCCCAGATCCAGCCTTTCCGAGCTAATTCGGCTCGGAGATCATAGTTCTCGGACTGATTGATACGCTTTCGAATCTCCTTGCACTCGTCCCTCGATAGTTTGTCCTGGGAAGGCTTGATTCGCCCGGTAAGGGCGTACTCCACGCGGGTGCACTCCAGGGGGTTTGCGTTGTGGGGTTTGTTGCAGGGGCACGCTTCGGATTTGCCTTTTCCTTTCGAACCGCTTTTTCCATCTGAGATTGCTTCGCTCGGGCGACCGGCAAGGGTAGCGTACACACCGCTTGTTTTACCCCGATTTTTGTCGTATAGGGTGTCCTCATACAGCAAGTCCTCCAGCATATCCCTGTATTCACTTACAGTAGGGATGCGGTCCCCCTTGCGCTCCATTTTGACAATTTCAGTGAGCTCGGAGGTCGCCCAGGAGGGGGCAAAACGGTGTCCCACCGCTCGAAGAAAAGTTTTCGAAGCGAGCGTTCCCTGGCTTTCCGGTATTCTGAATCGAAGCGCGCGGAGCAGTACTCGATGGAAGTCTCTTAGCCAGGTCTGGGGGTTTACGCTTGTGTTGGCCTTTTCCAGGAGGAGAAGGTACTCTTCGCGAACTGTAGTTTGACTGCTTGATTCGCTTGGAGCGTAGCGTTTCCGAAGGTACTGAATAAGAGCACGGAGTGAACGTTGGTTGTTCGCTAGGATCTCCGATCTCGCAGCGTAGAGGATGTCCTTGTCGACCGTTTCCTTAACCCAACGCTGAATAGAGTCGAAGTCCCGCTCCCGACGAGTTTTGAGGACGTCGCGGCCTGATTTTGAAGCGAGGTAGTTCGTATATCTTTCAAAGATCCCGGGCGTGTTTTGCGTGAGAGTTGGTTGTGCTACAGGCTCCTGGAGTTCTTCCCCTGTATCGTCACTCGCTTCTGCCCTATGCTGGAGAATCGAATCGTAGGCTTTCCGCTTCCGATCATAGGTTCTACGCTGCTTTTCGTTCTGCTGCGTGATCCATGATTCGATCGAGAGTTCTTCATCGTCCTCTCTTGGGTCTGACGGAGACGTAGTGTCGTCTGGGTCTATGAGATCCCAGACGTCTGCTGCGTCGGCTTCGGCGTAGAGAGCGTCGTACCAAACGGGGAAGTCCCGGCGGCAGGTTAGCCTTGTCGTGCTCGTGAGAACAGATATCTGCGACGATATCTTCGTTGTAGAAGTTGCTGTTTGAAGCGAAATTTGTGAAGACCGTAAGGAGTTGATGGTGTTCCGCCACGAACCCTTCGTCTGGTTAACAGTAGAAAGGGGTGATGTGGTAAGCTGGGCTCATAACTGTGGTGACCGACGTCAGGCACGGGCGGCATCAACTAGGAACAAAACGGCTTGTATTCTCTAAGTGAGCGAGCGGAGCGAAGGACGCTTAAGAATACGGTCGCTGGAGCGAGGTCACGTGACCTCGCGGCCGAGACGCGGCAGAGTGGGTCCGGAGGCCCGGAGCCAGCACGACAAAACATGAACTGAACCAACCCGTTGCGCTCATTAGCTAACAGTGTCCAGGGCAGATACGCGGCGTCGATCCGAGATTCCGCGCCCCACAGACTGCCATGGGTTTATTGCTACAACTAGCCAACAAAGGTGGCATTGGTTGTTGGTGCTAAGCCGCTGAGCGCAGAAGGGGCCTGTTGAAAATGCGTTGAATAAATGAGTTTCCCACTTGGACTCTTGGCGATCACGAGGAGCCACTTCTCATGCGTGGTAACTGCTACAACTGACACGATGAAGGGCACGGGCTGACATTGTGGGAAGCTGGGAGTATATAAACTGCCCCTATTATGAAGCATTACTTGTGACTCTCAATTTTTTCCTGGATGTGTGCTTCTCCCCTTGTCGTATGCAACGCATTAATCTCATTGCACTACGTTCTATCTTCAATTTTTTGCCCAAAGTCACTGCCTTCTAATTATGGGTTCGATTCCGGAAAAACTTCCCTTTGAGGGCACAGTTGCAATCCAGCCTAATGACGCCAAGAGTGTAGCTGATTTATCAAGCCGTATTGCCGCTCTCAGCAAGTCTTTATCCCTTGATAACAATGATGAGCGTCTGCAGCTTCTGCATGAGGCTCGGTCATTGGTTCAGGCTCTAGAAACCCCACGAGAAACTATGATTAGTCACTTGTGGGCGCAGGTATGAAGGCTGTCATGTGTGGGAGAGCAAAGTAACTTACACGATGTTTTAGCCAGCCGTGTGCTTTGCAATTGCCAGTGGGGTTAAATCAGGTCTCTTCAAATTCATGGCCCGCAGCCCTGGCCCTAAGAGCGTTGATGAGCTTGCTTCTGCATTACGCTTCGATCCAGACGTGCTTTCACGCTTGATGCGTCATCTTGCAGCGATGGGCTACTTGAAAGAGATCAGAAGCAACGAGTACGAAGCTACCAACTTCACAAAGTCACTGAGCTTACCCATCATTGCTGATGGGTACTCCTGTGTGTAAGCATGCCTTATTCACACCTACAAATTTACCTCTAGATGTAACTTCTGACATGATGGTGTAGGCTTGGCGGGGTTTGGCCAACGTTTTCCAACTTTCCTACATACCTCCAAAGAAACGGGTGGAAGATATCAAACGACCCAACGGAGGGGCCCATAAACGACATCATCGGCAAGGACAGCAACTTCTTCGAGCATGTACAGAAGAACTATCCCGATGGCGAGTTCCAAAATTTCATGGCAGGTTATAGACAAGGCCGGGCGTCATGGATGGATCCTGACTTCTTCCCCGTTGCCGACCGTCTTATTCAAGGTGCGGATACTTCTCCAGACTCGGCTTTCATTGTCGACATCGGTGGCGGTATTGGCCAGGACTTGGACGAATTTTGCCGTAAACGCCCCGAAGCGCCTGGCCGCCATATTCTCCAGGACCTACCACATGTTATCTCACAAGTCCAGAATCTTGACCCCAAAATTGAAACAATGAACTATAACTTTCATAACGAACAGCCAGTGAAGGGCGCAAGGGCTTACTATTTACACTCTGTTCTTCACGACTGGACTGATGAAGTTTGTGTGGACATTCTCGCTCGTGTAACTGCTGCGATGAAGCCAGGGTATAGCAAACTTCTGGTTAACGAGCATGTCATACCTCCGACGGGTGCCAACTGGCAGGAGACAGCAGTTGATATGGTTATGATGACTATCTTCGCGTCAAGGGAAAGGACCGAGAAGCAGTGGTACAAATTACTAGAGTCAGCGGGGCTTAGAATTGTGAAAACATGGTCAAAGGGAGAGGGAGTGGAAAGTCTTATCGAGTGTGAGTTGGCTTGAAGTGGAGCGGCTTGCGAATAAAGGAGTTATCATACATTCTTTTGCGGCAGTTGCTTATCCGGCGATAGTGACGGCTCAAGGGGTTTTGGGACATAGTCATCATGTATGAACGCCTACTTTGTACCTGAAATATCCATGAAAAAGTACAAGCTATTTCATTTTGTTAGTTGCTAATGTCCCATCTCTTGGTCATTCGGAAGCTGAGTGTGCTGTTTTATCTGGCGTACCTAGTCAAGACTCTCATTACGCATTTTGGATGACTAGCAGCTCAAGCTGGATTCTCCTAGGGAAACATGGCCTCAAAAAGCAGAATTGATTAACAGAGCCGTTGCAACTTTTGAATAACAGAAAACCTCCAAAGCTGGCAGCCTTTGATACTCTTTCATTTAGTGAAGCTTGACTCCTCCCATTATTAGTGCGCCACCAGCCTTCGAAGTACCCAAAAATGAAGTATCTCTAACAACATACTGGTTCTGTTATCTCTACAATGACTACTATGCAGTCTTTTCCCCAACATTATTGGGATATAAATTATATCTCAGGGGCTGCAGTGAATGAAGCCGACAACGATGGCAATGTGCTGAATGCAATTAACATTTCCGAGTAAAAACTCCCTATACCGATGCGATTTGTCTCGTATACCGAATGTGCAGGCCTTTGTTTTTGAACGGACTTTGGACAACCATACACTTCATACAGTCCGGCATATTTTTGCGATAGATTGAGCTCATCCAACTATTGCTGTCCATCTGTTTGGAAAGTCTCTCCCCCACTTTTTAACACCCATAATCATTGCAGACCATTCTTCTTACTGCTATCATTCAGCCAATCGATCTTTGATATGATAGATGAGGCGAGTCGGACTCTCTCTCGAACGCAGAGTATTTGCCAACCGCTTCCGTTGCTACTTCAGGGCTTGAAGCGAGTGAGATTCGTATCTCTGTTCAAAAAACGGCAAGTCCGTTAGTACTGATCCAAAATTACTCGCTGAGAGATTTGGGGCAGCGTGTATCAATTTTTTAACGGAGCATCCACCACCATTTAAATACCTTTATTACCTATTCTTAACGAGCCGGCATTCACAAGTATTTGCAGGGGCCGCCCGCATCCAGAATACAACAGAAATTGATGTTAGAGGCGGAAGAATGGTTGTGTAGTCAACGACAAACAGAATCAGCATTTCACCATTCTAGATCTTTAGCAAGTTATAACTGCCATAACAACGGATTAAATTGACCTAAAGTTCTAAAAGAGTGATTTTAAGCACTGCTGCAGTAACCCCATCTCAAAACAACGTTGTTGATAATGCTGAACGGGCGCGCGTTTACAACCCGCACCAGCTTGCTGATAGCATACAGTAGCCATCAGGACGGACTGAATTATCGCTCTCTTGATATTTTGACAGTTCAATATCAGCTTAGCCAATGGTGAGACCATTGTATGAGTTGATAGCGATGGTGATAGTTCCAGAGAGCTTTGAAGCTTCATCCCGGAGGTCGTTGGCTCTGCTCTCCACAAGAGCGATAATGCTCAAGGCAACAGTCTTTTAATAGGTTAGAATTCACTTAGTTGATAATCTAAACCGTAGGCGCACTCACATCGACGATGGCCTCAAGCTGTCGCAAAATCCCTGCGACAGGTGCTCCAATGATAGGGACCGTATTGAATAAACCGGCCTTGCCAATAAGGATGTTGAGGAGCACCTGGTGGACTCGAACGAATTCGCGGAAAGCATTAAATATGGCGGTACTAGCGGCTCCAGCGGGAACTGGTGCTGAGCCCTGCATCTGTGCTAAAGCCACTGTCACAGTGGCGATGATGTCGCTGAAGCCGGCGATGATTTGCTATCGCCGAGTTTTCGTGTCAGTTTAACGGATATACAGGTTAGGTTTAAACAAGAGCGTCTCGCTTACCGGGAATGGTCCCAGTCCGACGACAATCAGTGGCCCGTTGATAAGTGAGATAGACTGAGCAGGTGCTTGCAGGGCTTGCGACTTTTGGGTCAACATTTTGATGTTGGTCTCCATTTCGGCCGGAGTAATTGCACTCTGGACGAAATCGGTGCCGACGGCCAGTGCGGCAACAGCAAGCTTGAGGATGGAGAAGCGCATATTGAAGGTATGAGATGGATTTTCTTGGTTTAAAGATGAGTTCAAGGGCTTAAGAGGATGAAGGCAAGTGAAGACCAAAGGATGGTTTCTGAAGAAGAGCTTACTTACACCGGGCGAAGTCATACTCTTTATACTTGAGACTTATGCAACAATATCGTTTGGTTATGTAACACTCAAGCTTTCTTCCTATGTCTCCTTGCTTCCGCTTCTACAGCCGGTTAGCAGTGCCTCAAGCATCACGAGCTAAACAAGTCAGGTTTGCAAGTAGATATCTAGGGATATTATGCATTTGACTAATAAAAGGGTACTTATATTTTCTCTTGGTTACATGCACAAATACATGTACCATTTGATAGTATAAGAGTTAATAATACTGGGGCTTCTTTACTTGTGAAGTTTTTGTTCAATTGTTTAGTAGCAATTTCTTACCGCATCATCCAAAACTAACTCGAACGTTCAGTTCGTAAGACATGCCAAGTGTTGTAATAGGTAGCGATCTGCGAGTGGAATCGCGTTATACCCCGCTATGAGCTTGCTTATTCCCCAAGACATGTGATTGTATTTTCACGACAGCAGCATAGGTAGTTAGTTCTGAGCTTAGTCTACTGGCTAAAGGGAAGGGAGACTCAAGACCTGCACCGACGATGCGTATAATCGAAGACCAAAGACAACACCAAGCTTCAGCTCAGCCCCACCTTATCCAAATACGGCAACTAGTACACCACTGTCATATTTTCATGTGGGTATCGAATCTAAGACAACAACCTACTCAAGCTGTCTAGTAAGCATCGTATTGGGGTTCGGAAAATCCGATGCCAAGAAAAGAGGCGAAGACGGGCTTTCCCGCGCACTAAGACAAGGGAAGACACAACATTCGGTTCGCCGAGGTCGCCGATCCCTTATTCTCGTTAGTGGCGGCTGGCAGTAAGCTTCTCAACTTACCTAGCTAATCCCCTCATTCAAGCATACCGTAGAAGTATGCAAACAGTGTCTGAGTTCCTTGGAACTAGACGGTGATTTTAGAAATTTAGCAGCCCTCCCAATGGTATTTGCCACTTTAGCACTGACCATACACATGGCATGTTACGGGCCAATCTAAATCCCAACAGCAACCCAACTGGACCTGAACGATCTCCATGTCACAAACCACAAAAGTTGGTCTAATTATGAGGCGCGCAAAACAGGACCCCCAACCTTCATTCAATCCATTCCAGTCGTGTAACTGTCGAAAAAAGTACCCCAAAGAAGTAAGAACTTAATGTTTATGCCAGCCCCGCCGTTGCATGCCCCTTTCTGAGCTCCGGATTGGTGTTCTCATTCGTGACATACCTTGGCATTGCGTTCCAACAACCTATTGGACAACACTTTACTAGTCTTGCATTAGCCGCCCCAGTGAGGGAATTTGCGTGGCTGAAATGGATGTCTCGGGCTGGACAGGGGCCGGTGCTGGTGGCAGGGTCCGGCTTCCCGGGGGCCGGTGACCAGACTTCAAACGGAAGCAGCTTCGTTCTTTCCGTTTAGAAAAATCATATCCGTTACTGATGATCTCATTTGGCGTTGTCCACACCGTCATGGTGTCGGGTGGACAGCCCAGCGGAAGCTAACGGGAACCGGTGTATTCAACGAAACGGAAGCTTCCAACGTCTTTTAGATTGTGAGGCTGATGTCCGTGTTCGGCCGTAAGCTAATGGGTTCGGCGCCGTTGCGAACAACAAGAGTGCCAACCACGGGTTATACATAGCAAGCTACTAGACATTAGTAACGAGACCTACTAATATAGCTCATCTGTAAGCAATGCTGATCGGGTTCACTAACCTTCTGTGGATTCAGGTCTGCGATGCTATTGCGTTCATCAATAATGTCATTACCTTTGCGCATAACCATTTTGTTATTCCATGTTAGGTAGCCAACCATTCTGTGCCAACATAAACTTTTCTGCACGTCTCGCCTAGTTTCAAAGCCCTCCTTCCTGATTAAAATCAGTAAATCTGCATGGAAACAACCGATTCTTTTACTCATAACAATAACAAATGGGAGGCATGTCATCTATCCCTGTATTGAGTGGAATGCCAGCAATATGAGGTTGCGACGTGTAACTCATGACTACAAACTACTAGTACATCTATGAAGGCCTGAATCTCTGGAGACTAGAAGTACCGATGAATGGGGCTTTTTGGCTGGTTGAAATGGAAAATCTTAGTTAGCCACGAGTGAGCGTTGGCTCTTGCCGGGGGTAGGGGGGATGCAAAGTACTGAAGGCAGATGCTGAGGATTCTCGAAAACATCAGCATTCCACCAGTTTCGGTAAGATTGCATCCACTCACGGACTTCTGGATTCCCATACCCATGCTTAATAATCACAATTCCATACAACCGGATGCATTTCAAACACCTCTTGAGATCGCGATGAGTTTTCAGTCAGGTTTCACGGAGAGTTAAAAGAATTAAATAGCGCGCCGGTTATGTTCAAGCCAACTGACTGCAGTGCCGCGAACAGGGCATGTCAGATCGTTCCCTTTTGATCGTTTTAGGTTCAATGATACTATGGGTAGTTCGCAAAAGGAATGAAAAGGCCCCCCAAGTATTTCTCTTGTTCAAATAAGCTGCTGGAATCATGAATGGCCCCAAACTGATTCCACTGGACGACGATATTACTCCTGAAGGCTGCTCCGTGTTACTTTTGATCTTGCACTTATTAGCGTTGAGACCACAGAGGTACCAGTAACGCGTAGGAAGAGAGATTCTTTTGAATTATAGTAAAGCCTGTATATGACTACGTAGAAAAGCTTTACAAGGGTAGACTGAATTGAGTGGACAAGATATACCGTCTGGTTGCCAATCACATGGGCATCTAGTTGAGATCACCTACCACGTGAGAATTCTAACAATCGTATAAGTTAGACCACGACAGTTCGGAGAGTTCATGAGCTTGTTACCTTACCACTGTGGCTCAAAACGTATTTTCATTGGTTGCTGGGTAAGTGTTATTGGAATACGCATCTCGAGTCCACATGGATCAGGTGGTAGTATTTATGCGCGCAAAAGAATGTGGTAACAGTCGGCACCTCCTCTCAGGCCTGTGTCAATTTTATTAAACGCGTCCAGCAAACTAATATCAGTGTAAAAGGCTTACCTACATCGAGACCAACTTAAAAAGCATTGCCAAGAGCAACAAAAATCAGACACCACACACTGTTTCTTGGCTTTAGATATATCCCACATATCAATGACTGGTAAGACAGTGTTGCATTGGTCAGAATACGGGACAAGTCGAAGCGGCAGCCCACCCGTCACGTGGGAGCAGAAACAATCGCTTCTCACGTGGCTGGATGCCGAATGGGAGAGGCGGCCATTCAGTGGTATGCCCTATGAACCCTACCACCTTCAATCGGAGCTGTCCAGGGTTTGATGCAAATACTGAAGATGAGTCGGCCAAGTATGGTATGCCCTGACCCAGTACTATTGAGCACGACACGAAGCCTCTGGAACTTGGAGTAACTATCCAAATTGACATGGGCCAGACCTGTCGGATTATTTTCAACTGAAAACCGTTGATATGTGCACATGACAGGAGAATCATGGCGTCAGCTGAGACAAGTCTGCCAATAATGCAAGCACGAAAACAGAGCGGTGCTCACGATGAGAGCCCATCAGCCCAGGCCTCCATGTTTCATTTGCGCGCTCCATTACCACCGTCTGGCGTTCACAAATTGACTCAATGACAGTTATGCTAAATAAGGAAGCTCATAAGTTACATGGGGCATAAGCACACGCTGGCCCATGCGGTCCTGACAGAACTCAATCTTGGGCTGATAGATAAAGCTTTTGACCATCTTTTCCAAATATTTCCTATTCAGCTTTCGGCTTTCGAAAAGGGCATTGTGAGAATGTGCGGGGCAAGTCGTCCAATCTGTATTGGGTTGATCTCGCCAATGCACGCGAGCCACTTCATTGGAACGTTCTAAAACCAACCGTAACCAGCACTTCCTACTCCTTTCGGCTCAATGACGACTTTAAAGCAGTTGTTTAAGCAACTCGCCGGGTAGTCTTCGCAGACAGTGTAGAAGGCGGCGGCGGCATCGCAAATAACAAGACTTCAGGATGCGAAAAGGCATTAGCAGCTGCCAGAGCAGCAGTGCGCCAGCTTTGTCGAGACCACTTCGAAGGCCCATTTTTATCAGGCTGGGTGGATGAGAATTGGGAGCATTTATTGCGCCGGCTGTATCGAGTGTTGGAAGACATCTCACCTAGGTCTGGATGTGAAAGGATGTCAGGATCGAGCAAGCCAAATTCAATGAAGGTATTCGAACTGCTTAAGCTAGCTTGTGAGGAAGATAACAGGTTGTGTTATGCCAAAAATGAGCTCTTGCTTCTCATTAAAAGGTCGAAATAGTCGCCGAGATAACTGGCAGGGGAAACTTTACTGACTTGATCAGAAGAAATATAACTTCGGCTAGGGAGGGCTTTGGAAATTGGAATGTTAGTAGCGACCGAGAAGATGCAAAAGATAGCAGCGATTATGTAGGATCAGAATCGTTTTTCAAATGGACCGGCGCACTTGCCTCTGACTCAGCGAGAGAGAAGAAAAGTCAAGGCAGGAAACATAAGGAGGAGGAGAGCTGAGGTCCTGTATGTTGATCGAGTTCTCGTAGCCTCCTTTCCGAGCAAAATGGTCTGCAGTCGACTACGTAATGATGATGTTTCATGAAAGCATACTACAACTTTAGCTTGCACCCCGCAGGAAACTGACCACTGTTGAAGATCGTCCGAGATAAACTTGACATGGAATCTCGCTGAAGTTTGGGTGGGACGCTAACATCTGTCAGAACTCTAATACTGCGAGGTCGCTTGGCTTCATGCAAAATGCAGGCAGCGGAGTCTAGTTTATGCCTATCCACCCGTTAGCACTTAGAACCATAAAGATTATCAAGAACAAGAGGTCTCATAGAGTCGTCGCCGTGCTATACTGCATTTCTGTTTAGATTATATATGAATGGCCTTGACTATCATGGCATCGTGAGCTAAGAGTACTAGTAACAACCGGCTGAAGTGAGATCTGATAGAAGATACAGAGTAGTCCTTTACGAGGTGAATGTTTCGAGGCCTGGGTGACTTAACGCCTCTCTCAAAGCCTTTTTCTCAATTCATGGTAACACTTTCTCAGTACAACTAGCTTCGTAGAATTCATGTCTTAGTAGCCTACCCACCTTAAGCACCCTGTGACAAGCAACGCGGAGCGCGTCAAACACGGCCCAGCTTTCCGTAATTCCTCTAGCCAATACAGATTTCTTTGCTATCTTTAGCTACGGCGATAGCTAATGTTGGAATGAGGACCCTAAAACCTTACTCGCCAGTAATTACTAGTACTCTAGCCAGTACGGATGCGTGGCTTGCCCTGACAGGAGTGGCAAACGGAGTAAGAATAGTCCAATAACCTGATGAATTTCGCGTAAAACTCATTGATGTTTGACTGCCAAGCTTTAGGAAACTGCGTTCTCCAAGTTGCCAACGGAGCAGGCACTAGTTGAACATCCGAACACTCCAATTCTGACTTAGATCCACCCAATTGCAAGGCTTGATGCGTCCGATATTCCATCAGGTATGTTGAGGCGGGGACTACAATTTGATTACTCAAGATGTGAATATTAGAGGATCGGTACCGGAAATGTTGCAATTTTTTTGGATTACATTCTTTCTGCCGGAACATATCGCTACCTTATATCGAGAAACCCCGGGCACGTCTGCCAATGCTGATTTGCAAATAGAGGTATCATACCTCGCTGCTTCTACATCTATGGTTAACTCAAGATTTATGAATTCACTTGCAGTTACTACAGTTGGAATGCAGGGGCTTGTGTAGCCGCCCGGCACCAGGAACTGGCTGACACCGCTTTCTCCCTTCCACAAGTAATGGGCTACGAGACCGTATCTCCCACCTTCACTTCTAAACCGCCACTTTTACTATACTCCTGCACACCACGGTAACTATGAGTTTACCACTTACTTATTATTACCTGTACGGAACCTGTCACGATATATTAAGTGCAAATGCTGCAAGGCAATTATGGATCAACTATTGTGGTCGTCACAGAACCCTTTTCACGTTTTTAAGATCTACTTTGCCAGCCAATCCTAGGATTAAGGGAGTTGGGCAGAAAGATTCTATATCCTAAGATCAGTGTACGGAATGGTTTACACCTCGTGTAGTTGGGAATATTCCTAGGATTTAGGGGTGACAGCTCACCATTCGGTGTGCAGATCCCGGTATTCTGAGGTCTTAAATCCACTTCTAACAAGAAACCATACCGACTGGGCAAAACAATGAGCGTTCCTGTATCCTGCTGAGCACTGTCCGAGACCTAGGCCAGAGGATAGGCACAATGAATATTCGGATGATCTGTTACCAGGTTGACGCCCAGTACTGCCATGTAAAGTTCAAAACTAACCTGAATCCTGAACCTAGAATGCCACAAAGACTCACAAGGGTCCACGATAATTACAAGGAACGGAACCACTCAGAGCGCAGTCCAGGCTTACCTGAAAGTTAATTAATCTAGCAAGATATCCAACCTTTATGACCCAACTCACAGAGTAACTTTGTGCCATGTTAAAAGAGTCTCTTAAATAGTTTTCTTTTCGTATTTTATAACCATGCCTATCCTCAATGTCGCCCTCCTCGCCGTCCTCCTTGTTGTCTTCAACCTGTGTCACGGCTGGAGCCTGAAGTCAGACCTGCCGTGCTGATCTTGGGTGTACATCAAAAGGCTCGCCTCACTCACGCAAAGCGCTTCCGTAGAAAAATGCGGATTTGGCCGAAGAAAAAGTTTTGCCCTGAAAATCTGTGCCTCATTCTCGATATTGAGTATTACACCTCAAAAACATGGCATCGGCGAAATAAACATACCACACCGATTCCAGAACACCTCTGGCAGGATAAAACCACCAGTGCATTTTTGGAGTACCTCCAAAAAGAAAAGAATAACTTGGCAGACTGGAGCTTGGAATGCACATTCATTGCAAATAAACAACCGTCGGGTGAGGTTGACATTTACAGGGTAAGAAACCTTTACCATTGAAGGAGAGCATTGAATCAAAATGGACTCACGTACTGCCTTCTATAGTTTGACCTGAAACACAGATACCTGACTGTTGTCGACACTAAAGCTTCAAGAAGTGCCTGTCTAGACATTTATAAGAGAATTCCCCTTATTGTCGAAAACTTGGAAACCTCATGGTTCTTCAAGGGTGTTGAAGTTCGGGCAGACAGAATACACGGATATAACTGTCGGCCCACCGCAGACTCAGGTCTATTCTCACCATGGGGTGTTTCAGGTAGGCGCGAAATCTCTGGGAAGTTCGAGTCGACTTCACCTAAGACAGCGGCTGAGCTTAGTCTGTCAGCTTATACGAATGTTTGTGGACCCTATAAACGCGGTGAGATTCATGCGTACTGACTGCGATAGATTTTGTCAAAGGAGAGAGTCTGTGCAGTCACTTCGGTACCCCCTTCGTTGAAAGAATCCATGGATTTGCTTTGTATAATCAACAAAGACAATCCGGAAATGCAAGACGCGCAAAAGTTCTTGGATAGAACAGGGGCTCTGACTTGGACCATTTCCAAGAAAAGCCACGTTGAGGCGAATGTTGGTCTTTTCATTAACAAAATCGGGGATGCAATCTACCGCCATTGGCGGATTTTACTCTCATTTGAAAACATTATCGAGAGCATGGCACAGAATCCAGCTGATCCTGATCGTAAGGCTCACTACGAGGACGTCGCCGGAAAGACCTTTCTAGAAGCGGAGGAATCTGCGGCGAAATCTGCCGCTGCCAAAGCTGGCACTGAACTTACAAAGCAATTTGTTACGCATGCCCAGTCTCGTGGCAGAATGTGTCTCAACAACTACGTCCTTCGAAAGACTAGGGTTTTGAGTTCGGAGGAGGTGCACAACAAAGCAGTTAAGCTGCACGATCGAGCAGGGGATATAGCCAACGAGTTGCAGAATTTGCAAATGATGGTTGCCGAGCGTAAGATAAAAAAAAAAAAAGTGAAAAAAAGAGATGAAATCAATCAGCTAACCTGAGAGAAGTTGAAGCCGGAATACTCCAGCTTTGCTGCGATGCTGGCTTTGTGGCGCCCCTCGTCTATTCAGTGGTCAACCCGAAAGATCTAGTCAAGTACATGATGCTTCCTATCTGGCATCCCGAGCAGCTGAAGGATATCATTAATATGCACCATGCCACGCGTAATGTGGAAACCCTGCGAGTAAGGTTATTAAAACGCAAGCTGCGTGCGCTGAAGAAGTTGGAGCGAGAGATCGTGTCCGATGAGAAGGCCATAATGAAGCACATAAAGCGCCTGGACAAGAAGATTTTGTCATACTGTGAGGACCAAGACGACCACCTTCAGTCAAAACTGTCACAACTCCAGGTTTTGGACACGGAACAGGAGTGGGGAGGCAAGGCATGGAACTTTGCTGATTTAATGCCGGTGTCTCAATTGCTTGTGGGTTCACTTTGACGATCATGTTGTTTATGCTGAAGGACCCGAAAGTTGAGGATCATGCTCCGAAGGAGGTTTCTTTGAGACATTAGGGTCTGTGTAATTCGGATTGTTCAATGGCCCAAACGTAACAATCAGCCAGCTGTCAAATTGTTTCGGTGTCCAGTGATGGGGAAACCAGCCGGAGAAATGTTGCATCTTCGGCAACGAAGCCTCGCCCCAGGGATGAGGCGGCATCTTGTGAGGTTGGTACACGTTGAGAGGCTTCTTTCTCTGACTGTCAATCAGGGCGTCAACATAGTCAATAGCCACAACACGGGGCGTGTCCAGAAGGTTTTCGGGATAGACGTGTTGAGATGGAGAAAGAACGTCAACCTATGACCGCTGAGGCGCTCAAAGAAGATTGTTGAATAGGCAGACTTAATAACATCCACCCGGTCTCTGTTTTGAGGCGAAGGCCTTGTCGGGGGGCGGGACTTCTGGTGCTGGAAGAAAAGGCCTTCTTTAACCACTCTTTGCAATGGAAGAAAGACAGCAGAAAAAGACTGTTTATGGATCCGAAAGGACCTTTGTATGGAATTAAGGTGCGAGGATACAATGGGTGATGCGGAAATGTGACGACAGCATGTGGAAAGTTCTGGTGCTCATTGCATCCTGTCTTTAAACACCCGTGTGTCCTGCAAGTAGACAAAGTCAAATGACCCCATGCAACGAATTTTCACTTTAGAAACAATTCAATGTAGCCAACGCCCTTGACCCAGTGGGCAGGCAAGAGCTTGTCCCCCGCGGCTACGTATATCAGGGCATTACACATAGATCCTGGTTTACACTGTTGTTTGGGCTTAGTAGCGCCAGCCTATAGAACTAGGACACGAAGCTGGCCATGCAGCTATTTCTTGCTGCTTAGTCTCGACAGTCGCTCCTCTCGGTCGCAAGCTGCTCTTAACTGCATCTCGTACCGCTACGCCCCATTGAGTTATTCTCTGTGACACTAATATTTAAAACCAAGTAGATACATAAGTCGATGCAGGTCAAGACAGTTGACAACCCTTACTGCATCTACTTGTCAATATTAGTCAAGAAGTGGTTTCACGCAATGAAGTAGACGCCAAAGAACGCCGTTCCCACTATCCTCAGGATCTAAGCTCCTTGAATTAGGGGACGTCAACATTTACGGTACCCAGGATTCAAAGCAAAGGCAAAACGCAGAGTTTCTAGGATTGATGGGTTCGCTGGGCGCCATGATGGCATCTGCATAAACGGCTAATACCTACACTCTTAGAGCCAGCGGCCTAGAATCCAGCCAATGATGCCAACGCAACATGTCACCCACCAACCTAATCCAACTACATTCTGCTGTAGGCCAAGTCCGTACAACATACCTCCCGCGATTGAACCAGCAGATCGCGACGTACTCGCCACTGCATTCGCTATCCCATGGACCGTCCCTCGACGGGATGATTGCGTAGTAGACTGATTCACAAGCAAAATCGACACCAAAATCCCGAACGACCGACCTATGACGTGCAAAAGCAGAACGAAAAGTATACCCGCCCACAACACCCAGCCATTGCCTGCAGGCAGAAGAGCCAGATACGGAGCAATAAAAAGACTGGCCGGGAACAGAGGGAGAGAGGCCTTGAAAGCTCGTACCACACCATGCTTGGCAGTTAAATGAGGCACCGCGGTGAGTTGTAGGGCCACGCCAATGATGCCAAGCATCCCTACAGCAAAACCCAGGTCTGCGTCTTGGAGCTCAAGCCCTCCGTTGAAAAGAAAAGGTAGCTTAATGGGATCGTTGGTTTTGCGGCGGGCCGCCACTACAAACAAAGGCCACAGGGAACCGAACGCCCTTGGTCGCCATCAGTAATGTAGCTCGGATTTTCAGACGGCAGGGAGAACTTACCCAAGGTGGAACTCGAGAATCGTAACGGTGCATAAGACGATAATGAAACGAGGTGTCCATATGGAATCCAACCGATTTTCGGAGGGATCAAGTTTTGTTTCAGGCTCTCTGAAGCGCGCCCTTTTCTCTGCCTCACTCCCGCTAGTAGCAGCCTCGACATTGATATCTGAAATTTGTTGGTATCGTGTTTTGAAGAATGGAAAACACTGTCGTGTATGGGTAAATATATCCATTGTCCACTTTTGCAAGTCGGTGTACTTGTCTTGGTCTATCTCCTTCAACTTATACCACACCATAATTGCGTCCCCTACAAGCACCAATGCACTCAAGAGATTGGGGGTTGCAAAAGGGTGACTTGCCGCCCAACTCATCACTCCCTTGTTACTCGACGCTGGTGATGGAATGGACGTCAGTGGCCCTTTGGAACTATGGCCTATTGAAACTGCGGCAATGACTGGAGAGTACGCATCAGCCACTGGAGCGCATTGTAGCACAGGCGTGCTGAGATGGTGGTAAGATGCGACAGGCAAAAGGCTGACTTACGTGGACCAATGGTATTGGCTATATTAAACGATAGGACGAGCAGTGAAAACCCTGCTGGCCGATGTTCCAAGGCAAGGTTGTCGGACATGGCAGCCCGAGCAGCCACGACAGTACCATTGAGAGCGCCGGCAAAAAGGCGCCAGGCCACTATCGCCCCAATAGACCCAGCAAAGGCTACTCCTATGCACGCAGCAGCCGTAGTGACGAGACCTACCAGAATGACAGCCTTTCGGCCGATGCGGTCAGTAGCAACACCCCACAGCGGCGCAGATACAATCTGTGCAGCTGTAAACATGCCCTGGGCTACGCCCACGTGGCGTGCTACATCCGTGGAAGACAGGCCCGGCTGCAAATGTTGAATATGCAAGGTAATACAAGTTTGGAAACTTGCTATTTGGTAAAAGTCGACAACCCGCACCGAGGCTATCAAGGCAACGACTCCCGCCTTGCCTTTCGGCAAGGAAGCCCATGGCAAATTGACCAATCTTTTGGGCATGGCTGGTCAGATATTGAGATCAGGGTGAGGAGGACAAGTACTGCGCAGGTGCGGCGGTACGTGCGACACATAAACGGCCAGAAACCAGGCGGTGCGCTCAGCATACCGCGGGAGTAGCGCAGCGTTTTGTCTAGACCTACCCTGTGAGCGATCTCAGATCGACGCCAACGTTGCAATTCGGAAAGTAACCGTTGACTCGTACTCGCACTCGCTTTCAACGGGGCTCCCAGAGACAATATAGTGGGCCCGAACCCACAGAACTCTACTATACGCAGTTGTGCTGACAAAAGTGGAACGACCATTGCTTTGCAACAATTGCCTCTTATCTACGGAGTACCGTGACAGCAGTTGTACGAGATTGTCCCCGGAAAGTTCGGAAAGTGCCGTTAGTAGTTTGATATTGCTACGCAGTACCCTTGTTGCGGCAGTGTTTAAGTTGAATAGGCTATGTTCTTGGCAGACAAGCACTTGACTTGTGGTGTTGTTATATGATCATGAGGGCGCGATTATATAGCTATTGAGGAGAAAGTTTCCATATGCTTGTGAGGACCCGCATCGCATGCATTAAGCCCCAACCAACCATGCCCCAAATTAACCAACGAAGAAGCACATTGCAAACTTGGCAATAGTTTCGCCGTTTGACCCGTCTGAGAAATGAATCTCCTTCATTGACGCGCGGAAAAGGACCTGCAGGGATAGGGCATCCCAAGAACTTGCAAAGTGGCTCCCAATCCCAGCCGTCGCCGATTCTCAGTTCAAGCAGATTATCAGGAGGAACAAGCTCCCGAATCTGCTCGTTATGGGATAAAAAGACGGCTTTTCCGTTCTTCTCAAAATCTCCCATAAACACCGAATCCCAGTATTTCCGAAGCATTGGATAATACATGGACGATGCCCAATCAACATATGACAAAGCCCACAGGAAGTAATCCTTTTTGGCTCGCCAGTTGACCGTGGCTTTGGTTGACTTGTACCAGGAGTCGGCGTCGCGTGTCGTTAAAATTACTTTAGCATCCGGGTATGCTTCGATGAGCTCACTCGCAAATGACGCTGCAGGCCAGTCACACACGGCTTGACAGTGGCCAAGTAATGCATCCCAGTTCTCCTTGCTGAACCTTTCCCCGGTGCCGTCATATTTTGCTGCGAGAGCTTGACTCCACAGCAAACAGTCCGGTGGGTTCTCGGCACTTGCATTCAACATGTGGTAGGTGTCCTGGAATCCCAGTTGTTTAAGAGCTACACGAAGTGCTGCTCTTCTATTAGTAACTACTTAGAAAGAGGAGACAAAAAAGCAAAGATGGAGAACGGGAGAGTTACACGCTGTGCCTGTTCTTCCAAGTCCGAGACAGAGTACTTTCATGGGAACTGTGCGTGACAAACCCCGACGATCGATATCTGTATCGCTTGTGAAGATGTCTGTGATCGGCCTGGAGACTGCGCCTTTCGGGGAAAACATTGTGGATCTAAACATGTCCATAGCTGACCTGCGCAAGGTGCTTATGCTACGATAGCAGAGTAGGACGTTCAAGGGGATAAGGAAAGAAGACTAAGGCAGACATAACCACATGAGAAGACATTTTCAACCCTTTTCTTTCTCGAAAACCGCCGCTGATCCGTTGATCCAGTCTCAGCTTATGTATACGGACGCGTTTCGCAGCATCAGGAGGTGGTTCGGATACAGAGGGCCCCATCGACTCGAGTAATGGTGAGGGGCCAACCTTGGGCTCCAATTCCGGGAGAGATTCGAACACTCCACTTGCTAGTAAAGCCGCAGTTCTCAACTCCCTATGATACCTTGTTCAAAGTGACTGTTGTGGATCAACACTCCATACTGTCTTACAATACCATGTGCCAAGTACTTTATTGACTCAACGAAAAACAGTTTTCTGTGGCACCTTACACTAAATTAAACTTTCGGCGACAGCATTCCTTACGAATTCTCCGGGCAACTCGTTTTCGGGTAGCCTCCTGCTGACGAGTGACTTGTTGAAACGGCTGTCCAAGGTTTCCGTGCATGGCCGCCCCAGATGAAGTCATGATTGCTGGGAAGGCTTTAGGTAGCGTATAATAAGTAACATCAGGATCCTGCCTGGTGTCGGTCGCCCGTGCCAGCACATATCTTGCAAAAATACACCTCTTTCCAACTTCCAATTTGTGAATCACCATCATCATCACCATGCTATCCCAACAGCTTTGCGCCATTCTAATCGCCGTGGCCCCTTTGGTCCAAGCAGCTCCCGTTTCCGGTGAGAGCAAACTGCTCGGCGGAACCAAGATTAGTAATGCTAACGATCTTCCAGTAGAGAACAAGGCAGCTGAGCTGGACGCTCGTTATATCTATACTCAGGCTACGCCTGATGGATCCGAGACTAAGCGCGATGCTGAGCTAGATGCTCGTTACATCTACACTCAGTCGACACCCGACGGATCTGAGACCAAGCGTGATGCTGAGCTGGACGCTCGTTACATTTACACTCAGGCGACGCCTGATGGATCCGAGACTAAGCGTTCCGAAGACGACGCTGTCTTCCATCCACTTGAGTGATGACCTGATAACAAATTCGCACCTTACAAGAATGTCAGAGCAAGCGTAGTTGCCGTAGTTGTTCTTTTTTTTACAAGACCGAGAATAAACATCCGATAAAGCTTGAAACCACTCTTGCAGCCTCGCACCTTGGGTGTCTATTTACATGTCCTGCTAAGAAGTATTATAAAAAGATCACTGATTGCAGCCCTCGTTCTGTATTGTTCGTGCCTCTTGAACTTCCGCCTGGCATGTCAGATCCGCTTCATCTGCCACATACAGATCTGCTCCCGTGTTTGTGGTCAAAGCTGTCCGTCTCACTTCCTGGGTTAAAAAGACACAGTACAGGTTTCGGTGTTGTTGAGATCTAGCACCGTCATGACTCCGCCCCCTCATTTCCTTTTATTAGTGGGTATCGTTGTGTTCCGTCTCATTTTGGACTTCTCCGCGACACACAGAACGTAAGACAGAGAAGAAAGAGAAACCTTGAAGGAAAATATTCTTTCATTCTTCTTTCGTTAGTAATGTCGCCTGCAGCATGTAGATCGCCAGATGCGAGTCATCCCTTCAAGTCGGTAAGCCTCTCTTCCAATCGCATTGCCAATTACCATGCTTGAACTCACATTGTAAGCAAGCGACCTGATATTGTCGCGCCACGACTGGACATCACGCTGCGCAATGGCAACCTTCTAAGCCCAGGACTATATTTTCTTGCGCCTTTCAAGGGTTACGTGTCAACGCCGATGATATTCGACAACAATGGGGTGCGGGAACCTATCTGACTGTCAATTTTGCATTGAAAACTGATGAAGCGTTTCAGGATCTAGTTTGGAGCGGCAGTGATGCGTACGCCGGCACAGAGGGACCTGGTCCCCATGTCTACGATTTTCACACTTGCAACTTTGAGAAATCGACACACATATGCATGCTGCGCGGTTTCAACGACCAAGGTTTCGCTAGGGGCCAAGGAATCATTCTCGATGCTCATTATCAGCCAGTGAAGCACGTTTCGGGTAGTGGCGTCGCGACTTCATGCGATCTTCACGAGTTTACCACAACCGAGTCTGGGGAAACGGCTCTTATCACACAGTACCGACGACGGCTACACGACGCTAGTCGACTGGCCGAGGGCCATGGCATGATCTGGTTGCTCGAGGGCGTCTTTCAAGAGATTGACATCAAGTCAGGCCGCGTGCTGTTCGAATGGAGATCTTTGGATCACGTCGACCCGACCGAAAGTCTGGTTCGCCTAACGACGGGGTCCCGCTCAAACCCGTGGGATTATCTTCACCTGAATTCCGTAGAGAAACTACCCGACGGTAACTACCTTGTCTCAGGGAGGCATCTCTCAACTGTTTTCAAGATTTCCAGCCGCGATGGTAGTATCATCTGGCGTCTGGGGGGGAAGCAATCGACGTTTGCAGGAATGGACCCGGCATTTGTTTTCCAACATCAAGTTAAGGTGCTGGCAGATGACGGAAAAGTCACGAGACTGTCAATGTTCGACAATGCTCGACGCCCGGCCTTCAAACCAGAACGGCCGTCAAAAGGCCTGATCATCCAACTAGACCATTTGTCGAGGACAGCGCAGATAGAGAAACAGTACTCTGGACCGGGTGTAGAGTACACTGCAAAGATCGCTGGCAGTACTCACGTCCTTCCGAACGACAATGTTCTTGTTGGATTCGGCGACGCTGGTTGTTTTGCAGAATACACCAAAGACGGGACACCCGGTCTCAAAGCCTGTATAGGTGACGTCTCGGTTGGTACCCTATACCGCGTGTACAAGAGTGAATGGGTGGGTAGACCGCTGAATGAGGTTGCAATAGTCTCATTCTCGAGGACGAATACGTCGTCAACCGCTTTTTATATTAGCTGGAACGGTGCTACTGAGGTGAAGAGATGGCGGGTTCTTGGGGCGCTGGATCCAGACGGGCCATTCTCCGACGTTGTCCACGCGCCGAAAAAGGGGTTCGAAACCACCATCACGACGGCGAACCATGTTGCAAAGGCGTATGTGGAAGCTCTTTCAGCCACAGATGAAGTACTTGGAAAGTCTGCCGTTGTCACAACATTCGTGCCCTCCAAGGCTGTCGTTGATCAGTGTGACGACTTGTGGTGTGCTGAGCCACGGCAATGCATGGCGGCAGCTGCGAATGCGCCAAGCGCCCCCAGCACTCATCAGAGAACTCTGGGTTTCTCAAACGATTGGCAACAAATTCCTTTCGTACAAGCTTGTCTTATAAACCTAATGGTCACTCTAACCCTGGTTCTACTTTTGAGATATGCCCGTGGTCGATCCAGGATCGTCTCTAGAATTGCTGGATGGTAATCAAACTATAAAATACCCTTTCTTAATGCTAATGTCGCTACATGTATATAAACCAGATACTTATCAACACTCAGGTTCTTATGACATGAGCACCAGTCTGTGATAGCAAGCTATCCCAATGCTTCCATGAATATGAGCGAGTAGGCGAGCGAATCAAGCTGGCTTAATAGTTCCACGCGTCATTAAAGGTATCGTTAAGATGCTCCACGATACCAGGGGCTCCCGAGGCCTACTGGCAGATCCAGACATGGAATTCACCCAGATATCGCCCGACACCTGTCCTGGTCTTGCGGAAAGCCTGTATCCGACTCCTTCAAGTCCTCTATCCTTACTCACGAAACGGCATCACAACGGCAAATAGTAATCATCACTCACACAGGCCACCTACATATCACCCCAAACCTCCCCCTCACATCACTTCCTTTACAGCTCACATCGCCATTCGCTCCGCAAGCTCAAACTTCAGAGATGCCTTTCCAGCTTCGCGCAGTACAAGAGGGTTGCGAACCTTCTATGCTAGGTGTCGGACTCGGACCAGCAGATGGCATTAGACACTGACACACATGCAAAAACTACAAAAGCCATGAGCAGCGCCGAAGCTTGATCCCCAACAGGGCAAGGCGTCCTCGACGGGCCTTCGCCCGCCACCGCGAAGGTTCGCAAGAAAAAAAACATCACCAAAAGTGACAGCGCGTTCTGAATAAAGGGATGGCTCTGAACCGGAAGACTTGGTCATCTAGAAGCACGACGTGAGGATGCTATTCCACACGCACGTCTCCCACAACCACACCTCTGAAAGAGCCCGCGCAAGGACTGTTTTCTCATTTCGATGCCGTTTCAGTCCATCTCGCCAACGAAAGAGACAACAAGAGCCGCAGACACACCTTGCCGCCGCGCCGTTTTCCTGGCAAGAAATCGCGTGGCGCGGGGCGCCCTTTCGGTGCAGTGCAGAGAGCCAACGAGGACGAGGGCAAGGGCCAACGCGGGCGGTATCTGCGACGCTCGTTTCGCTCGGGATTTCGATTGCACGATGACGATCAGAACCCGCAACTGGTGGAGGGCGGCGATCGGGTCAGCAAGTTGCAGGTAGCAGGTAGCGGGTGCGCCGAGCCTGGGCCACCTCGGCAGGCTGGGTACGAAAATTTTGATGTAGTGTAGGTAGGCAAAGGGGTTTTGCGGTGTCGATGGAGCTCACCTTCGCGATGAGATTTTTTTTCGTCCAACTGGAGACATCAACAGATGATCCGATTTTTTGTCCATGGTGTTTTGAGAAGAGCTCTGGAATCATGATGACGTCCTTCCATCTCGGCGACATAGTGTCCAGAAGAGCTTGAGTCAAGAATGGAACGAGTCCATGCTCTTGCCATAATCAACAGATAATCATCTTGACGTACGAGGCAAAAATCGTAGAGACGTTGTCGTCGGAATTCATGACGGGCATTTCATGACTTGTGTATCAGTTTGGCATCACTTGTTGACGGGGATATTCGCTAGCGGCGGGCAACGCTTTGCGATGTCCAACAGTCCCCTGAGAGAACATCACGAGGCATTTTCTTCCCGCGGACAGGCCTAAGTTGTCCTAGCCAGATAAGACTGGACAAACAGAAAGGGTCCATGACACTGTCAGTTGTACAGTATACTCATTCACAGTGTCTACGGTAGCTCTAAGAGCAATAAGAAACACCATCGAATTCATCGGCCCTATCCTAATGTCGAACGAATACGATCTTAAATCTTGGCTTGCGGGGTATGCAAAGTATCTTGGCCGCAAGACGACAACAAACTTATTTTCTGAGCATGAGCATGCCTGCTGTGGCGAGATTGTCGCCAGCGAGGGGGCTGGCTCACAAATTTCTCACAACAACGTCAGGGCGGCACCCCTGAGTTTCCGACCTCTATTACTTGCCTTGAAAACATGTACACCGGTAGTCAATTACACTGTAAGCTAAACACCAGGAGGCCTCTCATGAGGACACATCTGGGGGAACTGCTCGCGCGGCACCAGGCAAAGTCTAAAAGCTGGCGAGGGCCTCGACTCACGGCCCACCAAGCCCGTTACTCCGTCCTAGCTGCTTCGTCTCTCTGATTGAGGGAATTTCGGCAGACGCAGATGCAGAGGCCTGCACCGATGGGTAATCGACCCGTTGAATGAGAGAACTCCGGACCCTTGGCGTCTCAAGGGGTGTGAACCACAGGGCCTTTTCGGAGGGGCTACCGCGTCTTTCAAGGGAAACAACTGAGAAACAGAAATAGATGGAAACGAAAATTGCAAGCAAACAACGCCTGCTCATTAGGAAACAGGGGCATCGTGCAGCAGTGTTATTTCCTGTAAGTGGAGACCGTCTTCCAACTCGTGTTAGAAGTTAGAATGCTGGAAGACCTACCACTGTCAACTCGTGCAACTGTTGCAAGCCATCCAAGCCACAACGGCCCCAAACACATGCATTCTGAGTCTACAAAGGAGAATGTGCATGCAAACCGCGATACCCTCCTTGGCACCAGAAGCAGCAGTCTTCTTGCTGGCATACGGGGAGTGGAAAGCACAGCTTTGGGTGAGAGGAGACAGCTCCGCCAGCATATTAGGCGTTACAGACCGCTCGACTGGACAATAAGAGTCTGGCGACCCAGGGGGAGGGATACTCGAAATCAAGACATCGTTCAGTAGACCAATGCCAAGCAAAGACAAGTCAGCAGCCTCTTTCGGCAGCACGGGATATCGCCAGTTGACAGCACGGCCCCATTGCTTGACCTCTGGCCTGTCAGGGTCGGGTCCGGGTACCGGAAGGTGATGTCCGTTTCAGTCCCTATAGAGTTGGATATACCCCTCGGTCACCGTCACAATCGCCCGGCCAAGAGGAAGCCAAGGCCACGACCAAGACTTTTGCCGTCTTGGAGTTGTAAAGCTCCGTCGAACATCTCGTAGGTCGCGCGTCTTCCTCGATTCTTTTTTTGGAGGGTTACGCCATGGTCGCGTGTGCTCTGTACAACACCCGCTAGGTGGTACTGACCTGTTGCTTCCGCATTTCTAACTTTGCTCTGTGTAGTGCGTGCCCGAGCATTCGCACCGAAGGGAGGATGAAATTGAGAGAAATATTGGGCAGTCTTGGCGGGTTGGCGCCGAGACTTGATGTAATCCAAGAATCCAAGGCGCTTCAGCTGATGAGCCAAGACGTCCAAGACGCCGAGAGATTCCTAGAGGCAGTTGCGTAACGGGTTTTCTGCCCACACGCTGAGCAAACTGGGGCGGGATACTTCTTGGAAGCGGCCTTTCAAAGTCTGGAGCTCACGAGAAAAGGCCAAGAGCGCATGGGTTCCATGGAAATGGAGCAGAGTCCACTCTGCAATAAGCCCTACCTACTGGCATCTTGGCTAAGTCCCGCCAAGCCAGCAAATGTGGTGATCCCCCTCTTGGTCTGCCTGCACTGCCTGCAGAGTCCTTCCCTATCTTGGCCTGGCGTCCGAACATGTGCCACCCCGTTTAAACCTCCGCATTTGGGACATTTCGATACCCCATCATGCTTAAACTGCCGGGGTTGTTAAGATCGCCTAGAAAGCGTAGAGTACTGATGGTCTGATAAGCATTGGGGTCAACAGCGACCAAACGTCGACAGTTCCAGTCTGGCCTAATGTAGTTTGTTGATGTCACGCCGGGCAGAGACGGTAGTCATACAGGCACAATTACATCAGCGGTGGTAGTGGCGGCCATGGCTATATCGCCATAGTTCATGAAGACGGCCGCATGCCCTGCCGCGTCTTTGCGCGGCAGGCTCAGGCGGAAAGCTTGGTATGATTCCGTGGCATGGCAGGCTCATCAGGCTGAGGGTGGGCGATGAGCAATCTCGCCTCCTAGCCAATCAAAGAGAATATTTGGTGCAAGGAGGGCGGGTATCCTTACTGGAACCTTAATTCCTCGTGGGTCCTGTCAATCACTGCAGATAGAGGTAATGTCGTCTAGGACACAGTTGCTCAGTACACTCACTACATAGATGAGTAGTAGGGGAATAGTAAAGGAGGCATCCAAGGAGCGTGGGACAAGCATCGACCGATGCGGATAGAGTATGTCAATCTGGCGATTGACGGGGATTGGGGCCTTGGAGGTTGAGACGGGCCCAAGCAAACTTACAAATCGCGCAAATGAAATGCAAGTGGCGGCCAAACATGGAGAGAGGACGCAGTGCCAAGACATGATAAAGGCCTCGTTTTGATTGCATGTACTCCGACTGGATAGCAGTGCATCAGAAGCTGGTGGCTCCGCACCCCCTGAACCTCGAACTGAACGGGCGATAGTTGAACCCAAGTCGAAACCAACCATCCTCGTAGGTCTTGGCATTGGCTGCACAGCCTCATCCGCACAGCGAAGCGACGGCCGCAGAGAGGACAGACTTAGTGTAGGGACTGGTAGACGGGCGTGACGGGCAAGGTTGCCCGTACAGAGAGTAATGTGTGTGCCGTAAAATACAGGCTGAAGTTGCTTGGTATCTGCAGCCAAGACCGCCCAAGTTGCCCAGACTGCCCAGGCTTGCCCAGCCAGAGGAAAGCTGGGCGATGAAGCGGCAAATTGTCAGGTTCTGGCTGGCTAGCTGTGGCAGACGCCAAGCAAACCCGCAGCAACATGCGCGGTGCCGGTGACAGTAACGTGTTCTGCTTCGCGCGGGGATAGACGGTGGATGAATGATGCGATGGCATGGGTTGTGAGACGGCTCGCCGCTGCTCGAGGGCCGGTTTGCGTCTCTTGTGTTGAAGCTTGGCGCGGTTGAGAGCAGCAATGAGAAAGGGAGATCAACACAAGACTAAGACGGACGGCGACACCTGGAGCCTTGAGAAGGATTCTGACACCAGTTGGCGTACCGCCAGCGTGGGTCGAACTGCCAAGGTCGAGCGACCCGCTCACCTGAATAAAGGCGGACTTGGACGGCGCGAGCACGTTGGTTCCATGTTTAAGGTATAGACGGAGTGACAATCTCCTGGGATCGGGAAGGCTGTGTAAAGTGTTTTGCAGG